ATTTATTTTTTTAAAACTTATAATAATTTAAAAGTTAAATATTTAAAATCGTAAAATTAAAAGTTTTAATTATAAAATAATTTTATAAATACATTATATTTCGAAAAAATATTATTTAAATGAGAAAAAATTAAAGTAAATATATTAATAAAATTAATTTATTAAAAAATTAAACATTATATAAAAGTCCCGCTTTATTTTTATAATTAACCGACTTATATAATAAAACACTTATTATAAATTTTAATTAATTATTATAATAAAATAACTTTTATAATTAAATTATTATTATATTTTAAAAAAATAACTTTTAATTTTATAAATTAATTATTTTATATTATTTAAATATATAAAAAAAAACGATATTTAATTAATATATTTAATTATAATTTATTTAAATATTTAAAAATTATTAAACTTAAAATTTATTTTTTATTAAACTTAAAACCATTTTTTATTAAACTTAAAACTTATTTTTTATTAAATTTTATCGAAACATTAATTACGTAACGTAATAATATTATATATATATAAAAGTTTTTATAACTTATTATTATAAATTTTATTATTATTTATATTTAATTTATAAAAAATTATATTTAATTTATAATTTAAAAAAATAATTAATATTAATTATAAATTAATATATAAACTTTTATTTAATATATTTTTAATTTTTTTAACCGTGGTTTTAAATTTATTAATAATTATATTATTCGAATTTTTAAAAAATCGTAACGTAATTATATAATTATTAACGTTATTATTAACGAAACGTAAAATTATATTTTCGTTTTTATAATAAATATATAATTAATATTTTAATATATAAAAATAATAATTAAAAAAAAAAACTTATAAAACGATAAAATAAAATTCGAAATTATTAAATTAAATATTAATGTTAATAATATTTATTTTAAACGTAATAATATTTACTTTAAAAGTAATAACATTAATTTTAAAAATAATAATACTTTTTTTAAAAACGGTAATATTTATTTTAAAAACGATAATATTTATTTTAAAAATAATAATATTTTCCTTTAAAAACGTAATATTAATTTTTAAAAATATAATATTAATTTTAAGTTTTACCACGTTAATTTTAAGTATAATAATTAATATTAAACGTGTAAATATTACTTTTAATAATATTAATATTTATTTCCATTTTTTAAAAAATAATTACAATTTATTAATTATAATTAATTACGAATAAATTATTATATAACGATAATTTATTTATAATTTAAAATATATATTTCGTTATAATTAAAAAGTTAAATTAAAATTTTAATTTTATAATATATATAATAAATATAAAATAAAAATTTAAAAAAACAATATTTAAATTAATAATTTAAATAAATAAAATTTTAAAAAAAATTATTTAAAAAAATATTTTTATAAAAATAAACAATAAAAATTCCACGCGTTATATCGTGGTAATTATACTTAAATATTTATTTTTATATTTTTAATTCGTAAAAAAAAATAATTTAAATTTAATGTTATTAATATATTTAAAAAAATATATAAAATATATATAAATTTAAAATAATTATTATATAAATAATATTTTTATAATAAAAATAATTTTAAAAATTATTACCGAATAAATTTTTAAGTGTTTAAGTTAAAATTTTTTAATATATATATAATAAAAGAAATTTTATATAAATAAAAGTTATATTATTTAAAATTAAACTAAATTAAGTTTAAAATTATATATATAATTATAATTATTATATAAATATTTTTAACTTTTATTTTAAATATTATAAATAACGTTATAAATTAATAATAATATAATAAAATATATTATTATAAATTAAATTAAATTAAATTAAATAAATTATTTTATATAATGTAAAGTTTTTTTTCTTTTTTTTAAAAATAATGTAAATTTTATATATTCGTTAAAAATTAAAAAAAGTAAATAATTAAATATTAAAACATTTATAATTAATATTATTCGCGTTATATAATTTTAATTAATATACGCGTTATATTAAAAAAAAGTTTAACGTTAATTTAAACGCGTTTTAAATTATATTAAAATTTTATTATATATTTAATTAATTTTAATTATTTATAATTTAATTTATTCGACGTTTTAATTTTTTTAATTTAATTTAATCGAAAACGTTTAATTTAAATTATATGTTATTTTTTTTTTAATTTTTAAATTTTTATTTAATTATAATATTTAAAGTTAAAAATTAATTATTATTTTAATTAATTCGAATTAATTTTAATTTAATTTAATTTTAATCGTAAAACTTTAATTTAATTTTTTATTAATTTTAATATAATTAAGTTTATTCGAAAACGTATTATAAAAATAATTAAATTATTTTAATTATTAAATTTTTAAAAATATTTTAAATGTAAAATAATTAATTAAAAATTTAACATTATAAAAAAATATAAATTTTAAAATCGGGTTTAAAAGTTTAAATTATAATATTTAATTTTTTATTTAATATATATAAAATAATATATATACGTTTTACCGACGTTTTTCCGGTTTTATATAACGTAAATAATATTTATATATTTAATTATTTAAGCTTAATTTTAAAAAAGTAAAAATTTATTAATAAATATTTCAATTAATTAAAAAACATACATTTAAATTTAAATTATATTATTAAAATAATAAAATTTTTATAAAAGTTTAATTTTAATTAGTTAAAAAAATATTATAACTTTACATTATTAAATATAATTATAAAAACCGTATATTTATTAAATATTTATTTATTTTATTATTTTTTTATTATATTTTTATTTATAAAAATTATTTTACGTTTAATTAAAAAAAAAATTAATAATTAAATATTTATAAAATTAAAATTTAATTTATAAAGTTTTCGTTAAATTTATAAAGGTTTCGTTAATTTTTAATTTTAAAAATAAAATAAATAAAAAACTTCGTTTATATATATATTATATTTTTTATAATAAAAATAATTAAAAACTTTTCGCGTAATAACGTTATTATTTTTAAGTTTTTTAATTTCGTTTCGTAATTTAAATAATATAAAATAAAATAAATAATAATACGTGTATTTTTAATATAATTAATTTTTTAATATTTATATTAAGTTTAATTTATTTATTAAATAAACGTATATATATAATCTTAATATTTAACGGTAAATAATTATTATTTAAAAAAATAAATTATAATATTTATTTATAATAATTTATTTATTAAATAATTATATATTTAAAAGTTATTTATTTTATTAAAAAATATTTAAAATTAAAAAAACGTAAACTTAAATTATTATTTAAAAATAAAATTTTAAGCGTAAAAAAAATTTATTAAATATTAATTTTTTTTTAAGTTAATAATTAAAAGTTTATAAAATTAAAATTAAGTTTATAAAATCCCCGCGAAGGTTTTATTTACGGTTAATTTTAAGAATAAAATAAATAAAAAATTTTATTTATATATATATCGTATTTTTTATAAAAAAAATAATTAAAAACTTTTTACGTAATAATATTATTATTTCGTAATTTTTTAATTTTATTTTATAATAAAGTTAATTATTATAATTTTTATTATCGTTATTATTATTATTATAAAAAAGTTATAAAAATATAAAAAATAATATTTTTAATAAATTTAAAAAATAATATTATATATTAATAATAATATTTTAAAGTAATTAAATTTATATTTAACGTAATTTTTATTAAATAAATACATGTTTAATTTTATTAATAATACCGTTTTTTTTTACATTTTTTTTTTTTTTATTTTTCGGTAAAAAAAATATAATATAAACCGTTATAATATATATTTAAAAATATAAATTATTAAATAAGTTATAAAAATTTTATATTTAAATATAAAATGTAAAACTTAATTTAACACGTTTAATATACTTTTAATAAAATTTTAAAATAATTATATAAATAACGATTTCCCGGCGTTAATATTAATTATTATTATTATTATTATTTTATTTAATAAAAAAAAAAAATTAAATTAAACACGTTAAATTAATAAATAACTTTTCTTAAAAATTAAATATTAATTATAAAAAAAATAATATCGAAAATTTAAATAATAAAAATATAAATAATAATTAATAAAAATCGTTTAATTTTTATTTAAATATTATTATATTTATAAGTTTTTTTAAATATTATTATATTTTACATTTAAATAAAACTTATTATTAAAATAAAATATATTTATTTTAAAATAAGTTAAAAATTTAATATAATAAACATTGGTTTTTTTTAATTATTTTTTAAAAATTAAATACTTAAAATAAAAAGTTTTATAATTTTAATATTTAATAATATTTATTTAAAAAAAAAAAAAAATTTAAATATAAATAATTAAATAATTTATTTTTTTTTTAAAAGCTTATAGTTTTTTTTATAATAAAATAATTAATTTTATTAACGTTAATTTACATTAAATTTTAAATAATTACTTAAATATAACGTTAAAATAAAAAGATTAATTAAATAAATAAATTATAAAATTTAAATATTAACGTAAAATTAAAAAATAAAATAAAAAATAAATAATATATAATATATATTTAATAAAAAATAAAAATAAATTATATTTTTCCTTAAATTTAATAAATATTTATTTATATAATTTTTATTTTATTTTTTTTTTATTAATAAGCCGTAAAATTTAATAATAAAAATTAATATCGTTTTCCCGTTTTAATTTATTAAATTAAAAATTTTATAAAATAAAAAATATTTTTATTTATAATAAATATATATTTACTTAAGTATTAAAAATATTATCATTAAACATTAACAACGTTTTATAAATTATAAAGCATAGTATAAGTTCCATATATATTACTTATTAATACTATGTACATTTTAATACATTAATTAAATTAACGGGTTGGCGGATACGGGCTTATGGTCCACTTTAGCACAGTCCGTGCCCTCCCAATGAACTCTTAGCACTGTCTCCATAATTTATCAGCGATCATCAACTCATTAAATTCAAGATCAATCATCAATCAGTTAATGTTGTTTGTTTATGTAGAAACATCACCAAGTCTCACCATTACCGGTTTTCTTAATTATTTACTTGATTACCACAACAATAAGGATTAATTCGCCAGTAACCTACGAATATGGCAGACCGACCTCCTCCTCACGTCCGCCGGGGAACTAATAGGGTCCCTGGCCAAGCGACAACTGGTATTCGTCGCAACCTCTTCCAGAGCCAACTTACGCGACGCCCCACACCTACGACATCCTCATCCAACACCTCCGCCGAGACTCTCCGACTGGCAGACGTCGAAGTACTCTCGGACACCTCCGATATCGTAATCCGCGACAAGAACGGCGAATTCGATGTTGGCGACCCGCCAACTCCCCCACCAGACGATCCGGAAGAAGATGGCGTATTAGACGATGCGCAAGAGAGCCAACGTACGTGGAAGCTTCTGTCTACATAGGCCGGGATAACATACCAGACACCGTATTTTCGACGAATTGTAATAGCAACTAATATGACATCCTACAGGCGAGAGGAAACGATTGGCCGAGGCCGTCAAACACCATCAAATAAACCACAACCGCACTCCTGCGCACGCTGAAGGTGAGACCAAAACAAAATCAAGGAAGACTCCGCTCACACAGGAAAAAGAGGTTATTGAGACACTCCGAGCTAGCATGAGAGCGAAAGTCGCCGCCCTGGCTGAAGATAACTGGATGTACGAGCCGGAGGAACAGCCACGACTGCAGTAAACAAATTAGATGATCCTGCTAAAGGGTTCTGATTATCAGAACTACAGAGGTATGCAAATAGGTGGGCGCGATGCTGCTGCTACGTAGCTCTAAAAGAGCAGGTATCTAGGTAGGTATCTAATCTAATCCCTCGGCCGCCGGCATCGAAGTAGGAGCCTTCACAGCCGGCCTCTTCGCACCCCCACTTGCTGGAGCACCACCGCCACCACCACCGAAGAACCCGCTCATCATGTCCATCAGAGGGTTGCTCTGCCGAGGCTTCTGGATCCCGAAATACATCTCGGCGATCATCTCTAAAGATTCGTGCCATGGCTCGACCTCTCCGAGAAGAGTAGCATATTTATTATGCAGTTGCTTGTACAGATCCGCGTTCGCTCTCTGGATGGCGAGTAAGAGGAGGCCTATGAAGTTGAGGAGAGGTATGCTAGGGTAGATTCGTATGTCGGCGCTAGCACTGCTGACGTCCTGAATTCCAAGCTGGTTTTGCTTGTCCTGGTTCAGAGCGCTGGTAAATAGTCGGTAGCATGTGTTGGCTGCTCGGACGTTGCCTGTGAGAAGATAGGGCAAAACGCCTCGGGCAGCGTATAAGGCGGCTGTATGTGCGTCGTCTTCCTTAAACCACTCGTATTCCAAACGACCCAAAACCTCAGCGGAATCCTTCGTTCCTAGAAGTAAATGTCTTTCTGCGTCGTACGGTTCGTGTTCCTCCGCGTACAAAGAGCCTGCGACGTGGTGGAGCTCGGGATCGCCCGCGGGGTATTCGCCGAATTTGGAGGACCATCTAGACAAACAGTAGTTAGCAAGTAGTTCTACACAACAAGCACAGCGAAGCGACCGCAACATACGATATCATCTCCCCTATGTATTTCTTGCGAGTAGGCTCTTCGCTATCGAATAACCGTAGACATGTAAGCAGTCTTCCCTTGGTAGCGGAATCAGGCTTCAGCTCCGCTTGCTTGTAGATGTCCACTAGCAACACGCAGAGATCCCCGCCGCTTCCGCCCTGGCCGGCTTTTAGAAGCGATTGCGCGACATTGTGGAGGATGCTGATGGCGGCGTCCCAGTTCGTCGCTTTCGTGTATCGTGCTGCTACCACTCGGGTTTGCTGCTGAGCTTCGTAGAACTGCCCCTCGGCGATCCGTGCCTGTAGGCGGGCGATGATCTTCTCGATCTTGTCGCCTTTGCCAGCCATCTTTTAGGTGTGTGTGTCTTATGGCTATTATTAGAACATGAGGGGATGTTGATATGTGTCGGGGAGGCTATAAGTATAGAATGTTGGCGGGATACATTGTGATGTCAAGCTTAGAAGTTTGGGCACTTGGATCGGAGAATACTAGGTACAGGGCTCATGTTTAGTGGTGGCCCAAGCTCATATACCTACCCCACCAATCTACGGTTTCATTGCGAGCCGCTGCAAAACTGATTCATAAACCCTGCTTATAAAGAGATAGTTTCCAATGTTGAATTAATACCTAGGGTAGTTATAAATGCTTAATATTATCTAGTAGTTACTTCTACCCTCTATTTTCTATAAAAATTATTATACGTAATGCCTCCGGGGAGAAAACAATACGTCGACATGCAGAACAAACTGACAAAATAGCAAAAAAAGAAATCATAGAGTTGTCTCTAATGGGCTGCATTTCTGCACTAACCGTGAATCGAACACGGGGCCAGAGTAGTATCTTCAGAAGATGGGAAACTCCGAGGTTACCACTACCCCATTAGTGCTGTTTAAGCTTAGAAGTTTTGGGGAAATATAGCGTTATATGTCATGTCTTACACAGGGAGGTACCTAGGTAGCTTCTTTGTACCTTCCAAGGTTGGCATTGAAAGCCCTCAAGAACATTAAAATTCATCGCTAATAGTGTACGAAAGAATTGGAGGACATAGAGACTATCATGACTGTTTAATTTCAGATTTGTCGGTTGAGAGTTTTGGAAATAAGGTAGTTGCATATACGCCGTATTCAACTCGCCAATCTTATGAACCCTTGGTTGTGATTCATTCGTGACTCACCCCACCTTCAACTGCCTTCAATGTCTTTTCCTATATATCTTCTATTCTGCTGCGTTTTTAATCGTTATGGTTTAGACTTATACGATAATTTTAATGCTTCTTCTATTCATATTGTACTATATTTTTGAATTGTTTAATCGCTAAAATGTTCGCTCCTCGTTTTGCAATGGCCGTACGTAATGGCGCTGGCACTGTAACCCGAGGGCGGATAGTCTCTCCGAACAGATCTATAATCGACTCACATATACCACAATCGCCGGCTAGCATGATTGCGTCAAATTTTTCGACTTCTGGTTCCAAACTCACAGAGAAAAAGCCTACGAAGAACCCTCCTAAATCTCCCGAGGAACCTCCGCCTATGCAATTCAGTTTCGAAGGACTTGGGTTGAGTCGAAACACCAAGATCGCGGTTCTCGTGATTTTAAGCATCTTCGGTACGATAGAGACTATTTTCTGGATTAAATGGATTGGGCGTTGGTTCTCCGGCGCTAAAAATGACGAGTCGGAAAACAAGGCTTGAGCTTTGTTTTGCTCCGGACCACGCTCCCATCGGGCTATATGAAGTCAATTAAATATAGCCCATCTTCGAAATCAGCCAAAGAATCGCTTCTCTACTCCACAAAACACATTGTACCATATTGATGCCCTAAGAGGGGTATATTCACCGCTCAATTCAAACGATCTCATGATCATGAAGGATCAGGTGCCGGGTTGAAGAACGAGGACTGCCTTGGAAGGGCTGCTAAGCATTGTACTGCGCCGTGGTGATTCGGCATAGCGCAACTCGGATAAACCTCTCATTATAATGATATTGAATCTCCCCTCAAACTCATGAATTAGGATGAAGAATTCGCTCTGTTTAGGTATTATAATGCACAGATTGGTTGAAGTCCTTGGACCGACTCATCCGGGGGGTATTGCCAGGTTTCGTTGTTGGGTCGTTAGGGCACCATTCGCGCCATCCCGAGCTCTGTTAAGCTTATCAAGGCTTTATAAGATTAGCGATGGAGAGGCTTCGGGTGTTAGCGCGTCCTATGCGGTGAGAAAAGCTCGAAAATCTCGGCCGCGTCTTCGGTGCAGCAGCTGTATCTAGGCCTTTCAAGTTTGTAAGATAGACGCTCATGCAACCTAAGGAAGCAATAAAGTCAGCATTATATCCTTGGAAGTTAAAAGCAAGTTATCGATGATGACAACTAAGGCAGGTCATAGGTAATACCCTGGGGCGATCATTTCCGCTTAACCAAGGGGTCTACGTGTGCACCGCCACTTGTATTGTACAATTGTACAAAACCTTCAAGAAGTTCCTCGAGAGTCGAGACCTTCCTTACCCCTGTTATGCTAGATTCGGGGTCGGCTCCGATCTCAATTGGTCTAAAACAAGCATGATCCCTGTACCTCCTGCCTTGTTTTCGGATGTGCTTTCCAAGCTTTTAGCCACATGAAGTCAAGCCACCCAAGTCCCTTAAAACGAAGTATAATTAAACAAGTGCTCGCTCTTGGGCAAGATGGCGTCGCCTGAAGCCAACATGAATACGTATTTTTGATTTTTGGTCTATACCTTTTCATTACGTCTCTCGTTACTTATCGTTTTGTTCGCTCGTTACTCCGTTAGATGTCGTACTGCTTCCCGACGTAATACTCGTACATGTTGGATAAGGATTTGTACTTGAAGATGGCCGCAGAGGTTGAAGAGCATCTGGCCCCTGGTGGTGCTGACGAGGTCAAGCCATATAAGATACACGTGAGCCACTTCCTAATCCTCGTTTAAAATTTGATAGGGTATGTGGCTGACATTTCGAGTTTCCACAGTTTTCATCTAAATATTTAGATCTCACAAAGCAGAAGCTGGAGACTACCAGACTACCTCATGAGTTTTCAGAACCGAAATCGAAAGATTGGTGGGAACCAAAATCTCATGTAGAGCCACTCATTGATTTCTGGTAGGTTTTTGTAGCCTATAATCGTCTAAGTCTTAAATTGACTTACACGATATCCATCCCTTCTTTTGTACCTACAACTCTCATATAAGAGTTGTGTCAAAACTGACCATCACACAGGCTTGAACAATATTCCTGGCGAACACAAGAGGATCTCTTAAACACCGAGTTACCTCAATTTCGTACCGTATTCTCAATACCATCATCTGAATCACATACAAGGATTCACTTCATCCACGCTCATTCACCTCATATAAATGCGATACCACTTCTTTTGATACCCCCATTCCCATTCTCAAGCCTCTCTTTTGGACACCTCATCAAATTGTTTACGGAACCCGAAGATCCTGTGAAAAATCAGCCCTTCCATCTAGTTATACCATCTCTTCCAGGTATAGCATTCAGCGATGCGCTTCCAAACAACACCCCCGTCATTTCATCCACCGCGGATATTCTAAACTCACTAATGAGTCGCCTCGCATATCCACATTATTTGGTGACAAATGCAAGTTCCGGATCTGCCTCACCAGCGGAGATTGATTTTAAACTCGTCAATCACCTAATAAACTATTATCCAAATTCTTGCCTAGGCGCTCATCTCATTTCTCCCCCGTTGGCAAAGCCAAAACTCCGAGAGGCACCTGTTGAGTGGGCGAAATGGTCTATTGCAAGTCTATTCAACGCCCCTATTCTTGGATACCGCAGTGAAGACTTTTCTGCTCTCGAGCGGAATGGATATGTCCGGACATCAAAGAAAGCGCCAACGCCTGCTCAACTCGGATTAAACCAGCTAAACTTCCGAGAACCTAATACTCTATCTTATGCGCTATGCGACTCTCCGACGGGCTTATTAGTCTTCATATTGAAAACCCTCTACCTCCTAAGCCCCAGAAAGAAATTCACACCAACGGAATTGATTAACTTCACCCAGCTTGCTTGGCTACCCGGTCCAGAATCAGCGCTAAGATTCTGGGCGCATTGCGTAAGGCATCCGGAGGAAGCAGAAAAGAAGGTGACACTAAAACCGAAAGTCGGGATTACGGTCTTCTTAGGCGATAAACCTAGTGTGCAAGATCCAGCCGAAACCGCGGCGGAAGTCGATGGGCTGGTTCTGGATGAGGCCAAGGATAGCTATATTTGTCCTAGCTGGGCTAATGCGAAATATAAAGTAGTGTATACCAATCGCGTCGCTGGCAGATCGGGACTTCTGGCCTGGGAACGACCTGAAGTCATCGTTGAAGGTATAAGAGGAGTTGCTGCTTCTATCTTAAAGTTGGATCCTCGACTCCGGCCGTCTTCGGCACCGACAACTACTCCACTAGAGCAAGTGGTAGTACCTAGCGACGCAGGGGCTGGCGAACAGCCAGTATCTCCACAGACAAAGCCGACCCCAACACTCCTATCACCACCACCACCTGTTGTAGGAGAACGAGTCCATCCACGTCGGGCGATCAGCGGGGAGACCGCAGTCGCAAGCAGTGAGAGTGTTGCCGAGGGAGCACGCTCTCCAACACTAGAAATACCCAATCCAGCGCATCCTGTACCGCCTACCAAGAACACGGCTGTAGAACAGCCGGATAACGAAGGATAGCGATCGCCATAGGAGCTGGCCGATTACGCCACGCGTTATTTGTTATATGGCGTGGGAGTTGGTCGGATAAATAAGAGGGCAATGGTTGGAATATAGCTCTCGTCCGGCTTCTTTAATGATAACTTGTAATGATGGATGTCAGGGAAATCTACCTCGGTCGATGGAGACTCGAAGGGATTCATGGCGGAGCCAAAATGATCCTACCGCTATGATATTTAAAAGTTAATTCCAACTTCATTCCCGGCCATCATTTGGGGCCACCCAAGGATGCTGGCGGATGAATTGTTGATCATGATATGTTTCAGGGGTCCTTTCGTCTTTTGTCATGAACGTGGTAGTGCGTAAAATACCCTTAGCATTAGGTTGATCATTACTACGCCTAGAATTTTCTGGGAACGAAAGTTCGATCGCCGTATCTCCTGTAATGCCGAGATGTGTAAGTGGTGCCTGTGACTCTTCTTTCGTATGGTACTTCCTATCCTGAGTTATAGAACGCCCCCTAGGCTGATCGCTCCTCGCATGTTTATCTTTCTGTTTAAGATAACTCGATAACTTGGATGAATGGGCTCGGATGATCACTTTATACTGGGTGAAGACCTTCGGGGCGGCGGAGATGCAAAAGACCAAGAAGAGACAAGTCATCTCTGCTATTCCGCATAGAGCTTCTGGTGTTTGCCAGTACGCCGTATCAGCCGTATTAGTTATTACATGTTGGATAATTATTCGACCAATGCCATTCGCGCAAGCTCTTAATTCGTCATACATATTAGCTTAGCCCCTTAAACGAATAGTAGTTGGAATCTGAGAACACTCACAAGATACCCACGGAAAATATTAACGAAATCCCAAGCTTCCGTTTAGTAGACATGTTTAAACTCCAAATCGTGCGCTGAGGAAGGCTGAATATGGCTAAGTCAAAGAAGAGGTTAATGTATGGCGAGGCTAGATATAAATATCGTAGGTCGAGACATGACCCATGAATCATAGGTTTCCAGGCCTTCTCTAATGGCCTACAAATCAGACACACGGCAAAGAGTGCCGCGATATAAAATGCAGCGTTTGAGAATAACACAAGCCAGCTAGCCCAGAAGAAGAGGTTCCGAGTGCCCTGTGGAACGAAAACCCGCAACCATTCGAGTAAAATCGCGGTCCTCGAGCATGCCGTTATGAAGCAAATCAATACGCGCCGTATAAAAATGAACTAATCGCCGTTAGCAATGCTGCTATCAAGTGGAAGAGACTAAGATTGAGTTTTAGGGGGCGAAGACACCAATTATTACTCACATATGTTACGGATTGAAAATCGCGAGCTGTGATATTCCACTGGTGGACGAAGCAACCGCCCAAGCCGAGTATGCGAAACATACACCAACAATACCCGATATATGGCCCCTATTTTAAACGATATCAGTCGTGTATAGCACACAGTTCATTCGCGTTTAACCTACAAATGAAAGTAACATCAAAACTGTCGTAGAAGGTCTCATTTAGCATGACTGGTATATCTACGGGCGTTCGGTTATATGAAAACTTACCATCCTCAAATTTGACTTTCTTCTCAACGAATAACTTCGCATATGTCCGTATAAATATGAACGTGGTTGATAACACCATGCATACTGTTATCACTCCGATCACCGTAGCATCGTAGCCGTGGGAGCGGGTAAAGTCAGGCTGGACACCAGACGGTGGTGGTAAAGCTGGTCCATCGAGGTACAATTCCCGTTCCGCAGGCGTGAGAGAGCTCCAAAGATCGGAATTCATGATGTATCAAGCCGTTTCTTCATTGCGTGGAGACTGAAAAAGATCCGCATGTTGCAATGTACGTCGAGATCGCAGCTGGACGAGCTTCATATTTAGGGATTGAAGACTATGTCGCACAGCATGAGTTGGTGCTCAGCCCCTCATTCGAAAAACTTTAAAGTCGTGTTGGTTCTTCCATAGGAATATTCGCTTGACTTTGCTTTGCTCGATGTGATTTGTCGAGTCAGGAGAAGGAGGGTTATGAGCGAATGTTCTTACACCTTCAGCGAGACTAAGCAGCCATACACCATTATAAAACCAACACGCAATCTTGTTTCATCATAAAATGCTACAAAAATGGGGGCCAATAAAGGAGTTGTAGTTTACCGCATTGTTTCCTAACACCCAGTACACACACAATGACTACATGTGGCGAGCCTTTCGTTGGGGTAAGAGCTTCGTCGTATTCTTGTGTCGCATTATTGAATGTTTACCTACCTACCCACGTTATGGTTCCCCAATATACACTGTCCTTATAGCTGGAATGCAGCCAAGTGAGAAAAACTTGATATGTACATTCTACATAATATTAGTAGTCAGTCTGGAGGCTTAAGTGATACCTGGGTACTCACCTGGTAGGTTGTGTTTGGCCCCCTACGGTTCATCCGTGTATTAATAATGATGTATGAGTCCCTACCTACCTAGTAGGTATACATACAGCCCAATTCAATTCCCTTGCTAAGGGGCGACAGGCTCGAAAATTCGTCTGACTGACCTCATACTTCATTACGGCATCTTGTCGGGTTGATGAGATGCCTATATTGACCTCCTCTTCGCCAACACTATATTTAGCATGTCACCTAGTGCTTTATGATAGGGGTATTTTCAGTACCATCCTCCCGAGTCATAAATACAACTGTTTTGTAAGAGTTCCATCAATTACATACCTGTATATATCTATGAAGAATGTGATTCTTTCAATAGGTCGTCCATGTCGATGTTTATCGGTGGTGATAACATACTACCTTCAATTTCAATCGTCAGCTTTAACTTTATCTTCGATCCTTTCGAGAAAATATGTTGGACTCGTGTGTGTGTTGGCCATTACTTTGACGACGTTGCTTCGCTGGTTACCTAGAAAGGCTATTGGCAATATGTCATCCGACCGTTTCCGATGCTTACAATCCTCACGCGTTTTGTTACCTAGTTGGAAACCTCCATCTTAAGAAATGTAATACGATGTAGATTTAATCAGCTTATTTTTGACGGCGCAACAATGTTTCGGGGCAGATTAAGTGCCACAATATCCATTCGGCTACACCGAGATTGCTGTTTCTGACAAATATGAAATGACACTGAAGACTCCTTTCTAGGTCAATGGACGATGTGGGAGAGACTCACTGAATCTTGCTATCAATCTTAATTCAAGGCCCCTATTGACCTTTAAATCAAGAGTAGAAAGGAGCCAATCGTCAAAGAAAATTCTCTCTTTAGTTACTGCATAATTCCTCAAAGATGTAGAAGTTGTTAACAATACCAGCTCAGCCCATCACACCGAGCAGTCTTACGGATGATGCCTCTGGAAGGTTTGAACAGGATCGCCCCGAGAGGTAAAGTAGAAGAAGATTAACGATTTATATTGATATATGTCAATATCACACCGGAAGTAACCATCATAAGAATGACATGCTTAAGATGGATTGGGTATGTTAAAACCGAGAGAGGTTTATGGTTGGCGAATAGAATGAATGTGAATTTGATACCAAGGGATATGATAGGAGGAAAGTCACTTGACCTCCCATCTCATAAAAAGGTACCTTGGTACATAACTTGAGCTATTGATAGAAAGTATCCAAGTACTAAAGTACCGATAAGGAATAGCCCTGGAGATAAGCGAAAGTGAAGGTACAGATATCCAGATGGAGCCCTGGAGAAGATGGAGGTACCTAGCGTGCTAGCTAGACCTTAACTGTAGCGTGTTTGAAGTTAACAGAATGCAACGCCGCAAACCGCAACCTCGCAACCTCGTTGATCCATGACAAGATTCTAGAATTCAAGAACTTTGAGACTACTTACTAAACTGTAACACCACTATAATAATCCATCGGCTGTTGAAGTCTTTGACTATATCCTCTTACTAATTCTCGGCGCATCGTCGTTAATCATCCCCTCGGTTCAATTACGTCGCTCAATGTGAGACGAGGCATGACTTCGTCGCGATGGGTGCCAGCGACTCCAAGCTAGTCTTCAAGAAGGGGATCTTTAGGTTATCAGAGGAGCGACACATACCTGCCGATGATCCCTATTGGACCTCCGTAAGTACTAATTTCCTATTCATCAATCCATCTTCTATAGAAACTAATTGTCTACAGTTTTGGGAGCTTCCCGAATCCTCTGAAGATATATTCAGCCTCTTTTCCCCTGCCGATATTCGTCGAACCCGCGATCGAGCTATCGAAAACCTAGAAACCCTTATACTCGCAGTAACATCTCGACTATTCATATTGCGACATCACCCCTCTTTCCCTGATCCCGAATTCGCACCAGAGCGTGATGCCCTAAACTGCATTCGCATCTTAACCCGTGTCCTGCCGTACCTTTACGAGGTAGATCACTTACAACGCTGGGAAGATAAATTCTTCTGGGGTTCTAGGAGGAAACGAACAAGACGGGCTGTTATTGCGAACGAAGTTCTTTTCGATGAAGCCCAGGAAGATGCAAAGCCACCTGCTGACGAGTTCGAGGAGGCCAAGCCGTTGGCGGAAGAGCTTATGGACACTCTCATCGACTTGTTGTTCTTCTCAGACTTAACAGTTCCTAAACAACCCCATGGCAAGCCAAAGGTCACATACGCCATTTGGCAAAGCGGAGTGGGTTGTAACACTGCTGTGCCTACGACTAAGGAATACGAGAGTAATCGATGCGAGATACTACGTCTGCTCTTGACCTTGACAAGCCAGAGCATGTACATGTCCCCTAACATACTACCAACCAAGGGCACCAAGGCTTTGACATATCTCTGCACATGTCCGGATAAGCAGGTCGTCTTGTCTGTGTTGTGTTCTCTTCTGAATACAGTAAGTTAATCTTGGAACAAATCTATCTAAGCCACCCCAGCGCTAACGACTCCAGACTTTAAAATACAATCCAGCGAGCTGGCGTGTGCCTTACAACACTTTGATGTTCAAGGATCCAAAGGAGATCCTTGTCACTTACACCCTTCAGTTCTTGCTCGTCGTTCTCCTTTACCCGATACCTGAGCCTGCCACCGGTTCTGCTCCGAAGAACTACTACCGCCATTTCCTCGGAAGACTACATCGTCCTCAAGATTTCCAGTTCATTGTCGACGGCATGACCCGAATACTGAACCAACCCATCCAAGCTAATATCTCGTATATCCCTGGAACACAATCTACGACTAGATTCTCTCCCGAGATCATCATGCTCTTTTGGGAGATTACTCAATGTAACAAACGATTCAGGTCTTTCATGATCGACACCCAACGAGCCCATGATTTTGTTATACTCATTTTGTTCTATGCCACTGAGTACAAGGCAGATGCTTCGAAGCAAGGCGTCGTGCGGATGTGTGCGTTCTTGTTACAGACGTTGAGTGTCGAGAAGAACTTTGGTGTTAATCTCAACAAACAATTCGAAGGACAAGATACCCTACCAGCTGTCATAAGAGTTCCCGGCTTCAAGGGCACATATGCCGACTTTCTAATACAGGTGAGTTCTTCTCAGATTGCCGAGGGATCTCATAGTTAACTCCCTTTAGTCAATCTACAACCTCATCACGAGAAGCCAGGGCAAACTTTCAGCTATATACCCAGCACTACTTGCTGTAATCAACAACATCGCTGCCTACGTGGAAGGCATCAATGGTACAACGTGTTCGAAGCTGCTACAACTATACAACTCGATGTCGTCCCCTTCGTTTCTTCTTGCCAACGACAGCAACCACGATCTCCTAAGATCGCTCTTAGAATCGATGAATGCCATTATTGAGCACCAATATAAGAGTAAGCGCCTGTCAAGTTATGATTCTTGGATTCTTTTAACATCGAAACAGAGAACGCCCACTTTGTCTACTTGATCTTGAAGAACAAGAAATACTTTGAGGCCCTGCGATCCTTCACGCTTGAAAGTGGACAGGCAGAACTTGAACGACGGAACCGTCAAAGGAAGGAAAACGGGCAACCGTTAGATCCATTCGATAATGGCTCCCGGCGAAGTTCGGCCGAAAGTCTGCGTAGCCCTACAGTGACACAGCCAAGAACACCTACACTTAGCAATGTGCCGGAAGAGGATACGACATTTGCCATTGGCGATGAAGAGGATGACAGCGATGATGATGATGACGACCGACCAACTCCAGCGCAGTCAAGCCCAAGCGAGAACCCCTCCCGGGCTTCTTCTGTTGCCGACGTGGAAGATGCGGTACCGACACAATTAAGAGGAATGTCGGAGAAGGCTCGGGGAAAGATGCCAGCAGGTGTAGGAACATTCTCCAGGCAAAATAGCACCACTAGTCTTGGTAGCTATTCAGCAGCTGGGCAGTCTATGGTGGCTATGTTTGAGCCTTCAGCAGACTGGATCGAAAGCTGGCTTCCGGAACTTCCCCTCCACACAATACTCACTGTCATCCAGCAATTGACAGCATTAATCAATCGCCAAGGTCTGACGGCGGACGTTCCATCGTCTGCGACACTGAAGGCCATCCAGGAAGCCGACTTGGTTGCGGTTGAGCCTTCTCCGGTCAGAGTACATTCTTTCGAATGGTCACCGCTTGCGTTGGGTTGGTACGAGTCGTTGGTTTGGAGTTTTGTATTTGCCAGCGAAATGCAGGTCGCAAGGGGCACTGTCGGCGTTTGGAATGGAACGTCAATCAAGCTATTTAAGGTGCAGGAAACGGCAGCTCAGGGTCCAACCCTGACATCGCCCCGGGGAGCGGTGGACGCCGTGGGTAGTAATATCGTGTCGAGGATCGGGTCTATTAATCTACGAGGCGGACCCGCATCTCCGGCTTCTCCTGGATTACCGCCACAACGTGGCACATAGTATGCGTCGTTAGGGCGCTAAAGAGTGAATTAATCAAGCAATGTACGCAGTACAGAGCACATATCCATCATACTGTACGGTGATATGGACCCAAGCGGGTGTTGGTTTAGTCTTGAGTTCGTGTCACTTGTCTGGAAAGGAACTCAAATGCATAGCCTGTTTAGTCCTAAGTCGCCGAAATTGACAGCTCATTTGTCACGGATTGTCTTTATGGTTGTTGAACTGGAATAGTCTCATACTATAAGCTGTATGTACCCGAGGTCCGGAAGTTGATCGAGCGTAGGTATTCAAGGACAGGGGTAGCTACACAATAATCCGGAGATCACACGAGACTTGGAGTCAAATATGCATGTCTCATTCGTGAAAGTAGCAAAGAGGAACTTATGACCTTGATCCTTACCTAGCCTCTATGCCCGTTGACAATATAAACCGGACTGTCTGATTGGTGTTGGCTCAGGATCGCTTTGTCCGGAAAGGCGGTCCGGAGCGTCCTAAAATGGTAACATCTCGAACTCTTCACTTGAGAATTTCCGGCCTTCTGCCGACCTTCTACCGATAGAACTCAAGGGTATGAGGAGGTAGGCAAGGGTGATAGATAATATGAGGTTTGATAGATATAAAGTTTAAATATAATATGAATCTCAATCGTATACTGCATGGCACAAGTAGAAAGATCACCGAAAACTAGAAATTCTTGCAATCAAGAAGAGAAAATCCGCCACCATGTCGGCGACCCAGACGCAGACCCAAAGCACCCCCACCGAAACCGGGTCTCTCTCCATCACCGAGCTACGTCAGCTCCCTTCCAAAGACGCGGAGGCAGTACCGGTAGATGAAACCCCGGCCTCAACCGAAATCATCCAGAGCGAGCCCGCCACCACCCCGGTTCTCAAGCTGGTCGTAGCCGGGTACTCGTTCTTCTGCGCCGGTGTCAACGACGGCACGTTGGGACCCCTGATCCCGTATATCCTATCCAGCTTCGGCATCGGCACGGGCGAGATTGCTATCATGTAGGTAACCTACTTGCTTACTTACCTACCTACAAGCCTACCTTAACAACTTACCTGCCTACGTACTAAACCCACCCAGCTACGCCACAACCTTCACCGGGTGGCTCCTCGCCGCGCTCACCAACCCCATCATCAGCGCACACCTCACCCTCGGGCAGCTTCTCCTCAGCGGCGCGCTCCTCCAACTCCTCGCACATATCCTGCGCGCGCGGGGTCCCTTCCCGCTCTTCTGCGCCGCCTTCGTTTTGCAGGCTGCGGGCATGGCGTTCCAGGACGCGCATAGCAATGCCTTTGTCAGCGGGCTGAGAAACGTGCCGTATCGCTGGTTAGGGTTTATTCATGCGTGCTATGCGCTGGGACTGTTTGTTGGTCCGCTTGTTGGGACGGGGGTCGCTACGGTGGGAAATGGGGATGGGGAAGGGGAGGGGTGGAGGAGGGTGTATTTTGTGCTGGTTGGGATTTGTGTACTTAATGTCTTTGGCGTGATCGTTGCGTTTGGAGATACGCTTTGGGGGAGAGCGAGTCCTGGGGGGAGTGGCGGGGCGGAGATGCGGAATCGGGAGGCTGTGAGGGGGATGTTGCGGATTTTGAGGACGAGGACGTTTTGGCTGTTGAGCCTGTTTTACTTCTTCACTTTGGGCGCGGGGATGACTGCTGGTGGGTGGGTGGTTGAGTTCTTGACGACCGTTCGCGGCGGCGAGCTCTCTTCTATTGGGTACGTGCCTACGGGCATGTACGGGGGCATGCTAGCTGGTCGCTTGCTGTTAGCTGAGCCTACGTTTCGGTACGGCGAGCAGCGCATGCTGCTTGTGTACAGCGCGCTGTGCGTCGTGCTGCAGCTGGTGTTTTGGCTGCAGCCGAATATCGTGGGGAGTGCGGTGGCGCTGAGTTTCATCGGCTTCTTCACCGGACCCTTTTTCGCCACTGTAGGTTGCTTTTTTGAAAAGCATTTCGCTTCTCGTAGTGCCGAATTATGGTCTTTCAAACGCTGACATGTTCTCGTTCTAGGGCATGTCCGTCGCCTCCAAGCTGTTCACTCGAGAGGACCAACCTGCGGCGCTAGGTAAGAATTCAGATCATATCTTAACTACCCGTGCTGTCCGAAAATTAACGAATCTGTTCTTAGGATTGATCTTCGTCATAGCGCAAGCCGGAGGCGCTATCTTCCCATCTGTGACTGGTCTAATAGCGACGAGAGCCGGTGTGGCTGTTTTGCAACCTATCGTATTGGCGCTCTTCGTTGCCGGTGGGATAAGCTGGTGGCTTGTCCCAAAGGTACCACAGCGGGATGAATAGGAGTATCTCTATTAACTCCGTAGACACACCGGTGCGTAAGATGCGCCATGAAGCCCCAAGAAGTCTCGGTGAGTATATTGGGTCGATCGGACCAATCAAATCATACCGACTCGGAATTTTCCAACCAACTCTCAATACTTAATGGGTGTCGTACGAGAACTTCACTGCTTCCAATATTTAAATCAATATGCACGCAATATTCAAAGTCTCGATCGTCGAAGTATTGAAGTAGGCCCCATCGTGACAAATTGAAATGGATGTTTAAGGGATTAAGGGGCAGAATCCACCATTAGCCTATCGCTTTTAGCAGCTGCCGACAGCTGCCGAAGTTCACCCGCCTTCCAGCCCTAGAATATAAATTGCCGAAAATTTTCTGCGCTAGATTTTTCTCTCTACAACAACGACCAAGGAACTCAAGTCACTATGAATCGGAGATATCAAGCGACGCCCATTTCGAAACGATAATACTTTCGGTATTTCGATTAAATTTGTCGCAAATTGTCGATTGCGCAGGAAATATGAGGTTGACAATAATGGTAGGTAGGAGGGCCTGTTGCGAGATATCACGGTTTCATGGAGATGGAGTCTGCAAGTCTATTTGAGGAAGGACATGGAAAACCTATTGGTCATTATCAACAGCTTCGAATTATGCTAGAGCTTGCCGTTTTGATTCACAAACAGCGTGCAAGTGTGGACAGTGAAGCAAGATTAAAATCCGCGTCGATTCATTGAGTCGGCGTTCCGCAAGTACCTGATTGCATCCAGCATATTCTAGATGGGATGAAGCTTGGTGCTTGCTGGAGAAATTCTTTCAAGTTTATAGTTCAATAGTCAATGCAGAAATATCTAAGACATATCTACTTAGGCATGTATCAGGTCTTGTTTGGCAGAGCTCGAAGTGATTGGATTGCGATTTAGGCACTAATGACAGTATAGCACTTTCAACCTATCCACATCCCTCATCTATATTTTGCTTTCGTTCGGTGGCCTGGGTTGTCAGCAAAGAACATATTCGAAGCAAACTCGGGCTTACAAGGTCTACTTACTCACTTGAAGTTATTCTTCATTGTCCGTAGTGCATCCATCACATCAATAGGATCCGTCTTGCCGGCAGCCTTTTGGACCACGGGGTCCTACGGAAGAGAGGGTCAGCTTTATCGCCGAGTTATTCGTGAGCTTCAGTAAACTTGAATTACTTACCTCTACTCGCATGAATACGTTATGCAGCTATGCCATGTCTATTAGCTTTGGAACTTCAACTGTAGTCATGGATGATATCCTTTACCTTCTCATCCCCGATCGTGAACTTCCCTTGCGTCTCTTGGTTGTTCTCGGCGAATGTTTGTAACTTCTCGGTCGCCTCGGTTTGTAATATCGAGATGCCGAACTTGATGTTGGATTTCGTGTACTCGTGGCCAGGCTATCCAATCTTAGTTCGGGCTCATAATATAAAGAGTAAGGTTTCTCAGTAGTAAACACTTACATAGACCTTAGTATCTTCCGGGAGAGAGGCTAATGTCTTGTTCAAGGCAACATTCATCTCTGCCGCGGTGCCTTCAAAGAACCGTCCACAACCTAGGACTCATCAGCTATCTTCTCACAGATTCCTATACATATCGGGGTACTATGAAATACGCACCGGCGTGGAATAGGGTATCGCCAGTGAAGACCGCCTTATCATCTCCATCTTGCACGAACCAGCAGATACTGTCTTGTGTGTGACACGGGGTATAAAGGCCCTTCACGGCAATGCTACCGAGCTTGAATCCTTCGCCGTTGGCGGGGGTCTGGGTGACACTCTGACAGTCCTTACCCCCGATAATGGGCAGGTTCGGAGTGCCCAAATCGCTCCGCTATCAAACGTCTGAGTCAGAATCCTACATAGAAGAGGAGGAATAAAGCAGGTATTATCAGGCATATGTGGACGGGGTAGACTAACGATCTGATCATTCCCACCCGCGTGATCCCAATGGCTTGAAACGGTATCAGCGCCGAGTAAGTCGGTAGTGGTGGTATGGAGATATGCTCACTGATGTGTGTTCACAATAGCCGTGAGATTGATCTTGCCACTCGCTATGGCTTCCTTTAAGATGGGCGTAACCCTGTCGCCAAGCAGTTAGATGGTCATAAAACATCATAGCTATCTTTCATGAGTCTCGACTTACTCTTCGGGATTTGCGGGATCGACGACAACGGCATCCTTGGACTTATCGTCAATGAGCAGGTAGGCATAGTTGTCGTGGCCCCCCGTCCCTACAAAGTCTCAGTTTGAAACGATTTCCCAAGTTGCTACCCACCAACTAGGTATTTTATATGAATATTTAGTATGACTTACACATGGGAATTGATTGGATATGCATTGCGCGGGATCTCGTAAGCTATAGCGGAGTTAGTACTGAGCACCTTGATGGCAAACCACCATGTAGAAAGCTTACAGCTGTTGTCAAGGTGCCTATTCTTCGGGTAGTAAATATAGGTCTTGCTCTCGCAATGTAATTCATAAGGTAATATGTGATTAAGATTGTAGGCGATAATGATTGTGAAATAACAATACCCCGATTTCGTGATGCAACTATACTCCGAAGCCTCCTCCCGCTTACAAACGCATTCGGTATTCCGAATACCAAGACGCCGACGGCAATTTCCATGACGTATATTCCGATCAGACGGCCTGTTACATCTGGCGGCCAGCTGTTGAATAGCTAAGCTCTCATTACCCGACCTATCAGATTGCTTGAATTTGTCATAGTGAGGAATACCATTTAAATATTCAAATAAATATGTAGATTTCGATAAAATATTCAATATCGTTGATATTAGCTATCAAGTTAAATAGAAATTGTTGAATTTATATCAACTTCGTAGGTTAAGGTGAAAAGAGTCTAGAAATTTATCGTGAATTGACTCAAGTCTACAATCGAAGCTCTACCCCTAAATTACTTATTCCCTGCAGATACCTATATAATAATATGGTATATCACATCAACTTGACCATTTGGCCATAAACTATATATTCACCTACCCATTTGATATAGCAAGAGTAATTCCGCTTCAATATAGCCTCACTCATATCCTAAAACAGGATAGACAACTGTCAACTCAGGAGATAAGCCGACTAGTTCTCACAATATGTACTCAGCCAAATAAATCGGCGTCTACACATACCAAAATGGTATCATAAAAGTGTATTTCCACTATCTTCAAACAACACCAATCGGCCTCGGCTTCCAAGCCCCCTCATACCTCGTCCACCCCTTCGCCTGAGTCATCGATACCTCATTCCGTTCCTCAGCAGCTTCACACACAGGCTCACCAACATCCATAGCATCAAGCTCGCCATCCTGCATCTGCAATTCCGCCCTCACAGTCTCCAAGTCCCTCGTCTTCGACACACGCTCCGCATCACCCGACTCGGACGAAAACCCACCATCAAGTATCTCCCGCGACAACCGTATCGAGCGGGAGATAATCCTAGGGTCCTCAGACGAATCCCCTATCTCAGCCAGACTCCTTAACAGAACCGCCTCATCCCAGCGCTTCAACTGCCCATGGATCTCCGTCCTCTTCACCCTCTCCTCTTCTCCAAGATACCTCAACACCAACTCCCGGCGCACATCCGGCTTCTCCTCAGCCGCATCAGGACCACCTGGCAAGTCCTTCCAGTAGTACTCCCAAATCCAGACAAGGGCCTTGCGGGCCGCGGCGCGGAGCTTCGACAGCGAGGGCAGCTGCTCGTGGGTAGCCTGGTGGCGCAGCTCGACGAAGGTCGCCGGCAGGCCGATGGTCTTGGCCACGGCGTACATGCTCATCTTGCGCTGCTTGTCCTGCTGTCCATCTAACAAACCGGTGACGAAGCTATAATTAGACGTGCCCGTCGTTAGCTGGGGAGTGGTTCGATTGCCATATCATATCACGCTGCGCCGTATCCCGGCGACGAAGATGCGGGGGGCTCAGCCATCCGCGACACGAGATGGGTCGGTACGCGACCCTGGTATATAGCCACGACGTGTCTCTGAAAGGTTTGGGACTGGGTAACCCGGGGTTGACGAGGGAATGGCTTGGGTCTCGCGACCGAGGGCCGTGGAAATGGAAAGGGTGGCTAATACGTACCGACTGAAGGCGGCCGAGTAAGCGGCTCGGAGGGCGTAGGACGAGGAGTTGGCCCGGGCCCTGGTCTCGTGGAGATCGCTAAGGATGGCTGCCATCAGGAGGGCCGTCGACTCGACCAAGTGGGGACAGTTGCCGCGTTGCATCCACATCGAGACACGCGACACGGCGTGTTGCTTTGCCGCCTCCTCTTTTACTATTTCCTCGTCGTTCCTTTCACCATCATCTCCGTCATCGCCGACATCCTGGTTGTGTTGAGGATCACCGGTAGATGATGACGGATAGAATTGTTCTCGAACCCTCAATAGCTCAGCGCGGTCCCGCCATGGCGTGTGTAGATATTGAACCATTACGGTCCAGATGATTATAAACGGCAAGGCCGACCTGCCGAGATTGATTTAACGGCTTAAATGATAGTTGTTTCCAAGGTCGCGTGTAATTTAACTCCTCGTGGCCTCTGGGATGATTTTGACTAATGAATGGCGTTCTTGAATCTTGAAATCCATGGAAGAAAATTGCAAGGTCCCGTTAGAGGCCCCACGGAAAAGTACTCGGCCCCGCTAACTAAAAGACGCCAATTTCAGAGTACCTATCGCTTTATGCACTAACACACTAATATCCGTGACCACAGCTTGAATGAGTCTTGCTAGTCGTTGAGATTTTCAACGTACGCCTCCCGTTCGAGCTAACATTTTAAGATCTTAGGTAATAACTAAACATGGATCTTAAAAGTAAGGGATTTCTCTTCAAATTCCACACCATTGATGGATACCTCTTGAAGTCCCTAGTATGAATGAGAAAATCTCTTTGTGATTGGAAAGGATCAAGTGAAAGGTGCTACTGCCTACAGCGTAGTAACGAAAACGAGAAATTAGAATAGCTGCGACTTCGTAGTATCCACTTACTTTTTCGATGTCATACCCATTAGGTACTTACCTACTAGGTATAGACCTTGACAACTTCACAGTATCGGCTATGCGTCAAGATTGGGGATAAGAAGATTCCGAGAGAAGTCGAGTATTATCCGAATAATCCGTAAGTCAACTGAACGGTTATGGTTTTGCATCCAGCCTTATGAACCTTCTCGGTTATCCTATTGTGGTTTTCGGCTTGCCAGTTCAATTCACTGATCGTCGACGATATATAACTCGTAGTGGCGATATTTTCTTACTAATATTGAACCAATATTGAACGTGACGACAGTACCTAGTAGCATTCGGGACGTTGGGAATCAACATGTTAACCAGATCAGGCTTGCGAATCCGGGCGTTGAGCTCCTTCTTGCCTCAACACCGAGGAAGAGAGGGGCTTGGTATAGCTTAGGTGCCGATGTCTTCTTACATAATTTGCGAAAAGTAGTGGTAACTAGCGAGCGGTTATGGCTTTTTCCTGTGCTGCCAACTCAGGTATACATTCGATGCATAAGGTACACACATATGGGTGGCGAAGGGAAGAATTAAACGATGCAACTGGATGCGGCATATGGTTCGGTGTAGTGTCGAAGTAGTATTGAAGGGGAAGTTTAAAAAATATTATTATTATCTGATGGAGGGGTCGATGGGTACGGGTACGGGTACGTGGGGTTCCTATATCGATAATTGCTAATATGTAATTCAAACACACCTGGCGCCGACGTAAGCGACTTAAAAAGTGCAAGCGCAAGTGCAGGTGCAAGTCTCAAATCCAGCAAGAGCCGAAATATTGATGCCGAAAGAGAAACCTTGGAACCTTGTAATTTTCTTTTCGCAAAGCCACGAATCTTACACTCTGGAACTTCGGATTTCATTTGATTTGTTTGCTGCTAGGCAGCCATGTAACAATGTGATAGACAAGCTGGCAAGTCAACTATCATGGAAATGTATGTATATGAAAAATATGATTTCTGTATTATTAATGTCTAATAACAAGCTTCTTATTTTTTCCTCCCATCCTGTAAACACCTTGCCAATTTAAGATAGCTAACTTACTAGTTAGGTTGGTACATATTATTTCGTATATTTCGCATCGATGTTACAATGAATGTACGTAGTATATTCATTCGGCGACTAGCTGCCATGGGTAGCCTAGCTGTGTTCGCGGTTATAAACGAGGAGACTAAACAGCAGAAACTTCTACCCAGCAACCCCTAGGTTAACCGTAATCATATCTCGTGATGGATTTTGAGGCTTGGGAGGTTTGCGTGGTTTGCGTAAGAAAGATTGCTTGGCTCGTCAAGCTCTAAGTGGTTAGTACCTTATTTATTAAGTATTATGTATAATATGGATAGTGTGTGGATAATAGGCGTAAGTACGTATCCATCATGATCCAGCCCATCCACTACGAAAAAAAAAAAAAGAAGGGGAAAAAAAAAGACCACAAATATTCCAACATGCATGGAAAGGCTCTTAGACTGCTAGAGTGACATGTGACGCAAGCGTTGCTGCAGGGTGCCAGATCCACAGCTCCGCCTATGTGCCCCACTTGGATCTAAGCAGTGGGGTAAAATCCACATGGGACCGTCTCGGGTCAGGGCGTGGGTATGCGCTAGGGCTCTTAGCACGGAAGGAAAGAGACGTAGCTACGTACCCTTTCCTGCAATGTCTGCAATGTCTGCAATGTGCGCGTCGGTTTTGCGGTTTTGACGCAGAGCCCCAAATAGAACGTTGGAGATCCCTGCCTGGGGACCCGCTTGGTCTGAGCTTTTTAATCCTCCCCCTGCTCCCCTGCACATCGACAAACGTAAATTTGGTCTAGCCTACCAGAAGAAGCCCAGGTTCCTAGATCCTTAAAGGTACGAAGCTACTTTGATATATTACGAGGTACGTACCTCCAACATCGTGATGAATCCTGAAGATGAGTTGGATGAATCAGTTGAGTCAAGAATGAAGCAACTGTCTGTACTTTGGAACTTGGTTCTTTGTACCTCTTCTAGCGCTATCAAATATAACATTTCACAAATTGTATACATACACATTTTCACGTTTCACGCTTGCAGTTGAAATTTGTAGTTGAGTAAAATTCCCAAATGGTATTTTCTTGATTTTTTTGAGCAGATCAAAGGCTGCGTGTTCTGTGCACGCTAGACCTTGACCCAAATATCAAGTAGTTTCTATGATAATCTCCTCTCTATGCTGTGCATAATTCCCCTGACACAGGTAGTCTTCATAGGCTCCAATTAGTCTTCCATACACCCAGATATAGCAGTGTAAACGATTGTCCTGGAAAACATTGCTGAACTAAATCCAGTTCTGTTCGGCCGCGGCTGACTCTGTTGCCTTGTCCTTCTCTTCTTCTTTCCCCTCTTCTGCTTCCTCTTCCTCCTCATCACCCTCACCATCCTCATCGTCTGTTGCTGGTGGCTCCCAAGCTTCCTCTAGTTTCCATCCCTGTCCTCTCCTGTAGGTTGTTCCTAATAATTGAGATGTGGTTGTTCGATAGTTGTCTAGTCCTGGGTCCATTTCCGTCTTTGGTGGATCATATAAACCCATCCCCACCAATATTTCCCCCTCTTCCTCCTCTGATTCTTCAAGTGGCTGGTACGGTATCGACTCCTCAGGAGTGACCGTTGGTTCTGGTTGCTGAGCGACCTGGAACTCGTCCGGCGTTGGAGGTGCCGTGCAAACGTTAAATCCATGAGCAGCAAGGCTGTCGCCCCAGTTAAACGGAATTTGGTTTGTGAATGATGGGAAAGGTTCCATTTCTCCAGAGTTACAGTTCGTTGCGTAAGAGTTGGTGTCGAATTGCGGCGTAGAATTCCACGCCTCTTGTGAGATGTAAGTCGGCATGGTTTGCGGTTGAGAAGATGCTGCGTATGGTAGACATAGTGGAGACATGGAGGATATAGGTGAAGTCTGTCCAGAGTAAACCGCGGGGGTTGGAGGTAAGTTATGGTAACCAGAGTAAATATCTGGTTGGTGGTATGCCATCGGTGCCGGGACGATGTATTGTGAGAAGTCTTGCTGTGGCATAGGTATATGCATATGTGGTTGTTGAATATGTGAGCTTGGGTGCCAGCTGACTGGCCGGTTACTCCTCTTGATGGGGTCTTCAACGGGTGCCGAATAGGATGTGTAGTCTTGCATCTGCTGCATAACGGCCTGGTCCAAAACTTGTTGCCGTCGACGGGCGAGGTTATTGTCGTTCATCATTGTCCTCCGGCGTGCCATCATGGCTTGCGGGCTGTTACTAGCACTGCTAGGTTTTACAACACGCATGTTGTTTTGAGGTCGTTGCCCGGCCGAACCACGAGATATCCTACGCATCGAATCTGACATAGCGAGCTGCCGTGATAGTTCCGCAAAAGTTGGATCCGAGGCAAAGTTCTGAGAAGGTACGTGGGGCATGTTTGCCCCTAAGAGAGTGGGCATCATCTTGATGAGGTGTTGTATAGAGAGGTTGATAGAGGTGAGAAGGTAGTTGAAGAGTCAAGGTCCCATGTGAGTGAACATGAGGTGGGAGGTCGACTAGATAAAATATGAAGTTTGCTCAAAGATCAACTTAGGCTACTTAGTCTAAGAATGTAGTATGATGAGAAAGGCAAGGGTTCATTATTAAAAAGGATAAATCAAACTAAAAGCGTGGGGAGAGTTGCTATGTGAGATGGTATACGGGATGGATATATTGGGGCGGTAGGGCCGAGAAACAATACCTACTTAGAGACATGGTCCGGTTTGGCATGTGTATGTTATGTATGCATGTAAAGTGCGTGTCTGCGCATATCTGCTTCACTTGTATGACGGTTCCCGCCTAGTTGTTTTATTTTTTATTCCTGCGTCATATGGTTCCGGCAGGGATCTGGTCGGTCTAAAAAGGGATCCTTCATTGTGTTGATAAACCGGGGACGGGCGGACGGTGATGGCAACGTTGGCGTGTAAGTGTACTAGACTAGGTTGTCTACTAGGTAGGTTGTAAAGTCTTTGACTTGCCTATTGCTTGCTGCAAGGTATATTCCAAGTGGGTGGGCGGTCAAAGGAACGGGTTTCGACTACGAACGACGTCTACTGCGTAAAAGGGACAAAGGTACTACGCGCCTGAAGCAGTAATCCTTGGCCCCCATCGCCTTACCATTTCCGTGTTGTCGCTCTGCGGTGTGGAAGGGAAGGGGTATGTTAGAGAAGAGGGGGGGTGTGTGGATTTGTAGAACATGAGCAGAAATTGACGGAAGGGTGCGTTGGAATAAGGAAAGGATGTGTGCTTATCCTAGCGTCGGTAGGAAGGCTTTTGCTTGACGATTGTCATTGATAGGCTCAATACATCGTTGTGTCCAGGGGGTGGGTGTGTATGTGGTGTATGTGTGCGGATGTCAGACGGCAAAAGGGGGCGTGCCAGTTCATTAATCGCCTTTACTACATAGTAGAGGGCAACTGACTACAAGGATCTAAAGACCATGAACCTTACAGAGGAGTTAACCGTTCCGGTAAGATCCAACAGATGCTTCTTCGAATCCAAGGCGGTTCCATCGGTAAGGTAACCCTGGACAGCGTCAATATGACTGGCTCGATAATAACATTACATACACGTACTGTACTGCGTTATGCTGACCCCTGCAAGAGAGGGTTGTTGCCGACGGAGAGCACGAAGGCGATGCTAGTCGAACCCGAGGGGTCATTAAATTATCACGACTACGTACTCCATAGCCGCTTTATTACTATTAGCCTGCGGCGTGTGGATCATTCCCATGCAGGTGGTCCATGGGCATGGACCTCGACGCAGACCAGGCTTCCTAGCTTCTTAACCCAGGCCTCAAAATTGGCTACCGCGCCAAGACATGAAACGCTTTTCTTAGGGAAAAAAAAATAGGGGGTGAGATTTGGCGGAATGTGGGGGGGAGTGGATGAAGGGGAATTGATGTTTGCACTTGGACGTAGTTTGGTGATGAACATACATTTTTACCATTCGTAACCACACCCATAGTGTATCTTAATCAAGCTAGACCCTTCCTTTCCTTTATTTTCATTCCCTTGTACTAGGTATTTGATATCGAACTAAGCAACGAATTAGCGTTGTTAGCTTAGATGTTATTTTCTAAGTTCAACCTGGGGGTTTTCGCCCCCTTGAGTTTTCGCTCCCTGGCTCAAAGGCTTAACTGTTTTGGGTATGGTCTGGTCAATCTGGGTATAGCGCGGTACATTGTAAAGTTTAAAGACGAATCACTAAGCTCTAATTGGTTGAGAGGTTTTCGACTGCCATTCTGAGAATAACTCTTTGAAATGAGCCAATTGAGCTATGCCACTAGATCCAGTTGGGATTAGCCTCCTTTTGAACCGTGTATGACACTAATTCGGATCGGGCTTAATCCTGGCCAATATGGAGTTTTTCATTGGTTACTAAAAATGGGTCAATTAAAACACACGTTTTCATTGGTTAAAAAGGAGCTTCTCAATCGACAAGGAGTTTTGATTGGTTAAAAGATCAAGAAGAAATACATCAAGTTCATATTTGAAAAAGTGGTCCGTGGGGAAATAATTGTATCTGATTGGTCAGAAATACCCACTTTTGACCAGGGAGCGAAAACTCAAGGGGGCCAAAACCCCCCCATTGAACTTACCCCTTCACATCCACGAGGGCATATCCCAACCTGCACTTGACATCTTATTGGCCGTAAATCGTGACGGATAATATACACAAAGATTCTTATATAAAACAAGGGTCTTTGTGATATTTTAGTATTACATATTATGTCTCTTTGAAGATCGATACTTTGATGCATGTGTAGGTAGATAATCGCCTTTTGTAAGTTTCGACGATATTGCGTATTAGTAGCTTGCGTACAAGGGATAAGGACATTTTCGCATGTACATACTATATTGTAGTATAGTATTACTCGTAGGCGAAGCAAGCATCGCTAGTTTTATTATTGACTTGACCCAGATCGTACCTGTGATGGTTGGATTTTGAATCCATCTAAATGGACTAACTTCGGGACGATGATTGGATCTAAATTGTCATTCTTTGCGAGCAAGGTTCATTAGCATTAGCATTCATACATGCCTACATGTACTTAATGTACGCACTAAATGATGCATGTATCTATGTATTTCATTATAATATCAGACGTAAAACCCGCTTGGCCATGCGTAGTTGGTAGGAGGTAGGGGACGTTTCCGGTGGCCTCCCATGCGTGTGCTCCAGTTGTCCTTGCCTTCCTTATGAAGCGCTCCCCTTAGACCACTAAAGGAACATTATTGAACTTAGCATACCCAAATACCTAAGTACAGTAGCATTTGCAGGGACACCCGACGTACTTAGGTACACCATCTATTACACCGCGCCTCTTTTTTTTTTCGATGGGCAGGATGGGCCGTTGCACCTTATTGCATAGTACATGTATGGTATCGTGTAAGTAAAGTAATATCTATAACTTGCTCCTTACATGTACAATATCCGGAATATCATGCAGCTTGAGCCTTGAGCCTTGAGTCTTTCGCTAAAACGATATCTTGCAAAGTATTGAAACTCCACCGCATCAATTTGCTCGCGATGGCTTTATTGTTTTTCGAACGCCATATTGTTGGTATTTTCTTAGTATTACGATAATTCTTTTTTAGTGTCATTTACATGTTTAATGCTGCATAGGAACGACGCCTTGATAATCTAGTTTCTTTTATTATTTGACCATTTGTAATAGGTATAAAATGAAGAGACTAAGACAATCTTGATTAGTTCATTGCTTCCAGCTACCTAGATAATGAGATACTTCGGTACTTTGAAATGGATCGGTTACATCAAGTTTCATGGATCTAAGCTTCAGCTGTTTATCCACCCCTCCTGCCCTCAAAGATTATTGTGGGTAAGAAAGCTACTAGGTAGGTGCTAGGTAATGGATGTTGTGGATGCCACTGGGTGGAATTTCTTAATCTTTCTTAATCTCAAACATCAACAACTTCTAAGTCTGTCGACTCAGTCAGTGCACACATCCGTAATCCATAATCCGCTCACTCCGCAAATCGCACATGGGTTACTATTATGGGTGATCTAAAAGTGCCCACGGAAAATAATATTTAGCAATGCAGATCACAGCGCCCTTGAACATAATTCGGTTGGCTCCTGGGCTATTGGGGTATTACCTGGAACCTATTAATACCCTATTGATACCTAGTACGCGGCCTTCTAGGGAGTAAGGAGTAGGGAGTATTAGTGGCTATGAGCTAGGACTACAGCACAGTCACACTTGTATCCGACACAACAGCCGTGGCTGGCTGCATCTGTTTTATTCTTATGTCGGTAAAGGACATTCTTTGCCGCTCGGTACAGGTTGGATCGATCCGAACCATCGCGATAATACATGATGGTGTTGTCAGGGCTCAGTAAGGATCGCAAGGTCGCGAAGTACGACCGCGGTTTCGTGGTTTTGTGTACATGCACGAAGTACTCAGCCACCGATCATCATATTTCAAGGTCCTTCTTAGCCTCTTGTCCGAAAGTCGAAAGTCAAATGTGTATTGTCGATAATACATGATATGCGTAAGTAGCGCGCAGAATGAAACCCTCCATGCCTGGAGCCGTTAGCTCAAGGCCCCAAACAGGTGGAAAAGATCCTAGTTTCCAAAGAAACAAGCTGCCCAATCTGCCAATCTACCATTCAACCCATCACCCATCTACCAATTTCCTTCCATCGACGAAGCGTCTGCCGGTCTTGCTATGTGTTATGTATTATGAGTTACAACGCAACATGTCTCGACCAACCAAATCTCTTCCAAGGATTCAACCCGGGATTGCTGATGCTGGGTCTTACATACGATTCACGAGTTTCGATCAACCAATGCGTACATAGTAGGTATATGTACGCAGTACACCTTCCCGGCACGGACAAAGCATCATCGTCATCTAAGATAGGATTTGGACGTCGCACAAGGCGTAAAGGGTAAAAGAGTTCCTTAAACAAGTTCCAATCTTCCAATCTTCCAAGCTTCCAATATCAAGGCGGTGGGACTACGGCAATTCACCATACATCCGCACGTCCATACATCCATATCCCTCGGTCAGCAACGCTATTCCCTATTAAAAAGAAGGAACCCCCGTCCAACGTCGCGGGCATGGATGACATTGATCAAGACCGATGCAAGCACTCTGCGAGTCAGAGATCGTGATTTTACCATTTGCGCAGTCCCACACCAAGAACCTTACCAAGCCCACCCTCCCTGGAGCGCGGTCATCCAGTCGCCCGTTTTGACGAAACCACACATAGCTTACCTGCAGGCTACTGTTTCGTGGCGGGATGGAGATGGGGATGGGGAATAAAAGGCTCTGCATTCTAGGTTGCAAGTCACATTTATTAGTCGAAGCCCACGAGATTAAAAAGAGCCTCGGTGAAACTAGACCCATATGTGGCCTTATGCATGTGTCGAGCCGGGCGACCAAATAAAACAAAAATAAACCATCACATGAGATGGGATACATAAAGGCTGAACTTGGTGATATTTTCCCTTTATCGTATCGAACTGGAATACATACACAGCTATGTACATACATACATACCTAACCCGAGATCCCTTAGGAAGGGCAAGGTGGTACTATTGTAACTACGACCCCTTGGGAGCTCCGAACCGAACCGATTTTGACATCCGCGTTTTAGTGTATTGAGCGCTGAGTTAGTGGGATCGTGTAATAGCTAAAGCCAGTTGGACTCCGATAGCAGCTCCACTGAACTTTAGTGTAGCAGTGTATCAGTGTAGTATTTAGCAGCCAGCCAACTCTTGCCAAGTGACGATCATGGCAACGCCGTCAGGTCTTCAGGGTCTCGATAGGGTTTCCACTTAATTATTCAAGCGTGGTTACGTTGCCAACTGAGTGGTCCAACTACCTAAGGTAAGCCCGGAGGCGATCTGTGCGGCCGAATTGCAGTCCCAAAGCCTCGAACGGTTCCCTCGTGCCGTCTACTGCCGCTAATCGTCAGCTGTGTGGGCTTCGACCGGGGGCGGCGCTAATCCAGTTTTCATAAATTTCTGTTCGACCTGTGGCGCTGCACTCAGGGGGCCTTACAGCGTAGCTGCGTACCGGTAGGCACCTGCTATGTAAGGTTCGAGAGAGGCGTTCACTGTTCAGGGTTGTGCAGCATGCATTTTCTCCATCGTAAAGGGCCAACTCCACCATCGTCATCGTCACGATTCAATATGACCGGTCGATGTCGGTGCTTAAAGCACCCATCCTGCCCGTCCCTTGCCCATCCAGTCCATCCCACCACACAAGAATGTCAGGTACGTACATGTTGATCCTCGTGCCACGCTTACCACGGGAGTCAGATGATTATATTTGTTAGCAACTGCCTGCCGAAGGTAGTAGTAGTTGTAGTAGTAGTAGTTGTAGTAGTAGTAGTAAATGTTGTCTACGACAAGTCATGTTCGGGCAGGACACACAAACGCGTATGTAAGTATGATGGGATTCGCATAATATGCATGTAGGTAGGTATGTAAATACTACTACTAAACTGTACATAGGTACGCATCAGCCACCGGGTGTACGAAGATGGCAACTTAGATCTTCATCAAGTTGATGGGATGGGGTTTTTATGGGCTACCTAGTAGGTTAGGTATTGTACCTTGGTAGGCATTCAGGTAGGGATGCCGGAAACGACGCCAGGGAATTCTTTTGGAAGATTTCGATTTCTTTTTACAGTAAAACTCCATCCGAGCCCTAGAGCCTGTCGGCCTGGAACTAGGCTACATAATACATAAGAACTTGATTTAGATCTCACAAGGTAGGGGTTCTCAATCGATCCCTGCTGTGACTTGCCCATCTCACTGTGGGGGTCGAATAACAACGCCGAAAAGATCGCCTATGATTCTAACAGCCGTGGAACTTCGCCGTAAAGTAGAGGGTTACATCCCCTAAAGAACCTATCAACCCATCAACCCATCCTAAAAAGAAGGATCCTTACAGGCTACAGGCCACAGCATCTGAGCATGTATTTAGGTAGGTACTTTATTAAAGTCTTCACTCTGTAAGGCCTTTCGGGTTCAGCCATGTTCCGATGTGACGAGGTTCCAATGTTCCAAATCCGATCCTAGGCGGTAGGTCTGTGTTCGACCTTCTGTCTAGCGTTCTGCAATGTATAATACATTATACAAAATACGTATTTTGTATAATACATATACCGTATAATAGATTATTATACGTATAACGGAATGGAAAAACCCTCCGGCCCCGCAAATACCCCACTTATACAGGGGTTATTCATGTATCACATACAATCAAAATAGCTTCAATTATTGCGATCAATCAAGGTAATTATTCAGAAAATTACCCAACTCTAATAAAAATATGAATAAATCTGAAACAACCCTATCATATGCCTGCCCGATCTAGCAAGCGTACATAAATCTCCTGTTCCATTTCATCGATCTGATCGTTGGTCAAATTCAAAAAGGATTCAGAAGACGCGTTTATACGTACGTACCTAGGTAGGTATTCTATAGGAATTGACATTGATAAACGCCAGCTTATCAGTTTTAATCTAATCTAATCGATTCCTTGAAGAGTCCTGTATACCTAGAAAGCGCGTTCAGAGCCAACTTAAAGATTGTACTTAGTAAATGAGATATCCTTTGATTAATTGAGGCATCGTATGTATTAGAAAAGGGAGAAAATCGTCGATTCGTAGAAGTTTTGGGCCTTTATACAGCGTTATACCGGTTATTATACAATTTTGTATGTGTATAATGGTATAATGAGGCTTGTATTATATTATACCGTATAGCAACTTCATTATACGTATAATGCAGAACACTACTTCTGTCCTTGCTCCAATTTCAGCCCGCGCTCAGGGAAGTCCAGGGAAGCCCAGCTCCGTCTCCATGCTCTCCATACCCCATAAAGGATGGTTAATTAGGCGCATTAACGGAGCCTTGGATCCCAGATGTGCTTCTGCTTCTGCTGCTACTACTATTGCTGCGTATCGCCACTACCAATGGTCACGGCATACATCCGGTGAGCGGATTCAAAGAGCTTTGCTGTCCAATGTCCACCGTAGCTTTGTGGATGGATCCATTTAATCATTTAATGCCACTTTGCAGGCCTTTTTTCAACGAAGGCGACTTTTTTCATATTTATTATAATTTCAGTAACCTGACACCCCTCTCTACCCCTTACGCCCTCATCGAAAGGAGGCTGACGAAACTCTCCGAGGTGAGTTATTAGTAGGCCAACTTAACATAACCGGTGGTTACCCTCTGATCGACATTCAACATGAACGTCCATCGGCAATGATTGATTGGTGCAAGTCTTAGTTTCGCATGACATTGACCTCCAATAGTATAGCACCTACATGTCTTCAATCCTCCCAAAGCCATAGCTAAGCCTCGGGGCAACTTAATTAGTGCAGCCCAACCCATCTATTAGGAGCCAAGAAGGGCCTATTCTCCGCTAGACAATACCTGAACCACCGCTTATTTATTAAACTCGTCACATAGCCCTAGGGCGTTGAGCGTGGTGTGTGTAAGACGAATTAAGGCACGATTTGCCATGATCCCAAGAGACAATACTACCGATATTGTCTCCCTTGCCCTTGTACATCTTGTCATATCTTACATGAGTTCGGGTACTAATAATTTCTAAATAATAAGAGAACTACTAGGTAAATAAGAGAACCTCGTCCCGGAAAGGATCGGGCTTCAAGTCCGGTCAGCACTTTACTATGAAAGACGGACTTGTTTCCAAGGCTGGCAATTAATAAGATTCAAACTCGAGTGTTCCTGCACCTCCCGGCACCGTCAGCATGTTCCAAAGTAGGGGTAATCTAATCTTCGCGCAAACCAATATCGAGATGTGCGTGGGTGGAGGAATCTAATACTCTAATACTCTCTAACATATCTCCGAATACATCATCTTTGTCGTATCCCCGTCTCGAAATGGATAGGTAAACGAGGTCTCAAAGTCGACCAGGCTGTTACAGGATCGGCCATCGTACAAGTCAATATGTGTGTTGTATGCTTGCTGTATGCTGTGTTGGGAAAAAAAGATACTTTGCGGTTTTCGAACTTCCAATCGTCCGATTTCAAGAGAAGGACTCCCCCTTTTCGTACAGCGTAGGAAATAATGTCGACGTTAGCCGAATCGCCCGAGCTCTTTGGGATGATTGATCACCACTTCAGCGGCACATCGTCGAGCGCGTAAATCTGGATCTACTAGGTATTATTCAGTAGACATACCTACGTACCCTAGCCATGTACGCTCGTACACGATTACATGGAACCTGGCGAATGATTTGCGGTCCTGATACCATACACAACAAATAGATAACCAATTGCGTCATGGCTATCGAGGTCGTGATAACGGCTGACTATCCTCCGGAACATTGCGCAGGCTACGTAAGTCCAATATTGTTCACAGCTTACCTGGGTACTATATAATAGCTTAGTTTGCATGTGGTAAAGCTAAAGGTGTAACCATCCATCTTATCCAAGTCATCGAGAATCCTCATATACAAAGGGGAATGTCGATTTGGATGAGCTGGATGCTGGATGAGTTAGATTCGACCGACCGAGGTGATCTTCGGTACGAGATACAATAAGCCCGCTCAAACCCAACCGTGACGGCGCTTTTTGGGACTAGCCACTTAGGATGTGCTAACCCGTGAGTGTGTATTGATGCGGCTTTTCAGCATCCGCGGATTAGGTCGATACAATATGTAACTCGAGAGCATCCAAATATCCAAACATCCAGTGGCGGACCAGGGCTATTTGATTTAGGGGATCCATCGAAGCAGAGAAAAAAAAAGAGGGAGTCGTCGTGGACTAGTGGCCCGTGGGCCGATTATGAATTCGGTCGTGTCAGCTTTGCGACGTCTAAATCCTACGTCAAAGAGCGAGCACTTTCTCGATACGACGCATCGTGCCATCATTATTCCCCCATTCAAGAACGATTTACGGGGCGGTCCAGACTTGCGGAGAACGGGAACGCGGCTCCGGCGCCCACAAGGGCTTCGTATGGATGCCGAAGATGGGATAAGATGCGACAAGAGCGACAGATATAGCACACGTTTGTGTAGGTATGTCTGTATGTCTGTATGTATGTAGACAAACACTAGACTACTATATCGTGCCGGCGAAATACATACGAAAATGGTTGTGTCCTGCTGGCAGGCAAAGAGAAGAAGAGCCAATCATCATCGTCCCAGTCCGTTCTAACGTCACATATTATCTACAGACCACTAGGTACTACCAGGTAGGTACTGTACCTCCCTAATATGTACCTATCTTGACGGATTATTACCCGTGCTAGCCACCCTTTACAGCGTAGGTACAGCGTATGACCCCTATCCTGTCCGCCTGTTACAACTGTAGGAATTGCCAATACGGGCCAACCATCTTACACACCATCGATCCACAGTTTCACCGCTCATTGTACCTTATTGCTTGCTAGCATCTCATTCGACGAACTCTTTGCAGAACGATCGTCCCCAGTCTCGGCCGGTCTTTTTTCACCTTCCTCTCTCTAACTACGCATAGGAATCCAAGCCTATCCAAGCCTATCCAAGTATAACCAAGCCCTAACAACGAGACACATCGGTCCCTGATGTAGGTAGGCATATACTGTACATACCTACATAGTAGTATGTATGTACGCATGTACGTATGTACGTGTGAATATGTAGGGTACAATACGACGGATGATACATACTAAAATAATAACACCGCTCTACCAAGTCCAAGGGATGGGGCCCCCCGGATATGTCCCATTACGAGTCCATCGATCCATGCAAGCCCTTTTAATGGATAGCTTTCCTGCTTTTGCGTCCGAACTATGCGAACTACACACATTTTGCATGTTTCTAAAACCTATCGCGTTCGGCAAACCAACCCAGGATAGGCGCCCCGAGGGTATTTTTTATTTTAATAAATTTGCCTAGCTTACTTAGAATGGTGTCTTGGTTAGTATTGCCGGTTAGAAGGGAAGGGAAGAAATAAAATAAAACACAATAAAAATAAAGAGGAACGGAGAAAAAAAGACACCTGTCACACGACCATGACCACGACCACGGCTCGCTAGTCACATCTCATCTCATAACCGATCGTCCAAGTTTCATTGAGACGACGCCACTCCAAAATGCTTCAACACCTCGGCCCCAACGCCGTCGAATCCGTCCCGTTGCACCTTGCACGTAGCAAGCTGCACAGCAAACTGGACTTTTCTCTCGGTGTTCCAGTCTTCGTGGTGGCACAGCAGCCCGAATAGCATCCCGGCAATGAAGGTGTCACCTGCTCCCACGGTGCTAACGCAGGGATAATAAGATAATCGTTAGCCCATTCCGTAATGTCATCATCTTTTTTTTCTATTCCTTTTTTCCCTTTTCTTTCTCTTTCTTTACTCTAACGCTTCTTCTTCGAGGACGCTAAAGAAAAGAAGAGAAGGAGAAGGAAAAGGAAGAAGAGGAGCCCGGCTTTGGGTCGCCGGCGGTCTGACATACTCCACTACGGAAATGGTTTGCCCAGGCAAGGTAGCCGGGCAAGACACGGCCTTCTCGCTGGGAAGTGATAGACACGATGCACCGTCCGATCCCCACGTACATAGAAGGAGGGTCCTGAACCAACGGGGTTACTTAGCAACATTACTTTAGTTTCTCAGCGCACCCGCCGTGCTGTGCTGTGCTTCGCTGCATTCGTCTAGCGACCAGGTTTCCAATGCAACTCACGCTTTCCGGGCCACGCCCGATTGGGCACTCAGACATCGCTGAGCGCTCTCGTACCGCTTACTCTGGAGAACCGGGTTGTCGTCAACTTATTAACTCCTCTCTGCGTGCTTGCTTGCTTTCTTGCTTGCTACTAATGCTACGGGAAATTTCTGCCGCCGCCGTCCTGAATCCTCGCATGAGAGGAAAAAGGAGAAATGAAATGAATAAAACAAACCACAACACACACAACACACAAAAAAAAGAGGAGTGGACTCACCTCAGCCCAGGTCCGCGAGTAGAACACGACGTCCGCTTCAGCCGCCAGGTCCTCTAACCCCCCTCGGCCCGGTTTTTCGACCTCGACGCTTACTCTTGTATTGGGGAACGACCGTCTTAAGTACCGGATGCATTGCAACGTCGTCTCAGGAATCCGTCCCTGTGCATGTATTAATTATTATCTTGGGGTGAGTTTCTCTAGATCGAGCCTATAGGCAGCGGAAGCGGAAATTCTCCTAGCTCTGCGACCGTTGCCGGCGGCGTACCTCAAAGTGGAACCAAGCCTCGTCGCCGACCTCGTCGGCAGCAGTGACGAACTCGTCGATCGTCATCTCAGGTAGGTCGTTGTAGTTGACGAGGGTGCGACTCCCGGTTGCCTCGCTACGTATGATATAGCTGCTCGCGGGATCCCTGTGATTCGCGCGGAAGATGCATCGCGTGAGGTCGACGAGGCTTCCCGGTCCAAACGAGTCCACTATGGTTGCCGTCGCAGGTGCATTGGCGCTAGGCAGACATGATATCAGGTAGGGTTTGACATCACGGCTATGCTCACTAGCAGGACGTTCTCTCAGAAGCTGCTGAAGCACCTGGAGGGTGTTGGGACAATTGCCGCCACGACGCACTTGCAAATTGGTGGCACGTAATTTAGAGTCCTCGCCCGGGTAGTAAGGCACGCTACATGCGTGAGATGGATCTGAGTCAGGTCATGCTTATTCTGCAACAAGGGGCCGACTCACTCCAGGATAGTATCAAGATAGCAAGCTCCAACACACACGAGTTTCTTCATATTCGTAGACGCTGTGCCACGTTATTTAGCGACGCAAGGTTAACACAACCAAGCTCGGTTAGGAGGGGGGATTTAGGGAAGGGGGGGAGGATTCGATTACATATTATGAGCTTTCCTTGCATTAGTACAGTCTTAGTGATAGCACTGAAGCTCAGCTTTACCTATGTACCTAGTAGCAGCTCTAGGAGCTCTAGGAGCTCTAGGATAAGATAATCGATGAGCCACAAAGGCCACAAAGGGGAAAACCTACGCAGTATCGACGCCACTTACACCTCCACTACTTCGCCTTCTTCCTCCGTGGACCATCATCCATCCATCTTCCCTCCACTTCCTACTTCGTCACTCAGCCATCACCTGATTGTGAAACCAATAACAAAACCTCTCGATTTGAGAAGTCAGATCTAGATACCAATTAATACCTCGGGGTATCGTTTGACCGCTACTCGACCGCGTACTACAACTTGCATCAAATCCATCACACCCTTCACCCTTATGTGCTACGGGTTCCATGGGATCTCTTCGCTTACAGGGCAACATACGAATGCAACTCGTTTCCTAAACAATTCGAATCAGCGGTGACCACAGACAGTAACCTACCTATGCCTAGCTTCTACTTCTACTTCTGCAGCTACATCTTGTCAAATACAAGACTTGCAGCCCTCGTTTAATGTGTCGTGTCCCGTCGTTATATACCTGTCGCACGTTGCAGGTACTGTCATGCCATGTCATGAACGAGCGTTCCCGAGAGCGAGACCTTGATGCAGGACCATTATTGTAATATTGTCTCGCGGATTTTCACCATGTTCGAGTTTTATGTGAAACACGGCAGGAATTTGGTCGCAGGCCGGAAGACTTAAAAGGAATAGCACGCAGAGCCACATTCGATAGGGAAGTAAGGGGGGATCAAGGCTTGGTTCGGCTCTGCTCTGCTTAAGAGGAGATTATGATCCACGAACGATGTTCCTCCGTGATTGAACGACCGTGACAAAGTCTCGACCAACACGGTGATTTCCCGTCCGATGTTTGCGTGGATTGTTCCGGTGTACAGATGGTCCGGCTCCGGTAACGAAGTTAAAGTATCGAGGCTTTTTGACATGTGATGAAGCCGTCCCTTGCAAAATCGCATTCGACAGGATTCATCGCTCGTCATTCGCCCGCATATCCAGACCTGGTATCATATAGACGCCTTGCATATGAGCATGTTTCCAGCGCTCGTCTTCGGCAAAGCTATCTACGACCTGCTACGAAACGCCAGCTCTCCCGGTGAGGATATGCAAATTACAACCACAACCAATAACGAGACCATCTCAACGCCCTCGATGATGGGCAAGAGGCGCGTCCGCATACGAGCGTATGTCTCTTAAAATCTATGTCATAATGACCGGTTTTTCTCATTCTGGTCTAACATAGTCCGTTGATTTCAACATAGTATGTAAGTAGGTAAGTTACAAGTGCTTTAACGACTAGGGATTTTGCATATGAATGTTTCGATGCTTTATGAAGTGATGAGAAATCGCGGAGGTTGAGCTCGTCGCGGTTGGCCATTCGCGGTTTTGTGTCCTTGTATGATACCCAACAATAGGTATGGTGGCTGAATTGTCATGTCGAAGCTATGGATACTAGGTATCCCTTCATTCAGCAGTAATGATGACCGGTCCTAACTCAGGTACAGGATCAATATATAATATCTACGTAACAGTCGAGTTAAAATATCAACCATGCGTACTGAGTACCTTCCTACTTATGTAGAGTACGCATATTTTAGGAAACCACTTCGTTAAACAACCTTTACAGAACTATTACGAAAATCTAAATAAGGTTCGCCATATACCATGCAGTTTCCTTAGCTAACTCTAAAGGAAACTTCACTGTAGGCGGGACAGCGATGATGATTCACTTACCTACCTGGTACCTAGTGAGTTTCCAAATATCAAATGGTCCCGAGGTCGCGACTGTATAATAAACTAAATATATACCACTGCCCTCCCCAACCCAAGAAACCGACCTAAGCAGAGAAGCAGGAGCGAGTAGCAACTCTGGTCACGAGAGAAGCGACAGGTTGGGAACAGCACCTACAGAAGGGAAAGAACTATGAGACATCCCCTATTCACATGCTCAACACCATAGGAATAGGCATCTACACGTATGGATGGATATATTATGTCTCTTTTGACTCGTTCCCGACTTCCAATTGAAAGATCGTTTATAAATACCTCCCAAGTCAAAAAACTACACATTTCTAACTTAACCAACATCATGATCTGAGTCTATATATCCAGCATCAGTCTACTCGTTTCGTTATTATCGATACTACCTATATGGAGTCATTTTCCTTTATCCTTTCTATGGCCTTAATTGTCGTACTTATATACGGAGTAGATATACTGGACTTGGCTTCTTTGACATTCATTTTTTTCCTAACCAGATTTGTTTTTGCCCAAGAGTATGGACAACTTTCCTGGGAATCAGACGGGGGACCAGACGGGGAACCAGACGGGGAACCAGACGGGGAACCAGACGGGGAACCAGACAGAGAATGGGAATGGGAATCAGACGGAGAATGGGGAAGTGCATCAGCTAGAGGAGGGTACGGTTGGGAATATTGAGGAGGAGGGTGAAGAGGGTCAAGGTGGAGATGCTCAGGGCGGAGAGGACGAGGAGCCATATGAGGAAGAAGAGGAAGAGGTCTTCGAGATCTATAGGATCCCCAGCCCCGAACCTGTAACCCCCGGTCCACAAGTAAAAGAGTGCAGCATCTGCCTCCGAAGCTTTGACAACGCTTCCTTCACAACTCTCCCCTGCGGTCATGTCTACGACAACAAATGTATCTTCACCTGGACCCAGATCTGGGATGAAGCTCTCTTCTCAGTTGGCCGCGTCAGATGTCCCATGTGCCGCAAAAATCTTCTCTACAAATGCGGCGACGTCATTTCCCAGCACCACATACGCCCTGGTGTCACGATCCTACCAGAAGAGCTTAATCTAAACTGCCAAAGCTACATTCCAGATACCGACACTCACTCCGTGGCTTCTTCACGTCGGCCATGGAACCCGCAAACCATCGCCGCACGACGAAGAGCGATAGCGGAACAAAACCAACAGGATCTCCCCGAGGATGACGGATCCGATGAAGAAGGGCCAGAAGGCCCGCCTAATACAATTAATAGCGATGATGATGATGATAATGATGATGGTGGTGGGGATGGTGGGAATGGTGATGTCGGTGATGTCGATGCTGGTGGTGGTGTTGATGGTGGTGATGATGATGAAGAGCTCCTGAATCAACAGATGGCTCAAACCACTATCCAACCCGATGTTGCGCGTCCTAAACACTACGACTTTAGATTCGTGACGCGCGTAACTGAAGACCTCCATCCCAGCATGCGGATACAATCCCTCGATGACTACGAAATCAATAAGCAAAGCATAGCACTTGCCATAGACGACGGACGACTCGATTTGATCGATGCTACAATCAACGCGATGCGGGAGGATTACGTCCGATTTGAGTCAACATATCCCACGTCCATTCCAATCAATAGTCTGATGTTCAAAGGTCTCGAGATGCTGGCTGCGCGTGTGGTCACCATGTACAAGCAATTCAAGCGTCAGCACGAGGGGTTCATCGAGCTCAGCGACGTCGCTCTCCAATTCCGAGCTGAGAGGGAGGATGCGATGCACGAGCAATTAGATGAGTTCTGGGACTTGCTTGAGCACATCGACTCTGAAATGCAGAGGTGCTACGCGGAGGTAGGTGCAAGGCCTTATTATCTAGGATCGCGTTAAAGGATCATGCTCCGTGTGTGTGGAATATCTTTCGGCAACTGGAAAAGGGGCTCCGGTGTAGAACTTGTCTTATCCATTCGTTAACGGGATATACTTAAGCGAAACATACAGCGGAGTTATAATTATGTTGGAAATAGGTTGGCTTCATAATGAGCAACCGTTCTTGTATCAACTACTTAGTTACTGTAGTTAGCTTAATGATACCAACTAGCGAGTTATATTCTTATTCGACAGCTCCTGTAGAGAATACCTACCTACCTGGAGCAGAACACAACACGGGAAATAAGCGCTTTCCGATACTTGCCGGGGATCCTGACCATCAAGGTTGAAGGACTTGAACTGGCCCCCTCTCCTTTAGTCTTCACCTTTACGGTAACGATGGAAAGGAAGTCGGCTATATGATATCCTCTTAACGAGCTTCCTAGAATGGTCGTAACCACTGTTGCTTTGTTGACCAACTTGATAGGTATCTTGCATATTTGCTACTGTGATACTTAAGTAGTGCGACTGCTCATCTTAAAATACCTGCATGCCTTATACTAAGAAGACTTCGTATACAGAATCATACCTATCTTGTCACCCCTAAGATATCGTCTACATGACTACAATTTAATCACCATACACGACTGATAGGTATAAACGACACAGAGCCCACAGTAACAGCAACCGTATACACCAAATCCGTTTATTCTGAGGGTATAAATAACTACCTAGCCTTTTATGTCACCATCCTCATCCTCTCCCCCCCTTCACCCCATCCCCTTTAAATACCAGGTACCAAGGAACAAGGCAAATAATATGTACAAAATCCCCCCTTAAAAAGCTTTTTAAAAATATACAGTAAAGACCCAAAGCTACCTAACATGCGTAGACAAAAGCAAGCATAAGCGCTAGCCTCCCCCTTCGTCTAACATACGGAGTATGTAGTCTAGTTTTCTCTACCACCTACCAGGGCCTAGGCATCATCACCCAGGTCCAGCAAAGCGACCACGCACCCAACGCCAACACCATGATTAAACCCGCCCCTTTCCCACACGCCATACCAAGAAAAAGAAAACTCCTCCATTCCGCTAAAAAAGGAGGCTAGAACCGTCCTACAGTGCCCATCTGCAGACTAACCTCCCACCTTAAACTGCCCCCCTTACCATACCCCTCACCAAGCCTATTCTGGATAAGATTCGAGACGCGAGCGCGGAGACGGCTGAGAGCAGCGTCGTCGGCGCCCTTGGAGACGGAGAGCTTGAGGTTCGCCATGCACAGGCCATAATGGACCTGCCAGAACTGTGCCTCCTCGACCTTTTCGACGCCGAGCTCGGCTTCGATCTCGCGGACTACGTCTGCTACGCCGACGTCTCTGTTCTTACCACCACCGCCGATACCGCTGCCGCTGATGTTGGGGGAGGAAGAGGTGGTGGTGGTGCCGGAACGACCGCCGTAGCTCATGAGGAGCATGAGGCCCTGGGCGATGGCGAGACGGGTGCCGAGGGCGAACATGGCGATTGCGACGATGCCGCAGATGGCGCTGTCGAGGAGCATTCCGATTGGGATAGAGAGAAGCGGGAGTAGGACCATGAGAGCGGAGGTGGAGAGCGTCATGAAGTGGAAGGGGTTGGATAGAACGCTGGGCAGGCTGGCGAGGTAGCTCACGCGCATGACCTTGCTGATGCGGGCGTGGTTCCTCAAACCATACGCGCTGACCAAACTCGCGGCTATGGCCGCTAGACTCGCCATATCTACTCCTCCGGCCGGGACTCTGGGTTCTCCGCCGTCGTGGGGGTCAGGGTGGTGCGGTGCATGGCCCCCTTTACCCTCAAGAACGTGCTTCAGGTTATGGCTGACGAGGTCGAAGCCCCCGAAGATGAGGAAGATGCTCAGTGCGAAGCCGGCGAGGACTTCAGCGCGCTCGAGCCCGAAGGGGTGGCGGATGCTGCTGCGCTTCCAGACCTCGAAGTTGCCGAGGACTTCGACGGCGACGCAGATCAGCGCGGACCCGACGTCGAAGAGGACGAGGTGGGAGAGGGCCGTCATGGCGAGCGAGCCGTGCGCGGTCAGGAAGACGGACACGGCGATGAGGAGGTGACACATGCACCAGTATAATCTCCGCCGCTGGTCCTTCGACATCGACTTCCACGCCTCCCGCACCGTTGGCACGGGCAGATCGCGCGGAAGGGCTAGGGGTGGCCGCGGGGGCGGCTCTTGGAAGATCTGGTGCTGCGCGCTGATGCTCGAGTGCTTGTACTTGTGGCCACGCCGCTGGCCCACGTTCGGCTTGACGGGCGACGTGGATATTATCTGCGTCTGGAAGTTGAAGGGGTTCGGGGCGTTGCCGTTGGACGCGTTGGGTATGTCGATAGGCGAGGAGTTCTCGCTGAAACCGCCAGAGCTGGAAGCCATATTGGGACTGAGGAAGTCGTGGCCCTGGAAGGTAGGGGCTACGGGAGATAGACGATTGGGATCGTAAAAGGCGTCTCGGTTGGGCGAAAGTAGGTTACTTTGTCCGTAGCCGAAGTAATTGGGGTTTGGTCCGGCTTCGTCGAGGTCAATGGCAATGTCGATGTCGGGATCGTCGAAATCGTCGGGTGTCTGGATGGTGGGAGTGACAGATATGGGAGGCGGTGGTTGTAAACGGGTGGTGCTGGTGGGAGCCATCCCCAACCAATTCGGCGCTTGTCCCGATTCAGAAGGAATAAATAAATGGAACGGGGAATTACTTTGTTACCTAGGTAGGTAATGTAGTCCCGGTATAACTGGAGGCGATGGAGAGTCGACCTCATCTCGGTTCCATGATCGGGACGGCTTTTGCTCTTTGGATAAGTTTGTCTTAGAAAAAATGACCGGAGCTACACTCGCCGTTTGGGAGGCGCATGCGGTTCAATTATTCAATTGGAATGCGGAGGATCGAATCGATTTACATCGCATGAATTGAGTTTACGAATGTATTACCTCTTCGTAATTGATGTACAACATAGTACATACATTGACAAGGAAAATCACTGCATAGTGCATGTATCTTGGTCGTACTCTGACAGATGCACGTGCCACGTAACTAGATCACTGGCGTGTTTTAAAGTTGCGGCAGCAGCACCTTGAGCCTTATGGGGGGCCTAGACCGCGAACAGGGCAGTCAAAGCCAAAGAGCCTCCACGCGCTTCACTAGAACTTCGCGATTTGATATTTTTGAGTTTTGAGTTTACGAGCTCCCCTCACCGATGCCCAACTTATTTTTTTTACCTTGCGCTAGAGGGAAATATTGGCAATTGAACGCCTCGTTAACGGGACAGGCGTTTGACTTCAACCCTCTCCATGCTAGGGAGCTCTCCAACCAACACAAATGCCACTAAACTTTAGACGACTATTTGATAACCTTGATGTTATTCCCAGCTCGATAAGACAGGATGGGAAAGCTCACGACGCTCTCCCAGCTTGAAGGTCAACAAATCCCGAAATACGATATACGATGGAGAACGTACCTCCAACCCAGCCACAGAGCCAAAATGGATCCTCGCCGGATATAACAATAGGGGGGCGCAAGAGGAGCGGCTCTGGGGGTAGTATCCTTTCAAAGTTCCCTTTTTTGCGCACCTCCGACAGCAAGTCGAGCCTTAACGAATCGCGACACGCCGGCACCCACCAAGATTCCTCTAGCAAACCACCCCGCGCTCTCGCTGCCGCTATTTCCCAACAGCAGAAGACCCGAAAGCGTAAGGGGTCTCTTCGGAAAGTCGCCCTCTTGGGTCGCGGCGCGGCGCGAGAGAAGCGGGAGTTAAAACCCTTAGCTATTGATACGTCAGTAGCTACACAACCAGTCGCCGCACCGGGGAGTACACTTAAGCCGCAACCTATGGTGGCAAGCGAAGGCCTCGGCTTAGGGATCTCAGATCTCACACCGCGCCCATCTATGGATGGCTATGCCAGGAGAGATAGTGTTCCTCTAGCCTCACCGTCACCTATCGAACTCGACCCGCAGGTGACGAGCCCTACGATATCATATACCTCTACAACAGACGAAGAAGATATACTCTCATTACCAGTCCGCGTCTCGTCGCCCCTAAACCCGGACCTCTCCTCCCTATCCTCCGGCTCCGAATCCTACTTCCCGAACCGTGCGCCGAGCACCTCTCTCCAGCGGCGGCGGTCGGTCAAACATGCCAAATCGCCATTATCTCTACAGGGCCTAACAGCCAGTCCGCTTCCCACAGCACACGAAGACCACGACTATAACGAGACGGAATGGTGGGGATGGGTAGTATTAATTGTGACGTGGTTCGTCTTTATAATAGGCATGGGCTCATGTCTGAATGTCTGGAGTTGGGCCTGGGATGTCGGGACTACGCCGTACGCGCCCCCGGAGCTGGAAGACGACCCCACGCTGCCGATAGTTGGGTACTACCCGGCATTACTCATATTAACGTGTATCATGGCTTGGGTCTGGGTCGTCGTCGCGTGGGTCGGTATGAAGTACTTTAGACATGCAAAGATGAGCGGTGATTGAGCCTTAAGAGCAATGGGGTTTGGTGTAATATTTACGAATTAATCGGTTATTACGATACCTAATGAATTGAATATATTCTATACGATGTTATCGATGCTGATTGGGATACTCTATCCTACTCAATTCTTATTGCGAAGGATAATAGAGAATTAATATTACCTACGAATTATGTATCCTAGCAGCAGCCTAGGAATATATATTTCAAGTACAATGATATGATCACAGCGGCGGTAGCTTTATTGGACGAAATCCTCTCATTTACGAAGCTTGTCTCATGATTCCTGCATGGGTTTCTACTCGAGTAGAATTCATGCTTAATCGATACAAAGGAAGCTAACGGATGCTGTTCCCAGGAACTTTCTCAGAGCATCGTCTCAAAACCACCAAGTCGTGTATAATATGTATTGTATAAACCGGGTGAAGTAGGAGATGTTATGCCTTTGCAATATATGATTTCGAAGATGAATCTAAAATTTAGCATCTCAATGCGGCGCGTCGTCATCGTATGGGGATGAAAGGGGTTAGGGGGAGGATACCAGGGTTGTTAACGTCCGACTTGAGATTGCTGCTTAAGTCCTCTTCATCTATAGACTAGGTCTATAAACTATGTATTAGGTAGGCTAGTGAGTCGATAATACCCGGATATCATATTCTATGCGATGAGATCTTGTGCTAAGATCTTCAGGTCCGCATAAAGCATCGTCCAAGAACTGCTGGTCTGCACGCTTCATGCGCAACGGAGAATATCAAAGCCCATCATAGCGGCGTGCTCGAAGACGGTTCATCTCATCAACGGCGTCGATCAGATCACGAATAGTCGGCTCATATCGTAAGAAATGGTTAGATGATTAAAAGATTTACTCCGGGATATCGGGATATCAAATCGGAACCCGGTGCCGAAGATTGAGTTTAGCGTACCTTGTCGCCGTTCCCATGTGAATAGTAATCTTATCGAGACAGGTGATGTTTCATCCTACACATCTACCCATGCTGTTCTGATAGCTTAGCCTTACCCCAGAACGCATTAGGGGGGAATATTCAAGATCATGATTATTATGGCAGTGCTGAAGAATAATAAGGCTGAAATAAAGAAGAGATCCTCTGGCAAGGAGTAGATTGTATTATCTATTCCTAGATGTTGTAGCACATAAATACGGGTATTCAAAATAGCTATGAATAGGTAGTTGAAGTCGCAGTGGGTCAGTCATGAGCGTAGGTACATATATTCTTTTTTAATAGATCTCACCTGGATGGTTGGTCCTTTTTTTCGGTGACTGATGGGAAGCTCGTTGAATACGACGTCAGATCTGGATCATTACGTGAAACGTCGCTTGCTTGGTCTTGGCTTTCTTATTGTCTGGCTTGAGCCAACCTTGTTATTAACTGTACCGATACCGAAAATCCTCAGGTGTCGGACTTGTAGGTCGACATCACACTAGTGTACCAGAAGACGGAAGAGGCCAAAGCACTGCGCATAAGGAGGTCCATGAATTCTTCTGAAGAACCATTAAGCGCGTTTAATGGCTAGCCTCGCTGCCTCGTTCACATGAAGAACCGGGCTGAACGGAATGGAGGTGAGATGCGCCACCTACGTCAGCAAGACAGCAAGATTGTTACTTGGATGGCTGGGGTAAATTTGGTGGTCTCACTTGTCAGCTACTAGGTAAGGCGCGGCTGATTAAATCGTCATTTAATGGAGGCCGGTGAGAAAAAGGCGGATTATATTATGGATTTTTTTAAGCGCCTCTAGGCTCTGTGAAGCAGGAGATGCTTGTCGGGAACCAATCGTTTCACCGAATAGGGGGATCGAACATTTCGCCATCCACAAATCCAACGGTTCGATTTATAGGCGTCAAGCGAGCCATTAGGAGATTTTTTAAACAAATTGAACTGTTGAGCAATCTGGGAATTTCGGTTATTTCTAAAGACAATGGCTGGATAGCTGCACCCATTTCAGCCGCGCATCCTTCTTTTGGAAATCACCTGCAAGCCATTGTCTTAGACGTGTTCACCATCACTAGGTAACTTATTCTGAAGGCTTGCTTGAGACATTTTAAACCGGCTACTAAGTGCTAAGAGGTAGACTTGGAGAAGGGCGTGTCACAACTTCTATCAGAGTTTTTCTAGGCATTGCCACTCTTGAAGCATCTACTATAATAATTACCTACTATTATTAAGATCATACGTATTAGGATTATCAACGTGACGGATATAAAATGTAAGCTTCCGGGATCGGGTAGGGCCGATGTACTTTTACGGATGCTCCATTATCGTGGACGATATTAAATACACCTTACCCACCTGGATACTCCTTAAGATGCAGGTACCGAATTTTAAATGAGAATGCATGCCACGGCTCATGAACATTGACAAGTCATTCTTGATCCGTTAATAGGAAGACCGCAATAAGTACGTAGATAATAGGTAGAGGCTAAAGACTACTAACAAGAAATTTCAAAGATTTCAGACTTGATTCCTTAGTTTCTTCAACGGAAACTCCGATTCCTTTCGAACCACTATTATTCAGTCCGTGCCAAGGTTCAATTCGTGACGCGATTCAACGCGCATACAGTAGTATGCGTTTAGATGTAACCCCGACCTGCACTGGATGCTCTAGACTATCCTGGCTATCCTTTTTTCGCCTTCTCAGTTGCGAAGACCCCGGTCCAGCCTCCGAACTCCTTGACCCGTCTCGCCGTTTCAAGCGAAAGGTCGGTGACGATTGGCTTGACCTGAAATGCAGTAGTGTCACCGATAGAGAGCTACCAACTGACCTTTTACCTGCCCCCTTGCGTACTTTGTAATGCGTAGGAGGATAATATGAGGGGGAGGCAAAAGGCGTTTTGAAATATCAGATCTCACTTCTTAGTGCCATCTCTCATTGCCATATTAGTGATAAGCATAATTGACGATCGCGATGCTAGAGATACCAAAGATACCGGCGATGTTAGGAAGATGATAAATAATATCTGACAGTTTGTTTGATGGGCGAGACAGGGGAGCCCAAGAGGTCTTTGCTTGTCTTCTCCTATGTAATGGAGTGCTTGTCTGCTGGTAAAGCTAAGGCATGTCAGCCCAATGATAATAAGAAACTCTTATGATCTCTCTCTACACCACACAGGCCGCAACTTGTCCGAGGATCATTGATGAAAACGCACAGGTCGAACCCGCCAGCACGGACACGGATTTATGACGGAAAACATGCAGAGCATTCCAAAATATGACACGGCTTTTACGGCTTATTACTACCCAATATTGAGCAGGGTGGCCACGAAGTAAACCTAATGGAGAAATTACCAACCTCCTTTTTCGGCCGCGTTCTATCCCCGGGTCCTCATCGCAAAGGATCACCCGAAGCGGGGACGGGCTCGGCATGCCACACCCATAAGTTAGCGACCGACCTAGCAGTCTATGCCTCTACGCAGTAGAGTTGATGTAGGTAGAAGATCGTCAACCGACATGTGTATTCCTTCATCTACTATTGAATAGTATTAATAGTAGACAAGCTTTACTTCTCAAGCACAAGCTAGATGATATAGCTCTACCCAAGATGCCAAGAGAGTTCTCGCCCTTTTGGTTCCCTTGGCTACTACACACTTGTTAGTTATCGCTGCAAAGGTCTACAAGGAAATAGACACCCAAATCGCAACGTGACTTGTCGGGTGGTTTTGCCTTCGCACGTGTAAGATTTCTGCGATTTCGAAAATATCTCTTTGCCACGACAACATGATTGAGAAAAAAAACATAGAAGTCGCTTATCGCGGTATATTTTACTCGAATTTCTTAATGATCTCATACGTATGAAGATTCGTAATTCGAAGCAATACCTAGTTAGCGCCTGAGATAACCCTTCTGGCTGGTAATTTTATAGCAAATTGCCAAGAACCCGCAATGCTTACCAATGGGAGAGGACCGTGGTAATTCTCACGCGTTCAACAGCAGATCGAAAATTGAGGTTGTGAAAATTATTTCCTAGCCTTGCGGATTATAATAATGCATATAATATAGGTATCGGTTTTTTTCCTTTCTTCTTTTTAATCCAATGAAAAATAAGATATGATAAAAAGTCAAAGCGATCGAATAATATATCAACCCTTTAATAATGTTCGATATTTAAGTGAATACCTGGGTACCTGGAGTAGAGTTATTAGCGCTCCCGCTTCAGTGGAACTTACACTAAAATAGATTCGGTTATTGTACAAAGTACAGTTCATTCGATAGCACTTTCTTAACTCTAACTTCATAATGCAATGCAATTCAATAAAGGAAGACAGCAAAAGCTTAAGTCAATATTAATTCGAGCAACATTAAAAGAAGTGCTACACTAAGTATAGAAATTCTAGAGTTTCTCTATTCGATAGAATTATGTCATGTCGGATTCGCCGCGACTTTTCTCTCAAGTCTCGATCCAGCTCGTTGGAAAACCCTTCAGTGGCACAGCACTAAAGAATTGTGATGGCATAGTAGATTTGTGGCATTACGCTGTACAGTAATTATTCCAGTGCTCAGTTTAGAAAAATGCATGGCAAGTTGAGTCGTATGGTTGTTGCGACTAGCCCAGTCCGGCTCGCTGGGCATTGGGGCACAAACTCGCACAGGCATGTTACCCTAATAGAATTTTAACAGCATTAGCGCGCCTTTACTTGCAGTGATGTGATTCCCAGCAACTGCAACTGCACTGGAGCACGCTGAGCACGCTGACCCCAAGTGCGTGGAAATACACCCAAGAAGGGCCTAGGGAAAGCGTGGTCGCTGTGGATAGTGGATAACACACTTTTGACAACCCTGGCAGGTACGAGTGGACAGCCCCCTAACTTGGCGCAAGTCGGTAGGGTACTAGGTACTCGCCTCTTTTTTTGCAACACCTGGGCAATCTTGTAAACTTGTACCCGGAGCGGAACCACTTCCCTTCTTCCACACTGAAATTCTTACCCCCTAGTCTTCTAGTCTAAGCTACCACTGTAGTCATCTTTTCTTCCGATACACCAACCATCTTCTCACAGCCCCCGAAACGAATCGTCGCCTACCTCCTCCTAGCAAAGCGAATTCTGTCTCATCATTTTCTCGTCTCTATTCCTATCTTTGTGATCTGGATGGAGACGTCCATCTTTCCATAGAGTCCGCCGCGCTGGAGATTCGGGCCTCCATCTCGTTTTTTTTCTTCTTCTATCATCCCATCCAGTGAGCCAAGGCACCCTAGGGCATCTGGGGGGCGGTCTGAGGCATTTGGGCTAATTCACCAGTTCGAATTGCTATCGAACCTTCAAAATTTCGATTTCAGATTCAATTAATCCTATTCTCATCGACATCCTAAAAACCGCGCCGGGTACTTACAAAGGCATCGACCGACATCGTGTCCCAACTCCGAGTCACAATACGTCGCTAGTTTCTATTGTTCTATCGACAATTGCGCCGAGAAAAGCCTGGGTTTACTTATTACGCATTTTTCAAGCACATCAACGTACAGAATAACCATCTTCGTTCTTTCCAATAAGGTCTATCGAATTAAATCCAACGCGTTCATCTAACACCATTGAAGAAAAAGTGGAATTGCCTTGCAGCTGGAAAAGGTTATTCACTCGGACGAAGTCTTTTGTAATTCATACGACGCTCACCTGGAGACGCTCCCATACCATCCCCTTTATCACTTCCACCATCTTCATTCATACCTACAGCCTGATTCTGATATAAGCCACCATGAGGGAAGTTAATTTTAGCATCCCCAACGTCAATAAGGCGTCAGTGGGCATCACTACCGCCTTATATGATCGCCGGGCACTTGACTGCACTTCAACACTTCCCCTCATCAACTCGCTTAACCATCTCGCCTACCTTACCACATCGTCAGCTCGCATTCGCGATATTTTGACGGTTGATGGAGGTATCGAGAGGTTAGTATGTATATTAAAACAAGGACGGAGCAAAGATATGATGGATATGTGGAAATGGAATCTCGCTTTCCAGTGTGTGGTCAACATAGGAGTTCGCGGAACCGAGAATGTAAGGACTCGAGTGGTTGAGGCCGATATGGTCCCGGTCATTGCAACTATACTCGACAACTACATTAAAGTCATCGAGAAATGTCGTGAAAAGGCAGAAGAAGCGAAGCAGAAGCAGATTGCCGATCATCACCAACGCCATCGAAGCCACAGCCATCGAGAACCACCTTTTAAATCGACTTTTACAAATAGGTCTACCCGTCTAGATCTTGAGCAAAGAGCTTTTCGTCGACAAGCTCCTCCTCCGTCCATCGATGTTTCAGCTGCTTCCTTTGCAAGCACATCTGCTTCCGCAGCAGCAGCAGCAGCCGCAGGGGCTCCGCAGGGGAGCACCGATGTTATACCAACTATTCCATCATTCCCCATCACCTCCCCACCAGATCGCGCTGCGTTCCCTAATAACCGACATCACCATCATCATCACCACAGGCACGAAAGCCGTTCGAATATCGTGTCTCCGTCGCGACAAGTGATCCAACCTTTGGCGAGTGCGGTTCCAACTATGGAAGCAGTTGATGGTTTTATTCGCCCAATTCGGGATATCGATCGACTTCCATCAATGTTACCAGTTTTTCATCCAGGCCTACCTTCGCAGCCCACATCACCGACTACTCCTTTACCCCCGCCGCAAATTCACTCGCCAACCGTTCGGCCAACCTCGGTTTTGGCGCCAAACTCACGTCCTAGGCGCCGTCCTTCGATACGTCATCAGAACTCAACTACAGACACAGATGATTTAAACGCAACGGATAGTGTGCAATCAGACGAATCCCAGGATGCTGAGATGTCTGGTACCGCTGATATCCAACCTGCAGTTGGTTTTCAAGACATTGCCATGGAGGAGGGCGACAGTACATTGGCGGGTGCAGCTCTTGACCTAACGACGCCAACGGTCTCCGAGATTCCAGACGCAGGGACGTTCAACATAACACACAGAGCTCCTATGGATGGTAGTCTTCCAAACAATACGCCAACCCCTGGTCCAACTCTAGGCTTATCCCCTAACCGCCCTATTGTACCTACTCCTCAACCTTCTCTTCCAACCCACACAAGTGTACCTCGTTACCTCCTAGACCGACCAACCCCGCCGAATCCGCAGATGCTGGCAGCAATGCCGAGAGAAGAGGATGTATTGATGTCACTCCAGCTTCTTGCGTATGTCTCGAAATATTGTAATCTCCGATCATACTTTCAAAAGAGTCACTTAGTGCCACGGCTGCAAATAGGAAAGGAATTACAATTGCTCGATGGGGATAATGTGACGATGGAATCACTAGGTCCGCAGGAATATGAGGAAGAATATCTTCTACCAAACGATTTCAATATCTTCCCCTTGGTCGAGAAGTTTACAGTACGATACCATAGCACCGATATGCAGTACTGGGCCGGGGTTGTGATGCGCAATCTTTGCCGGAAGGACGATACCCGCGGCGGCATCCGACAGTGCGCTTACTACCAGTGTGGTAAATGGGAGGAATTCACGCGGCAGTTTGCTAAGTGCCGCCGGTGCCGCAGAACAAAATATTGCAGTAAGGAGTGTCAAAAGAGCGCCTGGGCGTACCACCGCCACTGGTGCGTTGCCGCTTCGTCATGACCACGTTTTCCGTCACAGATTTCGCGCCATCTCATTTCGCATATGGCGTTCTCAGCATAATGTCTACTTGGTCAACTTATTTCATGAGTTGAATTGCATCGCGAAAGCAAGCATAGCACGAACATGGCGTCTTTGCTCTGATACCATTGATTTTGTCCGGCATTACGGTTTTCCTTTGTTGCCCGCCGCCATCGAACGGATAGTTACGACAGGCGGATGTCTTTTGCTCTCAAAAGTCTCATACATTGGCGGTCGACCAGATGCGGCGACGCATCAGAGAGCCGCCCCAGGTTTCCTCGGAGGCCTTATACAGTTTGGGTCAATATCATGATGGTCATGGGTGATGTTGACTAAATCTAAGTCCCCTGGGTCCGTTTTTGACGGATACCAAAATTAGATTTTCCAACCACCACTTGTCCGTGTCATCGAGAAAGCCGCCTCGGTAGTGCGGATCGCTCGTACTCTTCATTTCTTTAGTTTCTGGGATCCCAACAGGTTCATTGGTAGAGGAAGTGCCGTTCTAGGACTCCGATGTGAAACCATCGAAGTCAACTTTGATCTCTTTCGAGGTCTTTGGATTCCATTGATTATACAAAGGCAGCCTTCTGGGTGACCAGTAAAGACGGTGTGGGGAGGGTAATAATCGACCGGTATCCGAATTTAAGCATCCAACAAAAGCTTCGATCGAGATTCAGGAGAGTCCCGTCGCGGTCGCCCGGGCAAAGCCGATTCAAGGAACAGGCATAACCTGATAGGAGTTCTACGTACGAATAGTTGCAAGGCAGGCCACCTGTCAAAACCCAAACTCTACGATTTGTATCTTTTACCATAGCTACCAAACCAATGAAACCAAGTCACAAATTTCAAATCATATCATGAACGGGATGTACCTTCCTGTTATGTCGTACTAGAGTTTTATCTACCCAAGCTACCGGGATGGTTGGTGATACTGAATTATGCGTGTAGCGGCCGCCGAAGATCGATGCTTGTGTTGTTCAAGTTAGATCATGCGGGATACGTCAGATCAGGTCAGTCGATTTCGAGTCGGTGTATAGAATTCTGTAAGCTGACAGTTGGGAGCTCTGGCGGATGTGAGGTGACGTACATGGTAAGCCAACCAGGGGTATAGCATTCGAGATATTTATGTCTTGCCATGATGTATATATCCCTGGCCACTGTTCTGATCTCTTGTTGGCTTTTGGTGGGACGATATTGTGGATATATTCCTCTCTATCCGGCGAGTGAGGCGCTTAAGTGCTTGGTGACCTCTACTGACTAGTACGTATTCCTGTTTATTAGGTACATATATATTACTAGGATATGTGACAACTACGACCCGTCTCATTAACTTCGATTAAGTGAGGGTGCCAGTTGTTATACGGCAAGCTTTTCCTTAACAAGGGTTGGCTCAGGTTACCAGTTGAGTCCTATCTATCCCATGAGAAACTTAACTATGAAATATAGGAAATATCTAACTCAAGTAAATACTTATCAAACGTCCCAATAATATTTCAATGTCCAATTCAATCATATATCTAACTAACAATCATGAATTAAGGAGTTATCATAGAACACCCTCTACTACTAGGTAGCCAAGAAAGGGGCACACCACCAACATAGGAAAAGCGAAGGGAACAATTATATATACCTAACTTTTCTGCCACTCTTTATTTCACCTCGATTTAAAGTTCGAGGTACCTACCTAGTTATTGCCCATGATATCAGTGTTAGCCAAGGAAATCAGGAAGTTATCAAATACTTAACTAGGCAAGTTTCTTAATGGGTTGGCCCCTTTTCCTCAGACCTCATGACTTCGACCGACAGATATTTCGGTAATAACTTAGACAGTTTTTGATTGTTACCAAGATCATTTTATTCAAGCTGTTAGACTTTTATAATACACCGCGAGGCCTGAAATTTGCTTACTGTATCAATCTATATCTCAATTCAGGAGTAGGATATACATTTGTATAGGTAACTCATGAGAAAAGATGACTTATTGAGTGACATGTTATATAAGATGAACAACTATATCTCTTATTGCCAAGTCATAAAACATTAGACAAAGGTGTCTTGCCAGCAGTTGAATAGGTATGTATATTCATAGAAAACTCTTACACGACTGGTAACCCGTGCCTCTGGCCTTTGACGATTGTCCATCCTGTACTGATCACCCAAAATTTAGTAAAAGGTAAAAAGTCCATACTAGTTAAGCCAAGGTTGTATTTTTGAGACTATGTGTACGAGAGAGTGAGTCCTTTGATGTAGGATCTAAGAGTTTGGACAATACGTGGCAGTGCCAATGGACGGTATTGTGTCAGTGTTGAATATCAGGGGGGAGGATTCCCTTTGCAATACAGATTTTGGATTTGAGGTCGTTTAGAAGCCGTTGGAATGGACAAAGCGGACTCGGAAAACACGCGATAATATCGTATTCCCACGTGAGCCAGTCTTTGTTAGCGATCGGTTCTCACATGTCTTGAGCAAGAAGCGAGTCTAAATGTCGCTAAAGTTTAAGACACTGGAGCTCTGGAGGGTCAACTGGTGTGGGTTAGCCCCGCCTAGAGAACACTTAATATTTAGTGTCCGTTAGCCCTGCTGCCCTGTAATTCAGCTCTATTGTTGGCGAGACATTGGACGGAGTTAGCACGAAATAATTATATTGGCCTTTCGTGTTAGAAACATTTGTAATTCATTGGTTTAGAATTCGACTCTTCTATCCAATGAATATCTCGCGAGGAAACTTTGAGTGTTGGTTGGAAAGAACAGAAAAAGAATATGTTTTTAATTCGTCCACTAATACCACGAGGTACCTATAATGCTCGCTGATGAGGTCAGACGGCAGCGCTTTAGCGATCAGACACACAGCCCTGTAGCGGTTCCTGTTTCAGAACGAATGGCTGGGAAACCCCCTTGATTCAAGTTAGGTACTGTACCATACAATGTAGTATTGTGCCAATGCCATAGTGTTGTAACTGCACCTATATTTCCTGACTTCTTAATAAGTTAACATCTCTGCCTTTCTCAAACCTTTCTTATTTTTAGTCCTCACCTTGTCTCTCTTTAGTTGAAGTTGACCTCTCGTTGTTTGAGTGATAGGACAGCTTACCTAGTCTTTGTCTTTGTTTACAGTCGCTAATAAGGTGACAAATAACTTGGAAGTATTGTAAGTATTAAAGCCAACTCTAAAAGTTATTTAGCCCCCAAATGAACCTTACCCCTTTTACACCCGCACCTGCCCCCCTGAAGCTGTAGGTAACACACCTACGACACCACTAAAGCAAGCAGCAACGTGCTGCGGTCAGGAACAGGAAGTCTTGGCAACTTTGAACCCCACCACCAGCACCAGCATCCATCATCACCAACACCCAAAAGCTCACACCCAACCCCTCCTTCAGATAATAGAAGTGAGCAATCACATTCTGTTAGGCTCTTCGGGATTAAAAAGCTAATCGCAAAGTTGAACTATAGCTCATCATGGCCACGCGACCGAGTTTATTCACCAGAGGACTCTCCTCCCTCTCCCAGAGCACCGACGCCAACTCCCCCAGCGTCAGCTCGCCCGCCGAGCAACGAGACGATGCGAAGCGCAACTTATTCAAGACCATGCGCCCGCTGCCCACCCAGCATTACTGGAACGTCTATTTCGATAGGTAAGTCTACCATTCCCGCGCTTTACGTAATTGGGCATCAAATTTCTGACACCGACATTTGCATAGACAAGCTAAGGAACAGAAGAAGGACGATGACAGCGCCTACCAAGCCTCGCTCGAGCAGCTAGGCACGCAGATCGAGTCGGTCCAGGATTTCTGGCGCTACAATAACAACACCCCCGTCGACCAGATCAAGATGCGCGAGTCCATCTATCTATTCAAGAGCGGCTTCAAACCCATCTGGGAAGACCGTCGCAACGTGCTCGGCGGCAGCTGGACCTTCCGCGTGCCTAAGAGCTCCGGACCGGACTTCTGGACCCGCGTGCAGCTGATGGCCATCGGCGAGAAACTACAGGAGGCCGTCGAAGAGGGAGACACCATCTGTGGCGTCGGTCTATCCGTCCGCTTCAACTCGCACCTCATTTCCATCTGGCACCGCGACGCGTCGAAGAAGAAGTCGATCGAGAATATACTCCAGGCTGTCCTTGACGACCTACCCCCTGAGCTGACGCCGAAGTCCGATAACTACTTCTACAAGAAGCACTCCGACCACCCCGGCTTCAACCCGCCCCCGGAGCTGCAGGCCGTCCTGGATTCCCAGAAGAAGGCTCAAGAGGCTGCGGCGGCGGCGACGAATGATAACGTCAAGGTTACGCCGGCTGAGTAGATGTCTCCGTAGCAGGAGGGTTAGTAACGGAACAGTTTGAATCATGAGCGCAGAGTATGCTCAGGTCGATACTCTGCGGGAATCTATGCATGTGCATCGGGCGAATATCGGAGGGATTCAGTTGCGCGGTTGATGATGTCTCTAGTCTCCTTTCCACTATTCAAGGCAAGGCGAGGTTTTTGCATTTTTCTCGGGCGTTTGCTGCGGATATGCATGAGTGCCGGATCTTCTCGAGGACATTAGATCTTAGATTAGGTGCTGATACGATGGAATTGAAGTCTCATGGATCAATGGAATGACAATAGTTTTAAGGGTATTCGTTGTCGTGATATGATTTTGGGGCGTTAATGGAAGGTCGTGATGTTCATGCTCACTAAGACGATATATTTGATTTTACAGTCAACCAAAGCTCAAGAGGAAGTCGACGTGATTATATTGCACATAGTATTGCTATAGATGTTCCGATATGAATATCTAGGTTATGGTATCTATAGCTCCTCTAAAAATAACTACGTCGTCAGTCTAGAAGAGGGAGTCTGCTTCCGTCTCTAAACTCCAAAACCAACTTCGTAAGCATACCGATTGCTATTCCTCATCGTTTAGGTGATAAATTCACATATTCCCTTTCTAAGTAACCGATTAGAAAACTGTAAGCAGAGAAGCAGTATATGCTTACCTTACTAAACAGTACACATCGTACCCAACCTCTACCACAAAGGCTAAACCTTTAGACCTCGTCCGTTTCATCCCATATCCCCAACGCCAGCCCAAACTCTAGTACACATATCACAAGTCACAGCAAAACCACCCATAAACATCCCCCTCACTTCCAAGCCCCAGCCCTGCGCATAACCTCCTCGAACTCCGCCCTCGCCACCCCCTTCCCAACACCCGCTCCGCCATTCGCCTCGAGTATCATATCCTTCAGCAGCGCCTCATCGACGTCCTGCTTCAACGTCATCGCCACACGCTTCAGATGCGCTAGCGTTAGTTTCGCGTCTTCACCACCTCCCCCTCCACTACTGCTCGTGACACCTGTGAACAACCGAAACGCCTCGTCGACCTCGTCGGCATCGGGTCCGCTCTTCGGGCGCGCGTGCAGCTTTAGCGCGCAGATGGCCACGAACGGCTCGTATGAGGCGTACCCGTCGTCGTCTGGGTCTAGGATCTCGAGGAATTCTTTCAGCTCGGGTTTTGAGGGGGGGAGGCCTAGGGCGCTGTTGTGGAGGCGCGTATGGTGGGTTAGTTGTTTGGTCGCTTACTAGGTAGGTAGGCATGTTTCTACGTGTTTGGGTGACTATATGTAAGGGGTGGAGGACACCCCGCGTGATAGGAAAAAAGAGCGTGAGGTAAGGGAGGAGAGGGACGAACACCATGGCCCGGCGCACGTCTTTGCTCGGTATTACGCCTTCTTTCTCGCCTTCCATGGGCTCCGAGAACAGCGCGAAGGCTTCCTTTATTTCGCGCTCTTCGCGCGCGGATATATTGTGCTCCTTTGCTAGTTTGGACTGCTTTTCTTTCGGCCCGGAGGAGGAGGAGGCGGTGGCTTTGCGTTTAGGCGGCTACGTCATTGGAGGGTGTTAGCTTTACTCTAGGGGGCCTTTCGTAGTACCAATAGGGATCGTTGGCTGACCATGTTTGCGGCTTTCGGACGGTGTTATGCTGATGTAGTCTGCAGAAGGACAATGGTGTCGTAGGAATCTATCTACCTCTAGGGTTAGCTGGAATGTTAAGAGCTTCAAAGTGTTGAAGCTAGAAATGTGCAGTTTACAGCTAGGGAGCTGCAAGTGCGATGTGGGGCGCGGCCCCTAGGGCTCTTTAGCTTAACCCCACAATTGGCCGCTGTGGACCGCCTGAAGGTTAAAGCCCACCATAGCGTTACTCAGGTACATCTTCATGGTTCTGCCTTTGTGAAAGGACATCTTGGAGACAACATATAATATTTAAAAGTTCTAATAGCTTAATTAAAAGACTCGTTAGCTTATTTAATAATAATGCGGTTCGCGTATATTGGGTTCTGGTTTTGGATTAACTTACTGCAACACAATATAGTCAGACCAAAATCACGGCAAGCATTTATACTACTTAGATCAAATTGTGATGTAGCAAATCAACACTTAATAGATGTATTGATGGTTATGATTATTAATCATTAATGTTACCTAGCCCATAGCTGGAAAAGGAGAGTATTATGATTGGGTAGATATAGCATTACACGAGTTACGTGGTATCCCCCCCGAGCTGTGCTGTTGGATGTTATTCTCTATATATGGGATGAGGGTTACAATCCGTCTCTAGCTAAAGAGAGATGCAATCTTGCTAATAGGCTGTCAAGCTTCGGTTTCCAATCTGGCGGCATGATCTTATATATACCCCTGATTTGCATTTCCCCAGCTTTACCGACCATCCAGATGTGTTCATAGCGCACCCATAAGGCCATGAAGTGAGCTAATACCACCATAGCTCTCGGTCTCCGCTCTTCTATGAAGTTGGAAAATTCGATCGGCACCCAGATCGCGAAGCCGCCAAATCTTCTCACGATGGCGTAATCTGGCTCGCCAGCATCGATCGCTGTCTGGACGCTGCATATATACGAGAGGGCCTTGTTGTATACGACCTTCACGTCCTCATCCTCCAATTCTCGGTCTTCTTGTGCAGCGATCGACTTGGGATCAGCTGGATAGTCTAAGAGCCAATCTAGCGCACTGTGATCACAGTAGATCAGCTCTATCGGATTGCTCATAACTGGCTTGCTCTGGGAAAACAATTTAATACTGAGTTTGCTGCTGGCGTCAAGCAACTTCCGCGCCATTTCCAATACCTGACCGGCACCTCGGCCCATATGTAACCACTGAACTGGGGGCTCCCAAGGATCTATCATCAACGTCTGAACTAGAGCTAAGGAATGTGCCAAAATCCTGATGCTAGTAAAACATATGTAGTCGGCGTTTTCCGATATCATCCGACTCAACTCGTCGATATCGCGCCGTTGTTCTCTAGTACACATAATCTGATAAGTCTGCTGTAACTTGAAGAGCTCTTCTCGCTCTCTCTTGTCTGTGCTCTTCGTCCAAAGGTACAGAGCGGAGTTGGCAAGCGACACGTTGAGCAGACTACAGCGGTTGTGCTCTTGGGCCATCCGCATGGTTAAATTCGGGATGTCATACTTCCACATGTGGACGATCTCCGGATTTTGAGCCATGGGAAATGGTTGTACCATGTTTTGGTGGTAGTTGTGGATCAAGCGTATTTCCCAATATCGGCGCCATGGCCCTTCGGGGAGGTTGACGTCGCTATCTGGCCCCTCATCTAGGGATCGCGGAAGAGGCGAACCCGGCGAGGGATAAAAATTCAGACCCTGCGGCGCAATAGCCGATGTATTCTCAGTTGGAGGGGAACACAAGGAGCTAATGGATGCTCGTTGCGAAGCATCATCCGTCAACGCGGGACTGGGAGCGGTCTGTTCGTTAGACGATTGACTTGGTGGCCCGCTATTTTGCCGCACAGTTTGCGCCGGTCTCGTAGATACTGGATGTGTATTCGGATACAAGCATTCGACTGCATGTCTCGAACACGAGCTACAGCTAGGGCGGACTTCATCACACTGCAGAAAGCCGTTAGGAATGGGCTTTACGAATTGTACTTGTGGGTAAGTCGGCTCCTAAGTTGAAATCCGCGGCACAACAGATTAAATTCGGCAGCCTCCTTAACTAACCTTGACTCGTCTCTGCTTACATCGCAAGCACCCGGTGCGAGACTTTTTATGGTACAAGCGCGGACCGCGTGGTCGTTGGTCCTGCATATTGCCGTCGTTCATTGAGATGAGGCGGCGGAGCTGTCATTCAATGCAGCGTACAAACAGGCGACAAGTCTCACGACTCACAACCTCGCCGGGCTAATTTAAAGTGAGTCTGGTTGGTAGTCTCTCCTTGAGTTCATCGCATGACCTGTCGTTATGACCTAATTCGAATTCGTCGGCGATTTGAGGCCATTTGACTGGAGAGTCCTCAACCAGGCTGGAGATACGGAGACGTTGATCCAAAATCCATTTTGATTGCCCAGCCGAACCCCATGCCGCATGACAAGCACTTGCCACAATCCATCGTTTCCTATAGGCCTGTGGCTGCTATGCGAAAGCGTAGTGTAGTATTTGTCAGGGTGCCAGGATGAGCTAGTGCTAACTAAATCCGTATCATGCTTGGGAAATCGACAAAAATCAGAAAAGAGAAAATAGATGGGAATGAGACTAGTCTTTTATATCAATTTAATAACTCCTGGAAATTGAGCTAAAACTCGAGACGAGTCTGCGAGCCAAGACCTAGGATTTTCTATCCCCAATGAGCGAAGGTTAGGTCGCCGATCTCATAGGTGTTATATACGACCTCGAATGCGATAGCGAAACCGATCCCTACGTACATACAGCTGTAGGTACATGCATGTATGTTGTTGGTATGTACTATGTATGTCGATACCAATAGCCAATATGATATGATATGTTTTTATTAATGTGACGTTCGAATATGTTATGATTGGCTGGACTCTGCGAGGAATATTCCCAAGTCGCAAGCTTATGAAAATTTATTGGTACCAATCGGTTTCTTTCCCCCTTCCCGAATTTGTGGCTGTCTCAGATTTTGGGAATTTTAGAGGCCATCGATGCTTCGAGTGCTGATAAATTTCTAAGGTTAGATCGATGTGCACATGTGGAAACACACGGGAACTTTTATTGTGGCTTGTGATTGTGGCTTCTAAAGGGACTTCCCGAGGAGTTCTGCACCACCGGGTATTAGATCCCTGCAAGTTGCTAATCAGTTTCACTGTGGAGTTCAGCTGCCAGGTCCCAGGCAAGGTACGTATCGCCGATCAAGCATTGGTGTTTCCAGAATGTGAAACGCCTGCCTCGACGACTTTACGTCGTCTCTTCTCCCTCCTTCCTGATAAGCCCATGCCACCAATTCAAGTTGTAACTACTACCTATTAATGAATTAGTCAAGTTCCAAAGTTCCTTTTTTCCACCAACACACACATTTTTGAACGCGACCATCCAATTACTGCGGAATACAAGCGAACGTGTTGAATAAACGTGTACTTATCGTGTTAGCGCCTAGCATGATCCTTTCTAGCTGACAGATTCCCGCGAGTCAAGATCCGACAAAACCTATCATTTCTGGGTAACAATCCTACCGTTGTGAGATGCCCTACGGGGCTATGCTCCCAGTATGCAACTCAGCCCACTACAGTCTCGACTGGCTGCGTCCGTGATAGCCTCATGTCTTCTACTCGTTATCTATCTGTTTCTATTCTCCCCGCAATTCGCTCTAGCCGCCGAGTTCGACCCCGTTTTAACCGATCTCGATGCGCCCGAATTGGCCTACGAAATACAAGATGGCAATCCGTCGGAAGAGTTGGACTTCCGCAGTTCAACATATGAGCCGGAGTTTGCGCTGTTTGATCGGAGCATAATAGGGAGAGTTCCTGATAATGTGGCTACAATAGCCAACAACCAAGTTGCAAAGAGCAATCTTGCCCCCGGTGTTAATATGGCCTATGTTTTCCTAGCATCTTCAGTCTCTAGCAGGGAGACGCAAGATTCGGATCAACCATTGGAGCTTCGAAGAAGTCTGAATGGAACACAGGAAGCGGCTTCGGATAGCCATGGTGATGATGACATTGCCATTGATACGGAACTTACTCGGCGGGCGACAAAAACATTATGGATATCCGCAAATACTTGTGATCAGCCTTGGCGTTTATCATCATTGACTACCATGGATCCCCCGCAGCTCACTTTATATGTCTCGACGTCATCTGACAATACGTCTCCTGGTCCGCTAAAAGGCACGACTGGACAAGATGCCATTGTATTTACAGAAGGCGCTGTCATGTACAATGTTTCTTTAGACCGAGACATTTATATGAGCGTCGCAGCTCCGAGCGTTTCGACAGAGTACTTCGACACCACAAAAGAGTACAATTTTGAACTTGTTGCTTCAACTGACCAATATTATTATTCGTATCGCAACGCTACGGGTGAAACTGACCTTATATGGGTTGACAGCGATGCAACGGCGGCTCTGCTGCAGACAAGTTTTCTAACGAATACATCGGATCAAATCCTCACTTCGATGCCATATGTTGCTTTTGCCCACAATCAGAATAATAACGTCCTTAATGGGATGCGCAACTCCTACTGTGGTTTGAGTGGATATGCTCAGGTTAGGAACCTGGCTGACGGGAGCAGCGGAATGATAACAATGGGGTTGAAAAATGGAGGTTACATGAATCTGACACGACAAGAGTTCTATGTCACCGGCCTCAATGCTAGTTCTAATTATACTGGCTTTCTCGCACGTCCTCCAGGAACGACGAGTAATTCGAAACGACAAAGTGGTTCTTCCAGTGCAGGTGGTGGTGTTGTATTTCAGCCAACTACATTCCAAACTAAACCTGGTAAGTGTACCTCAAGTTGTTTATACTCGGAGACCAAAGCTAATATCGAATGAAGATGGAACATGTACATTCATCTTTAACATGACGTTTTGTGACCAAACGCAATACGCTGTCCCTGGGAACCTGACCAATTTCCCTAATGGCACAGTCCTCGCCGAATTTTATGATAACTATACGCGAACTATGTACGACAATTTCGACAAGGTCTTGCAACAAGTTCCCTGCGAAACTAATTCGGTTGCCAAGTATTCTTTGGCCAGAAATTGCGACGACTGTAAATCTGCTTACAAGAATTGGCTCTGCTCTGTTGCTATACCACGCTGCGAGGACTTCTCGCAGCCTGACCGATGGTATCTACAGATGCGGAACATTGCGTCTCCTTTCGCAAACGGTTCATTTGTGAACCAGTCCCTAATAGATAAATATGGAGAGATGCTAGCCTACAACTCATCTCGGAACCCCATAATCGACGATACTGTTCAGCCAGGTCCGTATAAGGAATTATTACCTTGCGAGGACCTGTGTTACGATTTAGTACGAAGCTGCCCGGCCTCAATGAAGTTTAGTTGCCCGCGACCGCGGAATGAATTCACGTTTCACAACAGTTATGGACGAGATTTTGGCTCTGGCAGTTTGTCCTGCAATTATCCCGGATCTGCACACTATCCAGCTGGAGCAGACACGCTTACCCTTCCCGGGTTGGCACTTGTCGGCGCTGCAAGCATACTTTTTATGGTGCTTCTATGAGCGTATCACATTAGGCGGGAATACAGGGTCATCGATGGAAGGCGTCATGGCTTGGTCGGTCCGCACCATTTATGGTCATGTTGGACGAAGAACAAAAGTCGTCGAATGAATAGCATTGAGTAGGCGTTCTGGGTTGATATTGTCCCTTTTTTTGTTTGCAGCAAGCACCGTTGGCCCGTTGTGTAGTCAAATATTTATGAATCACGTTCGCGACTGCGCGAACTCTCCAGTTACCTTCCTCATGTTAGATCTCTGCGTGACGTCTTTGCTGGATATCGTCGATTTCCCTGCCGTGGATCTACCAAAAACCTCGGGCATATTCCGCACTCAACCTTCCAGCTACCTTACGCATACGGCTATTAATACCCATGAGTGCTGCTGCTTCTGCCACTATTTCAGACGTATTGCTTTTGTAGAGCGATTATTAAGCGGCCATGTCTGGCCAATTCCAACCGGGGTAGGTAATCGTTACACCTTTCGTGCGTTTTCGAGCTGTTCTATCCGCGCTTCGAGGTCGGCGATCGCCGCCCGCATCTCGCTCTTGATCTCGCCATGCTCTAGTCGCACCCAGCCGTAGTATGCGAACTGGTATGTGAGGATGGCTAGGAGGAATACTTTGGCGATCGGTCGGCCGAAGGTCTTGTAGAATTGTGACTATAAAGGGGGGTGTGTGAGTTTACTGCTGCTACCCATGGGTGGAAGGGAAGGGAAAGGGAAGGAGGGGTTGGCTAACGTTGGGAGACGGCGCCTGGGGGGAGGAGGGGGTTTGCGACGATGAGAAGCGCGCCCATGTGCGTTGCAGTTGGGTCGATTGTGGTAGGGTGGTGCGTCGCGTTGTGAATGTGCGCAGGGGCGCTAGCTGCCGCGCTGTTCGGAATAGCATCGTGAGTTTTTCTTTGAGGTTTCGGGAAAGCGAGGTCGAGGCGTCGTGAATCGAGTCTGGAGGGGAGTCTTTGCGATAGGTTAGAGCTTCACGTTCAAATCGTGGGGCAGATGTGATAGTGGCTTGCATAAGCCCTATCTGGTACACTTGCATAATTATTTATGTAAATTGTGCACTTAGCGTCGTAAAATGGTACATCTTATTTCGTACAGAATAAATATTTACACACATCCAGAACGTTCATCTCCCATGTTACATACATTTCTCTTCAGCTATAATTGATATACCTTCAATCTACTCGTTGCAGTTATAACGCTCGTTCATAATTCAACTCATCACAAGCAAGGTTTAGAAACTACAGGATACCTCAAGCAGGAACTCGATCCAACCGACAGCTTAATAAGTACAGCCAGTTATGTCATTCAATACTCAGGAGGCTTGCAGCTAAATGCATGAATTTCTCGCCTATCGTGATCGACCTACGAAGGTACCTGAGATAAAAGAAAACCGGTTGTAATTAATGGGGAACTCCGTTGGATAGGAACGTTTCTTTTATACGCAACTAACTACCTGAATTACGAGCTTGCTAATAAGACGCTACGTTCCTGGGCCCGCACCCTCAACTCAGATACACTCAGCCAACAGCTTCATTAATGTACGCTTGCAGTGGTGTTCAGTTTAAAGCATTTGTCGCTCGATGGAATCCTTTCGCCCTGGTCCCACTAGTAGAACAGTTAGAGTGATATGGCTCTGCTTAGGTATAGATCGAGATACTTACGTGCTCGTGGACACAACCATCAACCCATCGCCATCTATCGGTAGTCGAGTATCGTGCGTACGACATGTTTGTGCTAGAGTCGAAGCACCAAGCTGTGCCTGTTTCACTTCCTAGTTTACTTCCACCGCAGAAAAGGGGCCAAATGGTGTTAGGTCCAGACGCGTATCCTGCGTGGTGTTGCTTTAATAGATATAGCTGTCAGCACATACTCGACTTTGTTGAATTCGATTCAAGCTGTTGACTTACGATATAAGCCGAGTCGATAAGGGAAAACATCGTTCTTGGGTCGCCGTCGACCACAAATGAACGATAGAATTTGTAAGCTCTCGCAGCTGTTTCCTCCACGGTTACGGTTGGGTCAGGCTGGCAAATAGCGGGAGGCGCATTCAAATTGCACAGGTTTTCCCTCTTGGATAGATCCCCATTGCTGAAGACAGCTGGGTAGGCAAGACCAATGGTCGGCGCCAGGAGGCCTGTGGAGAGCACGTGTAAGAAGCGCATTTTCACGATAGCGAACTTGGAGATGTCAGAAACGAAATAATTCCTACATTCTCCTGGGACACGCCGTAACTATATAGCTACAACGAACGATACGCGGTATGGAGTTTCTATATTATAACGCGGGGAACTACCTAAGCCAAGATTCGGTGAGTGTTTGCTAATTTAGCCACCTTGATCTCAATATACGATAATATGTTCTGACCTTCCGAATGAAACCTAAGCGTGTTAATGCGTGTTTATGGCTATCTTGACAGACCGATTAGCGTTTAGTACTAAGCTTGGTGATGTAACACTCCGGGTAATCTCTATTAAGGTAAAGGCAGATGACAACATAGAATCATTGACATAACATGTACTAAAGTGCTTCGTTCTAACCGCGCTTAACTAAAGCTCCTCGCGAGTGTTTGGAATAGCTTTGAAAAGGCCTCGTCTGTTGTCAACCGTTGTCTTGTTAAGCTCGCAGCTATCCATTCGCTTACCCATCTCGGTACTTGCAACTGTCAACCTCAAGAAGCTATTTAGACCTGCGTAACTTCCATAAGCTACCTAATTAAATCTGTATATACGACTTCAATTCCACCCGCCATTACACTTTCGTTTTCTTGAGAAGCGTCTGATTGAATAATCTCAGGGGGAGGTTGAAGGTTCAAATGTTTTCTGTGCATAAACATCTACCCTCGTATTCATAAAACTTCATAAACCTAGCTCATGAAACGTCACTGTCAATATGACTAAGATTGGATTACATAAGTGGCTTGGAAACCCCGGTCCACGAGGCTGTCGGGAAGATCCATTTATAATATAACCCTAACTAGTTCAGGTAAGTCACACCTGCATTCGTGTTAAATTGGTAGGCAGGTCCCTGACCTGGAGCTATTCCATTATCGATAGCAGGTGTACATTTACAGACACCATGTCCATATGGGAAAGTGAATACATCTCCAACTTCTCAGATTCCCGAAATCTGTTCTCAGATGCAACTAGAATCTCTGTCGCTTCCTGCTTGAGTCATTCATAAGACCGCGTTAGGGACGGCATCGAGTTGCGACTCTGCTCTTATATTAATTTATACTATACACGTTCAATTGGGTCCCTTAATTCTATCCCCCTAAATTCCGGTCTCCGATTTCATTCCGTGCTTAGACGATTTCCGCCCCTTCATTTACTACCTAACTTTCTTATACATATATACAATGGTATGTCTATAGAGTTTTGAATTTGTCAAAGTCATGGTGTTAATTGAGGTATCTAGGCCCAAACACTAGAGCAGCGAAGGCGGAACGCCAAATTCGTTAAAGACCAAGATGCCCGTCGCGGGAAGTCGGAGAACGACATCAAGAAGCGCGGCAAGGAGTCGACTAAATCGCCTATTTCACTCTTCTGGCTCGGTAAGTTCCACCTTAGATTCACACAGCTGTGCTGTTAAGATATTCGAGAGAAGACTAACTTGTGTCCGCACGTAGGTATCCTCGGCTTTGTCGTTTTCGGTGGCCTGATTTTCGAAGTCATCTCGCGCATCTTCTTCCGATGAGGAACTACATTTACCGAGCGCGAATAGTGTTGTCACCCGGGCCTAGTCGAGAATAGGAATCCATTGGGAAGGATTTACTAAGATCTATATGGCTATGGTTTACAGGAGGAGCCCGGGTTGCAGGTTAGGTTGGCGATGTCTTATTAAGTTATATGGGACATTCAACGCGTACACATGTATAACCACCTAGGAGAACCATATGATACCTGAGCGTTAGCTCTATGAGAACAATTCGTCTTTCCGGAAGTCAAGTTAAGGCCCCGTTAGTCTTACATCCATTTTCAATAAAAGTCATCTCACGTACGATCTTCTGATTGTGAAAATCCGGTTGAAAATTCAGAAAAGAAATCGAGCACAAGTTTCACGACTTGACAGGGCGATATATTACGATAATCGATTTCGCATTGGTATTAGGAGAACAGCTAAACTGATCCGGTAACCATCCTGCGACTGCAAGTAACCTACTAATTCATGTGGTATAATTGACCCCCGTGACCTTTTCAAACGCCATTCTCATATCGGTACATTGCGCAAGTAATCATGCTCCTAGACCCCTTTTCTGTCCCTGGCCATCATGCTTCATTCTCATCCCGGCATCGAACTGACGTTCTAAATCATGCTGCACTTGGTTGATGTAGGTTTTTGTCGTAGTAGAGGCATTCTGGTTGTTTGTGGCATTGCTTCCGTTGGACTTGACTCCGAGAAGCTTAAGAAACTTTGCCTTTCTCTTGTCATCACCCTCTAAGGCTTGGGCATTCCACTGCTCGCCGCCGTTAGTGTTCGATCCTCCTTCGGCTGTGGTGGAGGACACGTACTCCTCAGCGTGGTCTTTCTTCTGTCGCTTCTTGTCCTTCTTTCCCTTTGGAGCTTCCTCTTGAGAGCCGGCGCCCTCGGCAGTCTGTTCTAGCTTTCTCTTCTTGTCCTTCTTGCTCTTCTTTGCCTTGGGCGCCTCCTCTCGAGAGCTAGCTTCCTTAGTAGCCTGTTCCAGCTTTCTCTTCTTTTTCTTCTGCTCAGGTGCCTCTACGTCACCAGCATTATCATCACTGGCTGTGTCATTGGTGGCCTCATGCGATGCGTCTTCCTCGGCCTTGCGCTTCCGTTTCTCGGCCTTCTTCTCGTCTTTTTTCTTGTGTTTTTTCTCCTTTGATTTTTTGGACTCTTCCTTTGGGGGTGCGGTGCTTTTATCAACGGAAGACTTCGCTGTAGCGGCTTCGGCAGCGGGTTGTTCGTCGAGAGGAATGTAGTCATCGTCCTCAGGATCAATAGCCATCTTCTTAATCGCATTCAACAGCTTGTTCTTATCAATGGGCCCCTTCTATATTTACGGTTAGAGAACAAATAATATGAGCCGAGTAAATTGGAATTGTATGCCGCACCACCATTTGCGTGTCTAAGATATCAGCGTGAGCTTTGGCTTTGTGCGCCTCGGCCATCATCTTATGCGCATACGCTTCTAATTTCTCAGCGCGCTGGCGCATGCGCTTGTAGCGCTTCTCTAGCTTGAGCGGTTCGTTTTCTAGCTTCTTAAGTTTGTCGGCTGCTTTGCGCTCGGCGGTCCATTTCCCGGCACGGGTGACATTCGCTTTTCGTGCTTGTTTGGCCTCGGATTTAGCATGGCGTTTCTCTTTTCGGGCTTCGGTTCGTGCGAGTCGCTGCTCAGCTTTTCTCTTCTGCTTGGCCTCTGAAGTAGGTTAGCAACCTATGTTATCGCCCGCTATGAAATCACTGTTACCTTTAGTCTCAGCCTCCATTTTGAAAGGAATCGATTGCTGAAAGAAAATGGATAAATAAACTCAGACTACATTTAAGGTAGGTGGTTAGGTTACTATCGGCGAAGTTTTGAGGAAGAGTTAAAAGCTCACTGCATATGCTCTGCTGTTAGTCAAACGGTTTTTTTTTTTCGTTATTTTTGGCAGCGAATCTTTGGCTCGAAAAAAAGAAAAGAAGATCCATGGATAGTAGCAAATTCTGCCGCGGGGAGTAAAGGCGGTGTGGATAGTGCACGGAAGGTGCAGGGATGTAGGCTGTTCCACAAGCCGCCAGTACCTAACCCACCTGTTCAGCTGGTCGCTGGTAACTTGGAAGGCGTGAATTGACTTTGGGAAGAACATAAACATCAAACTTTACAGCCTTAGAAGCTATTCCTTCCTAGTTTGAAGGATCTCCTTTGAAACTAAATTTGATCTTTTTAAATATGATTTCCACTTGATTACCACTAATGTGTGGCCACTTCTTACTATTATCTAGATCCCCTCTATTTATTATTGTCATACTTAAATCACCTTAGGTACATCTGTGTATGACCTCAACAATTCCCCGAGTATTTCCTACCACAACGAACAACAACATTAGCTACGATGTCTAATTTCAAACGAGCGCCACAAAATGGCGCGGCGCCAAAGCCGAGTATTCTTAGCACATTAAGAGCAACGTCAATGATAGAGTCGAAAACCGCATTGCCAGCGGGTAAGGATGACCGCCTTATTGCTAACAAGTTGGATGCTTACCTTCAGCCGTAGAAATTCTAGAATCCATCCTCAGCTATTTACCAGTACCAGATCTTCTTCGGTTTGCCAGGACGTCGAAACGAATGTGTGAAATGGTTTATGATGATACGAGATGGGTCGCAAGGTTAAAGAGCATGGGATGTTGGAATGAGTTAGAAGCTAGGAGGAGGTTCGAAGAGGCTATGAAAAGAAAACGGGATGCTGCAGCACGACCGAATGCTAATGGCGGACCAACCCCGAACGCTGCGAGACAATCTACTTTGACGATATTTGATGCTGCACTTGAAGAAGAACGTCGAAAAGCCCAAGAAGAAAAGGCTTCTCAACCCCAGGCCCAGGAATCAAGACTCGACGGATTTGAAACATTAACCCTGAACTCATCGCAGCCCAAATCACCGTACGAAGATCCAGCTGCACTACTTGACGTCCTCAAGAATGTTAGAAGTATACGGGGTCACGCGAGACAAGAGTTCGGAAAAGTTTACGGCGCTCTGGCGCCATTTTATTTCGACCTGGCTCGAGCGAAAACTCATACCGAACCGATTGTCTTTAAAGTATTCCGGGACCCCGAGAGACAAGCACAAATGCTGGCCAATTTGCAGATCTTCGGGAAAAGCGATTGGACTCAGGGATTTCTACAACGGGAATCTAAGCTCATAAACATGATGACCATCTTTGAAAGCGCAGTCCTAAGAGAGTTCGAGCAGGGTTACGAATTTTGGGACGTGGATGGTAGAATGCGGAGGTACGCACATATCATGCATACCTTGAACGGTGGCAACGCAGCTGTGGACCTCTTCATCCACAAGCATCCCATCCTTAATGATCGTGGAATCCTAGGTAATCCGATGGAGTGTGTTAACACAGTTGCCCACGACGACCTCACACTTGATCCTTCTCGAGTGTTCTTCGACTCGCTTGCAAGAAAGCTAATCGAGCAGAGTGAAGTGATCGGTCGTATCTTCCCACAACCGGCCAATGTCTTCTGGGCCTTTGTGGACAAAATTCGGGAAGAAATTATCATGGAATACGTCACTCCTCTATTGGACGAATGCCATGACCGATACATGCCTTCCTATCTACGAGCAGTATCTGGCCTATTCGAACAGTGTATGCATTTTGTTAAGTCGTTGGTTCCACCAAAGGGTTCAGGAGAGAGCCTAGACGATCACGCAAAGTACATAGCATTGAGGGTATTCGAGCCCCACCTAGACCTATACCTTCAAGAGGAGCTGGATAGCCTTACGAAGTATGCTGAACGCGAAGTTGATAGTTGGGAACAGAAGCTTTCAGAGCAGGATGCATCAGTCGAGTCCTTTTACATGGGCAATTTCAACAGACAGGCTGACAAGAATGATTTCTTAAGTTCCTTTAAGAAGGTCGTCATGATGCCAGTCACCGTCTTGCCTAGTGCCATTTCACCTTTTGGGATTAGTAAACCGGCATCAACATCGACTAGTAATAGGGATTCCGCATTTCGGCCATCGATAAACGGTACGCCTACATCGTCCCGGCCTCAAACACCGGGACTTGGTGGGGCCTCGGAACGGAACGGCAGTGGGAACGGGAACGGGACTCCTTTACCCTCTGAAGCACCTAACGATGAACTTAAAGCGAAAGCTGCGCTAATGGCGAACCGGCTCGAAGGGATTAGGAGTCTTTTCAGCATCGAAGTCGCTCTCAGCCTAGTGCGTGCTGCGAAGGAGAGCCTCGGTAGGGCTTCCAAATTTGTCACGCTCGGCGGCCAGGCCGGCGAAGAAGCTCGAGAGCAATGCGAAGCCATGTTCGTGGTTCTAGTCAAAATACTCGGCCAAACACACGTTAAGAACGGGTTTTCAAAAGCAGTGGAGCATCTCGGCCGCTACAATCCCCGCGAGATAAGTGATCATAGCCAGACCGGAGTAGCACCACTTGTCATGTTCATTGAGTTGGTCAATGTAGGCGATATCATCTCACAGATGATAGACGTGTTCTACGAACAGCAGCTTGCGGCACCGAAAATCGCAGATCGTAACGATTTTCTCGACCCCGCAGGCCTAGCAAAAAAGAAATTCGAACAGATGTTGGACGAAAATGTTGCGGCAGGTCTGAACAAAGGCATAGACGTTTTGATGGATGAAGTCGAATATCTATGCGGTACAACACAGCTTCCTACTGACTTTAATCCACTGCCACCTTCGCTAGAAGCCGGAGTACCACCTACCGATCCAGATATTGGCCCAACTGTAACAGCTAAACGCGTTACCGATCTTGTAGCTTCTCATACAAAGATGCTTGTTGGGAGTACGGAGAAGACCATGCTCGATGTGTTCAACAGCGAAGTTGGGCTTCGTTTGTTCACTGCCGTTTGCAAGCACATTAAACGTCAGCGTATAAGCACCGACGGCGCAATCAAACTCATTGCGGATATGACCATGTATTTCGAATATATCCGGACGCTTAAGAACCCAGATCTACTGGCATATTTCAAAGCGCTGCGAGAGTTAAGTCAGATCTACCTCATCGATGCACGACATGCCAAAGAAATGGCAACCATCATTGCTGACGGCGACCGATTTGGCGGCATATTCCGTGCCGAGGAAGTGTACGAATTTGCTGAAAGAAGGGCCGACTGGTATCAGGTTAAAAGGGATGTAGAGAGGGCGATGTACGGGCTTGAGTGCCAAGTTATGTAAAGGTATACTTCGAAAAGCAGAATCCATCGCCTTACGCATATCGAATCGATTCAAGCTAGTAACGCCAGCTACAAAAACGAGCGATTCAGATCCGAAAAATAAAAAGTTTAACAATCATCATGAAGTCTTTGAGAGGCGACACATAAATGAGATTGGGGCTCGTGGAATGAGATGTGTCAGCGGCGTAGTTCGGTTAGGGGCCTCAATAGCCCCGGAGTGCCAATCATCGACCAGCTGTGTCAACAATCTCCTTCGCAAGCTCTGATGATTCACGGAGCCCGTCATAAGCTTACGGTACCCTCAACTCTAATCGAATAAGGGCCGTATCTCCCAGAGAGTCTGATTTGTGTAAATTTCCCCGGGGGTATAAGCGAACCATGTCGTTGGGATGGAACATGCATCGAACCTACTTCGAAGGTCTCCCATGCTGGGTTGGAGGCAAATCCGGCCGACCCCGTATGGTCGCCGAAACGCCGGTAGCATAGCCCTTCTTACTATCATGTTCGGCAAACCACGTGCGCCTCTTCGAGTGTCGCTGCATCACCGGGTTGTCCGTCTTCGGGCTGCTAGATACGTTGGGTTCTGCGGCATATCTCAAGGAGATAAAATGTGTTCGACGAGGTGCCTATACGCCGATCATAATCGGGATTCAATCTCGATAAGGCGGTGTGATTTCAATCACCGACCAAAGAGCGTAAGATGAAGCTTGCCTAAGCTTAGAAAATCCAGACGCCGGGTATCTGTCGAGAGAGCTTGTTTTACATTCCGCAAAATGTTTCAGTTCTCATCACTGCATAGCCGGGATCCTTGAACGTTGTTTATAGCGAACCAATGGTCACTACGATACCCCAGGGTAGAGTATACTGCTTACACTAGATACGCCATCTCAGAAGTAGCCTCCTAGACTGGAGGCGCTACTCGCCATTTTGGTGTTTGTGCAAATGCCTACGTTACTGTCTGACTCAGTGACGCGGGGAGCATCACAACCGGGATATAGACAGATGCCAAGAGAGCTTAACGACGCTTATATTCCTGACTGACCTAGGATATGATTGGTCTTTTGGCCAAGCCAGGTGCTGCTTATGCTGCTTGTTTATGTAATGTGTCGATCGACCATTGGTTGCTGTTTTATATTGCAGAACACTAGTCGCAAATGGACGGCTACAGCGTCTAATTTTCCCACAAGCTGACGGTTCTATTCTGGTGGATGATACAATGCACACAACCTTAAACCCCCTTCGCTCTAGAGCGTCTTCTAATATACACCATACGACAAAATCGAACGTTCTGAACCGCTGTTCGGTGTTGGTAAAAGGCAGGCTTGGCAGTTCACCGTAAGACAGCCACGGCATTACCTCCCTAGTTACATAGTAGGCTGTTGCTCACAGACGCCGATGAGTCGGATATTCGAGATTACTTACCTAAATACTCAAGTCCGCATACCTTGTATTGACGGTCCGCTGCCGGAAGGCCATAATTAGCGCTCCCTCGAAAAAGACCGGCAGCTTGGCAAGGCGGAATGATCACTCTATTCACACCATAGACGTGGGAGCCAACCCGATTCCCCTCCATCGGTGTCGCTTTTGATAGATTACATGTCCGGATGGGACTATCAACAGAAACATAACCTCTGCTACATTGTAAAATTACGATAGCTGAGCAGTCGGAGTCTAGCAGTTATTGTTTTAGGGCTGGCAGGTTTAAAATTGATCAGCCCTTCATCTTGCAGCATGCAGTGTGACCACACACAGCCTAGCGAGTCTCGTGGCTACGGGTGGTATACCTAGTCATCTATCCACCACACACACTTCAATACATTTTCGGGTATCACAGATATGCTTAACAGTTAAGCATACCTACTAGGTACTATATACCCTTGTTCTCGTAGGATCTCCCCCACTCACCTTAAATCAATGGAATAGGGGACCTAAGTCTCAATCTGAACTCGAACGGGTATGCAGCAAGGTGATGAGCATACCCTACCCTGCCCGGTACCTTTGTGAAGCCAAGGACGATCCTTTCCTAATCGTTAATATGGACCATGTTAAGAATCCTGGACAATGTCGAAGAAACGGAATTATTTACCTGTCAATTTCAGCCGCACGAGAAACTAGCTTGATCTCTCACGAAGAGAGATCCAATTTAAGGACGTCTTACAACCATGACCATCTCGTTAGTCTCCGCTGCCGGTCGGTAGACGCCGAAACATGGCTTGAAAGATAACATAAGCCCTCGGTAGCTGTGTCGGGAACCATCTCATTCAAACCTCACTACACATTAATCAAAGGTCACGAGACTCCCAAAAATAACCAACTATGTGCTCTATTACAAGTACGCATAGCGAGGGGAAATAAGAGAAGATACCAGATACAAGTATGTTATTAATATTTCGGGGAAATTTTGATAGGCGACATATTGGAACCCCTATCCTAGGATCGTTCTAGGCTCCGTGGACGAGCTCCGGCAGTCCGATCTGTTCGGCATGCATCCTCGTCTGGCGCCTACTTTTATTCGCTATGGGATATGTCTAGACAATTGCTAAAACAGACGTCTGGAGAACTACACCATCATCCTTTTTTGGCATTCTCGTATTCCATCTCATAATATAGAGGCTTACTAGTATTTCGTCCACGACGAATAAACGAGGGGATACCATTAGTCGATGATCGCTAAATTTGACTTCATTCAAACAGTGGACCTAAAGGCGGCATATCAAAGTCACCTGTTACCTAATGCAAGCTAATCTGCGTACCCTTCGCCCTACGATCTGTGTTCAGGTCTTGATAAATGCCAAGAACGTCTAGCCCATGACATGTCGTTTCCCTTTCTGGACTAGACCGAATCCGTATTTCGCATTCTATCCCTCTTCCCCATGGGTCTTGATGGGGGTCGACTTTTACCCGTGGCTATGCCCTGACGATCATATCTCTAGCTTCAACGGCTTGTCGCCCTTGGTTAGGACGGGTCGGTGTGGCTTGGGGATCTAGAGAGGCGGGCATTTGGGCGTTATTTGGTCAAGATGTAAGAAACGCAGCAACACTACATCGTGATAGGTGTAGACGATGACATTCTCATTAAAGAGTCCTTGGATATGTCCGCCTATTTGGTATATTTGGTACAATGACCGCTTAACGCTTTACGCTTTAATCTCATCTGATCTCCTCCCCCCGTCCTCTTACCGCAGGATCGGGGTATGTACTGCATGTCTAACCATAACTGCTAACCAGCGTGTTACCATCGGGTTACAATCGTGGCTTGAATCTAGGTTGCTCCATTGTTACTTCACCGTCTTTGCATGTCAATTATCCACGCTTGACTACCGTATACGAGTAGTACCTATGTATGTCATCCCGTCTCAAGACCCAAGTGGATATCACTATACCATACCCTGTAAGCCTTGTTAAGTCGCAAGTTGTAACCCCAGCTTCGCCAAAGGTACTCCTACAGAATATTCCATGGCAGCATGGTCACCTAATGTACATACCTAGGTAGGTAATAGCTTGTGAGATATACCCCTGTCATCAGCCTTATGTAGTTTCAAAGTTACATCAACTCCCGTAGAGGGAAAATGGCCCCCAAACCGAGTTGAAGCCCGTTCAGGGCTTCGATGGCTTACCAGCTTTATCTCTCTACCTTATATCTGAGAGAATATATATGACAGGTCGTTCGCGAGTCGCGAGATTTTCAAATATTTTCAAACACTGTCCTCTCGACTAAATATCTTCAAACTCAACTACCAGTTCAAACATCGACGATTATCGAACAAAGATCGTATAACACAACGATAGGTCGCACTAACAGTCATATAACCTTGTTATATTTTCATAAATCCGAATAAAACGGTCCACAGCGAAATTAGGCTTCAACGGAGGCATTAAAAAAAAGCAATGGCTTCGAGACCATCTAAGAAGCCTGAACCAAGTTCGAAAAAGCAACAAAAGCCTAGGTCGAGACAACTAAACGATGATTGGGCGGACGTCGCAGAACCCGAAGAGAGGAGGCGCATCCAAAATCGACTTGCCCAACGAAAATTTCGTATGTGACGCTATGTACCTGGTCTTCCGTGAGACATGGCTAACAACGGACGAATAGGAGAGAAGGCTAAAGAGCAGAAAGAGAAAGCCGAGAGGGAATCTCACAATCTTAAAAACGCCCACAGCAGTTATCAACTTCCTTCATCGGACGAGATCACGTCGGATGACGGAATAGATCTTTCAGGTTTACCATGGGGGAGCATGAGCATGAGGCATGTGCTAGCTATGGGCTACGAGACGGAGAGTAGGCGTAGCGGAGGAAGCGGAGGCGACAACACACCAACAGAAACACCACAATACTACACAACAACCGATTCCTATCAACAATACCAGGCAACCAGTTATGGTGATAGTTCGAATAGCAGCGGCGGGGATGATTACTCCTATCAAGATATACCGTCCTTCTACTACGACTTGAATACAGATAATGGGCATAACTCCTATCACCAAACATAGGAGCTATAGGAGGGACACACAAAAAGAGAAAAAGGAGGGGGCACTGGAGGACACAGAAGTGGCTGAGAAGATGCATGAAGCATTTCCTCTATTGAATTAATTTCCTTTCCTAGACTTGAGGCTGAGGATGTTGCTGGCTTCCGGTTGGTCAGGATACGACTGGTAACGATATGCGATGATGGGTTATTAGAAGGCGTTACAGCATAAAATTTCCTTTTCTAGATTTTGTTATTGTTATACAGCAATTGCTTTTACAAAAATACCCATTTCAACAATACTGTACCATTATTACCTACAGTTTTTGGTCACCTCAGGCAAAATATACATACTTACTTATTTATCTGCCTACTTCACCTATTCGCTGAATAATGTCTGCCTGCTTCTTGGCTCATTTACGAAGCAAGGGACTTGTTGAAGTGAGACAAACAGATACCGAGCCACGGATCCGGGTGAGTTGCGGTGTATAGAAGAGTCAGCCGGCGACGACGATGAAACTAGCGCGCGCCCGGTTCAAAACACATAAACCTGCTCATCATGATTCATGAGAGATGAGCCTCACCAGTACGACGTATCGCAGATACGACAAGTATAGCCGAGCCGATATGTAAGGGATGGACGCGGTCACAATAGACTATTCGTCCTGTCAGCCCTACCTACAATGGCATGACGCAGGGGAACCACGCGATTTCGAATACCTAAAACTAGCCAGCCTATGCCGTCTACCTAATCATCAGCTCGAAAAGGGGCTCCACCCTCGGTCAAGCTCCTGGACGACAGGAACCCCGGAGAAAAGGGTGGGTGGCATAGAGATTACCTAGGTAAACATCAAGACAGCTATACCCATCAACGGCCATGTGGATGGAAGCACAGCACGAAGGAGTGGATAATAAATTACCTACATACATATACAGGAAGGAATATCAATAGAAAAGTTCCTTCGGACCGTTCGGGCAGGCTTCTAGAAAGTGACCCCAGGAAAAAGAAGCGAATCCCACGTGTGAGATTGAGCGTCGCGGGATTCCTATAGGCCAGGCGTGGGTAACACATATTATTCCATCCGGACGGATTCCATATACATATGTAGGTCTAATAGGGCTAGCTGACATTACTCGACTCAGCTGAAACAACGGCGATCGACACGGACACACAAAGATACGCTATGGATACACACACGCGCGCACATACATACGCACATCATCAGCTTACATATGTACGATGCCCTAGCCTACCTTTGACATACAAGTACCTACCTACCATTACATTACATAACACACCACACTCCAATATAGAGAACCAGCGCCCAGCAACGGAGCTGCGAGCGTGCTGCCGGTCCGGTGTGACTCGTTCGAATCACGTTCGTTCTCGGCATCTTGGCTCGACGTCAATCATTGCACCATTCGCTAGCACAATACGACGTAACCACAACCACCGACGCCCCGTAACTCGCGTCCAGAGACCACTTCCCCGTCGACTACATATCTACCTACCTACCTATAACAATGCGAATGTCTCACCCATCTGACGATAGCTACCTAGCTAAGTACGCGACGCATACCTACCTACCCACCTAGATGTATCCCCAATCCTTCACCTGAACACCAACTAGCGCAGATCAGCGGGTACCTATAACGCGTGCCTAGCCATCATACCTCGGCACACCAAAACGCGCGTAATGCACCCGGATAAGGTTAAATTAAAATGACCAGCCGCGCCCCGTCAGCCATCCGGCCGAGTCGGGAAGGTGTAAAGCCACGAGAGGAACGGGGCGCCAACCCGCGTGCATATATGTGCTTATCCCTACTTGCCTAGGTAGCCTTCCCGGGGCGTGTTACGCGGAAGTAGATACTACATACTAAGGTGCTTTTACGGGGCGACGCCGCATGCTATGGTTTGCAGGAGGGGTGTGTGGCGTTGCGTAGGTAAGGGAATAGGGGTTAGTCAACCTCGACGCCCCGGTGTATCTAGTTAAATTAGTAGTCGTGAGGAAGATACGTAGATGTTTTCGACACCGAGATGGATGGCGCGTTACTCACCTGAAGTCCACACTTCATCTCATGCCGAACTATATTGACGCTAGCTCGTACATCAAGACGAATAAGGTGAACGAATTCCACCACCTACTAGGTATGCAAGATAGAGTAAGTCAGCACAACCACAACCGCCCTAAGAAAAAGAGACCGATTCTTTGCAATGTCGATTCTTTGAAGCTCATGAGGTAAAAAAACAAAAAAGCAAGTTTGGAACAAGCAAAGTATCTAGGTAAGCAAAGCAGCAAATAGCAATGGTATCTCCCATAGTGACTCCGTAACACCTTGCTTCGTGTAGATCCATCAAAATCATGGCGAAACTGGTGAAAACCCCCCCAATGTATATGCCTAAGAGCATATCGTACATATCCATTTATCCAGTTACCCCATCCCGAGCGGTCATTTTATCGTATATATGCCGCAAAGAATGGGGTCTACTCCGTCTCCGTCTCCGCCTCCGCGCGTCTCGCCTCCGCGGCTTCTCCTGCGAGGAACCCCATTACGGCGGGGTTGTTCCTTCTCGCGTCGTCCGCATCGGCTTCTCTAACTTTCTCTCTGGCGACGTGGCCGAACAGGCATTGCCAAAGATCGTCGACAGGTACGATCTCGCCGAGCCTCAAATCCTTGTTCATGAGCTTCGACGGTTTTGCTTCCTCGAGAGCGCGCGAGTTTGCCGCCTCGAGGTTGAGATCCGATAATTCTGACATGCCGTCGCTGACGGTGCCCTCCCCGCTATTGTTGCGCATGTGTTCAAGCCGGCGCTGAACAGATAAGTTATAGATTGATTCCTCTACGGTGCCGTCTATCAGGTACAACCATACGGTGGTATCATGCTCCTGGCCAATGCGGTCCACTCGAGCGATTGCCTGTAGTTCTAACGCCGTGTTGAGGAGAGGTTCACAGAGGAACACATGACTTGCGTTGATGAGGTTAAGTCCGCTAGCGTGTGCCCTAGCATCCATGAGGAAGCATTCGATTGCCGGATCTTCCTTGAATTTCTTGATTCCGTTCCTCGTCTTAAAGGATGTATGCCCGATCTGATACGAATCAAAGGCATCTGCCAGAATTTCAAGAAAACCTGGGAATTGTGAGAATATGACAGACTTGGCGCCTGGGTCTTCCACGCGTAACCAGATCAGATGTCTTGCAAGTGTATCGATCTTGGTGGAAGTTCGCGCGCCTGGAAGTTCGATGTTCCTGATAGCCTCAAGTTTCTCGCTGCCAAATTCGGAATATATCCCAGAGTTTCTCGACTTGGAGGGTGAGTTAGTGGCACTTGGTCCATGCGGATGCTCTTGCGCGCCCCCTGGGAGCTCTTGGCGAATTCTCAACTCCGGCTTCTTCAAAGTAATATCGTGAAGCATCCCAATCACGAGGAACTTCTTGCATACCGGGCAATTATATTTGCTTCTAAACCAATGCAATATGCACTCTTTGCAGAATTGATGACCGCAAGGCGTGAGTACTCCTAGAGCGAAAGGGCATTGGCAGATGACGCATACTTCCTCTTCTTTCTGGCCGGACTTTTTGAGGTGGAGGACTATGAAGTCGGTTAGTATGATTCAAATCGACTATGCAATTGGAAATAAACTCACGGTAACGGTGCTTGGGCAGTGCTTCGTCAATTTTGTCCTTTATTCTACTCGCCTTTAGCTGAGTATGATTTAAATCCTCGGTAGTGGCCTTCTCCTCATCAAGCGGAGCAACTGTATCGGAGATTCCTTGGAGCTGTTTGTAATATTCCACACGAGCATTTGTCGCGGCGACGAATGTATTCAACTCTGACTCTAGCGCTATCACAGACTTACTTTGGATAGTGCTATGTTTTTGTACGAGGTGAAGTTGACTTTCGACGATCTCCAGCTCCACTCTTGCGCGGTTCTTCCCACTGTCGACCTCATGGCGGAGTTTTGTCGCCAATTCTCTTAGGTTTGTGACAATACCTCGGAAAGAGCCCCATTCAGGATTCGGCTTAAGTTCCTGGCGTCGCCTGAGTAAATAGAGAACTTTCTCAGGGGCATGACCTTGTCCGTCCTTTGCTTGTCTCTCTGCAAAACGAGTATCATATTTGATACGCTCATTTTGCAGGCCCGAGACAGCATCTTGCCGATCCGCAATGGCAGCTCTTAAAGCCAGCGTGTAAACCATCAGTTCGTCCTGAAGCTTCGTAGAGTCTTCGTACTCTTCGCCTGTTATCTCTGCCTCATCATCTTCGTCTACAAGCGGCCGAACCAACATCTGGATGATGGTTTCTCGCCATTCATCAACCAAGTCTGCTTGTTGATTAAGAACCTCAGCGAGCATCTGGAAGGTTTCCAGAAATTTTCGGCTTTCCAGGCCATGGTAATCAGGAAACTCTATTTCGGGAATCTCGGCAAAGGATTGCGATTTCGCCTTATCTTGGGCTTTGGCTATTGAAGACGTGACCTTGGTGTAAGCCTCATGTAACAGCTCCTGTCGGGTTATCTTGGCTAGTTGGTATTGGGAGACCTCCTTATCATCCAAGTCTTGGAATTCCTTTGAATCAGGGATGATATTTGCCTCGTCAACCTTCAATTGGTAGTAACCGCTGGCAATAAAGAAAAGGGTCCGATGGAGGACGTCGAGTATCGTCCGAAGTCTGCGCCGGCAATCACCAATTCGTCCTGGTCCACTTTCGCCGTCAAGATCTTCGTCTTTTTGGGGACTCGTGATGCTATCGGCACCTATCTGCTTTGCCTTATCCAACTCTTCTTGTAGTTGGGTTCGGCATTCTACCAGAAGAACTTCGGTCTCATCCAGAACTTCTTTCCAAATTTGCATTGCTTCCTTGACCATATTTAGGCATTCTAGAATCTGGCCCATTTTTAATTTCTCAAGTAAGTAAAGCCGTTGATTCGATCTGATCTGGAATTCGGATTGCTCGATCATCGCGTCTAGCACCTCATCGACAGTCCGTAAAGCTTTCCTCTGATCTCTTCCAAGGCGGGTGGGTCCAAGCGAGGGATGCAAGGTTGCTTGTCGAAGAGAAGCAAGAGCACTTTGAATCTGACTGATTTTCAATGGGTTCAAAGCATCCCAATCCTCCCGTAAAGATTCGCCAGTCTCATCCTCGGTAATAGTTTTCACCACCTCTAAGAACTGCTCTTTGTAACGCTGTTCCTCGACTGCGGTGAACGGAATGGTTATGACATAGCGGTTCTGACGTGGTAACGTCAACTCAGCACGAACAGCACGCTTCGTATGTCTTAGGGCGATTCGATTGAAAAGGGGCTTGAACAGATGTTTATGCGAAGTAATCAATCCTTCCCATATGGGTGTAGAGGATGCGAAAGGCTCATAGCGGAGGAAAACCAATAAACCCCATAGGTCCTTGATGTTCTCTTTAATCGGAGTTCCAGTTATGCCCCAAGAATTGATGCGAGGTATCAACCTAGCAACCTTGGCAGCATTGCTGACGCCGCTCTCGATTTGTTGCGCCTCATCTAGACATACCCTCCACCAACAGATCTCAGCCAGGGGCGACTTAGGGCGCTGATATTTCTTCTCGTGCCTTAAAGAACGGTCGGGTGCCTGCTCAGCGAAGTAAATCTCGGATTGTAGGGTGTTGTAAGTTGTGATAACAACATCCTTTCCGGCCAGTTTCGAAACTAGGTATTCGTCATATCCCTTCAAACCCTCATAAACCATTATGTTTAGATGCGGCGCATGGTTCTCAAACTCCGCAATCCACTGGTTTCTCAATGTCAACGGGGTAACAATCAGAGTCGCACCACTAGCAATGCCGTTCTGTGGTGGTAGATTAGCCGATGCCGGTGACTTCTCACGAGTATGCGTGCATATGAGGGAAATAGTTTCGACTGTCTTGCCTAGACCCATTTCCTCGGCAAGGATTCCACCTCTTATGGCGGCTTCACTTCTGCGGAAGGGGGTAATGTTCCTATTCACGACGTGATAGAGATCACTCAGGTAAACCGACTGCCCATTTGCATCCTCAACTTCCTTAAAGGATAACGGAAGTGTTGTAGCTGACGTCTCAGCTATCTGCTCCAGACCAGGCTCTCCGTTGGCACATTCATCCTTCCACTCGACCCCTTCCCTATTGAGAAGCCACTGTAAGGCCCTGCGCTGGAAGGGGAACAATGTCGACGTTAATCTAGGGGGTGTAAGGGAAAAGGGATCCGAGTGGCTCTTCTGGGAGATGAATGCGGCATCATAGAATGCCCAAGGTGACAGCTTTTCGTTAGAATGTTCCTCATCTGGAGTTCGGAAGAATGTGTCGAGGACCGTACGACTGAGTGCGCGCTGGGGACGTAGGATATCCGTAGACGAATTCCAATTCAATTCGACATAGAATCGTATTTCATCCCTCTTGCCACTTCTTTCCAGCTCAACCATGACGCTCACCCAGAGTGCGCCGTCTTCCTTGTCGTCATCTTTGCTCTTGCCTAGGATTTCCAGGATTGCTGACACATCTTCGGAGAATTTGGAGTGACCTAGGCTTAGCTCGGACTTGAAAGAGCCATAGGGCGATCGAGGGACTGATGAAACGGTTAGGGTACGTCGTGTCTCATTATGAACCACTTTGATGTGGTGGTGAGCATTTACCCTCGTAACGGGTGCTGTGACGGGTACTTCGGATTGGGCAGGTCGCCTGATTGTAATTATATCTTTGGCGATAGGGATGGCCTCGGGGCGTTCAATTCGGGCGCGCTTTTCAGGAGGCTCAGCGGCGCCATCGTCTTCATCAGAAGGTATCGCATGCAAGAAGGAGAGAAAGTTGATGGGGAATGGGTCTGGAGATCGTCAGCGGTATCACTAAAGCGCAAATTAAATCAGAATGTACCTTTTACTAGGACATGCTGTAGTTTTGATTTTGTGTTCGGACGATTGGCTACAGCTGGGGCTGTGAAGCCACTTGGCTCATTCATGGTGAAGCAAGATTGTGTGCCGTGAAGCGCAGAATGCGCAGTTGAGATGGACGGTGGTACAACGAATTGAATGCGTGGGTGATACAAGGGGACGGAGGCTTTGAAAGGTGTTATGTAGAGGAATTGGAATTTGGTGTCGTATGGTGTCGTATAAGTAATATGGTCAAGTACGAAAAAAAAGAAGAAAAGAACGTGAAGAGTAAGGCTGTGGTAGTGGATATATAGAATGGAAGTAAACGAGAGTGCTAAGATGCCATTTCTTCGAGGGGCAAGACAGGTGGTACAGCACCTTATGTCCGATAAGAGCTGTCCCCCACTATTTTGACTCACAATCGCGTGCATGCCTGCAGTAGTTGAACCTAAAAAGGTTAGTATCATCACCCCACCATTTAAGCACTGTCATTTCCCAGGTTGCCTGGTCCCTCAGGGCTGAAAGTGGGTATGTACTTGGGTACAATGGGCGCACAGACCCATCGGAGGATACAAATTTCCTTTGCCGACATCTCCATTGAATTTTCAATGCTTGAAGCTACGAATTGAGCAGATACGATCGTGAAGCCAATTCATTCACTCGTATCCCACCAAAACATCAGATACTATACGAACAATTAAATCCGACAATCAAACATAAGACCAAACCAAACCAAACACCCGAACGGATTGGGGAATCACCGCCAAAATGGTGCGCATAAAGGTAAACCCCCTCCCCAAACCCTCCCTCCTCACCACCATCGCTGACCAAACCTCAACCATCTAGCCCTTCCTGCGCCCACAACAACTGCGCACCGCCTTCACCCCCCTAAACCGACTCTCCCCCTTCCAAACCCTCCAACAACAACAAACCCGCCTCTCCTCAACGCACCCCCCTCACCCCCCCGCAATCCCCCCCCCAACGCCCTTCGTCCCAGACGTAACAACCTTCCTACGAGTAATCGGGCGGGGGCTGCTAACCCACGCCTCGAAATTCCCGACCTGGGACGCCCTCTTCAGCCTCACCTCAGACCAACTGCGGGAGCTCGGCGTCGAGCCACCACGCACACGGCGCTACCTGCTGCAATGGCGGCAGCGGTTCCGGCGGGGACAATACGGGATCGGCGGGGACCTGCAGCACGTCACCGACGGACAAGCCACGCTCGCCGTATACGAAGCACCGGCAACAGACAAAGCGAGCGCGGTGGAGCCGCGGAAATACGTGGTGAATGTTCCGGCGGGACGAGCGGGGGTGCGGGAGTGTGCGATGGACGAGATATCGCGGGTGCGGGGGTACAAAGTGCAGGGCGCGAAGACGATTGTGGGGCCGTACGCGCTGCCGCTTCAGGGCGGGGAGGGGGCGCGTGTTACTGTGACGGAGGGGATGTGGGAGGATCGCCGAGGTCATAAGATCGATGGTGGTGAGCGCAGGAGAACCCAGATCCGGTATAAGAAGCGCATTGCGGAGCGTCGTGAGATGAGGGAGAGGGGTGAGTTGTAGATGCGTGGTGGTTGATGTCTACAACTTATTTACCTACCCAGGTAGCCTTCGGTGATCTACGTATAAAGCCCTAGGCGTATGTAGATATGGGTTACTGTACCTTATGTACCATAAACACGATCACAATAAGTTCTGCAGACGTTGACTAGGTATTGATCAAGAGCAACTTTTGTATTATGCCGACGTCCATTTGCCTATATGACTTTCCTACCATTGACCAACCAACGCCTAACATTCATGCCCCAAATCCGTACGCCTCAGTGATGCCGTATTTTCATACCCCTACATAGGTCGTCGTTTGGTCGAAATCCACACTAACCGGGCTTTTTTAGAAAGCCTGACACATAGAACCCTACTTCATCGCACCAAAATCGAGCTTTCGAGCAACCTTGCTCGCTTTGTCATCATTCACCATACCAGGTCTCCTCCCCAAGTCATCGCCAACCTTGTCTTGGGCGCCCGACTTTTTCTTCGGAAGATCTTGTTTGCGCGAGGGCTTGGGGTCTTTATGCCACCACTCGTGTTTCAGCATCTCGAAGGCAGTAATGCGCTTCTTGGGGTCGAGGGTTAGGGTCTTCATCAGGAGATCCACACCGTCGTAGCCGACCGTACCGAACGTGGACATATAGTGATCTCTACCTCGGACCGGGTGTACCTCACCCTCCCTGGTATATTCGGGTAGACTAGTAACCCCGGGCCAGTTGTCCTCGGTGGGCGTACCAACGGCCTGGCAGATGAGAGCGAGCTGGTGTAATTCGGTGTTTCCAGCGATATACGGCACGCGGATGATTAGCTCGGCAAACACCAAACCAACGGACCAGACGTCGACGGCGCCCGAGTAATGCTTCGCTCCAAACAGCAGCTCAGGTGGTCTGTACCATCGCGTGATGACGTTTGAAGTCATGATCTTATACGGGTCGGAGAAACTTCGAGCCAGACCAAAATCAGCCAGCTTGACCTCGCCATCGGCGGCGATCAACAAGTTGTTTGGCTTGATATCTCGGTGTAGTACGAAGTTCTCATGGCAGAACCACACGGCCCTTGTCAGCATACCCATCCATGCTTTTATATCGGCAGTACCGTATCTAACGCGTTCCGTGTCGCGGATAAGCATTTCCAAGTCGCCGAGGGGGAGGTACTCCAAGACAAGGTTCAGATTCTGGTCCTTGGAAGAGAAGACGGAGTGCAAGGTGATGATATTCGGGTGGGAGAGTTCTTGGAGGTGTTTGATTTCGCGGACGGCGTCGGGGGCCATTCCTTCTGCGTATTCGCTCTGGATCTTGATCTTCTTGATGGCAACATATTGTGATGGATCGCTCTTGAGGAATCCCAGGTAGACGTTGGCGTATGTACCTTCACCGAGCTTCTTGCCTTTTGAAATATCTTTATGTTAGCGAATTATCGTTTAAATTTACACGAAAAATCGGAAATTGAAACACAAACCCTTGACATATTTGCGCTTCTCCTCCTCGTTTAATTGCTCAGCAACATCTAGAGAAGGCGACATAAGTGCAGCGGCCGGGTTGGGAGCGACTGGCGCAGGAATAGGAGTTCCATTGGATGATGCCTGTGTTGAAGTGGCATTCTTCAATGGTGACGACGTGGACCTCGGGTTTTGTAGAGCATCCTGGGGATGCATTACAAGAGGAGACACAGCCATCGTCGTGGTTGTTGCCCGAAGCTTCACGATACGAGATCGTGGAGCAGTAGTTGTAGAGGGCTGAAATCATAAACAGGCAAGGCTGCCGCGATGAATGCTAAGAAAGAGACATTCTTATTTTGATTGGTGGGAGGAAGCTAGGTCACACCATGTGCTTGCATTTAACACCCCTGTCGAAATATGTAATCGTCTCCACAATTTACAGTATGTACGGATATTTCCGTTCGTCATGTGACCATCACCGATGAGAATCAACATCCGGGTACGTACCTGCCTATTCATATTGATCCTCCCTGCAGCCTGCCTCTCTAATAAGACATTCTGATGCAAGTGGCTTCATTCCATAAGCAGATCTGAGTTGACGTCATATATTTATTGCTCCGGGTCGCAACCGGCCATAAGCCAAATGTTAGTAAGTACATACATAGTATGGAAAGGTCGGTCTTCGTGTTATTTGAATCAAGTGAACATTTATAGGTTAGTAGGTACTTACATACCTGTACGAACTCGTACGAATTTATTGGCATTGTATTGGATGCAGGCAGAGCACCGCCTCTCACACCGATGACGAGTCTAATTTCAAAATTGGTCAAACGGGACAAATTAGTGTACTAAGTCCGAATCTATATTCCTAGTCCGTAATGTCTCCGTAAGTGCCGGTGAATTAATAGTCTCCAGCTGCCCGAATGAAGTCATAAGTTGATATCCTCTTTTGAGGCTTGTAGCTTGTTTTTAGCTGGGCCACATTCGCATTCATCATCAAGAATCTATAGCATGATCTTTCTTTTCCAACATACCTCATATAATGTACCCATAGTACGCGTAGCCTTAATAGTATTTATTCGACCTCTTACCGCATTTTTATATTTCTTTGACAGCTTTGCCTTGCTGTCGTCATCCCTGTAAAAATTAATTCTACTTGTTCAAAGAGCCTTATTATTACCTTTCCTGTTTCCTCTCACTTAGACACTTCCAGGTTATACATACATACATACATAGAGTTTCAATTTCACAACGAAACCAGAATTCAACCATGCGGTATCTATCGTATTGGGTAAGTAAATAGTTTCATAACTTAACTCAATTAGAATCGTAGACGAATTCGTATAACTAACATTGTCGCAAAGGTATTTCCCATCATATCCGGCCTTATGTGGCTGTCGACACTTCTAGGTCTCTTATTACACTGGATCGTAGACACGCATCGAGAGATATACGCGTCTATGGGAAACGGTCAAACGATAGCGTACATATCAGATGTCGGCGCCTCAAACCTCAAACCTTTATTTGTTACCGGCTGTATCATAACTACCATATTTCTTGACTTGTCTTTTGGAGCCGACCGTTGGTTACGACATCGCGGTCGACTGGTACCTAACACCTCTACCGGAGAGAAAGTCTTAAGCGGGTTGACCATCTTCTTCGCTTTCATCGGAACAATAGGCCTGACCTTTCTATCTGGCTTCGATACCTTGCGATACCCACGATTGCACGATATCTTCCTGTTGCTTTTCATCGCAGGGTATCTATTATCAGCCATTTTCATATGTTGGGAGTATCAGCGTCTTGGCAAAAGTGAGTTCTCTTTGTCTTCAACTAAGCTGCTTAAGCTACGTACCCACGTACTAACCAAACTCACCCTCGCAGAGAACCGCCAACATCGCGTACTCCGAATATCATTCTGGGTCAAGCTCACCTTCGTGGTGGTCGAGCTAATCCTTGCGATTGGCTTTATAGCGACGAATTTTAAGGGCCTATACGATAATGCCGCGATCCTCGAGTGGGTCATCGCATTCGTCTTCTCCTTCTACGTGTTCTCCTTCTGCATCGACCTATGGCCCGCCATTGCCACGCGCAACAATCGCTTCTCCACCAATAGCGCACGTCAGATGGAGGAGACCTATTATGCAACACATCCCAGTGTTCTGCCCGACGTCGCCAGAGACACCCAGGACAGCCAGCGAACATTAACCGATGGCCCTCGAGGTCATCACGGGAACGGTGGGCACCAAAAGACGAGGACAGAGCAGAGAGATTTCTAGATTTTCGGTAATAACTTGGGGACTATTACGTATGGATCGGGTGTAAATACCCTGGGGATGACTTAATGATGGTCAGGGATGCACCAAATGGTTTTTGAATGATACCAATAAGGAAAGCAAGCGTCAATGCTTCGCTACCTATCTATATAAAGGACCGGTTGGAAGGTCGACATAACGACCACTGTGACACGGCGTTCGGCTACACTACTTAGGATCCATAGATTCTAGAATCCTCTAATTTATTTTTTATTCAGTTGTAGTAGTTTTAGAGATGAAAGTATTCTTACGAATTTAATGAATCTTGATGTTGTCGAGCTACTCTCGACTTTACGTTGTGTTAAGCTAGCTCCCTAGTGACTATCTAGGTAAGTCAACTAAAAAAAGTCAAACCTAAGAGGTAGATTCCGGCCGTTAAAACAAATAAATGTATAAGGATAAGCTGATTTCAAATGCAACAACTTCAAGCTTTCAACTCAATGAAAATGAAAGGGGGTATTGTGCTAGAACATCAAATCGGAGTCCCCCTAATCTCAGACCACCGCCAATATGAACGCCAGGCCAAGGTCCAGACTGATATCAACCTAGATAAAAACCAAGCCCAAACCCAACGAACCTATCCTAAACCTCTTCCTTGCGGTTATTGTTCTTTCCAACCTGCCTACCTACACAATAGCTAATTAACGCCCCAGAAAGATATCGGAAATTCCGAAAAATAAATGAATATCTCCCCAACACTGTAAAGGGCACTACCCTACCTCAAGTCATACCCAAACGTATTGTAATATAATGGCACCAAACGCCATCCTTGCGAAAGAAAAAAGCCTCACACCATCTCCATAAACTTCGAGTTCCTATTAGGACTATGGTTCGTACTCGACGAAGAGTCCTGAATAGGTCGAGGGGGCGTCAACGCAATTCTGGGCACCTCCCTTGCCTCGTCACGAAAACATTCATTCTCGCTTGAACTACTACTCATCCCGTCATGCTGGATGGAATAATTTGTTGTGGCCCGTCTCTGGCGTGGCTCCCGTTCTTTACCGGCCATCGCCACGGCGCGTTCGCTAGCGCTGCGGTTATCCATACTCACTGAGCGGCCCACACCGGTGAGGGCTACGCCACCGATAAAGCCCCTCGCAGTTGACTTGTCCTTAGACTTGTCCTCGTCCGATGATTTTCTTCCTCTAGAGAACCGATTCTTGAGCCAGGATTTCACCCCGCCTCTTGACAACTTTTCAGCAGGTGAGGTAGACTCTCTATCAATTGCTTCATCTTCAGAACCTTCAATCGGGGCCTCGTCGACTTCTGGAGCAGGCACTGCGACCGGCTGTCCTGCAGTATTCAGTGTAACCGTCCCCATTTCAACTTCAGGTTCCTCCGGACTTCCGTGTCGATCAGCTGCAGATTTTTGCTTCTCGAGTCTAGCTAGCCGCTTGTGTTCTGCCTTAGCAGCCCGTTCTTCTTCTTTCTTAGCTTTGGCTTCCTGCTTCTGCTCAGCTTTAGCCGCTTTGTCCTCTTCCTTCCTTGCCTTAGCTTCTTGCTTCTCCTCTGCCTTCTTCTCTTTCTGTTCTTGTTTATCTTGCTCTGTAGGGAAAATCTAATATTAGCGAATGCCACAAATGTATTTTGATAAGCAACTGACCCTTAAGCCTCTTACTTATCTCTTGAATCTCTTTTTGCCGAGCTTTCTCGATTTCCTCCTCTTCTTTCTTTTTCTCCATTTCGAGACGCAGCTCTGTTTGCCTTGCATGTTCCTCGTCGACTTTCTCGTTAATCTCATCAAGAACAGGTTTTACCCTAGCCGCAGCAATTGCATCGATGTCCTCTTGCTCCATGAACTTCCCTGCACCAATATCGATTTTCCTGTGCGCTTGACTCATACGTTGCTCACTCTCGGCTTGAGCGGTGGCGTTTGCCTTGATCTCCCATTGTGTCAATGTAGATGGTGGCATCATTCCAGTTTCAGCTGCTATTTTTTCATCTATCCCCTTGAGACGTTCATGGACGTTCCTCTGGGCAGCAGCAAGCAATGCTTCTTGATCGTGCTGCCGTTTTTTATCGTCAACTTCGGAAAGTTTGCTAGAAAATAGAGTCATCTGCTGCCTGATATGCTGCGAACGCCTACGGTCTTCGATAACGTCGCCGTCGCTAGATGATCTCTTTCTTAATTTACCCCTAATCGAGAAGCGTCGGGAAGCTTGCTTAGCCCCGTAGTATTCCTGGAACTCCCTATCTTTGAAATGTTCGTCGTGCATCTTAGCTAGACGCGCTTGAGCTTGCTTGTAGGCAGCATCTTGTAGATTAGTAAGATGTGCGGGTTGCGCATCGTCGCTGACGCTACTAAGGGCATCAACGTGCTCCCGAGAGGTGCTACCATCATGAGCCTTCCTCTCCTCCATAATTTTCTGCTGTTGAGTAAACATCTTCTTGGCCATGGCGAGAGCCGACGCATGAAGGACATCTGCTCTCTTCTGCTCATCAACTTCGGGTTTCACTGGTGGTCGTGATGTGAACATTTGCCTGTTCATATTTGTAAAGGGAACAGACCCAGCATTCTCGCTCACTTCGCTTAGTGTCGGAGATCGCACTGGTCTATGAGCCCGCGTGGCGGCGCTTAGGGCATTTGCAGCAGCATTGGCTTCGTCCGGATACGATTCTTTCGGGACCGGCGATGACTTGGCCCTCTGGCGATTTGCCATGGCGCCCCTTGCAGCAAGTAGTGACCTCCGGTGTTCAAGACTAACTGAGTTCGACGTACTAGCTATGCTTGTATCAGATCTAAAGGCTATGTTTGCCGCATATAGGCCAGAATCGGAAGCGGTTGGCCTTCGAGACATGTTTGATCCCATAACAGACTGCGAAGCCAGTAAAGCAGCCTTTGCACCATGTTGGCTCGGTACAGGCTCCCACGGAGGAGGCAGTTTATAATCTTTGGCCATAACGGCGGCAGCTGAAGCTGGAGCGGACTTATCCGGCCTCCACAGCTCAGGCGACGTATTGGTTGTCCAGCCTAAGGCAGCTGCTGCGCTTGCTGCGGATCCTTTTTCCGAGAGGCCAATAGACGGAAAGCTCGGAAGGTCTTGAGGTTTGGCATACACGAGCTTTCCGGAATGGACTAACAAAGAAAGCCAACTGTTAATTTGTAATAATGTGTAAAATGCGAAGAAAAAGTGCTTATGTTATAAATTATGTGATAATATATAAAATGATAATAATATAAAGATTTCTACATATTGCGACGGGAAGCTTACCTGTCGATTTAGTGTCGTCATCATGTAGCCGTCGTTCCAAACTTCCCTGTGTTTGTGTGTCATTGGCTGGGTCCATGTTAAGTGGCTGGGAACGGTGAGGATTCAGCTTGCGTCGGTACGTGAATGCGCCGTATTTCGAGATCCCTTGTCTTTTAAAAAGATCGGCATAAATGTCACAATCGAGTGGAGACGGAATGTAACGAAAGGTCAAGATCTGGTATTTCGAATGATCGATTGGGTAAGGTACTATGTATGTAAGTTATAGTAGAGTATAATGGAGTATAGTAAGGTGCCAGGTGGGTTGAGGTGAGTTTAAGGTGAGCGGGACGAGGGAGGGACGGGATAGAAATAATTATAGTATTTAAGGATTTTAAGGTGGAATGATGTAGTTATGATAATAGTTATGATGGGCTAACGGATTCTATAAACCACCTAAGCATCGCTAGCTCAATTATACGACGACGATCTGAGATACTAGATAACATTGGAGGATAGCCCGTATTCGATGTAGGTGAGAAGGTAATAGTTCATGTTTAAGAGTCAATTGAGTGGATTGAAAGAACATTGAATAATAATATGGTTTTGGTTTACTGTTTCTTGAAGTAGGCTGGCAGGCTATGTAGGACCTAGATAGGTACATATACATATGTATCTCTTTGTACATATGTAAGGCAGGGATATCACTACCTAGTATGCTTAAGGTAATACGAGTTATCGCTGTGTTGCTTCACCCATTGTTGATTCATTATTGTGTTCATCATCTGAGGCTTTGAAAGGTTGGCCATTACGTCATTGTCCTACAATAGATACATATAGTAAGTTACATGCTTATACCTTGTGAGACCTACTTAACTATATACGGTAAGGATAACTTGAATAGATTGCCATTTGTAGGTAGGTACGGTCGGCAGTCCAGTTTTTAGCCCTCGGATTATCGATAAATTATTATTTAAGAGATTACCCTTAAGAAATTACTACCCGTACACTGCCTACATGTAGGTAGGTAATCGGCTGTCCGGCAGCTTGGGATGATACCATCCTTTCCTCCTACACTATTATCCCTCACTTCATTCGCTCACTCCGACCGGACTCAATCAGCATCGTCCGATTTCAGGAGCCTATATGTATTATGATAGAGAAACTCATGATCATGGCCTTTAGAGCTTTCGAAAGCAGTTATTCCAGCATCGATATCTGTCAATTTCTGTGGCTTGTCATCGATAAGCACGACCTGGATATCGTGTTTTAGACATGGCGGCAATGATCCGCCGTGGTTATTTTTCGGTCGATAAGTAGGGTCGTTTTTCAAGCGCCAGAGCAGCGATTCGTGTAGGACGACGTCGTGTGGGATGTCACGAGTATTACCCTTATTGAGCGGGAACCGGACGTTGAGCCACTCGTTTTTCCTGTGATCAAGCTCCCAGCGAGTGATCAATGGTATCCATTCTATTCGAATTAGCAATGCCGGCACCTGCAGAATGGTGGAAATATTCTTACCCATGAACTTCCAAAGCAACACGCCGATGAAGCCCGTTCCATAGCCGAACCGCAGCGAATCGTGCATGAACCCTTTCAATGCCTGGTCCTTGTTCTTCTGTTTGCTGAACCGTTTCTTGAAACCGTTGACTCCCGTAGACCATTTGACTGCTGCAGGCGGGTCTTTCTCTCCTACCAGCTCAAGCTCTCGTATCATCCACGCTAGTGGGATATCGCTCATCTGGAACGGGTCCTTGGAGACATCTCCGCTGGGTTCTTTAGCCTTTCGGGTCGTCCAGAAGTTCTTGATGCGTTGCCAGATGGTCATATGTTCGTTGTTGTCAAGCGGATGGCCAATGGTAGCGGGCCAGCCGCCGCCGACATCACCGTGGCATCCCGGAAACCAGACTTCCTTTATATCTTCCTCGTCGTGGGGGTTCGAGATGCGGATATCCTGCGCGAGAAGTGCAGCCTTAAACTTAACGCGGCGTTCGTCAACTGCGACAGCGTGCCGAACAAACTGTGCAGTACCTCTTACCGGCACAGGCACCGGCGTCTTACGCTCTAGGATCGCTACCGAGTTCACGCAGTCCCAGATCCCGAGGAAGTACACTTTGATATTGATCTCTTCTACCTTCCCACAGTGGATTCTCCGTTCTTTCCGGCAGAATGTGCTACTGAATGCCGTGATTTCGTCACGGGCCATCTGGTGCTTGTGCTTATGGTGTTTGTGGTGGTGGCTATCGTCCGTATTGTCCGCGTCGTCCCCGGCGTCAATGTCATTCAATAATGGTTCAGTTTCGCCACCGGTTGTGCTAGCCGTCTTGGTTCCCTTCTGGAAATTATCGGTTTCGCCTGCTAGGTAGCGCTGATAAAGCCTATACGCGAAGAGCACCATTTCCTCATTACCTTTGCAGAGAAGTCCCACAGTGTTGATCATGCGTGCTAGGAACTTGGCCGTGAAAGCACCACGACTGTATCACGCTACATGTTAGAATACGCTTTTCTGGAATGCTCTAGAGAAGACGGTGCCTAGAGATGCTCGAACACTATCTAGACAGCTAATGACTATCTACATAGTCTAGCTCGCCCGAGTGCATCGAAACAAATCATGGAAAAAAAGCAAAAAAAAGCAAGGAGCCCTAGAATACTCACCTAAATCCAAACATGTAGATCTTGTCACCCTTTGTATACTGTAAGTGGTAGAAGCGTCACGTTATTAAGGAGGTTACTTACAGGGTCATAGTAACGCATGAGAAACCGATACCCGGCCATAACGTGCACATCGAAAGTCGTACCAATTCCTTGATCGATAGTCTGAGAGATGGAGCTCCGTAGCTCGCCAAACCATGACTTGTTGACCGAAGTGTCGTTGGCATCGTACGTACCAATACCAGCTAATGAATTCATAAGAAGCGAATCATCCGACAATAGAAAAGGTACTCACTTTGGTAATAATGGAATTGGTGAGGATCATTACGATCCAAAGCACTTAAGATCTTGACCACATTAGTGTCTGCGTTCGATCCGGTGAACGAATTTCCGGTGCCGTCGAAACATAAAATGAGTTTCTTAGGCTCCCGGTCTCCGGTTGAGTTCGCATCAGCAGCACCATTCTCCGTGTGCTGAGGACTGGGTTCTATGTCCTCGCCATGGAGGAAACTAGTGCTGGCTGAAGGCATGTTGTCGGCAAAGGTATGGTATATTCTCTGACTGAGAGGAGGCACATTGAATATCCAAAGTCAAAGACTTTCGCAGTTCGGCAAGTAAGCAGGTACCTAGGTAAGAATATATCCATTAAATGCTTCACCACTACATTTATTAAATGTACTACAGATTTTCAAATCCCGGCCACCCTTCCAACGTTGCTTCGAATTTTCTCCATGCTGAGCACGACGGCCAAGCTTCAGCCAATCAATTTTTTTGCTTGTTCCTCGTAATCAATGATGTGTCTGTGAGACACCATCGTCAATCGCCCTCTGATCGGCAACACTATCTAACGGGTATGCTGTACGCCATCCCCGTAGCATTAGAGCAAAAACAATACTATTGTTAAGCTGAGTGTCTCTAGCTATCGCTTCCCCGTCTGATATTTCAGACCGCCACACGTTTTACAGACTCTTCCGATATGTACCTAGGTAAGCATCCAGCCGTTCCGGTATCCCTCATCCGCTCTCGGGGACGGCGAAATTAGCTTCTCGGCGGATCTTCCAGCTGCTATAAAGCAAGCCACTTCCACTCACATGAGCAAGATTTATATGAACGCCCGCATCAATATAACGTTGTGTAACGCAAAGAATGCGTTTGACCGCTGCCCATAGCTGCTTTAGTAGTCTGGGGTAAACGGAACCAGCCAATCATCGGCAATATGATGACTACATATTGGTTTTCAGCAGCTCTTAGACGCCACCTGCAGTAATTAAATTTCATTTATTCTTACCGACTGGAGCCTCCTCCTCCCTTCTCCGTACCGGTGTAGATCTGGCCATGCGGTCGCCGGTCTTAATGAAGACGTCGTGAACACTAATACGATTTATCCAATTGGCTGTTATATGATTTCTTAGCCCTCGTTAAGGCATGTTCTATTCTGTTTCGGCACATGAGGTTTCAGTGGCGTCTTTCAATATGTGAATCAAGAGCTGGAACATAGTAGAACGCTGCAGCCACCGACGTCCTTCCTGCGGAGGATCGAGAGGAAGGGAGAAGATGGCATGCTGTGCTGTCGGATAGGATACGAGAGACGAGTGCTAGTCGACCCCCCGCACTCACCTGTCGATATGGCGAGCAGAGCCGGGCATATATAGCGATGGTCATAATTTTTTTCGTATTATTGTGTACTTACCTAGGTAGTTTTGTCTTCTTCATATGGACGAGACTGAATTATAGAATAAATCATGTCTAGTTTTGAAACGAAGTATCAGGCCGGTGAGAAGTATGGGGATGACGACAAGGATACTAATATCTTTGCTGATCCATTGAAGCTTGCAAACGACATCTTGAAGGATTGCAGTGGCATTCGGAAAGAGGCGTCTCCAAAGCAGATCGCTAGCCTTCTCCAGGAGTTAGTGTCAAAGGGACCTCTTGATGACAAAAAGGGGTAAGCGAAAGCATTGTTTCAGACGAAGCAGCCCTAACGAGGAAACAGAAACACCGAGCTGTTAATCGGCATCCTTACCTCTCTTCCCTCCGACTCAGACATCAGAACCCAGCTCACCAACAAGCTCATCGACACCCTTTGGGATAATCTTCAACATCCACCTCTAAGCTACCTCGGCGGCGATGTCAAGTATGAGGTTGTCAACCCGCAAGAGTCACAGAAACCCGACCCCAAGACTTATGACTCTATTGAGTTTAAGGTGCCAGACAGCGATGTCACCCTGCGCGAACATGTCCCCCAAGCACCCGATGGCCTTCACCACTACCGGACGCCTGATGGAAGCTATAACAATCCAATCCAACCAAACCTAGGAAGGGCCGGTGCCCCTTATGCTAAGACAGTTAGGAACACCAAACGTCTTCACGGTGTCAAGCCTGATCCGGGTCTGCTATTCGACCTATTGATGGCTCGCGATGATCAGCATTTCATAGAGAACCCAGCTGGCATCTCAGCCATGTTCTTCTACCATGCGTCCATAATCATCCACGACATTTTCCGTACGAATCGCACAGACCCTAACAGGTCCGACACGTCGTCGTATCTTGACCTAGCCCCGTTATATGGCTCGTCCCTCAAGGATCAATTGGAGATCCGTACCATGAAAGGGGGTAAGCTAAAGCCCGACACCTTCCATGAGAAACGTCTACTCGGGCAGCCCGCGGGAGTCAACGTCATGCTAGTCCTCTACAGCCGCTACCATAACTACGTCTGCGATATCTTGCTGCAGATCAATGAGAATGGTCGGTTCACACTTGAATGTGATGGAAAGGATGGAGCTACTCCAGAGGAGAAGGCCCGAGCTGTTGCTCGACAAGACCACGATCTCTTCAACGTAGCTCGTTTAGTCGTCGGCGGGTTGTACGTCAACATATCCCTACACGACTACCTCCGCGCTATCACAAACACACATCACTCTAGCAGCGACTGGACCTTAGACCCTCGTGTCGAAATCAAAGCATTCGACGGCGAAGGCGCTCCACGTGGCGTCGGTAACCAAGTCAGCGCAGAGTTCAACTTGCTGTACAGGTTCCATTCGTGCATCTCTAAGAAAGACGAGCGCTGGATGAACGACTTCTTTTATAGCCTCTTCGACAAAGGAGAAGTAAAGGACCTATCGACCGTTAGTTTAGAAGATTTCGGCCTAGCCTTGCTCAGATTTGAGCAGAGGATTGATAAGGATCCTAGTAAGCGCACGTTTGACGGTCTGAAGCGCCAGGATGACGGCACGTTCAAGAACGAGGATCTTGTACGCATTCTTAAGGAGGGGATGGAGGACCCTGCCGGCGTGTTCGGTGCCCGTACTATCCCGAAGGCGCTTAAGATCATCGAGGTTTTGGGTATCAACCAGGCCCGTAAGTGGCAGGTTGCATCGTTGAACGAGTTCCGGGATTTCTTTGGACTTAAGAGATACGAAAAGTTCACCGACATCAACTCGGAACCAGAGATCGCCAAAATCCTTGAGAAACTGTACACTGACCCCGACATGGTAGAGCTCTACCCGGGTCTGATGATCGAAGATGCCAAACCAATCCGGAACGCAGGATGTGGAATCTCACCCACCTACTCAGTTGGCCGAGCCGTTCTGTCTGACGCTGTCACACTCGTGCGATCAGATAGGTTCAATACTCTCGATTACACAGTTTCAAACCTGACAAGCTGGGGTTACAACGAGGTACAGTCCGACAACAAGACCCTAGGCGGGTCGATGCTGTACAAGCTCATTCAACGCGGTGTTCCCGGCTGGTTCCCCTTTAATTCGGTAGCCGTGATGCAGCCAATGTACACCAAGAAGGCAAACGAGAATATCGCCAAAGAGCTTGGGACCATAGACCAGTACACTCTCGATGACCCGGCGGCCCCAAGAAAGACCGTCGTGATCATGACTAGTGAGGCCATCAAACAGGCGCTCGGTCAACCCAAGCAATATGTAGTACCCTGGCTTCAACCCTTAAACATCTTATTCCCAGGCAAGAAAGATTTTGGCTGGTACATGTTAGCAGGTGATGAGCAGCGTAACTTTGACGATCGCACCGTCGCGCTGAATGCGATCAAGAAGATCCCGAACCTGCAAACCGCAATCAAGGAGTTCGTGCAGCGCGTCGGCTTTCAGCTAATCGAGAAGGAGAGATTCGAGCTTAAGGAAGGGTTGGATCAAATCGATCTGATCCGCGACGTTGCTATCCCGTTGAACACGCAACTTCTCGCCGACCTGTTCTATTTCGATCTACGCACGGATGAGAACCCGAGTGGAACGCTCGGAGTCGCCGAATTGTACGGGCAGCTTCTCGACATTCGTACATGGGGCGTGAACAATACTGATCCGGCGCAATCCTGGAACCGCCGCCGTCGCGCGCAGGAGGGAGCTAAGGCGGTCATTGAGTCGACACGCAAGCTGGTTGATGAGGTAGCCCATAGTCACGGCACCCTATTCAGCCTAGGCTCTAATGTAGTCAATGACTTCTCCCGGAAGCGTAGTCTCAAGGAGGGCTCGCTACGCTCTTGCGGCTACAAGTTCGTCCATGAGCTGCTAGAACAAGGTTACTCGGCCGAGAAAGTCACCGACTCCTTGTGGCTCAATGCCTTCGGCGGCATCGGCGTCCCAGTTACTGCGGTGAGTACCAGCGACAAAGCGAAAATGAACTGTCATGCTAATCTTTTCCTAGTACTACGAAGTCATGGAGTTCTTCCTCCGCAAGGAGAATGAGCATATCTGGAGTGAGGTCCAGACACTCGCTAAGAACAACGACGACGCGGGTATCTATGCCTACGTAGTCGAGGCTCAGCGTCTCACCAGCACGCAGCGCAACATGAGAGTCGCAACGCAGCCGGCTACGCTCGAAGGAAAGACGATCGAGCCAGGCAATCTCGTGGTTATGTTGCTCGTAAGTTTCCAATGCACTAGCACTGTCTTTTTTTTACTTGTATTATGAAATATGAGATAGGAGAAAAGTTACTGATCATACCAAAGGGCGAGGCCGGACGTAACCCAGCGGAGGTCCCCAACGCCCACGACTTTGACCCGCACCGTCAAACAGATTCGGTCACATCTTTCAGCTACGGCCAGCACGAATGCCTTGCTAAGGAGATAGCACGATCCTTCATCACCGGAATGGTGAAGCTTGCGGCCGATCTCAAGGAACTGCGTCCCGCACCGGGCGAGATGGGTAAGGTGAAGACGATCAAGGTGGGCACCGAGACAACCTACCTCAACGACAGTTGGTCCTACCTCTGCTTCGAAGCTAGTAGTAAGTTCGCCCTTATAAAAAGTAGTATATTATAATTCCAGTAGTCCTAACGTTTCGACAGCCTGGAAACTTCATTTCAACGGCCGAGGACTGGGTAATTACCAGGGCCAGGAGCAGCCGAGCACGACTCCGGGTTTGCTCCAGTATTACCACACGATCCAGAAGCGCAAGGCTGATTTATTGAAATCTTCTTGAACCTCTGGTCTTGGCTGAGCATGGAATAGGTTTATAGTTGAGGGAACTGAGTTCGTTTAAGTACGCGTCGAGGTAATTTGGAAACTATCCCTTCATTTAACTCAGGGGAGGTAAAACCAAAATAAATCAAAATCTCATGGACTTATTCATGCCATTATCTCGATCTTCCTCAACGTGACACTTGCATGAATGATAGGAGCCATCCTATATCATGAGGTTCCGATTCTTGTTTAGGTATATCTATGGAGTTGTAGATGACAGAGTAGTGGAAATATTCCGTTTTAGCGACCAAACCAGGGTTATGCAGTGGGCAGGTCACCTGACTCTGCCACTCTCGTAAGCCGAGGCATCTGCGGTACTTCTTTCCGTATACAAATTACCATATAAATGCATGTATTATCGATGCGTAGCCACGCTCAGTAAGATGCTGCTCTATAAAAAATGATTGAGAATGCACTCGTCAGATGAGCAATTTATTAATATTCACCTAAGTGCCGATATAATAAAATGTCAGTCGTATTCGACAACATCCTTAACTTCCGGGACGTCGGGAAGACGGTCAACGATCATCTCGGTCGAAAGTGAGATAAAACTTATACCCATCCCAACCTCCTTATTAGATCGTAAGATCTGGGTTGGATAGAATTAAACGATCGGTTTAGGTTAGTTCGAGAAGGCGTACTGTACCGATCCGCACGACCAGGTGAGAGCAACGACTCCTTACAATTCATTTGATCTTATAAGGATTTTAGCAAGCTCACACTTAATTCATAGACGAGGCGTCCCCTGAGGACCGCAAGAGGCTCAGAGATGAGTTTGGCATCAAGACGGTCGTGGATCTCCGGACCAAGTAAGCAATGCCACAGGCGTATTACCGCCTGTTGGGAAGGTACAATACATAGGTGTATAGCTAATACCCCAACAGGACCGAGCATGCAAGGCAAGCCGAGAAACGCCAAGCCTCTCAGACCAATCTATCAGAACCAAACGCCACATCGGAGTCCGCCCAGATCCCCGGTGTGCGATACCAGCAGATCAAGATAACAGGCCGGCGATTCGAAAAGTTCCTCGTGAGCCAGTTATCGTGGTGGAACTACTTGTAAGTCCTTCTGCACATGAAACCCCGGGGGCTTGGTTTTATACCAAGTACCTAACTAACATATCCCATAGTAAATTAATATTCCTCTTCCTCTTCCGCTACCGAATGCAAGCCATCAGTCTCATAAGCCGGGAAATACTCCTTCCACGGGGCCTCGTCGGACTCGGACTCGTCACCATCGACCAGTCTGGCGTCGAGATCGCCGATGTAAGTTGTCTTTCCCCTACACACAAATGCCCATCTCTCACACACCATAGACCCTCCGGATCATCATCGCCCCCTCCAGCACGCCCCTCCTGGTACACTGCACTCAGGGTAAAGACCGGACAGGCGTAATAATCGCGCTAGTCCTCATGGTCCTCTCTGTGCCCGCCTCCGCGATAGACCATGACTACATGCTCACCCGCGCGGGTCTTTCATCCGAGCGGGAGTCACGACTTGAGGAGATCAGGGAGATTGGGTTGACTGCTGAATGGGGGGACGTATCTCCGGAATTCGTGGAGAGAGTGGCTGAGCATATAGATGTTAAGTATGGCGGTATCGGGGGGTACCTGGATAGCGTAGGATTTGATGCTTCCGAGAGACAGCGGCTTGTTGAGGTACTGGGTGCGTAGTCCTGTAAGAGGGGGAACGATGGTGCCGTAACATTGGTAACCACCTTCTTATCATATGCTAAGTGGGATAGCGAAATGCTAGATCACATATCGGACGGGGGTAATGCGTTAGACGAGATATTCTTTATTTCTTTCGAAAGTGGCCTTGGATCCAGCAGCGGTACATCTTAATCCGCCGCGCTCTATTTACCACCATCCTTCTATCGACGCCGAGCTGTTCTATATCAAACAAAGCCTCTTCTGCTACTAGTTTCGTCTTTGATTCTTCAGAGGCGGTCACCTCTTCACTCTCCGCTCCTTCTCTATTAACTGTCGGTGCGCCGGACCATATTTGTTCGAGCTCTTCTTTCTCGAAGAAGTAAACTCGCGTGCCGTCTCCCCTAATATAGAAGTTCTCATCCAGGTATCGTCCTTTCTTGAATCGGACCTGTGCTAGATCACCTCTGCCGTAATCGCGGAAGCAAACCTCGCCGCCTGGCTTGAGTACCCGATGAACGTTCCGAACGGCTTGTTCCCATTGCTTCGGGGACAGGGCTGAGAATATGAAGATCATGAAGACAACGTCTACGCTGCCCTCTCCGAGACCAGGAGGGAGCTCCTCACTAGCGGCATCCCATACGTCGGCTTGCATGAAGTCGGTATTATACTCTTCGTGACTACGCATTACCTCAACGGCCTTCTTGGAGAAGTCACAAGCATGCACTTTCAGCTTGGGGTTCTTGTTGTTGGCTAAGATGGGGAATGCAGTGTTGCCGGCACCAGCACCTATTTCCAGGATTGTGGCCGGACCGGCATCTTCAGCTGTAACCTTGGCAAGGATGGGAAACTCATGTTGTAACCACTTGCGATTCTTGAAGAAGTTAGCAGTGTTATTCTTATAAAAGAGATTCCACCACTTTGCAGGGTCCGAGTTGAATCTATCTGCAATCGAGCTTGTTAGCAGCGGCCTCAACTTAAGATTGTATGATCGAAGTTGGGTAGGTACGGTGAGTCAGATGGGAGCGAAAGAATTTATGTAAATTGGTCATCATAGAAATTCAGATGAACTATGCATTTTGGGGTATCATCACAACACTAAGAAAGTAATGGAAAGAGAATATCGACTCACTTTTATCGAAGTCGGAGACTGGCGACTCCCGCTGCATAGCATACTGCTGTTCTGCGTATTCCTTATAGTCGTCGTCAGTCTCCACATGATCCCAGGCATTGAACTCGAAGATATCATCGCCTTCCTGAAGGACGCGCTGTCCGAATTGAAAGGGATCGTATCTCCTTGTGTTAGCCTTAGGATCATGGCTCCGGTGCGGAGGTAATTCGGTTGTGGCAGCCTCTTTCTCTTGCACAGTCAAAGCCGAAACCTCAGTCGACAATTCATCAACTGGAGCAGCTGCATGATCAACTGTCGCGGAAGCCATTGCGAAGGATCGTAATGGGGGTGCTTGTCGGATATAGCCTTTCACAAGCCTACACTTTTTCCACTGGAGGTGCCTCCTCCCTAGCATGCTAGGAACTGGGTGTAAATCCTAGAGCTCATGGGAGAAGTGGACGAGGAAGATGAGAAAGTTTGGAGGGGAATGAAAAAAAAAAATAGGAAAATTTAAGGCGGAGCTTAGGGTGTGGCTTATCTGATAACGACAAGTCTTGAGTCCTTATCGATAATCTAATCGGGGCGACCTTTTTGTCACTGACCTATTAAATCCAGACGTCACTGTCGCATATTTCTTTGAACAGCATTTACACGCATGTTGCCGTTCATTACCACACTAAATTTCCCCATTGTGTTTCAAGCCTTAGAGAAATAGAAGTTTCAATCGGTTAGAATGGAACTATCATAGACTTTATAGACTCTACCAACCTCACGACCTCGCTTCCTCCTACCACCCGACCCGGAATCTCAACCTCCACCCTCCCGATGTCGACAACACGCACCCTAACACCAACCCGCCGACTCCTCTCCACGCCACGGCCGCAGCCCCAATCCAAGCACCAACACCCACGACGAACATTCCTAACCCTCCCCTCCCCCCCACCACAAACCCTAACCGCCGCCCGGCGTCTCCCATACCCATACCTCCATCTCTACGACCTAATCGCCGACATAGACTCCTACGTCACCTTCCTCCCCTACTGCCAAACCTCGCGCGTAACCCACTGGACCACCCCCTCCTCCTCCTCCCCCTCAGCCACCCGTCGCTGGCCCACCCGCGCCGACCTAACCGCCGGCTGGGGCGGATTCCAAGAGACATACACAAGCCGAGTCTTCTGCATCCCGTCCCTAGGAATAGTCGAAGCAATAAGCGGGGACGCGCGGACGCTGATCCCCATATCCACATTACGGGAGCACGGGCTCAGCGACACGGGTCCAGGGACCAGGGGCGTTAGCGACGGCGGGGTATTCAAGAGCTTGGTAACGCGGTGGACGGTATCGCCCGCAGGAGGGGAGGAGGCAAGCGGATGGAGCGACGTGCGGCTGAGCATCAAGTACCAGTTCGCGAACCCGGTATACATGGCCGTGAGCTCGGCCGTGGCGGACAAGGTGGCGCCGGTGATGGTGGAGGCGTTTGTCGAGCGGGCGAGGCGGATCTTAGGGGAGCCGGGGAAGGGGGAGGGGGAGGAGAAGAAGAAGGATGTGGGAGCTTTGCGGTGATGGTCGATGCTGTTAATGCCGATACGATATAATGATGTACTATAGATTCACAGACCATCTCACGAATGGACAAGAGCTACTACGCCATAAACCTACGATACATTGTACACATATTTTAGACATAGAAGCCTTGGATCACAGTTGATCTCACCATATATTAAAAAGAGCACATTAAGTTTCAATTCTCAATTCAATTCAGTACCTAGCCTATAATAACTCCTAATTTCGATATGTAATAAATCAGTCCGATGTATCTTTGTCTCGCCCAATCTTTCTCAATCACGACGCCTTCCGAGAATATGGTTAGTTAGGTCTCAAGCAGATGCTCGCCATTTTGAAGAAATGCCCCATATACTTGTCCTCACTTCTCGTACATTTCGTCATTCTCGGCGTAAAAAGACATCATCATCCTATGTCAAAAAATAGTATATTCGTAAATGCAAAATCCGGTAGGAATCAAAAATTATACAGGTCTACCGTATCGAAGTGGTGAAAGTTGGCCTTGGATTATTACTTTGCCCATAATAGGTGCTCGAAGGAAAAGCCTGCGCAAATGCCGCTTTAAAAGAGAATATCATCTCGAGCCGGGGTATAATGCAGAATCAGTTATCGAAGGCCAGCGCGTAAAACTCCTCGAAAACGAAATAGGAGAAATTGGACTGAGATGAGGGCTGGTGTTCCGACAAGAAAGGCACTGAGTAGAATTAAGAGAAAAAGAATCGCCTCGGTATTTCGAATACCATCTCAGGGAACGAAACTTTATCGTCTGGGCCTACTATCGTAAACCGACCAGTTAGTTTAAGTAACGCAATATGCAAGAGACGCTGTTACTGACCTCTTAGTTTTAGAGGATTTTCCAGCACCTCCTCCTATCCAACCGAGCACTCCGGTCGACTTTGCCTTCGGCTTCTTGTTGCCGGGATGCTTGTTGACCCCTATGACTTGTACACCAGGAGGTATACCTTGTGGTTGGGGATGCGCCATACCTGGTCTAGGCATGCCGCCACCCATACCCATGCCGCCCATGCCCATACCGGGGGTGTGACCCGCAGGAGGAGGGGGTGGTCCTCCGGCCGGACGATGGCCCGCCATCGGGATTCCCCGCGGTTGCATCCGGCCAGCCATATGGGCTGCCGGTCCGGCTTGAGGGCGTGGCATCCCCGGGGGCATAGGACGGTCCATCGGCCACATATGCATTGTGACAGCCCAATCCGGCTCAATCACCTTATCCCACACTTGGGGGAGAACGATCTCGCCATTTGGTCCAATGAGATCATAGTGCCCGGCTTGTACATGGGGACCGATGACATCGACGTGGATAAACGCTTGCTTGATGAGTTCTTCCATGCCCTAGATGAGATACATTAGCCTGTGGTACTTGGGTAGGGAAATAAATTGGCTACTTACCTGCCAGGTTTGGCATAGATGATAGGGGAAACTGAATTTCCTCCCGACGGCATCTTTGAATCGGATAGGTGCCTTGTCTTTACCAAGACTCTTCTTTTGCGCCTCCTCGGCCTTTTGCTTGGCTTCTTCTATTAGTCTTTTCTTAAGTGCCTCCTCTTCCTTCTTCCTGGCGTCCTCGGCAGCTTTGGCTTCCTCCTCCTTTTTCTTCTCATCCTCGAGCTTTTTACGGGCATCGAGCTCGGCCTTAATTTTCGCGTCTTCTTCTATTCGCTTTTGCCTTGCCACCTCTTCTGCAACCTTCCTTAGGGCCTCAGCCTTAGCGGCCTCTTCAGCCTCGACCTTCTTGCGAGCTTCGAACTCAGCTTTCTCCTTAGCTTCTTTCTCAAACTTCGCTCGCTGTGCTGCCGCTTCAGCTGCCTCTTTCGCGGCCTTTTCCTTCTTTTCCTCCGCTTGTCTGATGGCGGCTTCTACTCTGGCTTGAGCAGCAGCTTCCGCGCGAGCTAAAGACTCTGCTTCTCTTTTCGCCCTCTCTGCCTCGGCTTTCCTTTCGGCTTCTAGCTTGTCTCGCGCTTTCCGCTCGGCTAGTTCAACCGCTTCCTGCTCTCTTTTCTTTCTCTCGGCCTCGGCCCTCCTCTCTTGCTCTATAGCTTCTCGTGCTGCTATCTCTGCAGCCTTCTTTGCCTCCTCGATCTCCTTTTTCGCTTTCTCTAGGGCAATTTTCCTTTCTTCGGCTCGGGCATCCTCTTCCCTCTTCATTTGATCCATTCTAAGTTGGAATGCCAATTCGGCATCTTTTCTAATTTTAGCCTCAAGCTCTTGTTGCTTAGCTTCCGCCTCTTTCTTCTTTTGCTCGGCTTCAATCTCTGCTAATTTCTTTTTCATAGCCTCCTTTTCGGGGTCTTCCTTTGGTGGAGGCTCTGGGGCGGGGGTTCGTGGTTGACCAATATCAGTTGGTGGAGGCGGAGGAGGAGTCCATTGATACTGTGCCATACCATGAGGTAGAGGATATGGTGGACCACCGAAGTAATTTTGTCCACCACCACCGCCGCCGAAGGGCATCATCTCGTTACCTGGCGGGGGCCACCTGGGGTCATTGTGGAAATAGTTACCCCCGCTTCCATTCATGGGCGCGGGGGCGAACGGGTTTTGATAGTTGGCGTTGGGGCCATATGGCACAACCTGTCCATTGCCACCGTACGGGTGACCATAACCCCCTACGTGGCTCTGTTGGTACCCACCACGACCACCAGGGGCACCCGGAGCACCACCGTAATACGGGCCGCCCGGATAACCCCCCCGGGCGTAAATGTCGTACTCTGATGAATCCAGGGTAGATGTGTTCGGCGGTTGCCGAGGGTCGTAATTAGAAGGTGGTCTATGTGCGACGCTCCTGTGCTGTTGAGAGGCAGAACGTGCAGGGGCGCGAGCCTCCTGGTGGTGACGTCTTGCGGCGGGATGAGTTGAAGCTGAGTCCTCTGGGTCTATGTCGTCCTCCTCGTAATCGTCTTCGTCGTCCTCCTCGGAGCTGTACTCGTCCGACCAGTCGTCTTCCTGATCGTGCGACCCACCACTAGGTCTTTCGTCCTCTTCGTCGGTGTAGCTATCTTGGACCGAGATAGGGCCGGTGTGGCTGCGATGGCGTATGCTTGGATACGGGGTTTGCGACTGCCTTCGACTACTTAAAGAAAGGTCAATTGGCGAACAGGCAGGTATATCATGGAATTATCGCCACTCACGACATTGGTGATAATTTGTTGTCTAAACACCCTCTGCTCTCCACGACCTGTCTTAGAAAGTCGGAGCAAAGGGAGGTCGGCAGCTAGTCGATTTACCAACCTCGAGTTTCGTTGATAGATTGAGTTACAGTTCAGTTTCCTGAACTCGGCGTTACTTTGCGTAATTGTCGTCGTATTCGTTGTTGGTGTTATTGTTGTCGCGGGCGTATAAACACCAAGCTTCGAATAACAGGGAGTAAGTAGTATGAAGGAACCAACGTGTCTCTGATAATTGGCAATTGTTGTTAGTAAACTAGCGTAGCTCTATGTGTACGTGTAGTAGTGCCAAGTAAGTAGTGAAATGTGAGAATGTAGTAGTAAATAGTAATCGCAAGGTGTTGTTAATATCTGCAAGTAGATTTCGTGTTCGTGAGAGTGTGCTGTGATGAGTGTGGCGGTGATGCGATTGTGCGGTTGTGCAGTTGTGCGATTGTGCGGAACAATTCAAAAAGAAAGATTTGAGAAATTTAGAAGTGATTTTGTAGAAGTAGAAATATCTCCCATGAACAATTAGGCAGTAGATAATTCGTCTAGGGGGGGTCCGTTGCCCGATCTTCCAATGAGACTGAATCAGTTGGGCGCAAAGGGGTCGAATTGGGTTCTATCCGGTAACGAAACCTTCCAATCTGTGCGGAATTTCAAGTGTGTAGAAAGTGGATGCTCTCTCTGCTGGGTGCGAATTGAAGCGGGGTGAATCGAAACTCGATTTAGGTACGTAGATGTATGCGATAAACCGGTACCCTTTTTTTTTCTCTTTCCAAAACACATACAATGTAACCAATGGAAGGTACGAGACAAGACTTACCCTTTCTTAGTACTCCGAAACAGGAAAACGGTGTGGGTTCCGTCGCCGTTGTCGTCGTTATTAGTATTGTTGTTGTTATTGTTGATGTTGTTGTAGCAGTAGTACCTCCTAGTAGCAGTGGTATGTCACCGCAAATATTTATGCGAAAAGAAATGTCGTTTTCGCCTCAAAGGGCTAAAACGAGAATCCACGGTGTGCACTGTCAAATCACACAGCGCATACCCGACCAAGCACGTCCGACCACAATCTTCTTATTTATTGTGTGTCAGAAGAGACCGAAGGATCAAGAAACAGGGAAGGAGGTCGGGATCTTATAATAGTGCCACTATAACCTAATAAAGCCTACGATCCCGTCGTCAGCGAGGGGGGAACAAAGTACGCAGCCGTAAATGACGGGGGTACGAGTGACACAGCCCAGGAGAGGAGGGGGGCGTTTCCAAAAGCCAAAGGGGGCTAAGCTGCTCTGGCTGTCTGGCTGTCTGGCTGCTATGGCTGCTAAACTAATACATAACACACTACCTGTACCTACACCTACACACACATAAGGATAACACATCCATCCTACATAGTAGAACACACATACATGCCTAGGTAGGTATATTACAGCACATACACGTACCCGTACTACGGAGCACATGTAAGTAGGCACCAGCTCTAGAACCTTCATCATAAGATGTGATGTAGATCCCACCTCCGAACGGGGGCTGAGGAGTAGTGATGGTGATAATGGTGGTGGTAGTAGCAGTAGCAGTAGTAGTGGCAGCAGTAGTAGCAGCATCAAGCAGCACTAGCTTGGCTTTAGAAAGGATTGTGTTTGATAACATGACATAACATGACTACCGAGAAATAAATGCAACTTCAAGTCCCCAACTGAACAATACAAAAAGAGATATCAACGTACATTGATCGATACACCAGAAATATAATGTACTCTTTGCTCAGGTCAGGTGTGTTTCTCTCTATTCTTCCCTTGCAAGGGATCGTGTACGGTATAGTATATAGGTAGTAAGAGTATAAAGAAGAGTAGTACCTAGTAAAGAGGTAGGTACCTAGAGAAGAAAACACCAAGGAATACAGATGAGATAGTGAAATAAAACCAAAATAATAGTGACGATATCTTAAACTTGTTAAACGTCCTTGGAAACCCGATTTTGGGACAGGCAGAACTCAAGTAAGTCCGGATGCTTTTTATTGTTATGTATGAAGCCCGTAGTGAAGTCCGTACTGTATACAAATAATCCAAAAAGGGAAGAGCGAAAAATAAGTGGACGATGAGGGGCTGGGCTAAAGCGGGCTGATGGCACGCAGGTAGGAGAGAAGGAAATTTGGTTCACACCGCTCGGCGCTCGCTGCGCGGGTTGTTAGGGCAGAGATGTAGATGCAGGCCCCCCAGACCTCCAATGATCTCGATCCAGAACTCACACCGAACACGACAGCATTATCTTCACTGGCCGTCTTTATCTTGTGACATTCTTCCTTTGGTATACGCTTCCTGTATGCTTCCTGTATGGCTCTTGGATCTCCAGTTGTCTCTCAGTCTTCTCGTTCCTGATTTTATTTTATTTTTATTTTTTGTTCTCCTTCTTATTCTTATCTTATTCTTCTCCCTTTTTAGATCATCCGATCTCATCCATAATAAGGAACATCCTTAATACTGGGGTCTTCGGAGTCTTTCCGAAAGATTTGTGGCAAGCATTGAGACGAAAACCAGGCGTTTTTGGCGTTCAATAAGTCGGCCCTCATCATTTCCGTGGCTCTGTTCCAGTAACGCATGTCCGACGTAAGCCTTTCCTGTTACTGGAAGTGAATCACCAAAGTTTGGTCATTGGGGGCGGTTTATGACTTGGAAATAAACCTCAACCCCATGACTGGCGGTTCTCTTGTAAGACGGAGGCGACGCTGTGATCGGTATATTCCAATTCCAAGTTCTTGAGCTGAGAACTAAAAGACTGTGGCCGTTCATGTCTACTAATAAGGCCTCTTACTTTCTCACCCACCGATCTTTTGGCATATTCATCATGGTCTCTAAAATCTGGAAAAATACGTGGTCTCGTAGGAGACCTGTTAGCAGATACATACCTCAAGGTGGTATGGAGACAAATGCATTGTTTGCTACGATTACTTACGCTAAAGTGGTTATGCAGGTTGCCAGCGAGTTCAAGACATCTTCATCATTGTAACTGAGGTGAGCCAATCCCAGGTGAGAAGTATCAGGAACAGCAACCCTGCTATAACCAATGTGGAAATGAGAGATGGATCTAGAAACTTGTCTGCATCTAAGTCCGCCCTAGATGTTTCTGGCTGTGGGACCTTGATTCCTTTCGGCTAGACGATGCCTGACAATGTGGCTTTTTGCTGCCCAAATATCATAATACGGTATTTAAGCGGTTGCAGTGCACCCAGATCTAGATACACGCCAAATATTACGGCTCAGATAATGTTAGCCACTTGCTGGGTTCCTGCTCATTCCATTATAATTGCCACCTTTCTGATTCATGACAACCAAAGCTGCGCGACTGGTGCCACGTGCTATTCATACTGTAGGAACAGTCATCCGGTAGGCAGGTAGGGTAGTTGGCTAAACCAGCATACTGCATACTTTAGACTGGACACGTCGGCATGCCTAAAGTCCCACCGCCTCTAGATACGAAATCCACCCAAGGCACCAATTGGTGCCTTTGCCCTTTTGCATATGCCAGATGCAACTTTTTTCCATTAGTCGCACAATGACTTGCGATGTCTTGCAAGGAACCCGGCCATGTGAGTGAGGCTAAAGTGGGCATCGTGACGGATCACTTGAGCTTCTGCCGTGCAGCGACTCCATCATAAACGGCAGCTCCTCACCTAATGGTCGCGTCCGAACCACTTTCAAGCAGTTCCCGGGTCGCCTTGATCTCTGCTTCATCGTATCCTTGCCATCCCCTTTCTCCTGCCGAATTGCGCCGCACGATCTCCGCGAGCTTCTCCGTAGCCATCTCATCAAGTCTGTTGAGTGTATCCACATCAGGTCCGGCGAACCCCTCGGAACCTGTCCGATCTGTTGCTGCTCCCGGGGCATCGCTCAGAAGTTGCTTCGCAGTCTTTTTTTTCATTTAAGTCAGTCATTTTTCGGTTGCTCATATTTTGGGATACATACTAGCTTAAGGCCGTAATAACCTCGCAAATAACCGTCACAGAGCTCGATACTTCGACTGAAGCGCTTTAAGGCTTCGACTAGTTGACCTGCGTTGCCCGGTGATTTCGAAGAAATGTACAATATCTCGCCTAAGCGAGCATATATCTGCACTTCGAGTTAACGATGAAAAGGGGCTTCAAGCATGCGGATATGAAGACTAACGTTCCAAGCATTTGGCTGCAGGACAAGAACTTCCTCAAGTGCGAATATGGCCTGCGAGTATAGCCCTTGAGAGAAGTAAAGATCAGAAAGCTCAGCCCAGGCCTCCGCATCCGTAGGTGAGATATCGAGAAGTGATATCAAAGCGCTGACAGACTTGGAAATTCGCCCAGTAGACCGCAAAAGCGCTACACGACGCTTCAGTATGGGCTAAAATGACGATATTAGTATCATTTTACTGAACTATAAATGATGATACTCACGATATTTGTTGGATTGTCTTCTAAGATCTGATTATATTCCTTCAGAACAGCGTCCAATGTAGCGGAATCATCGGCATCTGCCTCCTTAAGTATACCTTTCAGAGCCATAATTCGTTCATTGTCGTCACCGAATCTGTTCACAAGTCTCCCTAGACATTGATGCGCGGATTCATCGTCTCCGGTACGAAGACACGATAATAAGAGGTTCTCATACGTAATCCATAACTCAGGAGTTTCCGGGGCCGAGAGAAGAGACTGGATGAGAGAACTTGAAATGGCACCGGTAGAGTTTCCAAGTATGGTCGGGGCTTGCTGTGAATGTTGCAAGGCTGTAGCTGGAGGTAAGTGGCTAGGTGGATGAAGTAGTGAGGAGGACATATTTAAAATATATGACCTAATTCCTCCTCCGGTTCCCTCCTATTTCGAGTTAAAATGTAAATTCAAGTTTCAATGTCGCATATGTGAAAATGCGGATGTTGCGTGTCGAGTATTGAGTATGAATTAATTGTGTTGGTTGAGCCGGGTTGAACAGGATGAAGCGACGTACATTGTTAATAAGGCGCGGTCTGGGAAATGGATGTACTGGAACTGTGGAAGTGATACCTGTAGGAAGCTCTTACGTAAGTTTCAATGTGGAGCACGGAGCCGGAAGCTTTCTTCTGCCGTCCATATCGGAGCTCTCAACTTCCCCTTGAAGTTATGGTCACTGGTGGGGATCTAACTTTAGGGTACCTAGGTACATATTTAGGTACCGATATGAGCCTATCAATAGCCCCGAAGTCCGCTGACGTGACTTGACATTTCCGTCGTGGGGCACTTGAGCAACCTTGAAGCTCGTTTATACATTTCTATGTTGTATGTTGCACATGCACTTCTTGAAGTTCTTGTTACCTTGACAAAATATGCCAAATACTGTTAAACTCGATGACAACTCAACATCCTAGATGAACGGCACATCTACCGCGCCCACATCTTGCTCGGCTACTCTCTCGCTGTCAAGATGATCAATTATCTGAGGCAAATCTTGAACCTGCATTCTGATACGTACAGCTGATTGTTCTTCTAAACCGCCCCGACGCTCGGCCAGCACCGGCAAAGGTGCAAATTGGACAACCATGTACGTGACCTAGCCATACAGAATCGCAGCCATTAATAGCTTTACTCTTTATCCTAGGTTCGAGAAGTCGCTATACGACCTCATTCGAGGCTTAAGAAATCATAAAGGCAACGAGAAAGAGTACATGCAAAATTGCTTGAAAGAATGTCGTTCAGAAATCCGAAGCCAGGATCTAGGTTAGCTATATCTTTTCGTGGATATAGTAATGTCACGACTAACCTTAGACCCCTACGATAGATCTCAAGGCGACCGCTTTGCTAAAATTAATATACCTGGAAATGTTCGGACACGACATGTCATGGGCCTCCTTCAACGTGCTCGAGGTTATGGCTTCTCCCAAATACCATCAAAAGCGAGTGGGATATCTTGGCGCCATTCAGAGCTTTCGCCCTGATACAGAGGTCCTCATGTTAGCAACCAATCTCCTCAAGAAGGTATGGAGTTTTGTTTTGCGACAATGCGATATATATCCAGAAATTCAAGAGAGGGGATGTACTGAACTTGCCTTTAGGACTTGACTGCAGCACCGACGACTACCATCGCTCTTCCGATCGTGACTCTTCCGCATGTCATCACACCGTCCCTTGCGCTCTCCGTTCTACCCGATCTTCTACCACGACTCAACCATACCCATCCTGCAATTCGCAAAAAGACCATTGTCACCTTATACCGACTCGCCTTAGTATATCCCGAAACTCTACGTGCTGCTTGGCCGAGGATTAAAGATAGGCTCATGGACAGGGCTGAAGACCCCAGCGTTACAGCCGCTATCGTGAATGTCATCTGCGAGCTCGGATGGCGGCGGCCCCACGATTTTCTCCCGTTGGCACCTCGCCTGTTCGAGCTATTGGTTGACAGTGGAAATAATTGGATGGCAATAAAATTGATCAAGTTGGTGGGTGGTATATATTCTTTTTCATATTGTCCCCTAGGCTGACTATGATCCAGTTTGCTACCTTGACGCCACTTGAGCCTAGGCTTGTTCGAAAACTGCTACCGCCTTTGACTGAGATCATCCGTACAACGCCTGCCATGTCCTTGTTGTATGAGTGTATCAGCGGCATTATCCAAGGCGGTATCCTTGGGAGCGGCGAAGATTCAGATGGGAGAGAAGAGATCGCATCCCTTTGCGTTAACAAGCTACGGGGCATGATAATGATAGATGGCGATCCAAACTGTAGGTGTGACCATAATTTTCACGGTTCTAATTTACTGACTTAATATGCTGTAGTAAAATATGTAGCGTTGCTCGCATTCAATCAGATCGTCGTCACTCATCCTTGGCTAGTTGCTCAACAGGAAGATGTTATTTTAGAGTGCATAGATAGCACCGACATCTCAATTCGTATTAAAGCACTGGATCTTGTACAGGGCATGGTCAGCGGTGACAATTTAGTCTCCATTGTTAGTCGTCTTATGAGACAACTCAAGCTCTCGTCTTCAGCAGACCGCAGGGCAGCAAACTCGTCACGGTTGAGTCCAGAGGATTCAGATGACGAAGATTTCGAAAGAACCAGCGATTCTGCATCAAAATCAACAAACCAGTCTCCGCCACTTCCGGATGATTACAGGATCGACGTTATCGGCAGGATACTAAACATGTGTTCTCAGAACAATTATGGTTACTTGACGGATTTCGAATGGTATCTTGATATATTGACACAACTTGTTCGAACTGCTCCGATACCACGGCCTGTGGTTGATACCAATTCCATTTCCGCATCAGGAAAATCAAACGAGGGTGATATATCTGAGAGAATAGGCGGGGAGTTGCGGAATATCACCGTCAAAGTTCAGGCTCTTCGTCCTATATGTGTTAGAGCTGCCGAGGCGATTTTATCTCAGTTGAATGGCGAAACATCGATTGGACAACCTATTAATTCGGGGGCATTAAAACCAGTTGCTTGGATTATCGGTGAATTTTCATCAGATTTATCTTCTCCGGACGATATCCTTGGAACTCTGCTGCAAACCATCCCAAAGACCCCATCTCCCGAATCTCTTGCAGCCTGTCTCCAGGCGAGTATGAAGGTCTTTTCCCTAGTTACGGGGGATCAGTTGGCCCCCTGGACACCCGAGCGTAAATCAAAAATTTCACTTCTTATGGCCCGTATTATTCATTCCTTCGAATCTTTAGTCCTACACCCGAATCTCGAAGTTCAAGAACGAGCAGTAGAGTTTATAGAGTTGCTGAAACTTACTGCCGAAGCGGCTTCGAGTCAGGAGGCGTCAACGGAAACCGTCTATCAAGACCCACCCCTACTCTTGACACAGGCGATACCGTCCCTTTTCGCTGGCTGGGAATTAAATTCAGTTGCTCAAGCCGCGCAAAAGAATGTTCCTCTCCCAGATGGCCTAGACCTTGATGAGCCTATCAATCCGAACCTCAACTTCCTTCTCTCATCTGCCGAGTCGATATCCATCCCGGTCGACGAAACGGATGAGTTTGAGAGCTACTACTATCAGCGACCCCCACCAACTAGTATTGTTTCCGAGCCAGCCATCAATAAGCTGGCAGACAGTCGTGATGATACATCTAATTCCTACCAACAACCTACCGAGGAGACGTACTTGGATGCAGACATCTTAGCGAAAAGGAAAGCCGAGCGCCTGGAAAGGAATCGCGATGACCCGTTCTATATCCAGGAGAGCAGTTCCATCCAGAGATCCTCGACCCCTATACATAACATTCTCCAAAACTCAAACGGCCCCGACCTAGACGTCGATTCTATCCCTATCATGGAACTCGACCTTGATAAACTTAGCGCCGGCGTCGATCACTCACGCCCACATCAACCAGCCCGCCCAGCCCGCCGTGCGCCGCGCCAGAAGATCGTCGTCGCAGCAGACGAGAACCTAGCCAGCAGTGGGCTTAGCACGCCTAATCGGAACTACGACTCCGAGAACAGCTCCGGCGCCGCCGCGTCCAAGGCGCACGGTAAGAAACTCAAGCAATCCCTCTTAGGCGTGGATTCGACCAGTATCGGTGCCCTAAATCTTGAGGACGACGGTTCGAGCGCCACCGCTTTCGACCCCGAGGCCCGCCAGAGAGAGGAGGCGGAGATGGCGCAGGCCGTCAAGGAGGTCGAGCGCCTACGTCTCGAGATGCAGCGCGCGAACGAGAGGATACAGGTCGCGCAGGGCGTCGACGCCGCGGGCACAGTCGTCAAGAAGAAGAAAACCGGCACCAAGGCCAAGGCCAAGAAACCGAAGACTACAACCGAGGAGACCGGTGACGGTGTAGTAGAGAATAACGGGGATGCAGGGACGGAGTTGAAAGTCAAGAAGAAAAAGAAGAAGGTCGCGACGATAGACGAAGGGACCGGTGCAGCAGCAGCCGGAGAAGTGGTTGTTAAATCCAAGCCGAAAAAGAAGAAGGCGAAACCGCCTGTTGAATTCCATGATGCGGAGGCTGGGTGAGGGGATTAACGTGAGCATTAGCATCAGCATTAGTACCTCCTCCTAGGTAGGTAGGTAGGTGTATAGACAGAATACCATTACAATGCATTGATACAATCTAAAACATATCCAACTACTACTACCACTACTACTATGCCTAGATAGGTACATACATACATATTACATACATCTTTTTATCTACACCGAAGAGTACCAGACCCCCGAGATTTAAGAATGTACATATAATAGTATTTATAGCGAACCAGCACGAAAAAAAATCAAGTTTATTTCAAAAAAGGGGGAGCAGCAAAAAAAAGCGGACGTGAAGATTAATGTGATCAAGATTCAACTATGTCATGTCAACGTACAAACGTATGCGCAGGGGAAAAAACGACGAGGTGTAAAAAAGAAGCGTTCAGCTATCAGCTTTGTTTTGCTATGCTTTGCTTTGCTTTGGCCCGCGCCCACCTCTTATAAACCACCAATCCACCGCACACCTTTTTAGAAACAGCATGACGCGGCGATACTCGCGTGCTATCGTAGGGAACCAAACCACAGTTGCCGCACCGATTCCAGAAGAGCGAAAGAAGAAACTAGTGGACCTGACAAAGGGAAAGGAGGTTGGGAAGAGAGCGGGAGTCCCAAGGAGAGATGATGGCCTAGTCGAGTTACCTAGGACAAGAATAGGAGCCGCAAGCGGGACCATCTCAAGCTGGGGATATCCGGTTCTCTTCCGTGTCGTAAAGGCCGTAGCGTAGCATAGTACAAGGATCTCATATAGGCGGACATGTTTACATTAAGCATTACAGCTCGCGCGCTCACAAACATCCGTCTAGGTTTGTTGTAAAACGAGGCGAGTGTTCCCTCTGGGCGTTGGCCCCATTCTTTATGTAGATAATTACCCATTCGCGGCGGATAATCTCGTATGTCAACCCACGCGTTACTAGTCGTCCATGGGCGCGTCCACGAGCGTGACACCGCGGTCAGGTTCCGCCACCTTGCTGACGGGCGTGCTGGGTGCGCTTCCTAGACCTGAGGGTTCAGCTCTGGACGCAGTAACTCGTCGTCCGCCTACAAATCGCGCTCCGCTACGCCCTAGGCTGTCCCGTTTTGAGAGTAATGAGTCGCCGTTGACATGTTGTTTTGGCGAGTCCTCGTTTGTGCCGTTGGTCTCCGAAGATGGGCTCCCATCCGGGACCTCGAGACTGGATCGCTTTACCGTGTTCAGGCTGCCTAGGCTGCTGCGATGGCGATCGTTCGCGGTAGTAGGGCTGGCAATGGGGAACCTAGTCTCGGGTCCGCCCGTACTTCTATCACGTCGGTGACGGGGGCCGGGAGCCGGACTAGTGGCGCGGCCGCGCGGCCCTGCCTTTTCTAGAAGGGCACGTTGCCTCTCCTCCATGTGTGCTCTCCTGTTGCTCTCATCCGTGCTGATTGCTCGTGGTCGGTTATTGTTGCTTGTGTTGTTGCTGCTGAGTGATCCTGAGTGTGTCAGACTCGACATGCGCTTCAGCTCACTGAAGATGGCGTCTTTGTGTGCGAATAGGTCGCGAACTAAACGGTAAGCGTGTTTCTCCTCCATCGTCAGCGATGTTTCGACACGAGGTCGCAGGATGCAAGGGGCCATAATTGTCGCAAGCTCAGTTATGTATTGCTCATCCGCTGATGTCAGGTCGATCAGTCTCGTAAAGTGATTCATACAGGCGTCAAGTGTTGCGATGTTCGTGAGGCGTAGTTGTGAGAGTGTCTGTTGTAAAACGGCAATTCTCGCCGCGTCGGTAGTTTCGGAGGTGGGAGTTTGGTAAATAGTTCTAATGATCTCGTACACATGAGAGGATACCAGCGAGTCTAAAATTATAATTAGCCTTCGTGAAAACGTTCCAACTACCTAGATAGGATAAAGGACATAACGTACCAGGGAGTTCCAAGAGATACAGTTTTAACAAATGCGCAACAGTAGAGACGTCAAATTCGGAAAGCGTGTCAGGAGTGAAGGGTTTGCCATTGTTGACCTTCACTCGTAATTTGTGGACTTGGGGAAGCTGAACTTCAGTAAGCCATACACCCCTTCTTGCCTCGTCGCCTTCTAGATCTGGATAATGATTGTCCAGATACGTCAAGATCGTAGTGATGATGATAGGAACGCGCTTCTTATCCGCTCGTGCTCTGGCCTCAAGATCTACACCAAATGTATGCTCCTCAACCTTGTTATAATAGTTCTCATACGTGACAACCTTAGGAGCAAAGCGGCCTGTCCTATAATTCTCCAATAGGTATCGCAGATCTCCGGCAGGCTGTACTGTCTCTTGGTATAAAACCATGCGATCCACCGTAGACTGTAAGCTTGGGATGACATTTCCAATAGTACCGGAAAAGTCGAGGACGACGGTCTTGATAGCCTTCAATCTATCCAACTCGCAACGCTCTAGAAATCGTAGATGGACAAAGATGGCTTCTTCGAGTTCGCAGCGCATCTCATCAAGCTTTCGGACAGCAGCTTTGTACTTATCGTCAGCTTCCCTTGCCTCGCGCCGAAGACGCTCTGGGGGAGTCTCGTTGGGATATTGGCTGCCGAGGACATTCCAACCAGACAAATATTCACTAACGGTGCCCGTGGAGGGAGAATCGTTGCCGTTCCCGTTTTCTGAAGGCATCGAGAACGTTCGTGAAAAAGGTACCTTCTTCTCTGGAACCCCTGAAAGTTGGAATGCCTTCGGTCGCCACTGGTAAAACAGTTTCGAGCTATTCGCAAAGTTATTTCCAACGTTACCAACAAGGCGAAGGAAGCCGTTTGACACCAAATCCTGACCAATCCGTTCGGCGTAGCTGACGCTGGTTGAGCCCATATGCCGTTGCATATACTCGACAATATCGGAACCAGACGATGTGTTGAGATATGTACCAAGGATAGGCACCTTCGTCTCCCCCATCTTTATCGTGTTCAACATGTGAATTAGTATCTTCTTAACCTGTTCAGTCTGGTATGTCTCATCGCCAATCTCGTATATCTCGTCCTCTTCCTCTTCTTCCTTATTCGTCGAAACCTTGATCTCGGGTATATTTGCGCTCTGCTTGGGACTTGTCTCCGGGTCTTGAAAAGCTAACTTGTTTTCCTCTTCGAGATCCTCAGCTAGGCGACACTTGTTGAAGTAGTTGCTTCTCAACTTTTTGACTACCTCGGCTTGGCGATCGTGGGCTTTGATACGGGTCTGCAAATCATCTTGCGAGTCTTGAATGCGAGATTCGTGGGCGTCGCACCATCGCGCGAACGGGTTCACGACCAAATCCCTGATGCTCTGTGCGATCTTCTTATGGTTCTTCGCGGCATCTTCCATCTCTGACCGGACGCCATCGTATGCCTAGACACACAAGAACTAAGGTTAGTCGACATGATCCTACGAAAAAAGGTATCGAGAATTAGATCGTACTTTTCGCACACTTGCGCCGTCATCACGCGAAAAGCCACCAGTAATCTTGTCAGCTGCAGGTGCAATATCTCCAAGTCGCTGGCCGTAGACCTCTTCGGCCTCGGCTCGCATTCGGGCGATCGTTAGAATTTGTCGATCTTCCTGAACTCCCTGCTGGAGTTTGGTGAACAAGACACCCAACCCTTAGGCATCGTTAGTTTAAGGTACAATATTGAATCTAAATGTCAGTTTGTATCGCGCTCACCTGCGGCGTAGTCCGTAGACCAGAAAGAATCTGCGAACCCCGGCATAGTGATGACGCAAGTCTTCTCGAAACGCCGATTAATACTAGCCGCGTAGGCGTTCTGATGCTGATTCAAAACGGGAGGTAGCTATATCTTTGACTTGTGGGTAGAAGTATGATAAGGCGCAAAAATGGGAGTTGGCTCGTAATGCGATAAAGGACCAATGGTAGAAATAGGAACCAGAGCCCAGCAAAGAATCAAGGGCGGCCGGGCGGTTAGAAAGTTACAGGTCGGAGGTGGAGGTGGGTATCACTAGTATCACAAAATGGGAGGTCGTGCTGGTCGTGTCACTTATTTTAGAACAACTGAAGGGAGTTAGAAGTAGAAATAGAACGTAAAACGAGAACAAGAATGAGTATGAGAACTTGTTAGATTAGAGATGTGATTGTGGATTCGTGTATGTATGTATGCTACAAAGACAGAAAACTAGATGCGTATGCGAAAAATGTACAGAAAGAATGAATGATAAAACACGGCTTGCCGTTGTCTCCATATGTTTCTGTTTCGCTCTTCGTTTTTTTTTTACGAAATTCCTCGCCGCCAATAAAGCACCTGGAATAAAAGCTTGGACAGTGAAGAATAGCTGAATCTTAAGAGATCATTGGTCCACCTAGGCAAGCAGTTCAAGGTCGGACCTGCAGACTCCAGGGGGGTTTTAGGGCAATGGAGTTTCCCTTTGTTTGCAGATTTCTAGGTATATTTTACCAAGGGAAGTGTACCTACCTCAAGAGCCTGGTACGTCTGGTACTACCTTTGCAAGTACCTTTGACTGAAACTTTATTACGTATATGCGCAGATGTAGCTGGAGTTGATATGAGGCGGGTCTGGGCAGGTTACATTATATCCAAGTACCGTTCCGGTCCCGCTGACGACATTGGAACAAGAGAGAAATAGCCCTGTAAGAAATGGTTTCATCTGAACTTTTTGGGCATCGGCCCTGTCGAGCCTTAAGCGGCACGTAAGCAGCATAGGCAGCTGCTGGGGTCATAAGAGGCCTCTCGATTATCGATATTTAACAAGTTCGTACTCTGTAATTAGATCCTAATTACATCCATTTTTAGAATATATAACCCCATAGGCGGTCAGGCGCATGAAGCTTGGGCGATGTCTTAGAGAGATAGTTTCGTCGTTGAAACAGAAAATTAACCTCATGAACATAGAGGAGCACATGCGCACCTCATATACCTCACATACATACCTACTCCATCCAGTACTATGTATCTTCAAGCTCCTGCATACTCGTGGCGAGATACATGCAAATATGTAAATGATGATGTGTTAGTCCCGATTATGTTGCAGTTGTGGCCCGTGGATTGCAATTCCCTTAATAGACCAGATCAGGTCTACAGGTCTTGGTACTTAGGTACTTCGTAGTTGCACTGTAACCTGAACTCCGATTAAGACTTTGAGATAACGGGCAAGTTCCAAGTTCAGTCCCGAGTGAGATAGGAGGCTTTGTAAGCTGCCGGTTATCCTCAACCATAACTTCATAACTTCTTCCCCTATCACACGGACACATCCAAGTAAGAAACTAAGACAATTTATCATACTTACCTACATAGGCAGATAGTTATTAAAACTGCTATCCGTAACATGGATGAGAAAGCGGTCCTCGGCGTCGACGATGCAGCGCCCGTTCGCTCTCGACCTTCGTTTGCGAGGAAGGCGATTCTTATTGCTACGTCTTTATTGGTCATAGGCACATTGTTGCACCCAACATCGCGATGCCATCACCCGTTGTCGAAAGCGTATGACCACTTTAGCCCGAAGTCCGTTGAGCAGAGGGTCCAGAAGATCCTCTCAGAAACCCCTTTGATAGGTAGATTCAGCTTAACTCCCCGGCTATTCGGCAAATAACTAATAGCTTTCAAGATGGTCATAATGACTTTGCTATTCTCATACGGTTCATGTACAATAACCACATTTATGATGAAAAATTTACAAAGCCATTTGAAGAGGGCGGTTTTCCGATGCACGTCGACCTCCCTAGGTTGAGAGAAGGACAAAATGGAGGTGCCTTCTGGAGTGTCTACACGCCTTGTCCCACAAATGGCTCGGATTGGTCGGATGAGAACTACGCTTCTAGTGTTCAGCTCACTCTACAGCAGATCGATCTTATGACCCGTCTACAAACTGCTTATCCAAACGATTTCTCCGGAATCCCAACAGACTCGAAGTCTGCTGTAGAAGCGTTCAAGAAGGACAAATTTGTCTCACCCCTAGGGATCGAGGGTCTCCACCAAATCGGCAACTCGGTTGCCAACCTGCGGCGCTACTACGCCCTAGGGGTTCGATATGCTACTCTGACACACAACTGTGGTAACAAATTTGCGGATGCAGCTCTCTGGGAGAACCCATTTGCCAAGGCTCCCCCGGTTTGGGGTGGTCTATCCCCTAAGGGCAAACAGTTGGTCAACGAGATGAATCGCATTGGTATGATAGTCGACCTATCCCATGTCAGCGTTGACACTATGAGAGACGTCCTAGGCGGCAGTGAAGGATGGGCAGGCAGTAAGGCTCCCATCATGTTCAGCCATAGCTCTGCTTTTTCGATATGTCCGCATCCTCGCAATGTTCCCGACGATATACTTCAGCTTGTGAAAGAGAAGAATTCGATCGTCATGGGTATGTTCATACTAGACCCCTATCTTGAGTTTGTGCTAATTGCCGTAGTCAACTTTTCCCCTGATTTCATCAGTTGTGTCGACAAGGGAGCTGAGAACGGCGTCCCCGAGTTCTTCCCTGAGAACAACACCCTCTCGCAGGTGGTTGACCATATTGAATACATCGGTAATCTGATTGGATACGATCATGTCGGTCTAGGAAGTGACTTTGATGGCATTCCATCTACTCCCGAGGGATTGGCCGATGTGTCCAAGTACCCAGATCTGATGGCAGAGCTACTCCGCCGTGGAATCTCTGACGAGGATGCGGGCAAGATTGCAGGTGGTAACGTATTGCGGGTCTGGGGAGACGTCGAGAAGGTAGCTGCAAAGTTGCAGTCAGGAGGAGAGCCTGTGCTGGAAGATGATCTGGAAGATCTATTTGGAGTAGATGTTTATTTCTCTGGCATATCAGACTGAGCGAGTCTACAGGATCTTTGATTTCTACTGGGTACTCTTTGTACCTCATGATGCTTTACTGACAAATTAGCCCGCAATCATTTTCAATGGGGTGAGCGACCCCCTAAAATAATCAATCAGGTGTTATTTCGGTCATATGATGTCTTATACAAGCGTGGGCAATGTGATCAGATTGTTAGTTTTCTGGCATATAAGATGCTGTCGATAAGGTTCCATGAGATCTCATATATCTTTAAAACTGCGAGTTTTACATTTAGTTATGTAAGGGAATCGCGTCCCTATACTACTATTTAGTTCATAGAGAATATATATACTCTCGAATTTGCCTATTTATAGAGGACTAGAACTTGATATAATCATCCATTCAACGCCTTTCTTCACGAGCCACGTTAAGTCGACTCCATGGAACATTTCATTCCTATACTTATATGCTAAGTATTCCCAAGTAAACGGTTTTAAATCTTGGAGTTTGTGCCTCCTCTCTCCAGGCAGTTGAACTTCTTCGCGCTCTCGATTTGTGTTCGTGTCCTCTGTCCACGTACGGGCAGACCCATAGCATGTCTTCTTCCTCTATACGTTCCCATATCTCTCAATCGCTTAATATTATCTTGTACTATTCGCCTAGCGTCGTTCTCTATCGTCATAGTCGATAATTCAGTTGTCAGGGCTGTGATCGTCTTCGGGGCAATGGTGCCGAGTCTGGCGAGCGGGTGTATCGTATATTTTGCGAGGATACGAGCAGATGCTTGAGGCCCGAGCCCATAGAAGGTCTCAAGAGCTTTCTGTATAGTTCGTTCGTTAGGGACATACGGTTTGCGAGATCATCTGTATGAGAAAGTTACCTTGACCAACTTCTTCTCGTGGAAGTGGACCCCCATTATAGACACCTGTAATTGTTTAGTAGGTGAAGCTTCAGGATAAGAACAAGTAATCGGAGTCATGAGATAACTCACCATCTTGGGCGAATTGGCACAACTGTGCTAAGATGAGTTGTCGCGATATTCTTCCTAAATTTGGTGGTGATGGAAAGATTGATGATGCATCTTCAATTTACCAAAATGACGACTCTTGTGATTGGTTAATGGTGAATCTGAGCAATCCCGCAGTCCCGCATACTCCGTTTGATAAGCTGATAGTCCTAAAGTGGCTAGTATAGTGGACCCCACATTCAGCCGATTGTATTGTACTTTGTACCTTACTCTTTGGACGGTTCAGGGGTCCGTCTCCGTTTGGTTGCGACAGCTCTAACTAACGTTGAAACGTTGAAACGTCGCTTCAATTGGAGCTTGTGTGTCCTTTCCATTTCCCCTTCACTATTTATTTCCTCCTGCATAGTTGGAATAGGACTAATCCCTCGAGATATTTCTAATTACCACATTTAACCTCTTCGAATTTATCTGAGGGGTCCTGTTGTTACCCTCTATTCATCATGCTTAATCTCCGCCGACTTTTCGTCGGCGCTCTGCTGCTGGTCGGTCTAAGCGTTATCTGCTTCTCCCAGTCGGCTGAAGCTGCCAAGGGGCCAAAGATCACCCACAAGGTCTACTTCGACATTACGCACGGTGATGAACCTCTTGGCCGCATTGTCATGGGTCTCTATGGAAAGACTGTCCCTAAGACCGCTGAAAACTTCCGAGCTCTTGCTACTGGAGAGAAGGGTTTTGGCTATGAGGGTTCTACTTTCCACCGAGTTATCAGGTCGTTCATGATCCAGGGAGGTGACTTCACCAAGGGTGATGGCACTGGTGGCAAGTCGAGTAAGTTTGAATGATATTGTCTAGGAGGAGATTGAGAAGGTGCTAATTATCCGTCTCGACAGTCTACGGCGAGAAGTTCCCTGACGAGAACTTCAAGCTAAAGCACTCCAAGGAGGGCCTCCTATCTATGGCAAACGCTGGCAAAGACACCAACGGCTCCCAGTTCTTCATTACTACCGTCGTCACCTCGTAAGACTCCCGACCCACGTGCAGAAATCAGAACAAGATGTATGGGATATAGCTAACAGAAAATTAGGTGGCTTGATGGCAAGCACGTTGTATTTGGCGAGGTTCTTGAGGGCTTTGATATTGTCAAGAAGATCGAGGGTGTCAAGACCAAGCCCGGCGACAAGCCGGACCAGACCGTCAAGATTGCTAAGAGCGGAGAGCTTGAGGTGCCCCCAGAAGGTATCCACGTTGAGCTATAAACACACAAAATTCCCAAGCCGTACTCGTCTCGCCTTCCTCCGTCGTTTTCTTACTGATGCATCTATCGCGCGGTTCCAGGTTTAAACGGAAATTCTGAATGGGCTGCAGGATACTCTACCGAAGAGACCACGCCCACTGAGGCGGTTGGGACCGCAGCTCCCTCCGCCGGGTGGACCGTCTTCCAAAAGGCGCTATTCTTCGGTGTTATCGTTGCTGCTTTTGCATTCTACCTACGCCTATCAAAACGGAGGAGCGAGCAGGACGCCGCTTACGAGAAGACGATGGTATAGATGATGTTTGGATTTATAGTTTCTAAAAAACGAAATACATAACGCATTTGCTATGATATTATTTCGATTGCTACAAGATATATAGGTGCCTACTATGCACTCAATATGTGTTGTGGTTGTTCTTGATATTGGTTGTCTTATCACGTGTGACTTGTATGTAAAGCTTTAGTAAATTTTGGCGCCAGTCAAAATAAATTTCTACCCATGGTGAGAAACTCAGAAACTTTTATCGCAATACTTTTGTCGCCATTCAACCACACGCCAAGATGAAGGTCCTTAGTCTCAATTTCTTAACGTGCGCAGTCAAGGCTTGCAAAAGCTCATCAAATTCATATCCGTTGCATCCCAAGGATGCAGAGTTGGTACAGGACGACATCGAAGTGAATGCCGAACTTTTGCTGAATTTGCTGCCCCGCATCGATTGGACGGCCTTGTCGACTACTACCACTGAGGTATGAATTCACATTCTTATATCATTCTAAATGAGAGGATATGTTCTTTTTAAGTACTATATGGAAAAATCAAGTAACTGAAATTTTTCTTAGCTTGGTTTCCCAGCCTTGCCGCCGCAGCCCCCGTCCGTGGAGGAGCTGCAAGGCGACGAGAAGACGATGAAAGATTTGCACAATCTGCTCATGGAGACGCAGATCATGGAGGGTAAACTCGTCTGTGCAAACTGTGGTCACGAATACGCTGTCCGCGAGGGTATCGCCAACTTCCTGTTGCCGAGTCACTTGGTCTAAGGGAATTCTCAACTCTACGAACTAAGCTTGAAATGAGGCCATTGATACCACTAAGGCGGCCGAAGGGTTTATGAAGGCGTTCCGGAGTCAAACAAAAACGCGAACGGGATACGGACGTGTGATCAGGATGTATGGTGGAAATATCATGGGCAAGGGGAAAAGTTCTGGTCAATTCGATTTCTAGTTGCGTATATCTACAGTCTCCTTCCATCTGCTAAATAATGCATTGCCGTGAACGAAGTCTCATTCAAACTTCTATACTACCCGTTACCCGGACTCCGATGACCCAATAGTACACTACGTAAATTACAGCCTCGATACATCGTCCACTAGACTGGACTAATCCGTTTCGGTTTAGATGTTTCGTCTACTGCTGCTTCTTTTGCGCAGCAGGTCCCATCTCCTTGTCGAAGGCGCCGTAGGGGACTTCGAGGCTGGCAACGCCGAGGAGGCCGACATATAGGATAGAAATAAGGATAGTAGCAGCGATTAGAGCCGTGAAGATACCTGTTTAGCCGTAAGTATGAGCGCTTATGGGTGTATCACAAGTTTGTTTGTTGAACTGACCTGGGGTAAAGTACTGGTACTTCTCGAATAGAGGTAAATTTTGAGAGTTGTTCTTAGCCCGTTGTTGAATAAGATGTAGGTTTCTCTTTAGTTCCTGGTGTACGGCACCTGGGAACTCAGCGTTATAGGTCTTGGGGGTCTCCTTTCGAGGGCCACCAGCGTAGATAATTGTGTAGGAACCCTCTCTCTCGTATTGTTCTAGAACCATACCAAGCTCGCCATCTATATCACATTAATAACATTGCCTTCGCATAAAGGGTTTAGAAAATAGTTACCGTTGTCCTTTAGCGTCCGGACGGCATTCGTCGATGGAAGAGGAGCGAGCTCAAGCTCATCAATGAATGGCTGCACTACTCCTTCGCAAGATGCCTGGATATGGTCCGATACCTCCTTCAAGTTCAGCTGTCCAGCCACCTCTGTGACGGTATAACGGGACTGGACCTTCTCTAACGATCGACGAAGATTTGGTACCACATCCCTTGCGCTTAGGTCGTTCGCGTTGAGATTCGGCTGGGATACAATGAGGTATCGTTCGGTCGGACATCCCGAAAGGAGCTTCTGAACGGTGGCAGAAACCTCTCCGTTGGACTGTATTTGTGCTTGGTTCGCCGGCTGTTCCAACCTAATTGGTATATGCGATTAGCTACGTCCTGATGGTATGTTAAATAGATTGTTGGCGCGAAGTGGCATACTTAGTCGTCGAGAATAGGATGAAGGGGGATGAATCCGAGAACGCGTTTGCGGAAGCGCAGCAAGCCGCCAGCGCCGCGGCAGTCCTAGAGAGACGCATGGTATTATCGAGCCTTTTTCGGGTAATTATTTGGTTGATGTTTAGATGATGAGAAAGGAAAACGAGGCTTAAGCTTAGAAGGCTGAAGCTCTTTCCAAGGAGGTTCCAGTTGTTTGGCTTGTTCAGCGGAAGGTACGCGGCATGTTCCGCCCTATCAAATGGTACAGAGGGTGCACGCACGGCGGCATTTAGGACCTACAGGATCCCTGAATGTACTGAAACTTGACCGCTAGCGGACGGCGGGGCGAGCTGACAGTGCAAAAATGTACCTAAACTTACAATTGTTCAAGTCACTAAAATTTAATCATTTACAGATTTGCGATCACCTCCATAGATCTTTTTGGACCTCGAACCTTCTCAGCTTTGAAGCCATACATCATCGCCTGTGACACTACTCAATTCTGAAGATTTGTATACTCAGTTCAATACACTTCCACTGCCATCTAAGAATGTTCGCACGTCCGCGACCTAAAAAGGGCCTGCTCCCTCCGCCACCAAAGAAGCGAAAAGTTCAACATTCGCTCGAAGAAATCAAATTCGATAATGACGCCCGTTCCGATTATCTTACTGGATTTCACAAGCGCAAATTGCAAAGAATCAAGAATGCGCAAGAGCAAGCTTCACAACGGGCAAGACAGGAGAAGATTGAATTTAGAAAGCAGGTAGGTTTTATCTACTAACCATAAAAATATTCGGGCACCGGTTTACTAATATATGATACGTATAGATCCGCGAAGAGCGGAAGAGAGAAGTCGAAGAGCATGTTCAAAACGTCAATGCAATCCTGAAGGAAGCGCAACAAGCTGGCTATGTGGGGGAAGAAACGGCAGAAGACGAAGCAGAGGAATGGGGAGGGTTTCAAGATACTCTCGCGCCGGAACCTATTGACCACGAAGAAGAGTACATCGACGAGGAACGCTACACTACGGTGACGATAGAGTCTGTAAATGTGTCTAAAGATGGACTGACAAGCTCGAGGCCTGAGGAGAGCTCAGGCGAAGAGGATGAAGACGATGCAGCGAGGAGAGATTCCCAACATCCTCCAGGGAGTCAAGAGAAAACCAGGCCACCTAAAAAGAAGAAACCGAAGTTTAGGTACGAGACAAAGTCGGAAAGGCAACTCAGCCAGAGGAAACAGAAAGCCTCCAAGAGCAGAAAGAAACCACGTGATTGATTACTGCATTGTCTAGCCGCCTTGTTGGCTTTGCTGCTGCAAATACCAGATATAAGTCCACCATACAATAAACATGCCCTAAACACTTGACTTCTCCTCAATAGCCACCGCAGAATTCTTGTCTCTCGAGAGATCGAAGGTCGAATCGGTCGTCAACTATGTCTCCGTGTTGAAGTTGGCACGGTACCGGTGTCGGTAAAAAGAAATCCAAAGCTTCCTCCCAAGGCACAGCCTTCTAGTGTCTCGCGACAGCGGTCTCGTCGAACGTAATAAGGGATTAGATGTTGCCGATCTCGTTCTGGAGGTCTTCCAATTCCTTCTGGAGTTGCTGGTGTTTCTTGGCCATATCCTCGTACTTGACCTCCCACTGGTCTCGCTCGTTCTCCAATGCCTGTACCTTGCGCTCGAAGTGGCCGGCTTTCACGTCAGTCTGGCGAAGCCTGTTGGTTATTGTTGTTAGCCATGCATCCATGCACGTAGGTTTCTCTTGCGCCTTCCCGGCGGTGGGTCGTGTGGAGACTTACTTCTCATTTGTCTCACGAAGAGTCTTGTCTGCTTCCTCGGCTTCTTCCTCGAGTAGCTGGAGTCTACGTTGGAGGGTTTCGTTGTGCGTACCGTGTTGCAGGCCCTCATCCGCAGCCTTCTTCAAATCCTTGATGGTAGTATCCATCTTCTCGTTCTCAGTTTCTAGAAGGCCATTCTTGTGGGATAGCGAGGTGATCTCTTGCTCCTTGGCGAGGTTCTCCTGCTCAAGAGCTTTGACCTTAGCCTGCAACTCTTCGACTTTTTGAGATGACTCGTCAGCCTCCAGACGGAGCTGGTTCATTTTCTAGAAGTAAACCCGATGTCAATATCATAGTAGATGACCATCCAAATATTAGATACATATAAATAGATGCCATGTAAAGCTACACTGTTAAAACTCTAGAGTGGTTTTTTCTCTAAGCTCTTTAACAGCGCGTTGTACCGATGGTGGGGTAAAGGGGAAACTTGAGATGTTATCCGACTTACCTCTCGGATGCGGTCCGCCATGTTGAAAGAGTGATTAGAATGTGAACTAAAGGGATAAAGTTGAGTAGGTTGATCGGGATGCAGATGAAGCAGACGATGATTGCTTTTTTAGCTAGGCAAGAAATGCAGACTGGCGGTTTGGGAAGAATAAAGGGAAAAGGGAAACTTCGTTGAATGATTTAATCGAACTAACTGGATGGATAGGCGTGGAATTTCATATGCCCAAGGTCAGCGTGGGTTGGTATTAGATTGCCCCGCCTTCCCTCATTGCCCTGGAAAGTGGAAAGCGACCGATAGGGGATAGGGGGGAAAGAGTGACCCGTCTCATGATTTGTTTTGGCACGCACAGTGCACTCGGCTTTGTGTCAGGTGGAGTCTGACCAATCTCATCAAGGCTAACGATGAAATGGTGGAAATGGTAGTGAGCCATGTACCGTTTGAGTTAGTAATTATGCATACTGTACCGTATATGTAACTGAAAGCAAGCCGGAATGGAAATTGGGTTGCTTTGGCAACTACCGTCGCATCCAAACAGGGTTAGAACAACATTCTAGCATTCATTCTAAAGGGAAATTATCGCCTCACAAGTCAATTACAAATAACCTTCCAAGCTACAGTTTTGGTACGGGAAATACAAACTTAGTTTAGCTATCGTCAAAATTGAATATTTATTACTTCTTCTTTTACAATAACCCCTGCCGCCTTTGCACTATCGTGTGCAGTGTGCACAATGCCTTGAATTGCTTCACTTTGCATACGTTCCTTTTTTTTTTACCGTAATAATAACAAAAAGGTCTGTGCTTGAGGAAAGACGGATCTCCTCAGCAACTTGGAAGTAAACATATTCTCAATTACGACATTTACTACATTTCACCAAATTTCCCCTTATTACAGTTGAGTCAGTTCAGCCTAGCCATACTTCTATGCAATTACTCGCCCACCATGTTAGCCGCTCGAGATCAGGAGAACTTGGTTTTCAACCGTCGAAGCAGCGCTGCCCATAGCAAACAGCAGAACCAAACTAAGCGCCAACAGACACCAGGAGCGAGATTTGCCAAAACACCTCTCAAGGTTCCTCTAAATGACGAGAATGGCGCGCACGCTGTTGGTGGTGCTAAGAGCGTTCTTGGAGGTAGAACAGGTGGCAATGAGAACACACTTAGATCCAAGGGGAAAGGATTGAGCAAGGCTAATATTGCTACACCTGCAAGTATGTCCTATAGAAAACCTCGAAACTTTACTAGAGGAGAAAGAGACTAATCATTTGTGGTAGATCTACGCAATAGAGCAATCCTAGGTGACAAGACGACCAATGCGAAAGCCAATGGCCAACAGACCGTAAACGTTAAGAGCGCAATACAGGAGATTGAGAAGTCACAGGCCAATGGATCGACAACTGTTCAACCTAAGAAGAAGTTGATAGTTCATGCCGAGGAGGAAATCGAGTTCGCCCCTCCCCGACCGAAATCGAAGGGTAGTCCTTATAAGTCGGACCTCTTCCCTGACGGCGCCCTCGATCTAAAAGTATTGGACCGCAAGAATCTATTCAACGGGTACTATGACTACTACTTTAAACCCCTCGATGATCGTGGCGTCCTCCTAGAAGATAAGCAGTTAGTTGAGAGAAACAAGGAAATATTTGAAGAATCCGACAGACGACTCTTGGAGGATGTGGATGACATGAAATGGGACGTCCGAAACGAAATCTCAGGTATCCAGACGAAGTCCCTTTTTGAGGATGACAGTGTCGACGCCGATACAAAGGAAGCCGGCGTTGATGATGTATTGTCTTCCATCGTGCTAGGGGATGTTACTGGTGCTATGTCCATGGAAGACAAAACTAAGTCACTGCAGCGAAAGGCGACCAAACCTGCCGAAGCCAGCAAAATCCCGAAGCCTACCTTCAAGTTCATGTCCAGCTCTAGGCGACCACCTAGCGCACAGGCCCAGGCAATTCCCAGAAAGACCTCTTTGGAGATGGAGGCGAATTCAAGAACGACAGTCGGCTATAACAAAGGACGGCGCGTGGCAGATTTGCTTCAACGAGGGCCTACACCGCCTACCAAGCCGGTCCGTACGTTAAGTCGTACTAACTCAGCATTGTCGAATACCTCCGATAAGACTATTACTTCCACCCGACAGACTAATAGGCGAGATTCCATCGAACAGCAGGCGTGGAAAGACAGAATTACACTCATGGCCGTATTCAACTCGGAGGATGATAGTGATGATGATTGCGAAGTTGGCAAGCATCCAACTGTAGTTGAGGATCCATCATTTGAGTTTCGTCTGACAGACTAAGGTGTTGTGGAATTTTTACTTGTACGTTGGCGTTATTGGTCGACTTGGCAGTGTATGAAGTTTATGAGTGGCGTTAGGCTCTGAGGACTAAAGTCGGCGTTGTTAATTTGTAGCATAGTCTTTAAGGGCTGGTCTTGTAGGCCAGTAACTATCCCAAGATAGTCAGTCTTATGAAAGACAATGCGAATTAATTTATTGCATTGCTGTCGTTACAACGTAATCGTATTCTCAAATAATACGCTCATTTAGAATCTTAAAAAGCATGTCGTTATCTCTAAAGTAGGCCTCCGAATAATATTCCAAGGGTTTCGGTACTTCCGCTTGGAGGACTGGCAAGTAGCTTAGCCACACGTCAGTTCTCGACAATCCTAAGTAGCATTCTGACAGTCGGCCTCGTTGACGTGGAAATATTGAGGATGACTATCTACTAGGTAGGTACCTAGTAGGTAAGGAAGAGAGCACAACTCTTTTCATTACAAGTGTCTGGGCATGAGTTGGTCTGGCTGGTATAAAAACCTCGTCTTAAATTTAAGACTCACATTTGATGTGATTTATACCTAATGCGAGTCATATACTATGTATCAATATGTTTATATTCATCTTCTCATTTCGACTACCATAGAACTCCTTTTTCTATGCTATCCAATTACTTAATCTTCAGGTTTGCTTCAAAATAACCATATTATAACGCGAAGTACCTATTGGCTACATACTTCTGAATGTTTCTGTAGGTATGTATTTCTTTAACTTCCACACGCGAAAACAGCGCGATATACAACAATTCAGCAGTATAATAGCACCAGAAGCAGGTGCCTGACTAGGTAAAAAGGAGTTGCATCAAGTTCTAGAACAGACCGGTAAAGCCGAATCGATTCGCTATCGATTCACTGTTATTGACACACTCTAGCGGGCAACAACGAATAGAGGAAGCGGTGACGTTGTAATGCATATCCCATCCACCATGTAGGGAAGGTATGTGGACTATTTTGGCTTGTGATATGTATCGTGCAGCTGCCACTATGCCGCGAACCTTCCCTCTACCAATGGGTTAAAATATACTTGGAGAAAGAACGATATCTGTAAAAAGTACATATCATAGTACCGCCACAAACAGAACCAAAAACAAAATAGAATTGTGGCACAGACGTGGCTAGTGGCCAAATCTAATCCCCCGGACTTGGCCCCATCCCTGAAATCAGAATCTGGCTTTGCTAATCAACCGTCAATTTCAACTTTTCGACATCAGCCTCTTCATTCTCCATCTCCCGCCCACTTTCTTTGACCAAGACAGAGTACCGACCTCTCGAGCGCAAATTTTACGGGCATCTGTTTTACATTTGTCCGCGACCAGATTGCCACAATTTTAAGCACACGGGAACCCTTCTTCGGACCTCTGCTTCGTTAACATAATTTTCTGGCTCTTTTAAGAAAGTCCCACACGTCAGATCTCCGATCCTGTCGCGTGGACGCAGGAGTTTCGCGTATCCTTTTGCTACCACACCCACTTTCCGACTACAACCATCAATCGCGTACATCCTTATGACTACATGAATGCTGTTGTTGATTCTCTCCGATTTAAGATATGATGGTCGGTGGATAAGTCGAGGCCGCCATCTTCGACCCTAATAATCATGGCTCCTAGCGCTGGTTATAAGGAGTTCTTTCCTAACGCTCCTCGCGCTGCCAGAGACAAGGCTAATGAACGGGAACGCGAGAAGTCCTCGAGAGCATCGGAAGCTACCGACAATGATGCTAAGACAGCAACACCTGCTCATCGCGATGGCGCCAAGTACGATTCGTCGTTATCTGATGCCGCACATCCCCCGACAGATGATACCGAGTCTTTGCAAGGAGATACCCTCAATGGAGTTGGATCCGCAAGCTCTCACGCGAGTACTACCTCCTCTGTCTTCACTACTTTCAATTCATCCGTTGCAATGAATGCCTCATCACGCGCTTCCAACAGCAACCTCACACCACTTACCACAATGGGCTCGCCCACAAACTCTTCACATATACAACCCGCAAAGCAGCGCTCCTCCGCTACTCGTAATACCACAAGCAAACCTGATAATACGAACTCTGCAACGATCACGGGACCGTTGTCTAGTGTTCCTGGTGCCGTTAAGCGTCTTCCGGCTCGAGACCCAAACCTCACTATAAAGGGAACCAAGTGTATACACGACCCTTTGACCGACAAGAGCTTGTCCTCGAGCGATAGAAAAACAATGAAACCCAAGTACAAGAACATCGTGCTGGTACGTATCCAACATACAATATTATATCTATGGATAGAGGGGGAGCGTCATCTGACTTGTATGAGATCTTTGGCTAATTCACTGAATAGGAAGATGACGCTCCCCCTCCAGATCCTCGCCTGTCCAAGGGCAGCTGGCTCGATTACATAAATGTCGACTTCCATCTGCCCAAGGCAAGATTACGCCAGACCCCTTACAATCTCAAGCCATACATATATGACCCTGCTACCTCTATCGGGCCGGGACCACCGACCCAGATTGTCGTTAGCGGGTTTAACCCCCTGATCTCTTTCTCAAAGGTCGTGACCATATTCGCGTCTTTTGGTGATATAGCTGAAAGCAGCAACAAGATGCATCCTCACACCGGTAGTTTCTTGGGCTTTGCGACCTTTCGATACCGAGATTCAAAACAACAACGCCAGCCTCCCGTCTCTGCTGTTAATGCCGCGAGAAGGGCCGCCCGGGCAATGAATGGAAAGAAGATAGAGGCAAACCGCGTTAAGGTAGAGTTCGACCGAGACGGCAAGAAAAGTAGGCTTATGCTTGAGACTATACTCAGAAAGGACAATGATGAGTCTCCGCGTACAACTACTACCCCAGTACCTACGGGACCCAGGGGGAAACCTACCGAAGTCGTCAACCGACCACCTCCTACCGCCCCGAGAGGACCTGCTGCCGAGCGCCAGCGCCCCGCTTTAGCCACGGAGCCCGCCTGGCCGCCCCCGAGCAAGCCTAAGGGACTTGGACCGATGCTATTTGATTCTCAACTTGTCTCAGCTACCCTCAAGGGCGAACCGTACATATTCGTTCCCGATACTAGCGTCCCAGTCATGGTCACAACAATACCTCATATGAAGAAACGCCTAAAATCATTCCCATTTGACGATATAAGAGCTGATCGTACTGGCTACTACATCATCTTCCCTAATACCTCGCTTGGCCGCGATGAAGCCTGTCGGTGTTTCAGGTCTGCAGATGGTAGCGCCTTTTTTACCTATACCATGGCTATGAAACTTCACGGTGTAGCTCTCACGAGTTCGTCACATTCCATCGCACATCCACGACCGAATGAGCTAGACAAGAGATTGCCTGCGGATGCGCGTTATAGGGAGGACTATCAATACCGGCCTCGCGATGAACGACGCCGCGACGAAGAGGCTGTCTTCGAAGAAGAGAAAAAACAACGAGCAAAGAACTTCGATCCTGTCATGGAGGCTATCGAGGTTGTCCGTCGTGAAATGAAAGAACATCTAATTAGACACATTAGGACTAAAGTCGCCGTGCCCACGTTATACAAATTCCTCGATCCAGCTAACCACATCGCTAAGAGGCGCAAATTAAACCTCGAGCAGCCTCCAGGGCGATCACAACCTACAATTAGCATCGAAGACCGCGATGTCACACCGATTAGCACACCTAACTCGCGAGCAGACCCAATCGAACGTCGTACAGCTCGTCTCGATGTCGCTGCGCTACCTCGTATAAGAAAAATAAAAGGGCATGGTGCTGCACAGCGGAATTATGGATTTACAGACCCATTTGCACGTAAGCGGTCTTCCGTGGTACACAATGCCTTCCGATCGCTTCACCATCGACTACAGCCTCCGGACAGTGATGACGAAGTATCTGAAGATGAGACCGAGAATCGCGATTCTGTCGTGCGCGATGTGGAAGAGTCAGAGTCGCGTCCTAGGAGCCGTATGAGTACGGAAGATGACGGGTTCGAGAACGACTTCGCCGATGAAGACTCTATGACGGACGTTAGTTTCCCTGTCAACGATGGCATTGCCAAGACAAAGAAGCGGAAGCTCGACCTACACGTCGAAGCCGCCATCAAGCGGCAGAAGAAGTCCGACGAAGAGCTCTTTGGTGTTACTATCGATACACTCGAGAACGAATTCCCTAGTCCAACAGAAGATATTGTCATGCCTGACGCCGATATTGACAAGGGCTCTGAAGCCACCGAGCTCACTACCCCGGCCGAGAAGACTACTAAGGGTCGAAAGAAGGTCGCCGTAGCCAAACCGAAGAAGAAGACTAAGAAGCAACTCTTCGAGGAACGCGAGGCCATGAAAAAGAAACAACAGGAAGTGTACGTCGAGGAAGCCCTGGTACAAGCGCAGAAGGAAGAGACACAAGAGACGCAGGAGTCCGAAGAACTGTTACCAAAACCCGTCGCCGAAGAGGCTGTGGACGAAGTAATCCCCAGGGACGAGCGCTTTTCTGATGCAGTACTTCCAGCGATGGCCTTGCCAGAGTCGTTTGACCTATCTGTGCAGTCCATGCCAGCTCTTGACCTCCAATCTAAGGATCACCCCGATGTCAGCAAGCTCAAAAAGAGATTCAAGTCGAACGACGTGGGCGACCCTAGACTTTGGGCATGGAGGCACAGTCGCGTGCGAGAACTCAATTCCGAGAAGATATCACCTACGGAGTCACTTATCATCGATGGATACTACGTACCGAACCCTAGTGGATGTGCCCGTACCGAAGGCGTCAAGAAGATTCTTAACTCAGAGAAATCCAAGTACCTCCCCCATCACCTGAAAGTCCAAAAGGCCAGAGAGGAGCGCCAGCTTCGCGCGGCAAAGAAAGACGGCAAGGATACTGTGGCGGCAGCAGCTGAAGCAGCAAAGTTAGCAGCAGAGAAGTTACTAGCGAAGGGTAACTCAAGAGCAAACCGTGTCAACAACCGGCGTTTCGTAGCCGATTTGAATGATCAGAAGAAGACCCTAGGTCAAGATTCAGAAGTACTTAGATTCAACCAGCTGAAGAAGCGGAAGAAGCCTGTCAAGTTCGCTCGTTCCGCAATCCACAACTGGGGTCTTTACGCCATGGAGAATATCAACAAGGATGACATGATCATCGAGTACGTTGGTGAGGAAGTTCGACAGTCCATTTCCGAGATTCGGGAGAACCGATACCTGAAGAGTGGCATTGGCAGTAGCTACCTATTTCGTATCGACGACAGTACGGTCATTGATGCCACAAAGAAGGGTGGCATTGCTCGTTTTATCAACCACAGCTGTATGCCAAATTGCACAGCCAAGATTATCAAAGTGGAAGGCAGTAAACGAATTGTCATCTATGCTTTACGAGATATTGCTCAAAGTAAGCCTTAACCCACCCCTCTGCACCCCTCAAACGCCAAATTTGCTAACCAATTTTTTCAGACGAGGAGCTGACTTACGACTACAAATTCGAGCGAGAGATTGGGAGCCTCGACCGTATCCCTTGCTTGTGCGGAACCGCGGCTTGCAAAGGATTCCTCAACTAATTAATAACTTTCTTCTCGAGCCCCATAAAAACGCATCTCTTTAACTCATCTGTCCGGAGTGGGCGGTTCTCTGCATCATGATCCTCTTCATTTCAAGGCGCAGCTCTGGATCAATCTTGCTATATATGCATGCTAAGGGTTCCTTCAGCGAACGGCCAAAAAAAGGGGGGGAAGTGTACACTAGTTGATTTTCTTCCACCCAGACACGGGCTACGGCGTTTTATCACGATCTTTCAAATTTTGGTGGTCAAAATGGTACGGGTCGAAAGCATATCTAGTGCGGCGATGATTATAGATGCGAAGGAAATTGGCCACCGTCTATACCCGTGGCGGTGGGGTTTCTTTTCAGAGTGCTGTTGGGTAAAGGAAACCCTTCAACAGACGAGGCTATCACTGTACATAAAAAACCATCTAGGTGGCCTCAACTCCAGGAACTTTGCTGGGGGATAATAATTGCGATTGCCCATATTCAACATGAATCATTAAACATGTCTATCATCTAGTCACCAATAAAGCCTTTTTCTGTATTTGTAGCCTGTCTCAAAAACGATCTCTTTTGGTACCTCGAAACGCCGTTGTGGTATGCCGTAAACTCTAGCTGAAGTCTTTGCCTAAACGCCGAAATGTGTGCCTCAAATGCATATGCATAACTCGTATGTTCCCCGGACTCTGGTTACTGCGGAGCACCAGGTAGCCTCTCAATTACATATTTCCCTCGAGCGACGTTCATGATAGGGACACCGGGGATCTTGCGTATCCGTCTACAGAGGTCCTTGTCGTTGGTGGCGACGATGTATATACGATGTTTCCTACACATATTAGTTAGCTACCATATCACAAGCGCGCATCTACATAGCAACCAGCCCAGAACTTACATGATACGGTCTACTATACAGTCATCAGCATACACGCCCTTGTGATCGCATTGCAGCCGCTCCCAGCGCTCGTCGCGCGCAATCCGCAAGGCGATTCGGTACTTGGGACCCAGCTTCTCCAACTCGGCCATGACGCAGCTCGTGATGATGGGTGTACACTTGGCGTATAGACAGTCCATCATACTCTCTAGAAGTGGCAGCTTTCGCTGCACGGTGTGCGACAAGAAATTCGTATCGACGAGGACGCTGTAGGGCGGCACGAGGGCCTCGTTGTGTTGGAAGAAGAGCTGCGAGGGCAGCTGCGGGACCTCGCGGCGCGCTACCTCGTCCGAGGCGGGCTTGGGCTTGGCTTCGGCGACCGCTTTGGCGTTCTTCTCTTGGTTAACTTTGAGCCGGGCGTCGCGCCGCGATATTATGCGCTTAACCTGGTGGTGGTAGAAGAGTTAGTCGGCGATGCTGAACGAGCAAGCAGCATGCTTATCGATAAGATAATTTCTGGATGGAAGAGGGAGACGAACCTGCGCAAACTTGCGCGTCTTCTTTGCGACACCCATTATGGACTCCCGTTCGATTCAATCTGGAACGCAAGTGATCCAAGCGAGGGAGAGGAATGTAATCAAGGGGTTATGTCGGGAACAATTCGTGTAGGTTGATCGTGTACATCAAAATGTAGGTAGGCAAGTAATTGGCGATCTGCCACTCTAGAAAATCTCGACCGCCCTGGAAGGGATTATCAGATTAGCCGCTCACAAGGATGCTGCCCGTTATCTCAGTGCACTGTTGGCCCGTGCGCACATTCTTCACCACGGAAGGTGTGAAGTATTGAGGTACCCAGGTCCCATGTCCCCAATAATTTTGTACCTAGACCAGCCAGACCTGCCCGTCAGGTCAGAGAATGGCTGGTACGCCCCACGGATTGTTGTACAATATCAAATGGTAAAGCTTCAAGGCCACTGCGTGGAATCTTATTATTCAGCTAAACACGTACCAGGTATGTAGGTAAATTCAATGTTCACCATGATTGATAGCCTACTCCAGAAATGCTAGGCCATCATACCAGAATATGGATGGTAGGTTCAGCCCAGTCAAAGTGACTAGCGCCTGCGGTGCGCTGTGCTACGAGGTCGTACAGCGTCGCTGTGGCCTGCCAAAAATTGCCGATGGCGTACGAGGTACAATGTACTATACATCGTACTTGGGATCATCTGGTATATAGTTCTGCTAGCGTGACCAGGAAAACTATGTACCAGTACTAGCGCGGAGGTAGTCATCGACGCGAGCCTTTCCTCGTCTCGTCTTCCTCAATTTGCTTTTTTACTAGGCAGGAACGCCTGTTTGGTGTTTGCTTATTTTAGCCTCTCCTCCTATTTCTTGTTGGTCCCCTCCGTCCCTCCGCAAACTCTCACTAAACATTCACCAAGCAACGAAAAGGTGGGAGGTTTAGGAAAGTCTTCAGCAAGCAACAAAAAAAGCAATGCAACAATCGTTTTAATTTGTGTATCATTCTAGTCTATCACTAGACATTATTCTTTTATTACTTTTTAGAACCCGATCCGATCTTTTTGGTGTCCCCTGTTCCGGGGCGCTCCGTTTCCTCTTTCGTAATTGAGCTGAGTCCGATGAATACGAAGGGTCCAGGTCATCTCGTTTTTCTCTGAGCCACACAACAATACAGAGAGACATTATCCATCTCGACACCATTCATCATAACCAGTTCCATTAAAGGATTTCCATCGCGATTGCGCATCGAATATAACGTCGGGATCTCTTTCGCTTAATTATTTATTCGATCGCATCGCGTGAATTCGCCCACCATGCGCCCGCAACCGATTCTATTCGCCGCAGTCGCCCTGTTGGCTTCTAACGTCATCGCTCAAGACGCAACCACCACCACTGCTGCGACATCGAACCGAGATACCACTACGAGCGCTGCAACCACCACTGCCGCTTCGACGACTACAGACAGAACGACCGCGGAAGAAACCACCACTAGTGAAAACACTTCTTCCGCGGAATCAACGACCAGTGATAGGACATCAAGTGACCGAACAACAACCACTGCTCGTAGCACGACGACCGATGCGTCATCGACTGATAGTGTTCCAACTATTACCTCAACTTCATCTGAGCCGCTTCCCACTCTTTCCGGCCAGTACAGTTATCCCGCTCCCAGTGTACCTCCGACGAACAATGCTCCGTTCATGCAACCCTCAAGTGTGCCAGAAGGCACTGTGTTTATTGCCGTTGGAGCCATCTTAGGCGCTTTTGGAGCCGCCGTCCTGATATGGCGGGCTGTTGTCGCCTGGCTCCTGCATCGGAATGTTAAGAAGGCGGCGTTGGCTCAGCAAGTTGCTAATGACAAAGCTACCTTCCAGCCGCCCCCACCTCCGTTCTATAAGTACACCGATCAAGCATCGTCGGCTTCTCTTGGTGGTTCCGTGCCGGGACGAGGAGTGCGGAGAACAACGCGAGGACCTATTCCTTCATCCACCCCCAGCCAGTCCAATCTCTTCTTTTCTCCTACTGCTCCAACTGCGTCCAGTAACGGTAATCGTGAATCTCGTTTCCTACCCTCTGGTTTCTATGCCGCCGGGGCGGGATCTCCACAACAGCAAGGTCATAATCACTCTATCAGTCTGACGAACCTTCGCCCTGATTCGCGTGGTCATGGACGCCCTCTTGGACACACCCCACCCGAATCTCCTAGTCTAGCACCCCGTCAAGATATGGCACGACGAAATATGAGTGCAAGCTCGTTGAATCTCAACCGGCCACCTAGCGGACGAGCGCCGAGTGCCTTTTTGGAGGACCTATTGGATGACCCTCAAAACCAATTCCCACCTCCTGGCCACCCGAATACCTGGAGTCAAGCTCAAACCCGGCATTAGTTATCCAGCAAGAGGTCTTTTTCTTCGACGGAGTCCGGACTAGGAGGTCTACGGTGTTAGGGTATTTTACAAATTCTTCAGTGCAACATATTTAAAAGCATTATCGAGGCACGATATAGAGAAGAGGTCGGGTGGATCAGACCCAGTAGAGTAGTGGGTGGGGAGGAAAGGAGTAGAGTCCTACACCCGGCGGTGAGGACAGCCCGTTCGGATCTTGCCTGCCGAGCAATTGCTTCTTGTAAAAACAACGCGTGTTGTAATAGGCATCAGAGTTGGAGTTACGGGTACGGTGGTAACTACTTTTTATGGGCTTTTTGGCCTTTTTATAAGAAAAAGGCACACAACATTATATCTACGTCATATATCTATCGCCGAAGAGTGCAGTACATAGTCTGTTCGCTATCCAATAATCTTTTCCCCGGTTCTGCGTCCAACGACCGAGTCCCGATGTCATTACCTATCATACCTGTCATACCTATGTACCTATCATGCGGAGTTCAAGTCCGCCTATCTAATCTTTCAATGCTAATCTATTGATACCTGCTACAAATACGCGTGTGTCTGTACTACACGAAAACTTGAATTTCTCGGAGATGTTTTACTGCCCAAGGTTATCGGTGCGAATACATGTTGGTGATCTGCGTTGCAGGTGTGTCAGCACCTACAGCATCTTTGCATGGCGTTGCAGGTAGATTTCTTGCCGGCATATCTAGCTTTATGCAGGAACCATAGGCTAAGAGATCCTGTACCAAGTCTACGGTTGCAGGCGAATGATACGTAGGACAGTGTATCTGTGATGTCTGAATAATTTATTTGATTCAGCCTGCGCTACTTAGAATATACTGTTAGACATATAACTGCTTTGTATAAAAGTCTGCTCATATAGTAACCTTGGAAGTGTTATATTTTTGTTTTAGTCCATAGATGTACCCCTAACATACCTATTCAGGTGCTTATGCATGTTAATAGCCTTGCTGATCAGAATCCTTCATGTACCATTCCCCAATAGTACTACTCTAGATATATACCTACCTATGTATGGGCAATATCATCAACCGCGATATCCGAGATATCGAATGTCCTCTGTATCAAAACTACAAACAACCTTCGAGTTTCTACCAATAAATGCAAACAGATTAGCGAACAAGCTATATTAAGAATCAATATCCCGGTTGTATATTCTGTAATAAACAGCTTGCTTCCCTTGCTTAAGTGGGCTCCTATGGGAATAGTAACACGTGTGTTACCCAACACATGCATAACATACCTAGGTAGGTACATAACAAAGGCCACCTTCAATGATCCTCAGCCTCTTCCAACTTCTCCCTTTTCTACTCTTTCACTTCAATATTCCTTCCTCTCTTCTTATCTAAAGGGCATCGCTATTTCCAAGACGTAGTACGAAAAGAGCGCCTGAGTAAATACTAAGACCTTGGCACCTTCCTCGACGTATCAAGGTTCAAGCTATGGTCTCACACGTCGAAGGCCCGCTCGCCCTCAGCTCTTATTATTTATCTCTTAGATCTAATACCTTCAATCATCAATGATTCAGGTACCATACCAATACCAAGACACGAAACCATCAAATATCATATACTCATATATCATTAAATATCGCTATGTGTGTTTCCAAATCTACTTAGGTATCCAATCCAAACCTCGAAACATATAGTTAACATATTTCACGTTATGTTATCCAAATCCCTTATCCAAACCTCACAATTCATCTGATTTCTCGCTTTTCGACCCCTCTCCCTCTTCCTCTACCTCACCATCATCTTCATTTAGCCCCTCCCTTGCACTATGTATATCCTCGACCCTTATTCCGCTTCTATCACACATACTTCTAAAAATGCCTCCTTGGGTCCATAGGTTAATCGGGGTATCCAACTCTGCGATACGCCCGGCATCCATGACGCAAATGCGGTCGTATCCTACGATAGTCCGAAGGCGATGAGCGATACATAACAGCGTCTTGCCACGGAACCCGACAGCCATCGTCTTCTGGATCTTGTCATCTGTCTCCATGTCCACGGATGAGGTAGCTTCATCGCACACGATGATCTGCGACCCGCGAACTAGGGCTCGCGCCAACGCCATTAGCTGTCGTTGACCAAGCGAAAAGTTTAAGCCGTCTTCTTCTACGACGCTGTCGAGGTGGACCCGTGTCGGGTCTTTGTCGTCGATGTTTGCGTCGGCTGGCACCAGGTCGGCCTTACGCAGTGCCGACCAAAGGTCCAGATCCGAGTGTTCGCTGAAGGGGTCCAAATTGCTGCGGACAGTTCCGCGGAATAGCGTAGGGTCCTGTGGAATGATGGCAAGGCGGGAACGAAGATCATGTAGACCGACTGTGGAGATATCGAGTCCGTCGATATAGATGTGGCCACCTGAGATCTCAACTAGTCGGAATAAGGTCGACATGATAGAGCTCTTGCCCGCCCCTGTGCGTCCTACAATGCCTATACGTTCGCCTCCGCGAACGTTAATACTAAGACCTTTAAGCACCAAGGGCAAATTCGCGCGGTACCGCATCTCAACATTGTCGAAGATAATTTCTCCCTTTTCTGGCCATGTAGGACGAACGTCAATCGTGTGGTCAGGTGCTTCCTCCTCGAGCTGTGTTCCGTAGTACTCGAGTCGTTCTACAGCATTCATGCCATTCTCCACCTCGGCAAGCTGCCGCACCGTAAACTGCAGCATCTGCACAATGGACAAGATGTACGAAAGCACGAGACCACCAATCGATGGTGAAACGCTAAATCGAGAAGTCACGACAAGGATGCCCGTGGTAAACACAAGCAAGTTTCCGATAGTGTCTAGACGTATCGATAGCCACCGTTGATTCGAGAATGTCAAGTAATATGCTGCATTCATTTCATCGATGGAATCTCGCAGATCATTGATGAAACGATCCCTCAGTCCATACGCACGAATTGACGATACTCCGCTAAGACCTTCACCGAATTTGGCAAATACCACAGATCGAAGAACTGACTCGAAACGCTTGACTTCCCGAGCAGAGGCCCGATAGTAGGAGGCCGCAAGTACGAAGAGAATAGCGAGCGGAACTAGTGCGATTGCAAAATAGTGGAAGAACGCGATAATCAGAGCAAACACGGATATAATCATTCCGAGCGTGAGGAAATACATCCTCATAGCATCAGACAGGTTATTATCCATAACATCGACATCCCTAGAGAACCGATTTGTGATACGACCGAGCGGGGTTGTATCGAAGAAGGACATCGGCGCTCTTAGTGTCCTTGTGACTGCCTGTCTCAAGAGAGTCCTGCTGGCGTTTGTGCCGAACACAGCTAGCAGAACCGAAAAGAGGAACATCAACAGAGCTTGCAACGTTCCAAGGCCTGCGTAAACTCCGATATATACTCCCGTTGTGAGACCGAACTTGCCAGATGTCCAATAAGACAGCCATAGACTTGTCATGATATTGGCACCCTGGGAGAGCAGTAGCACCAGGATGACGAGCGGAGCGTTGAGGATACTTCCCGATGCTCGAATATAGGTGGTGTAAACAGACCAAGGGACGCTTGATACGGCTCTTTCCTCTGCTTGCATCAAGCCTTGGGCCTTCTTCTTTTTCTTCTTGCTCTTCTCACCTTCGGCGGTCTTGTCCTCAACTTGGGCTGGATCCTCCTCTTGCGTTTGTTCCAGGGCAGTAGTTTCCATCAACTGCCTAAAGCCAGAGTGGTTCGTCATCAGGTTGTCGAAAGTGTCAATCGCTCGAATCTTGCCAGCGTCCATCCAGATGATCCTGTCACAGCGGTTAAGGACCCACAGTTGGTGCGTTGCAAGAATTCGACACTTGTCTTTCAGAAGACCCATTATGGCGTTGTCCATGATATGTCGACCAACATGGGCGTCGACGGCGCTCAGAGGGTCATCCATGAGCACAATATCAGCATCGAAATATATGGCTCGGGCGATATTGAGTCGTTGTTTTTGTCCGCCTGATATAGTAATGCCTCTCTCGCCTATTTCGGTTGCATCTCCATTGGGAAGCATGTCTAGGTCAGGTTGCAAAGCGCAGCTAATCATGGTTAGTATCTGATATATCCTCATCATTATTGGGTATCACTCACGCTCTTACAACCTCCTTATACCACTCGCGATTCATTTCTTTCCCAAAAAGAATATTATTTCGGACACTTGCGTTTTGAATCCAGGCATATTGTGGGCAGAAAGCTCTAGAGGCACCCAACACGACCTCACCTGAAGTCTTCCGCATGTCCCCAGCAAGCGCCGAAAGCAAGGAACTCTTTCCGCAACCAACAGTTCCAATGACAGCAACCAATTCATTTCTTCCAATCGCAAGGTTCAAGTCTTGGAGTTTGAAAGGCTCGCGTTCTTCAACAAGTGTACTTGCTGTATCTTCGGTATTTTCTTCCAAATGGCCCCTTTCATTACCTGTTTTGTGAGGTTGTTTTGTCCCTTTCTGTGCATGACCATCTTTACCCTTCTTTTCCGTTTCAGATTCTTGAGTTGGAGTCCGCTCCCAGGTAAATGTAGCGTCGTGTATTTCAACCGCATGCTTTCCTTCTGGCTGCAACACAACATCCTCCTCTTGCTCTTCGGATAGCATGAATTCCTGTATACGTTTCATAGACGACCAAGCGTCAACCGTCTGACCAATAACCAGAGGGAGCAGATTGAGAGGCATTCGTAAGCCATTGAAAAGCGCAAGTGAAGAGAAAACTTGTGCAGCGGGAAGACCGTGGTCTGTCAGCGAGTAGGTGATGAACGATAACATGGAAGCGTAGATGGGGAGCGACATGCTAATAGCATTGATAGCATTTCGAACCGCCAAAAGAACTTGGATAGAGTGGATTTCTCGAGATCGAATTTCCCTGAGGCGTTCCAGAAAAGCTCCCTCCCATCCGAAATATTTGACGAAGCGGACAGATTGCAATATTTCCTGGGTTAGGCTCACGCGCTGATCCGTTATCTTGTTAATTGCTGCTCGGCGCAAGAACAGCGCGCGAATTGCTCTAGTCAAGGCCGGGACGCCGATGACCAAAAGCCCGAAACCAGCTAAAGCACTGTAAGTCAGATTGATGAGAAGGACGATGAGAGTTATGATGCACGAAATAGGTGCCGTCCAAGTCATGTGGAACATGGCGGAAGCTTGGTCTATACGGTAGGTATCGACGCTCATCAAGTTCACGATTTTTCCATTGCTCCAGCCAGTACCATCACCGGTGATGAGTGTCTTATCCGCCTTGGGATCCTTTTTGGGGTCATCCGACTTCTCTGTCTTGCTGTTTTCATTATCTTTCCCTTTATCTTTTTCTCCTTGACCGTTCTCTGCTGTGTCATTAGATGCTTCTTTACCACCACCTGCCCTTGCACGACCTGAGAGCACCATGGATTTCTCAAAAATGAGACTGATGAGGACAGCACGCGCCTGTCCTCCAATCATCATCCCACGGTATATAAAGTGGTTGACACCTAAGCTCTGCAAAATTTGCATAACAGTCACACCAATAACCAGGCCGATACCAGCACTGACCTTGGGTGGGGGTGTTCCGTTCTGAGATGCATCCCAGGCTTCTTGGGCAAAGTTGATGAGGTACCGCAGAGTGAAAGGAGACATGACTTGGAAGATAGACGAGCAGAGTTGGCAGAAACCGCCTAACCAAAATTCCCAGAAGAAAGTTTCGTGCAATGCCCAAAGCAAGGGGTATTGATCACCTGCTTTCTTTCGTCTCTCGAAAGATTCTCTTGTCTTAGCCGTCATCTTCTCGGCTGTCCGATCAGGGTTTACGGACCAGAGGTCGTCTTGTTCTAGGGACCGTTTATACCCTACCTATATCTTCTATCAATACGATGGCGCCAATCCGGAGAGGCTTAGTACTTACATTCATTATGGGAGCCATCCATTGGAAAGTCAATTTGCTGAAGAAACCGGCCCCGTACTCCCTCGAGACCTCGCGCTCCTTAGGGATGGGCGGTATCGAACCCCATAGTAGGGGGTTGAATACTTTGTACCATTGCTTCTTAGCTGGTACGGATGCCCTCGTGGTAGTACGAGTAATGGTGCTTGTATCGGTAGCATGACTTTGAGTGTGTTTCAACCCTTCACGGCTAGCTTGGTTATCATCGGAGTCTTCCTGTTTTCGGATTTCTTTCTCGGGATCATCGTAGACCGAGGCCGGCGTTGCTGGCTCAGAGTTGCCGGTATTTTCGACATCTGCAAGTGGGTCCGCCGGTTTTATTTCTTTATTCCCAGTTTCATTTGCCATAGTATGGCCCTTCCAAAAAAACAAACAAACAAACAGCTCAACACTTACTCACGGTAAGATGCGAGTGTGAGGGGGTTAGGCTATATCAAGTTTAAGTAGATTTCTACACATATACTAAGCTTGTTATGCGATTTTGGGCAACGATTGTCAAGCAGTTCTAGATTGTTGAGAACAATGCGAGAAAAGGCGAATACGACGGGGATCTCGAGACTTGGCAATGGTTTTATAAACGATGGCGGGAACGGGATTGGTCAGCGGTCTATCATACAAAGAGACTTCTGATTCCTTAAACTGTTGAACCCTGACATAACATAATATGGTTGTTTAGTTAAACTAGAGGTTTAGGATGTTTGTGTATGAGTGTGCAGTGCAAAGAGAGAGGAAGGGATTGAATGGGATAGAGATATGAATTATGAATCGGGATCTTGGCAGCCGTAAATACGGTTGACAAAATTAGGAAGGACCCTTTACTTTTGGTATCTAAGCTATCTGCCTATGATGCTTCCATTGTCGGCCCCGCTTGCCGGACTAGAAACCATTCCAGAGGCACGTAGGAAAGAACTAGACTGCTAGACTGTCAATGTAAGTAAGTACCCCAGGCTATACGCAGCCCTAGAAGTCACCAAGAGTCACCAATGGCTCGGGATTTAGTACGAGCTATTCGCTAACGACCTGGGGATATTCTTCATCCTAACAACTCTAAACCAATCACATAGTTTATAATACGAGTCGGCATATAGCTAAAGGAAACAACAAGGTGGTATTTTTTATGTTCTCTGACTTGGTGAATACTCGGGACTTTGGCAGATGACGCATGTCGGCGTATCTTAGTACGAGAAATGCAGGAATTCCATTATGTGTTAGTCAAAATGTCGGTAAGCTGGTAATCACCAACATGAGACCTCGCATCCTCCCAGGTTGCTTCACTAGGTTGATAGAAGTATGTAAGTATGTCTTGTGAGCTTGTGAGTCGTCAGCAAGTGTGCCTACCTAGTCCTACGTACATGCATAGGTAGGTAGTCACTACACGTCCCATATCACCGGCTATCAATGAAGAAAATTTCCACGCAGGTTCCTTTTTTTTTCTTCTTGCATAGTAGGTACCAACCCCGTTCTCGTACTGATCCGAATCCCGGGTTCCACTCGGGACATGCGAAATACTACGACAGTTTTCATACACCCATCGACTTCGAATCACAAAAGTTAATTGAGAGGCCAGCCTGGAAAAACCTAGACAAACAGACAGACAGGGTTCTTGCGCGGTAGGGGTTTATGGCTATTGTCCGTGTGTCCGCGTTGCGCAAAAACCTGGTTTCCAACCCCCCGTCCTCGAAAATTATGTCAATCGTATAGGTCGTATATTCCGTCGCGAATTGCGGACGGTAATACAAATATACTTACTTATGTACATACTGTTTTAGGTAGGTCGATCATCTTAGGGCTTTTTTTCTTCTTTCTGGGGGGCGAAGAGCAAAAAAAAAAAAGGGAATGCTAAGCTTTGTACTACTATAATAGTCGTACTATTAGCTTGCTTAAGTCGCCTCTACCCGACACCGGTCCCGACAGGCACAATTCCGGTTCCGACTCCGACTTATTCTTCCCATCTTCTCTCACTTTCTCCAGTTCTGGGGCTCGGACTATAGCGGAGTTTAGCTGCTTCTAGACCTTCGATTGAGCCGAAGTTGTTGATTTATAATGCAGCGCTCGTATACATGTTTTTTTGCGCCGTTTTGATCTGATCAAGCTGACGAAATGTGTATGAAGTCTGTAATCCTTGATTAGATATTCGAGCATGGTATACCTCTGTTGCGAGAAAGACTACGGATGACAACAGATTCTCTGATTAACTAAGCAAGTTTAGTCCGAGATCCTCTCGTCGGACTTTTGTTGAGGGACATCATTCCGAAGTAGGTACCTATTAGTAAGTATTGTAATGCCACACGGCAACGTATGACATCAGGTAGATCATTGAATGTAGGTAGTAGACTATACGGTATGATTTTACGAACTTTCAAACTGATGAGTCGAAAGACTACAGCGCTTGTAACTAACAACGTAGGTACCATAGCAGCTATTTGACACATCGTACTACGTCCTGGAAGATCCAATATTATGTAACACACTATTAAATTCCCGAGGCGTTGTGAAGTACACCTTATCGGTCTTGCGTATACTGATGAATGCTATCGCGTTATCACCTCTCATCTATGCCCTTTTGTTTTTAAAAAGCATCCATAAACAACTCCCATTCCCTGCTAGATGTACAAAGCCAGGCTGTTCCCATATCAAGCCTGGAAAGGTGAAAAAGAATCGGGAAGCAGTAGTATGTTACCGACGACCGTAAACGCAACATTCTCGCCGTCCCATGCTCGCTCACCATGGCCATTATGAACTATCTGTACCATCTGAACCATCTAGACCCAATAACGCCTTACCGATATTATCGATGTCGTCAGAGTCGTCTTTACCTTCACCGTCACCTTCACCCTCGCCATCTCCTTCACCATTGCCATCACCTTCACCTTCGCCCTCCTCGCCCCCACTGTCAATTCCTAGGAGCTCCTTCTCCATAGGATCCAGATCATCCGCATCCTCCATCGTGATATCGCCGTTGGTATTGCCGTTTGTCTTTGTCTTGATGTCCATCTTCTCTGGACTATCGTTACCGTCGTGGTCGCCCCTTAAGTCGGGCGAGGCATAATCCGATGGTGGAGCTGCAACGCGTCTCTTGGCTGTCGACACGACCCCTAACTCGGGTCGGCCTTCCCAACGTCTTAGCCGTCGGTCTGCCCTCCGAAGTGAGGCTGCGTACGATGCGAACTCTTCGCCAAAATCGTCCTCTTCTTGATTCAGCTGGCAAAGGCCACCAAAGCCTCGGTCTATGAAGGGGTGTTTCTGCTCCCTATGCGCCATCATATACTCTTCTTCATCACTGTCCAGTAGCGCGTCCTTCATTGCTGCCAAACGGCGCTTGGCACGTATAATCGCGCCTTCCTGTCGACGTGACTTTCGAGCCCGATGATGCTGTCTCCGAAGTCCGCGGCCGAGAATATGTTCAACCCGCTGATTCCGGTTTCGCTCTACCGCGAGTTGATGTGCGGTAGGGGGGCGTGGCTTTCTGGGGACTATACCCTCAATGACATGAGATCCTGGTCCCGCAGGCGATGAGCCTTCAAAGATTAGGTGTTTCAGTGGCGCCCCGCCCCGTCGTCCAGTGCTACTAGCACCAATGCGTGACAAGGCTCTCGGGGGCGGGGTAGACCGTGTACTGTCCAGATCGGACTCGTGTTTTGACGGCCGTATCCGGGGGAGGATTGCAGCAGTAGGTCCTTCATCAGCTATGATCCTTCCCCTGGATCCACGTTTGTTCTGGTGGTCAGCTAAGTAAGCCTGATCGGCTGCGATGATCTTTGCTCGATGATTCTGCTTCTCTCGTCCAAATTCAATTTCCTCCTGTGGGTCAATATTCTCACGGTCTTCTTCTTCAGCTACCATCTCTTCCATTCGCGGGACTCCCTGGTTTGCGACCTCCGTACCGTAGTCGACACCCTGCCCGAAAGGATTTTCTTCACAGCCTTCTTCTGTAAAGTCAGACTCAAGATAAAACCACATCAGCCACAAGAAGGCTCTAGCACGAGATTTGCTTGTGTAATTTGTCTTCATGATGAGGTCGTGAAACTCGCCACCAGGAGGGAAATGTAGCTCCGCGATATACGACGCTTGCTGACATATCAGGAAGATGAGGTTAACCGGGTTCGACCGAGGAGGATCCTTTCCCTTAAATTCGCCTAACTCATGAGGCTCAGGACGATCCTCGGCCGCACCCTTTAGGATAGACTTCAATCTTGGAGCGTCTTGTAATTGCTTATAGGCGGACGCGTCTTGGTGTGCCTGCAATGATGGAATAGCGTGATATGTTCGTAGTTGAGCTCGCATCTCAGGAAAAACTGCAACATATTAGCAAAAGTTGTTCCCCTAAATCGATGGAGATACGGTACAATTTAACGTTGTGTTCATCCGACCCACGTTGACGAGCAAGCAGACCATAGCCATGCTCTTCGCGGCTTCTCGGTCGCTAAGTAATTTATCTCGAAGAACCTTGCTCGTCTTGCTGCTTCTAGCCATAGTATCGATATACAGGTCCGCAAAACTCTGCTTCTCCTTGCCATCTCCTATGGGTTCGTAGCTGTTCGTAAAGACCCTGTTGTCGTCATCGAAGACGGCCTTGAGAAAGTCGTATTGAATATCTCTTCTCCAAAGCGGTTCTCCATCTTCTTTCTTAAGGTGTCTAATCTTCCCTACGGTAGGGAACGATGCTGCGGCTGCGGCTGCGGATGACTTATTTTTCGGTCGCTTACTTCCTTGTCCAGATTGGCTGATCATACTGGCTTCGAGATTGTCACCTGGAGTACTGTCCCTTGGGGCGCCACTAGATGCGCGCGACCAGCGACTGTGCTCCGGCGTTCCTTCTCTCGAAGCCATCGTGAGTTCGTTCGGTGATAAGATTGATGAAGTGATGGCAACGAGGCTGTTTTGATTGATGTAGGGGGGATTAGGACGATTGGGACGATTGGCGCACAGATACGACGTTTGTGACGACTACCTCTTCGTGGTAAGGCTTTAATGAACGATAGGAAGAAAAGAAAAAAATAGCCTTTAAATAAAGGCTAGGAGCGAAATATTATCATCGACTCATTATTGAAATTTTGACGAAGAGTGTGAGGTGCAAAGGAAAGGGAATGGAAGGGAAGAGGAATGGACAAAGCTTCCGTGTCCGAAGTTGAAATGCGAAGACGATCAATTTAAATTTTAAGTGTGCTGAATCAAACTGCTCACGCTGTACTGTACTGTATTGTACCTACCTCTCACGTCGCGTCACTTTCCTTAAGGTTTGCTTAGTGTAAATGTACAAAGGGCATGTACAATAATTAAGTGGAGACATTGTACATACAGTGCCTCAAAGACACCACCTGTATTATCTGCGCACCTGCTAGACGCGTCAGGGTAGCCACAGCTCGGACCACCCACTCTGTGGCGTATTACGAAAACATTAAAGGTGCCTGGGAACATATCTAACTTCGGATTGTGTAAATTGTAAAATAAAACGATTCATGATTACCTTATTACATAAATGCTTGGCTTCGAACTCTAGAAGGTCAGAGATCTCTTATCTCAGTCTTAGTTCCATGTAGCAAAAAGTTATATCATTGCAGATTCTAGTATTACGTATTTGGTAACCGAGAAATCACTATTTTTAAGCGTAGACAACGTGTTTCACTATTAGCTGAGAAGACTATTTCACATGATGCTATGTGCTTCGCAGTTTGCAAGTAAAAGAGGAACATTTTTTATTTTGGGAAGTTCTCAGTCCGTCGTAGATGGATTCTCTGATAGTCCACCATAGCGCGAAGAACCTCGAAGGGCCTGAACGCGTCTCAGCCAATGTCCGCAAAAGCACTACTACCATTGGTGGCAGATGGGATTAAAATCCTTTCCATATGCCCTTATCGTCAGAGCAGATCCCAGAATTCCTCTCCATGTTTTGGAGAGTTCTGAAGCCTATTGCCTGCTCGCCGAGACGCCGTTTTTGCTTTCTTGATCCTGCACCGAAAATGACTATTCTATGCTCATAATTTCCTTTGCCCTCTATGTGGTTCCCTCGCCATGGCGAGTCTTCTCGAATAGAAGTCCTTCCAACCAGAGAACCGAGAAATCCACTTTTGTCTATGATGATGCCATCAACACGAATCCGCGGCCATGCGATATCGCACTACCCCATTCTATGGGAAAAACGAGAAATGATCTCGGCCGGCTTCCAAAAGGCAAATACGGGGAACATCGAGTGGGAGATCGTCATCGTCGTTAAACGTGCTGTGATAAACCGTAATGCAGCACTTATCTTCTAAGTGATGAATATCTCCGTGATTTTGTTGGTCAAGACACGTGCTTGACCTCCAAGCGTCTCATGCAGCTGCGCGCATATGCCCCCTCACAGTCTTCTATGGGTATCAAGTTATGAGGGGTGCAGCCGAAACAAAAGACAAATGCCGTCTATCGTATGCCAGAGCTCTAACTCGTAGAACTCGAATCTGCCAATCCTCCTCAGAGGCTGGAAGTCGGGCATGCCGTACGTAGGTATGCCGTAGAAGGGAGTATGTTAAGGGAAGAGTGTCGAAAAAATGACAACAGAATGAGAAGAAACCTTGCGTAAGTCGGTTGAGAAAGTGAAAGAGAAATATGACACCGTGAAATCTATGTACCGCATTCCAAATTTGCCCAATTCCCATTCCTGCATGCGGTTTGCGTAAGAGGGAGAATATTCGGGCCGTTCGTATGTTGTTAGGTTTACCACCAGGAAGCCTGGCCACCCGGTCCACCAGGGTTGCCATAGCTTCCACCTCCATAGGCCGGAGCACCGCCGCCGCCGCCTCCGTAACCTCCGCCGTAGCCCTGGCTTGGGGGAGGACCATTGAAGCCGCCGCCACCACCACCGCCGCCACTATAGCCACCAGATTGCTGAGGTCCTCCGAACCCGCCACCGAAGCCGGGACCGCTGCCTCCTCCGCCGCCACCCCCGTACTTTCGGAAATCGCGGTTCGCACCCTGGCCACGGCCACGGCCACCACCGCCTCTGCCACCACGACCACCACCGTAGGAGCTCTCTCGGGCAATGGTCTCAAGGAATGCCGGAACCTCTTGGTTGGCTTCCTTTAAGAGCTCGATGAGATCTCGTACAACACCGCGGTTGCCTCGGTTGAAAAATGCCGTAGAGTGACCAGTGTTTCCTGCACGACCAGTACGACCAATTCGGTGGACGTAGTCATCAATATCAGTGGGAAGATCGTAGTTGACAACGTGTGTAACGTTGGGAATATCCAAACCACGCGCAGCTACGGCTGTAGCCACGAGGATGGGGCATCGTCCATTTCGGAACATCTCTAGAGCACGTTCACGCTCACGTTGCGTGCGGTCACCATGAATCGAGGTGGCGGGGAAGTTCTGATTGATGAGGAAATCAGACAACGAATCGGCCATGCGCTTCGTCTCGACGAAGATCAGGGTAAGACCACCACCATGGGTGTGTAGAATATCTAGAAGAACGGAGCGCTTGTCAACATCCTCGACATACTCAACCTTCTGAGTGATGTTCTCGGATGTGGAACCGACACGACCGACCGAAAGGAACACGTAATCCTTGAGGAAATCGCGGGCAAGCATCTGGATATCTCGGGGAAAGGTGGCCGAAAACATGAGAGTTTGTCGGTTCTGAACACCTGGCATATCCTCGCCTTCGACAATTCGACGAATCTGAGGCTCGAAACCCATGTCCAACATGCGGTCAGCCTCATCAAGAACCAAATATTTGATGTTCTGGAGGGAAATGCGACCACGCTCTAGGAGATCGACAAGACGTCCAGGTGTCGCAACAAGAAGATCGCAACCACGCTCGATTTGGCGAAGTTGGGAACCAATGTCAGCACCACCATAGACCACACAGGGTCGGACCCAGGATCGGTAGGCGAACTTGCGCGCCTCGTCGTAGATCTGGGAGACTAATTCACGAGTTGGGGCTAGGATAAGAGACGTAGGGTAAGCCTTACGCTGACGACCGTAACCACCACCGGGAGCGCCTGCAGGGATGGGAGAGGGGCCAGTGAGGAAAGCCTGGGAAAGAATGGGGAAAAGGAAACCACCAGTCTTTCCAGAACCAGTCTGGGCACAGGCCATAAGATCTCTTCCACCCATGACAATAGGGATCGAGTACTTCTGGACAGGAGTTGGAACCTTGTAGTGAGCCAGTTCAATGTTGCGGATCAAGTGATCGTCCAGGGGAGGATTGCTGAAAGTGAGAACGGGTTCGGGGGTATCGTGTCCAGAGGCCTCGACAGGAATGTCGTCATACTTCTCGAAATTGATTCCGGTGTGTTGTTTGGACGGGTCGTCAGGGGTGCCAAACAGCTCTCGCTCCATACGGGGATTCGGAGGACCAGGAATGTGCTTGCCATCGCGCCATTGCCCGTCGCCCGAGCCTCTAGCATATCCCCCTCCAGAGTTACCGCTGTTGCCGCCGCCACCGCCACCGCCAGCGGCTGGGTTGCCGTAAGCGTTGCGATCGAATCCTCGATTGTTATTCCAGTTTCCAGGGCTTTGGCGCTGGGGAGGAGGGTAATTAGGTGTATCCCAACCCCCGGGGGCGGGTCGAGCGTCGAAGTTGCTGTTACTATAAAGGTTATCACGTTAGTAAAAGTCGGAGAATTTTTTTATTTGATAAATCTAGTGGAACATTGCGTATTTAAGAAATTGAGCATAAATGCTACGTTCATGAGGGATTACATACCCAGCCCAGGCGCTGCTGTTGAGACCATTCATGTTAGGAGGAGGTCCTCCAGCACCCATGGGAGGAGGAGCATTGGTAGCGGCGCCAACTTTACCTCGCATGTGAGGAGGGATGTAGGAACGAGGTGCAGGAGGCTGCTGCTGGTCGCCCAGGCTCAGCCCGCCCATGTTCAGTTGATCGGCCATGTTTACGTTGCGTTGGGAAGACGGTAGATCAGGTAGATATGTAGGGAATGTTATCAGACAATAAATCTTTTCTTTCTCGTACGGAACCCAGCCGATTATTTTTCTCTCGCAAGAACGAACGGTTCAGTTGAAGAGAAATGAGAGGCGAGGGACGGTTTGGGAGGATCAGAAATTAGTTGCTTGAGGTGGATAAAATCAAGTAATAAGAAGTGGTATTAGTTTGCCGCGAAATGGGAAACCGCAACACAGATGCACCCTTTCTCCGAATTATTAGAGAATGGAAGATACAGGTCGTTGCTGTACTGCGTGATTCTGTAAGTGGTTACAGAGGCACACGTCTATGTAGTAATAGACCAGTTAAGATGCCTTCAAGATCCCTTGAGAAAAGAAATCAAAACCAAATCTTTTTCAAAGGAAAGAGAAGACCCCGAACGAAAATGCAGAATGCTTTTTTTTTCTTTTCAGGGGAGGAGGGATGAGGAAATATGCCGTGTGTTTGAGGTTTGAAGATGGCAAAGGGATTGTGGGGGGAAGAAGAAGAATGGATCAGATGAAAAAAAATTCAGGAAGTTTTGAAGTTGTGTCGAAAATCGAGAACGCGTTAGCGTCCAGCTTCGTTACTAAGGAACTTAAAAATCTAGGCTAGAAGGGGTAGGCACGATACTTTGGTACTACTTCTCGTTACCAATTGGAAGTTGCCGATGGGTTACTTGGGGCGATGAATGCGTATCGATATACCCGAGTGAGATAATTGTTAGTATTTGTATGGCAATCATGGTATCAATCGTATCATGGAAAGTGGGATGCCTACTAACGTTATCCAGTAACTTGTACCTACCTTTATTGCATCCCTACTGCCCACCTGGGTATCCATCCCTACCCTGAGAGTAGTACTATGGTATTTGCCCCATTTCAATGTTGAGCTTTACGGTTGGACATATTTTGGCAACAGCATTCTGTAAGGCATCTACCAGGTACTTATTGGATATCTATCCCTTCCTAGTCTGGGCAACTGCGACAATTTTTCCCTTTGCCTTTCTCCTGTGACGAAAGCTCTTGCATTTCCTGGAGCAAATTGAAACTTGGAAGTTACAAATGGTCAAACCAAACCGGCTAAGATACTACGTACATGTATGTACGTAGGCAGGTACAACCCTAGGTACCTAAGTACCTTAAGTATAGCATCGCTACGACACTTTTAACTTGGGTGTAATTATTAGAAAACTTACTGGCCATTATGTATGTACATACCCGGACGTTTTTGAACCTAGATTCCTCACCTATTGAATCTTCCCATCATCTAACATTCCGCCACTTGAAAAATTAGAATAGTAAAGAGTCTAGCATATTCCAGAAGTCATTCTATTTATTCACCTATCTACATAGGCGTATGGCAGTGGTACACGGGTATATTCATATTTGAATAATACATAGGTATAACATGTTACATAGTCTGTACAGTGGCAATTTTGGACCTGAGTTTATTTTACATGTTAGAGTGAACACCTCAAGCATCTATCCGAATCTCGGTATAGTCCGATTAGGGATAGGGGGAGCAAATCACACACACTTGTAATGTATATTTTTTTTCGACGCTGCCTTTTGCCCAACCTTCTTAGCCTTGGCTGGTGAGCCGTAGCATATACACGTTGTCGTCTGTCAAGTAATCTAACAATCTGTGCCTGATCTAGCGCCACCGAAGGCACGGGTCGACCGTTCAGTATTGAAAGGAGCCCCTGGGTAGGCCCATATTTCATTCTATGAATTTTCTTTCAGAAACTTCCATGGACACGTACTAAGAGTTGGCGGACCATCGGCTCTGCCGTTGAATGACTAGGTGACAACACGAAAATGCAATTATCCAGTGGTTAGCGCCCTGACAGGTGGAACTTGGAACGTGGGTGGGTTACTCAAGTAGTTGGTGAGAACGTAGAAGGGGGGAAGGAAAAAAAACTTTATAAAAACTAAACTTAATGATAAGGCTCGTAATTTAGCTCTATAAGCGTCCTAGCTGTTGGTTTAGTGGACAAAGTAGGTAAAGTAAGAGAAGGCGAATGCAACTCTCCTGCAACAAGGCTTGCGACTTTCCAATAGGAAGTCTGCCTGCATGGTGAACAGGTGTAGCATCATGCAGAAGTCTCACCGCCCAAAATGCAATAAATCCAAAATACACCGCTTGATGAGTTAGGTACTTTAAGCTGGCATCCGCGAATAGCGGATGCCGACTTACTATTTAGGTATAAGTACTATCAGAAATCTTTGACAATCATCCAGTATAAGAGGTTTTATAAATTGGGCTAAGTTGGCCGTACTTCGTATGTAATTTTATCCCAAGATCGGGATCAAAACCTGGTTAATACTTCTACTAATAAATGTAGGGCCAACAGATTGCATTCACGTAGTATCATATTTACAAAATATGAGCGATGAGGGACCATTGTTTATATCTTTGATTAGTTCATCAATGTTAGATGCACTCTAAAAGAATAGGAAGCCAAACTACCTTGCAATGTTGGTCGAGGCAGATTCTCATTATACTCATAGCCGATGGCCGCTGAATACCTACATATTGATAGGCAATGTACCTAGGTAGGTATCTTATCGACGTTGTGACCCTGCCCCTCTTTAGCCATTACTCTCCTTTTTTTTCTATGAAGTTAGTCTAAAGCAACTGGCGAGTTGGGGCTCATCACGTGCGCAATGATGAGAGAGATGTGTTAGGCAGTCTTCATAACTGACTCAAGGGCCGGCCTGCGACTTGATTATTAGGCTGTCTTTTGGTTTCTTTTTCCCACCAGCCAGCCCAGCCCAGGATCTTAATGTTACACTTGCAGTCGCCGGCTAGAAAATTGATCCCTTTACGGACACTTGACAATCTTGTCATCCTTAAATTCGATCTCACGAATGCCATCCTTAGTGACTGCCTTGACCGTCATGCCCTTGAAATCGATAGGTAAACGTCGCTTCAACTCGTCCGTACACATCTCCAGCACCTTAAGACCTTGAACAAACGTCATGTCCGGGTGATGATGCTTGTCGAGGATAGATAGACAGTAGTATTGCGCGTAACCGTGAGCGGCATAGGGGACGGATGCCAAAGCTGCTAGGTAATCCAACCAGAACAAGCTTGGCTTGTGGGTGATAGGGTCGACGCCACCTAGTAGGAGGTTGACGTTGTATGGCTTCCGCGATCTTAAGCTCGACGCAAGCTCACCGCGGACATAATGCGCCAATGCCGTAGGTGACAGGTCGGTCTCATTCCGCATCGAGTAAAGTTGGGCATTTGCTTGGATGTACTCGGAGAACTGAACTGCTAATAGTTAGCTTTTGATGATATCCCAGAATCATTTGAGGAGCTAGATACCTGTATCACCAGCCTCGCCGGAAAATGCAACTAGTGTGTGCTTGTTTAGGGACCTTGTCTTGTCATCGGAGGCCTTGAGGATAGTAGCTCCTCGCATCGCAGCTTTAGAAGCTGCGATTAAGGTGAAGTCCTTGCCGGTGATTCCTAGTAACACCTCCCTGTTTGACTGATGTTAGCATGTTCGATTAGATATGTAGGGTATAAGCGAACATACATTTTGAGAGATCTGTTTTGTTTGCAATGGGTTCTTAATTGTGTTGTGTGGGGAGGTTGAAAGAGCTGTCGTTTGCGAACTGTTGTAGGTATTAGATGTGTGCAGACGCGCAAGGTAGCTACAGCCTAGCACTTGCCTTCCCAGAGCTTCAGATCGTTCAGGTGCCACAGGTGGGATTCAAATCGGACATCGGAAGCACAAGCCACAGATCATCAGCCCCGTCTCCACATTAACCATTGAAAGCTAGCGGCGCTATCTTTGCACCGACATGGACCCCTGTTCGTGTCCCGCAGGTTCTGAACTTTTTTTTTTCTTCTTAGCAATTGAACCGACCTTCTTTGCAGCATGGAAATTTTCTAAGGGCACAAGACGATCGATACACGACGGTATCGATTGTTCAACAAGCTATACTACACCATTATGTCGTCCTTCTTCACAATACCTGGTGCTCAGAGAAAACGAAAACGAGCTCCTATCATAGACGGTCCTAAAAAACGTGTCGCGACCTCTAAGTACTCGAAGGCGCCTTCGAAGCCGACAAAACCTGCAAAACCTGTAAAACTTGCACCCACACCAGCACCCAAAAAACGAGTCGAACGAGATGAATCCATATCAGGAAGCGATTCTGAAAGTGACGCCGAAGTCAAGGACCATGAAAATCCCGAATCTGGTTCGGAATCGGAGAACGAAGGAGAGACTGCAGCAGAGAAGAGACTAAGGCTTGCAGAAAGATACCTGGACAACGTACGACAAGAAGTTGACGAAACCGGCTTTGATGCAGAGGATATCGACCGGGATATAATAGCACAGCGTCTACAAGAAGATGTAGCCGAAATCAAGGGAAAGGTGTATAGAAAGGTTGCTTCAGAGCTTGCTATCGCCCAATCGCCACATACACTCTTCCGTTGCAATACCCTCTCGACTACCTCCATTGCTATATGCGCCCCATACTTATATACTGTCACGAAAGACCGCTGCCTAGTCAAATGGAAGCTACAAGACCTACCAGCCAATCAATTCCCACAAACCACCAAGAAGAAGCCCAAGAAACCTCCTGCTCCACCCCGTCGACAACCAACGAAGGTCGCAATGTTGAAGGGAAATCAGAAGAAAGCAAAGGATAAAGGCTACCAAGGGCACGTGGCTGATATCTTATGCGTGGCTGCCTCACAAGACGGCAAGTTCGTCGTCACGGGCGGTGCTGATAAGCGCCTGATCGTCTACGATGCGAAATCATTGAAGCCTCTGCGTGTCTTCATGCACCATCGCGACGCCGTAACTGGACTAGCATTCCGCCGAGGCACAAACCAACTCTACTCGGCCTCCAAGGACCGTACCGTGAAGGTATGGAGTTTAGACGAATTAGCATATGTCGAAACCCTCTTCGGCCACCAGGATATTGTGGTCGATATCGACGCGTTAGCACAAGAACGATGCGTGAGTGTAGGCGCTCGAGACCGAACGGCACGATTATGGAAAGTTGTCGAAGAGACCCAATTGGTCTTCCGTGGCGGGGCGATCGATAAGAAACAGAAGCCAGACATCGACCCGCGATCTCTAGCCCATGAGGGTAGTATGGATCGTGTCGCCATGATCGATGACGAACTCTTCGTCACCGGAAGCGACAACGGCTCGTTAGCTCTATGGAGCATATCGAAGAAGAAACCACTCTTCGTCTTGGCACAAGCACATGGACTTGAGCGACCCTTGCTTCCAACGGAAGCATCCGCCGAAGAGGCCCCAACTCCTAAGGTTGTACCACCTCCGCAACCAAGATGGATTACCGCTCTTCGGACGTTACCCTACTCCGACCTCATCCTAAGTGGTAGTTGGGACGGCTACGTCCGAGCCTGGAAATTAAGCGACGATAAGAAAAAGATCGAGCCCGTAGGGGTCTTAGGGAACCCGTCATCTAGCACAGACCACGTTCCTAACGGCGTAGATATGGACGACTCTGATGATGAAGGTGCAGTCAATGGAATAAACGGGACCAGCCCGTCCTCTTGGCTGATTAAAGGCGTGGTCAACGATATTGCGCTGTTTGAACGAGGTGATCGTGGCAAGGACGGTCTATGCGTCGTAGTCGGCGTTGGTAAGGAACATCGACTAGGAAAGTGGAAGAAGATCAAGGGAGGGAAAAACGGCGCTGTTGTATTCGAGGTGTCCAGGACAAAGGAAGGGCTGGAAAATGGGTTGGCATAGTAAAATAGCCCAGTAAAACATGGGAGACCTGATCATATCCCACTCTGGAATTGATACCCTATTTTAACGTTTCCATCTAAGTCCGCTACAGCATGTGCAATCAATACTTCAACCATTTGTGCTCTTTAACTAAGTGCATCGTAGACGTTAACATTCCATCTACCTGTTGTTGATCCAAGACCTTAATGTAGTACAAGTTTGTAACCGTAGCAAACCAAATATTCTTCCACACATCAACGACGTACTAGGAAATGACCAAAGTCACAATTTCTTAATATGATAATACTTCTTTATATACCTAGAGAAGCTAATACGTATAAACTAGCATATATATACAGATAGGAATTATGACTTAGGAACCATCTAATACCTAGGTACCATGTTGAAACCAACAAGTTGTAGACCGTTTTGCATGAAGCATAGAGTATCGATCCATCACAACCTTCCCAGCCAGTCATTATATATCAGAACAAGATACTATACTATATCCAGCTCAAGCTTTCATTCGTTCCAGTATGATTTTATATTCTTTCCGCTTCTTCGACTCTTTGGTGATGGCTAGTTTCGCTAAGCCAAATCCCCGGGCGAGTTTCTGGAAGAGATAGTTCTCGCCGACCCAGGAAATGATCAGATATACCAGGCCAAGAACCAACAACGTGATCTTGAAAGAAGAGCTGATGGTTGTCAATTGCATGAACTTCTTGATCTGATGGGTTGGTAAAAAGGCCATATATGTGACTACGACTAGCGCTCCAAAGATGGTTGTCATAAACGGCCCTATCAAGAGTTAGCATAGTATCCATAAACTAAAACGTGAATATATACAACATAACTTACAGTTTTGGTTCATAGGTTGTCTGAATGGCCGACCGGCACTCATAACTACCCCTATGAAGATATACTCGAAACATGACATGAGGAACAAAGCCGTATTTTCCGAATTTTTTATGTTGGACTTCTCTGGGTTGACGTGAGGGGGTATGTACCTATAATTTTCATATAAGAATCAACGCTGTGGTAGGTGGGTTCAAGATAGGACTTACCAGCTTTGCTCCCGCACTATGAGCCATGCGGCGGCTTGTATAGAGATACAGATGATCATCTGGCCCAGCAAGGGTGTGAGGACCTTTCGAGAGACTAGATTTGCCGTCGGTCGCTTCCTGCTCAGAACCGGAAAAGGTCCAGACCAACCCACTGTCACATAAATTAGTTATGATAATTAAGCAATGTGTTTTGTTTCACTCACTAAAGATGGCGATCGGTAATATGAGTACAACGTCGATAAACAGGAACTGATATTGTCTATTAGTTATAAACCAGACTACTGTGGCTGGGTATTCTTACCTGAAAGTCTCCCAGGTTTGAAGCCGAAGCATAGAGAAAGCTGACAGAGGTGAATTGGATAGCGGAGTAAAGACTCATAAACTTGAAGCAGCTAAAACTGGTTACCAAAGCAGCACGCCCTTCCCTAAATACGAAGTTAGTTAGGCTATGTGTACTAACATGAATTCATGTAAATGTCAAATCAAACGTACCGGATGACGTCGGGAACACATCGAATATCGAATACCCTAGACGTAAAGGGGGCTGCGACGGATGCTTCAGCTTCGGAAAGCGAAATGCCCACATCCGCGGCTTTGAGAGCACCGCAATCATTCGCACCATCGCCGCAGAATCCACAGCAGTAGTCTATGCTCTGAAGCTTTTCTACAAGTTCATGTTTCTCATCTGGAGACATGCGTGCAAATACCTTGCCTCGGACAAGCATCTAATAGTCGATTAGCTCTTTAATATAATAGGGAGGTAAACCTGGATCAACAGAGCGGGAAAAGTCTCATGATACACGACTATGTGATTAAAAAGAGTGTACTTACCCTCTGTACGACTTCATTCGGGGCGAAGTCGATTATCCATCGGAAAACATCTCCGCTTATTGCAAGGGAGTAATTTCTAAGATTCGCTATATCATATGGCAACGATGCATCACGATCTACGGGAGCGGGAAGTGGCTAAAGTCGCATTAGTTAGTTTGACTGTGTTGTTGAGTTGGTGCCATGGGCTTACAAGTAAAGTTCGATAATCCAATTGGTAAGCGGCGTCGTCTATGCTTTCCCATTGCAATAAAGCATTAGGATCACGGGAGTTCCCTATGATTCTCGCATTAGTATTTAACAACCTAGTATATAATATTGATTCTTTACCTTGTGAAAAATGCGGGACGAAACAATGGGCATCCTTCTCAACAAGACCACAATTCCTGGCTACACTGATGGCAGTTAATATGTTGTCACCCGTGACCATGATCGATCCGATATTTGACTGGGTGAGCTCTTTGAGCACCGCGGCGGTTGTTGGCTTTAGCTTATTTTCGAAGATAATAAATCCAACGAAGTCAAGGTTTGTCTCAACTTCGTCACGCTTCATCTTCTGGGACTTTACCCACGACAACTTCTTTATATACCTGGAAGCGCATGCTATGACTCGGTATCCTTTGTGGGTATAATAAGACAGGAGTTCATCGTAATCCTCCGGGACTGTGTGTATTAGAATAAACATATTGATGGATCGTAGAAGGAGACTTACAACTCTCGGGTCGACATATATCCCGCATACATTCAGGTGCGCCCTTGACGTAAATGCTACCACTTTGCTGGCCGAAAGCTCGCACGATCACGCTAGCTCTTCGTAGCTGAGAGACAAACTCGAAAGACCTCAATATTCCTAATTCGATTGGGGACTGAATCACGTTAGACAAGTACGGTGACCGACGTCAATAGTAAAACTCACATTTTGCCCCCGTGTAACTCCATATGAATCCGTGTCATACAAAGGTGTAGGGGGAGGACGTGCAACTGAAGGAGAGAGGCCGCCTTGCTCGTCATCCTCTTGATCAGCATTACCTTGACTACCCTCTTCGAATGTCCATTTAGTAAATTCGAACATCTTGACATCTAGCGGATCTCCAACAAGCTCGCCGTCAATGGATCGAAGTGAATGACATGTGGCCATTGTGAACAGGGCAGCACGGTTTATGTCATATTTGTCGCCAGGGCCAGCATCCAAATCGAATGGAGGAACCAAATCTGATGCTTTGGATACCACATCATCAAATCGATTTGTCGACCGAGATACCAGCCGCACACCAAGAATATCCAAGCCGTCTTCCGTGAGAGTGCCGGTCTTATCAAAGCACATGATATCCAACTTCCCGCCGACATTGACCCTTTGTGGGCTAATACAGAATATTTGTTTCTTCTTTAGACGACTTAAGGCAAAGTTTGTTCCTATGGTAAGTGTAGCTGGGAGGGCTGGTGGGACGACAATGGTAATTAGGTCCAGAGCTCTGACGATGATCAAGTGCCAGGCTAGTCCAAGACGGAGGAAGTTGATAAAAGACACCACAAACCCGAGGAGCGCGACGCATCCCATAACGGATATATATCGGAAGGAATCCCGATAGAATTTAAAGCCAGAAGGCTTAGGGAAGAGCATCGACCGGACCAGAGAGCCCTTAGTAGTATTGAAACCCGTTCTCACGACCATCGCAAGTGCGACCGCTTCGTCGTCTCTATTATCTTGTGGTCGCCTTGCCCGAATAATTTTAGTCCCACAGAAGAGAAAGTGACGAGCAGCATCAGGAGAGACAGTTGAGGCGCTGAGGTTCATGATTTCAAGAGTCTCATCGGTGGCAGGAATTTTAGAAACCGGTACGGACTCGCCAGTGAGCATACTCTCATTTACAATGCAGTCTCCGCTCAGAAGTAAGCTATCAGCCGGGAATTGTGCGAGGCTAGGATCGCTAACTTCATACACGTCACCGGGTACTAAATCGCTCGACAAGACATGGGCCCCTTAGAAGAGTTAGCAACGCGTCCCTAGATCAATATAGTGACCTACTCACAAAAGCCATTGCGAAGGACTCGCACATCGCATTCAAAACGAGAGATGTCGCGAAGACGCCGCATTGTCTATTTTATTAGTAAGATGGTCATAATCCGTGGATATGAGAGAATACTAACAGCTCGTGTTTCTACTAATGTTGCTATTATGCTACCTGCCGACATGACAAAGATACAAATGGCATAGTAGTAGTATTCGTCTACAGACCAAAGAACCAAACTCGCAATTTGGAAGACATAGAAAGGGTGAAACACCTAAAGATATTGTTAGTTATATAATAAGATTCATAGGTGAATAACTCACTTCATCTACGAGCAGTTGTGGGATGGATTTTTGCTCGATGTCGATGAGGTTTGTCCCGAAGACGCGTTCCCTATGATCTTTCTCTTCGCCGTCGATTCCAGCACGAAGTGCTCGCACCCGCTTCCATGTAGGATCCTTCCACCCGTTGCTAATGACGAATTTACCCTTCAATGGGTGATAGAAGAAGCGGACGTAACGGTAGTTGAGCACTCGAAGATCAGGTAATATTGGGTCGGCATCTTCTTCCAGTAACTGCGCGAAAATCTTCTCTGGAGCCCCAAATACAGTGGAAAGCGGTCGATTGTAAGGTCGAGTATTAACATTCAGGATAGTCATTTCACCCCATTGGTTCTATAACATGAGATCAGAACGAGGCTACAGAGCGTACAATAATTTTCAAAGTAACTAACCTCGAGAACCACCCATTGGCAATCGTGAAGTGGGCATGGCTCCCCAATCAACTTCACCTGCCACTGCGGAAGCCATCGCAGAAGAAGATATGCGAGTCCCAACGTCAAGACGCATATGGTGACATAGGCAGCATAGCCCAATCTGCTCGTCCGAAAACCGGCTATCACAATGGTGAGATCCTCGTTGACCATAAGAAGCTTCTGATTGATACGGCCGTGACCACGACCACTGGCATCCGTCACACCGCTGTCTGTTCGAAGGAGTCTGGTATGGACGGAATTTCTCGACACCGTTGAAGATCTCCGATGCAGAGCATAATCTTCATGTGAATCGCCATTTTCTAGTTCAACTTCAGAGCTTATTTCTCCTTCCTCGTCGAGATCAAACGGAGTTTCGTCTATATCAAAGGTCATGGCCCCATCTTCGCGAAATATGGCTCTGGGTTCCGGTTCGTCTTCCTCTTCGGTGTAGTAGGCAAAGCTCGCCGTCGAGTCCGCACGTTGACGGCGATGGGAGAAGGCAGAAAGGCTCGTAGGTAAACTTTCCGCGACGGGCCCAGAGAAGAGCTGCGAAAATAACAAACTTTAGAACACGCAGCCATATGGTTGGGTGAAAGGGTTAACCTACCTCATCCTGCGCCATCTCGACATCCTCAAAGAAACTCGAATTACTCTGGTTAGAACCCATTCGATACATGGCCATAGGGCCACTGCGCTTGGGTTGCGCGTCGTCGCCGTTGCCCCCCTCCATGGTCGACGCCTACGTATGTTTCAATTATGATGTAAATCGTCCCGTCATGTGTATAGTTCTCTGTATATTGGGATATCGAGTTGAGACATATGGAGACTATCGGCGCTGATCTGTACGGATTCGGTATGTATATAAAAGCGGAAATTGGAATAACAGCCGCACGATTTCACAATTATAGGTTATCGACCTGGCCGAAGAAAGATTGAAACATCAAGGCACATCCTGAATAGTCATGTGGACGTGTCGAAACACTACAGATCCCTCGAGTAATTTCGAGTATCGAATTAATAGAATGCGCCGAGTCTAAATGGCGACCTGGTTTCGTATGCGCTGAGCCCGGTAGAGTGCCTCGTTTGCTAGGTATATGTTGTCGACCTTTCACCGAATTACCTGGTACGTTGTATGGCGCTGCGAAGACGGTGCTTCGTTCAGGTCTTGGATAATCCACAGTGAAGTTTGGATGATCCATCATTAGCTCTGATGGATATTCGAGAACATCGGAGATAAGTAACAAGATAACGATAGCGATAAGGGAGTTGGCGATAATGATAACGAAAAGAAAGTTGAACTCGTATTGCCTAAAAAGGCAAGGCGAATTGTCTCTAATGACTTTAAGGTTCTCTAACTAAAAGCGTCTATATTGTACGTCTCAAAGGTACCACTACCTGCACTGCATTACATGCAGCAGACACTACTCTACGTGAGTTGACGTGGCTACCTGCCTACGGCATATTGCAGAAGTCGTCTATTATATCGATTGCATATATTCATTAAACATTAATAGGAAAAGTCCTTCGATCCAACCTCGAGTATAGCTTGGTTGTAGATCTAGGTTGATGTACTGTACGCAGGCATGGAATTCTTCTAGTCTTTCTACCTTCACCGCTCTCTACCAGGTTTAGGTGAGTGCTAGCCCACATCAGGTACCTAGGCGGGTAAGTACTAGTACAATAGGTACTGAACTTGGATTCTGAACTCGGATTGCATTCGATATATGACATCTCCCAATGCACCCACGTACATAGCTTGGCTGCACGAAAGTGTACAATAAAGGACATTGTAAGGTACACATCAGATTTGATGCCTACTACCTAGGTACTACTAAGTCGGTAGGTACCTAGGTAGGTCGTATGGAAGACAATGATGGATGCCTTAGGTAGGAAGCCTCAAGTCCCGGGTTATAGAAGCCGTCGGTGTAGGTAGGTACCCAGAGGTAGGTAGGCAAAGACGAATAGTACGTGTAAGTGCCCTGAAGAAAAAAAATTGTTCTAAGCAGCATTGAAATTTTATTTGAGGAACGGCGCCCAACAACTTCTATTTTTTTTTCCCTGCTACCTCTTAGCACACAGTCTTTGGAGGGGAACACTGACAGGGTTGTGCCTTCCCCCACTTCGCCTCTCCCACCAGACTAGTCCAGAGTCTCTCTGCCCTCTCTCATCAAATTCCCCATTACTATAGACCAACTTTACTTTCACCACTACAACTTCTCCTTCGCTTTTTCCTCTTTCGCCGTTGGACTTAATCCCAGTTCAACTCTTTCTTCGTATCAACCAATTCCATCATCATAACCACGCACTCGTTGTAACTTTAGCACTATCTGCAAGTTCTTCAAGTTGCTGACCTGTGATTTCAAGCGTCCATCTATACGCATAACCTCACTTTAATCAATACCTAACTTTTTTTTTATTTCTTCCCCGACTCGAATTTTTTTTCGCCGTCCACCGTCGACTTTCAAGTCCCCCAATCAGATATCGACGCGTCCACTTACGAGTCTATCATCACCTTTAACTTCCGCGACGGAAATATCAGCAATGGCGGAACCTATTAAGAATCGCCGTGCAGAGGTTCCTGCTCCGTATGTGCTACCAACACTACTTCCTCTCAGTTCAGCTGTATCTTGTAAGAGCACAGATATCTAATTTCTCTCCGCAGCACTCCGCAGAACACACCTGCCAGCAATGCTCCCATCTCTTCTCATGCCCAACAACCGGGCGTTGCTAGCATCAAAGAGGGTAAGTCGATGAGCACAAGGTCCTAATTCTATGCCTATTTCATATGGTACTCTTACTAACCTCATCTACGATATAGAGGATCTTGATCGCGCCGCTGCCGCGTCCATCTTTGCCCAGAACCCACGACTAGTTCAGATGATCCAAGGCCGGCTTGGCTCTCTGGTCGGTCGCTCTTCCGGCTACATAGAGTCGTTGCCCCAGCATGTTCGCCGCCGTGTTGCTGGCTTGAAGGGTATTCAGAAGGATCACTCGAAACTCGAGGCTGAGTTCCAAGAAGAGGTCCTCCAGCTCGAGAAGAAGTATTTCGCCAAGTTTACCCCCCTTTACGAGACACGCGCCGCGATTGTCAACGGGAAGGAAGAGCCTACCGATGATCAAGTCAAGGCCGGTGAAGAAGATAATGAGGATGACGAAGACAAGCCCGAGGTGAAGAAGGAGGCGACCGACGAGGCGGCCGCCGAAGCTACCGAGCTCGTTAAAGGCATTCCGGAATTCTGGTTGTCGGCGATGAAGAACCAAATTTCGCTTGCCGAAATGATTACTGACCGTGATGAGGCCGCTCTCCGCTTCCTTACTGACATTCGAATGGAGTATCTTGACAAGCCGGGATTCCGCTTAATTTTCGAATTCGCCGAAAATGAGTTCTTCACCAACAAGACCATCACCAAAACGTATTTCTATCAGAATGAGAGTGGTTACGGTGGCGATTTCATCTATGACCATGCTGAGGGCGATAAGATCAACTGGAAAGAAGGCCAGGATCTCACCGTTCGTATCGAAAGCAAGAAGCAAAGGAACAAGAGTAAGTGAATTCAAGGTGGATCTTTAGACGCCCCTTACTAACTTAAATAGACACCAAGCAAACTCGTATCGTCAAGAAGACAGTTCCTACCGAGTCATTCTTCAACTTCTTCTCGCCCCCTAAGGCACCCACTGATGACGATGACGACGCTGCTTCGGATATCGAGGAGCGCCTAGAGCTAGATTACCAACTTGGCGAGGATATCAAGGAGAAGTTGATTCCCCGAGCCATCGATTGGTTCACTGGTGAAGCCTTAGCTTTCGAGGAGCTCGATGACATCGAGGAGCCCTTCGATGATGACGAAGACGATGAAGACGACGACCTTAGTGAAGACCGTGATGACGACGAGGAAGAATCTGATGATGATGTTAGTTGACCACTTCTCTCACCAACCCCTTAGAGGATGCATGGCTAACTATAATACAGGATGATGGTGCGAAGCCGAAGCAGGAGGCGCAAGAATGCAAGCAAAGTTAAATACGTCCTCGCCCGGTAATGCTTTTTACTTAATTCACGTCACGGATCCTGTTCGGGGGGAAGGTAAGGTTGAGTTATGACAGTCTCATCCTTTTTCAAGCCCTTCTGTCGTTCTATCAGCCAGGGCAATTCTCATATTGCGAATTTGCCGACGCTCTACAGAGGTGATACAGCACATGGTCTTTGAATTGAAGTGCAAAATAGACTGGCCACTCCCATTAGGCTCTAGGTTGCTTTCGCGGAATCTCGTTCTGTATTGATTGATAATTCTCTTCATTGTTTTCCTCCAGCATACGGCTGGTCTGGAGTAGTTGGTTGGTAGGGCAGGTGGCAGCATATCATGAACAGAGACATTGGAGGTGGGCCCCAAAAGGCAGACTTCATGCTGGCACCAGGAAAGGGGGGAAGGTAAAGTGGCAGGCTCGTCAATAATGCATTCAGACAGAGAGAATCACATGAAGTTGACGGAAGTTTGCGACTCGCATATATGTACATCGTACGTTGCATAAGGACTTGATTTTACTATCCCCTGCATAGGAAAACTCCACGCTACGCTATGCACATTCAGAAGTGGTGAACATAGAGATGTAGGACACCTTGCTGACCAGGCCATTTTCTATCCCGCAATGCAACGCAACTCGTGACTTACATACATATCTGCGAAGTATGTAAGTCCTCAAATTTTCAAGGACGGAATTGTTGACACTCAATTCACCATCTAGTACCTTGATTAGACAGATATAGACAATTCCATACATATCTGTTTACTAATTTAACATCGGGAGACTTTTAAGTTTTAAGGCTATGGAATTAAATTCCGCCCCATGGCACCAAGTTAACCAAGTTAACCATATGCCCGTACGATCCGTGAGTCACGGCAGGGTTACTGTAGCAATGTCCGATGACGGGATCTGACTATGAAAATATCCTTTTTTTTTCAAAGACCGTTCAGAGTTCTAGTGTGTCGTGGCACCGAATAAACCGAATAATAAAAAGCTGGGTCACTTAACTAGCATAAGGAAAATATTACGTGAACCGATAGGCTGATGTGGATGTGGACTTAGGGGGTAAGAGGGGGATTGGGTGATTGTTATAGCGAATCACAAGTGCGCTAACCAGAATCAAGGTATAACACTTAAACCATAAGTAAACCAAAGCGATCCAAAGCTAGCAAAACAGCAAAAAGTTTTCCCGAACTTGAGCTCTGAGTCAATTTACAACTCCGTTCGGCTATATATTCATAATTATCCCTCTTCAATTTCTCGGTCTAAACATTTTATAGTATCTTGTGAATTAGAAATTTAGAATTGAAATCATGGCTGAAGCACGGAACATATTGAGGACGGCCGACCATGAACTGCCCCATCACTTGGAGGTCTCGACCTCGCCATCAGCTACAACTTTTCATTCCCCGCTATCGAGCTTTGGCGGGGCACTCCCCCAGCGAAGTCAACCCAAGCAGCTCAAGCCCTTCAACACACAGGACATAAAGATACTCTTACTTGAGAACGTCAATCAGAGCGGAAGAGACATCTTGACTGGCCAGGGCTATCAAGTTGAATTTCACAAGAGCTCATTACCCGAGGATCAACTAATTGAGAAGATCCGGTGAGTATTTTCACCTTTTTTAAGCATAGCTAGCTATGCCGGGCTCTGATTATGAATCGCAGAGATGTCCACGTCATTGGCATTCGATCCAAGACCAAATTAAATGAAAGGGTCCTCCGCGAGGCCAAGAACCTATTGGTAATTGGCTGCTTCTGCATTGGCACCAATCAGGTAGATTTGGAATACGCAGCTCATCATGGTATTGCCGTCTTCAACTCGCCTTTTGCGAACTCTCGTAGTGTGGCCGAGCTTGTCATTGCAGAAATCATTACTCTGGCTCGCCAGCTAGGTGATCGTTCCAATGAGATGCACAGGGGCACCTGGAATAAGGTGAGCAACAAGTGCTGGGAAATTCGTGGCAAGACCCTCGGTATGTGCGACATTCAACTAGACCTGCGTTTACACCTAATTCAGGGGGTAACACTGACTGTATCGAAGGAATCGTTGGATATGGACACATTGGCTCGCAATTGTCTGTGCTCGCAGAAGCTATGGGGATGTCAGTTATATACTACGATGTCGTGAGCTTGATGGCATTGGGTACGGCCCGACAGGTGCCAACGTTAGAGGCTCTCCTGACCGAAGCTGACTTCGTCACCTTACATGTGCCTGAGCTACCCGAAACTAAAAACATGATTTCTGCCGCGCAGCTCGAACATATGAAGGATGGCTCGTATCTCATCAATGCCAGCCGCGGAACCGTAGTTGACATTCCGGCTCTCATCAACGCGATGCGTGGTGGTAAGATCGCCGGAGCTGCATTGGATGTCTATCCGGGCGAGCCGCGCGCAAACGGTGATTATTTTGTCAATAGCCTTAACGGGTGGGAGGAAGATCTTCGCAGTCTGAACAACATCATTCTTACCCCGCACATCGGTGGCAGCACCGAAGAGGCTCAGAGGGCGATTGGTATCGAAGGTATGGAAATCCCTAATGCGATGCCTCGGAATTCGCCAATTAACGTAAACCCCATCTAGTCAGCGACGCTCTGGTTCGATACATTAACCTAGGCATTACTTTGGGCAGCGTCAATATGCCCGAAGTAAACATGCGTTCATTGACGCTGGATGAGCCTAACCACGCACGAGTAAGAAATTTTCAGCCGCTCGAAAACTCCGTAACCATCTCTAATTCGTCGCAGGTCATCTACATCCATAATAACGTGCCGGGTGTTCTTCGCAAGGGTTAGTAAAGTGATCTTACGCATAGTCACATTGGATACTTACACCTTAGCAGTCAACGAAATTCTCGGCAACCATAACGTCGATAAGCAGATCAGCGATAGTAGGGGCGACGTAAGTTTTCCGATATTCGACTGGTTGTTGATTGTTTCAAATTAACATTTATCTGCAGCTCGCCTATCTCATGGCCGATGTCAGCGACGTCCAGACCAGCGATCTTAAAGAAATTTCCGACTCGCTTGAGGTGCTCGGCTGTAAGTACCAGCTCACGTCCCCCCAATTTCCTAATCTCGAAATGTACGAGCTAACACATATTTCATAGCTCGCATTATGACACGCGTGCTTTACTAGGTTAAATCCGTAGATGAAGTAGTGAGTAGGCGACGGTGGATGAGGCAAATAGCAACCCTCTAGGAACTGGAACGAAGGGAAAGGCGTTCAACCAGATGGAAACAGACATCTTGCATGATGGGTATAAAAATTCAACTTTAATTCAACCAAAAAGGATACCCGGGAAAAATCGCATGAGCACCTAGGTAGGCATGGTTAGAAAAGGGGTGGCGCGAGGTTCAACATGAAAACTGCCCACTGTAGAATAGGTTAAGCATCGTTTTTGATAACATGAAATTGGCTCGGACTCCCCCTTTTTGTGTGTAGGAGTCGAGAATTTATTAGTATAATTATATCGTTATTACCGAGCATCATGGAATGCCGAATGCCTTTATTAGGTATGTATTAATATGTGTGTGTGTTAAGCGCGATTTTATTATGTAGTTATTTCGGCTCTGTTCCTGATGGGGAGCTATATCACGCTACGTGAGCAAGATGAATAATGGCATACAGGTACACCAAGCCTCAAAGCTCGTAATTCTTGGAGTCGTCATTGTATCTAGGCAATATTATTCAACTCATTCTCGCGTCGAAGTTCGCAAGCTTGTTACCTACTTATGTTGATCATGTAGATCTGCGTATAGGGAAAGGAGAGGTTGTGGATTAACGAGCTATGAAACAAACATCGGCCCTGTAGAATACAATGTAGGCCCTGACCGGTCTGTCTGATTTCCTGTGTTTTTCCTATGTGAGTTAGGCGTTGGAGATCCGGGGAAGGGGGTTGGTTGCTACTATGTAAAAGTCGGATTTCTATGCATCGGGTCCGGGCTGACTTCCCCTGTAAATACGCCCGGACGGTTTGTGATTCCAGGATGATCGAATGATCGATTAGATATCTGCTTCTGAAGATGATTCAGAAACATCGATTGTCACTCCGATTGTACTGTTTACTTGTACACTCTTCGTATTACTCCAGCTGCAGAACTGAAAGAAGAAAACGAGGGAGGAAAGTTTAACTGACGTGACACAGCGGCCACTTATGTACATGGCTTGACGTCGGCGGGAGAAACCTTGAGTCTTTTATGTACCTAGGTAGGTAAGTGCTGAGACCGTTACCTATTTTATTAAACGGTCAAGGATTAAAGTATAAAGTATATACGTACATATGACATGGAAGTTACTTGAGAAGGAGTAGTAAGGAGAAGGAGCAGGGAGGATGAGTCCCGTAGATCGAAACACCGGGTGCACCTACAACTTCCCGAGCGTTTTATTTCCAAGTTCTCACCTACCAACCTTCCAAGTACATATTTTGAGGTAACAGCTCTATATTATTGACTTTGGATAGGCGTAAAGATTGAGACTGGCACGTCTGCTTTGGAGAAATCCAAATGTCTAAGTAACATCAAATTGCATCATATTTCAGTGCCTACCTAGTACTTATGTGTATGTTGTAATCCCACATCCGGCATCACGAAGTACTGTGATGTATGCAGGTACATTGCTCGAATACACCCACGACAGAAGCTGATTTGATCAAATTAAGCTGCCACAACAGCACATCAACGAAAATGAGAAAATGGACCTGCAGATTGGCTGCTTTGTAACCGGTAGAGCGCACACACACTTCTGCAAGAAAAAGGAGCTAGATTCCTAGGTTAGGAGCTGGAGGTTGAGTAAGAAGAGGGTACATTTAATCGTGACGACGGAGAAAGGAGGAAAAAAAGTAGATTGTACATCATTTTAACATGCGGAGCACACCGCCTACTAAAGTACTGCATAGTACATAATAGCAAACACACAATTAAGTTGGTTTAGTTTTTGGTTTCGTACCCGAACAAGGCAAGCCCGTCCCATGAAGCAGAGGTCCATCAAAAAAAGTGAAAGAATTATAAATGGCTGGAGTATGTGGAGGTCTCTTTTTTAACGGAACCCCCCTGTTTCTTGACATTGTACTAATCTGTAATAGGAAACGCCCTCCCCTTTATTCCCTACCTCCCCTAAATCTCAATCATTGAAAGGCTGGATTACAGGCTCACCACTGATCCAAGTACAGCTGTAGTGGATGGTGGACATGTCATAATCGCTAAGATATTGCATTGTGCATTACAACGGTACACAATATCACAACGCGAACACTGAAACTGGCCATCACACTTTTTTTTTCTTTAGTTGTGGGCAAGCATATCAACATCTTCTCCGTTGAACGGCCTGCTTCATCTAGGTCAACTTAGCTCAACTTTGCTACTCTGGGTCCCGTTCCTCTTTATTTATAGGCTTATACCTATAGGTACCAGTCTAGTGGCTATAGGATTCGATTAGATAGTACTTACCTCACCGTTTGTCGTTTGTGTCCGCCCAATTCGAACCCTCGAAACCTCAAAACCACAAACCTCGGCCGACCGACACGAATGCCTTGTGCTATCGCTCTCCCCTAATAAATATACTGCCATCATAACGTCTCTTGCGACACGAACAACCCAACTATTTCTTTTTAAACTTGCACCGACCTGACATCAGCCTCTCATGTCGCATAGCTACGATGTCGGTACGAGAGTTTGGCAGCCAGATGTCACCGAGGGCTGGGTGGCATCTGAGGTTGTCAAGAAGACAGTAGATGGTGATAAGGTCACTTTGGTCTTCAAGTTAGAGAATGAAGAGGTATGTCAATATGCGAAACTATATCGAAGTTGTTTCTTCGTCGGCGTCTTGGAGCTATGGCTGACCGCTCATCTCCACCTCTAGACCAAAACGATAACGCTCTCTGCGGAGGCTTTGCAAAATTCTAACGACACCACGTTACCCCCGTTAATGAACCCTGCCATGTTAGAAGCCAGTGACGATTTAACGAATCTATCTCACTTGAACGAACCTGCAGGTACTCATAACCCTACCAACATTTACGAGTCTACACCCAGCTCCGATCACTGACCGATCTATTCATATAGTGCTTCAAGCAATCCGTCTTCGATATGCGCAGAAGGAAATCTACACATACAGTGGTATAGTGTTGATAGCCACAAATCCCTTTGCTCGAGTCGATTCTCTCTATGTCCCGGGCATGGTCCAAGTATATGCTGGCAGGCAGAGGGAGACGCAAGCCCCCCATCTGTTTGCCATCGCCGAGGAGGCGTTCATGTGAATACATTCTGATGCTCGCCATCCAAGTCCCTATATCGCTAACCTAAACATTTAGGAAAATGATAAAAGATGGGAGGAATCAAACTGTCGTCGTATCGGGAGAGTCTGGTGCGGGAAAGACAGTTAGTGCGAAGTACATCATGAGGTATTTTGCTACAAGAGAATCGCCAGATAATCCGGGGAGCCGATCTAAGAAAGGTGCCGATGCTATGAGCGAGACGGAAGAGCAAATTTTGGCGACCAATCCTATCATGGAAGCATTTGGTAACGCCAAAACCACCCGAAACGACAACTCTTCGCGATTTGGAAAGTACATAGAAATCATGTTCGACAGCAAGACAAACATTATTGGTGCTAGGATTCGGACGTACCTCCTCGAACGGTCACGACTTGTGTTCCAGCCCCTAAAAGAAAGGAATTACCACATTTTCTACCAATTTTTGGCCGGAGCGACAGATAAAGAGCGACAGGATCTAACCCTCTTGCCGGTAGAGCAGTTTGATTACCTTAACCAGGGAAACTCGCCTACTATCGATGGGGTAGACGATAAAGCCGAATTCTTAGCTACCAAGAGCTCCCTCAAGACTATCGGTGTCGACGAGACTCAGCAGTCGGGTATCTTCAATCTTCTAGCTGGTCTACTGCACCTGGGCAACGTTAAAATCGGTGCCTCCAGAACCGACAGCGTCCTAGCTCCCACGGAGACCTCTTTAGAGCGTGCTTGTGCTATCCTCGGAATCGATAATGTAAATTTCGCCAAGTGGATTGTCAAAAAACAACTGGTTACCCGTGGCGAGAAGATCGTTTCAAACTTGACACAGCAGCAGGCTCTCGTCGTACGAGACTCTGTTGCTAAATATATTTATTCAAGTCTTTTTGATTGGCTGGTGGAGGTCATCAATAGGAGTCTTGCAACTGACGAGGTTTTGAGCCGTGTCTCCTCCTTCATCGGTGTCCTTGATATTTACGGTTTCGAGCATTTTGCCAAGAACTCTTTCGAGCAGTTTTGCATCAACTACGCCAATGAAAAACTACAGCAGCAGTTTAACTCTCACGTGTTTAGGCTGGAACAGGAAGAGTACGTGAGGGAACAGATAGACTGGAAATTCATCGAGTTCTCTGATAACCAGCCATGCATCGATTTGATTGAAGGGCGACTAGGTATTCTTTCACTTCTCGATGAAGAGTCTAGGTTACCTATGGGTGCGGACGAGCAATTCGTCACCAAGCTACACCACAACTTTTCTGGGGATAAGAACAAGTTCTACAAGAAGCCTAGGTTTGGCAAATCCTCCTTCACCGTCTGTCATTATGCCGTCGATGTCACATACGAATCGGAGGGCTTCATCGAGAAGAACAGAGATACAGTGCCCGATGAGCACATGGAAATTCTCCGTGCGACGACGAACAAATTCCTTAGCCGAGTGCTCGCCGCAGCATCCGCCGTCCGTGAGAAGGACGTCGCCTCTTCCGGCTCCGCAGTCGCCAAGCCTACGGCAGGGAGGAAGATAGGAGTTGCTGTTAACCGCAAGCCAACTCTTGGCGGCATCTTCCGTTCTTCACTTATCGAGCTTATGTCTACGATCGGAAATACCAATGTTCACTATATTCGTTGCATTAAACCTAACGAGGCCAAGGTCGCGTGGAAATTTGAAGGTCCCATGGTTCTCAGCCAACTGAGAGCCTGTGGTGTCCTCGAAACTATCCGCATTAGCTGTGCTGGTTACCCAGGACGATGGACCTACGAAGAATTTGCTCTGCGATACTACCTATTGATTCCGTCGAGCCGATGGCAGACTGAGATCAGACAGTTGGTGAAGGAGATTCTCGGCCAGGCGCTCGGTTCGCTTACCGGCACTGGAACCGACAGCTACCAACTCGGGTTGACCAAGGTCTTCTTCCGTGCTGGTATGCTTGCCCATTTGGAGAACCTCCGCCAAAGCCGTATGAGTGAGGCTGCTATCTTGATCCAGAAGAATTTGAAGGCCAAGTACTACCGCCGTAAGTATCTTGAGGCACGAGAGGCTATTGTCTGCTTCCAATCACTCGCCAGAGCTCGCGGGATCAGAGTCAAGGCTCAGGAATTGCGTACCGTCAAAGCTGCAACAACTATTCAAAGAGTATGGAAGGGGTCAAAGCAACGAAAGGCGTTCCAGCGGATCCGAAGCAGCGTTATACTGGTACAGGCCGTCGCCAAGGGTTACCTGCGGAGAAAGGAGATTATGGAAACCCGGGTTGGAAATGCTGTCATTCTCATCCAGCGCGTGTGGCGATCAAGGCGACAGGTCCAGACATGGAGAAGTTACCGCAAGAAGGTTACCTTGGTCCAAAGTCTGTGGCGTGGAAGACAGGCAAGGAAGGAGTACAAGACAATGCGCGAGGAGGCTCGCGATCTGAAGCAAATTTCCTACAAATTGGAAAACAAGGTTGTCGAACTTACGCAGTCATTGGGTACTATGAAGTCCGCGAACAAGACCCTCCAGAGCCAGGTAGAGAACTACGAAAGTCAAATCAAGTCCTGGAAGAGCCGTCACAATGCGCTCGAGACCCGGACGAAGGAGCTTCAGGCGGAAGCCAACCAAGCTGGTATTGCCGTAGCCAAGTTACAGGCCATGGAAGAAGAGATGAAGAAGCTCCAGCACAACTTCGACGAGTCTACTTCAAGCGTCAAACGCATGCAAGAGGAAGAACGGGAACTGAAGGAGTCTCTGCGAACCGCCAACGCCGAGGTGGACCGTATCAAGCGGGAGAGTACTCTCCACGAAAACGAGAAGATGACCTTGCGGGAGCAACTCGCACAAATGTCCGAGGAGCTCGAGTTGGCCAAGCGATCTGCGCCAATCAACGGAGAGATCATCAACGGCAACGGCGTTGCTCCGGTCAATGGTTTGATCAACCTAGTATCCTCCAAGAAGCCGAAGCGACGAAGCGCGGGCGCAGAACCCAGCGGAATGATGGACCGCTTCAGTGCCGCGTACAACCCCCGTCCAGTATCCATGGCTGTTACCAGCGGAGCCCACCGTCCTGGCGCTGGCTACGTTCCGGGAGTCGACACTATCGAAATGGAATTGGAGAACTTGCTTGCTGACGAGGATGGCTTGAACGATGAAGTCACCCTGGGTCTAATTAAGAATCTGAAGATCCCCTCGCCAAACACCAACCCGCCACCATCAGACAAGGAGGTTCTCTTCCCCTCTTATCTCATCAACCTCGTTACCTCGGAGATGTGGAACAATGGCTTCGTTAAGGAGTCGGAGAGGTTCCTGGCCAACGTTATGCAGTCCATCCAGCAGGAGGTTATGCACTACGAAGGAGATGATGCAATCAACCCTGGTTCCTTCTGGCTATCTAACGTGCACGAGATGCTCTCGTTCGTGTTCCTTGCTGAGGATTGGTACGAGGCTCAAAAGACAGACAATTATGAGTACGATCGTCTGCTGGAGATTGTCAAGCACGATCTTGAGAGTTTGGAATTCAACATCTATCACACTTGGATGAAGATTCTCAAGAAGAAGCTACAGAAGATGATCATCCCGGCTATCATTGAGTCTCAGTCTCTTCCCGGCTTCGTCACGAATGAAAGTAACAGATTCCTCGGCAAGCTACTGGCGACGAACTCGCAGCCTGCTTATAGCATGGATAACCTTCTAAGTCTGCTTAACAACGTCTTTAGGGCGATGAAGGCTTACTACCTGGAGGACAGCATTATTACTCAAACCGTCACCGAACTTCTCAAGTTGGTTGGCGTCACTGCCTTCAACGACCTTCTCATGCGGAGGAATTTCCTATCGTGGAAGCGTGGTCTGCAGATCAACTACAATATTACTCGAATTGAAGAGTGGTGCAAGAGCCACGATATGCCCGAAGGCACCCTACAGCTTGAACATCTCATGGTATGTTAACCCAGTCCTCGACCGGTTGATACGGCAACTAATTTTCATTATAGCAAGCTACAAAGCTCCTACAGCTTAAGAAGGCGACTCTGAACGATATCGAGATCATCCAAGACATCTGCTGGATGTAAGTATAACGAAAACGCACTTCTTTTTATCGTTGCGTGTAACTAATTCTATTTGCAGGCTCTCCCCCAACCAAATTCAGAAATTACTGAACCAGTACCTCGTCGCCGATTACGAGCAGCCCATCAATGGAGAAATCATGAAGGCCGTAGCATCGAGGGTGACGGAGAAGAGCGATGTTCTTCTGTTGGCAGCTGTCGATATGGACGACAGTGGACCGTATGAGATCGCGGAACCCCGAGCAATCACCGCCTTGGAGACGTATACGCCGTCTTGTAAGTTGAATTTTCTATCTTGCGAAAGAAGCACCACTAACCTAACATTTCAGGGCTACAAACACCCCGACTAAAGAGGTTAGCCGAGATAGTATCTGCGCAGGCCATTGCTCAACAGGAGAAGATGGAGGCCGACGAGTACGACGGTGATGGTGAACTTGCGGAGGTTGACGAAGCCGAGGTCGATATCGCGTAGAGCCGCAATATCAGAAGAAGCTTCCGGCCATTCCAAATCGGAATTGGGCGCCTCCCCTTGACAATGCCGGGATCAAGAAAACTCGGGCGGGTAGGGGTATCATGCGGGCAGGTCGATGTAGATTTAAAGCATCCGACATCACCAAGTCCCATGGACAGTAAGTAGCACTAGGGCAGCTTGCTCGGATTGGGACTCGAGCCAAGACGGGCACACAGATTTAATGGATATCAAGGCACGATTGAACTAGAAGACTCACGCGGACCATGGACGGGGGCGTTTGATGTTTGCCTTTTTTTGTCGACGACTTTTTTTAGACCGGGTCCGCGTGTGAAATGAGGAGAGTGTACTAAAAAGAGGAAGAAGATACTGTAAAGCATCTAGCTAGGTGTATGGGTTTGTACATGCGACGAAGAGACCACGCACACATAACACACAACACAGTCTTGGGGAGGTTTGGCCATTGTCTATTCTCTCCACACAACATCTGAATTACGAGATGATTCCCAGCTCGATATTCCATATTCAGTTGACATTTACATCCATAACCTGCCTTTGCGTATGTCGACTCGTGGCTTGCTATTGATGTTAGATGATGAGTGAGTGCTGCTAAGGTTTGATGGTTTGGTGGAATGCGAAATGCTATAGGTGCACGTGACCTGCGACCCGTGCCAAAATTCTGCTAAGGTTTTCACTGTGAGAACCTTGGAATTGAAAGAGGTACGTAACTTGAAAAACTTCGGACATTCAACTGTAGCGAATTAGGAAGTTGCCATTTCTATTATCGCTCTGCCCTTGACAATCGATCTATGATTTTTTAAACATTTTTCAAATCCTGGGAAATTCGATTTGTTAATCGGTTTTTCTTCTCGGAGGTTCCTGGCTCTACTCGGGTCGGAAGGGAAAGGGCCTAAACAACCCGACAAGAAAAGAAAATTGTTTTTCGTTTCTTAAAAGAGAGGAAGGAGAAGAATAATTAAAAAAGAAGGAAATAATTGAGAAGAAAAGGTAGAGAAAATGCGTACAGACCCGAACATCATCATCACGGGCACGCCCGGAGTGGGCAAGACGACGCACGCCGAGATGCTGGCCGAGAGGACGGGACTGAGGCACGTGTCGGTCAACCAGGTCGTCAAGGACAAGGGGTGCCATGAGGGCTGGGATGACACTTTCATGAGCTGGATCGTGGACGAGGATAAGGTGAGTCTGAGAACTTGACTCGGCTCTCATGTCATGAGAACGGGGAGAAATGGATAGGAAAAAGTGAGGATGAAGGCTAATCAACGGAACTCTAGCTACTAGATGCGCTTGAGGAGGATAGTGTCAAGTCTGGCGGCTGCATTATAGACTGGCACGGCTGCGAGATCTTCCCCGAGAGCTGGATCGACTTGGTCGTCGTGCTGCGGGTGGATTCTAGTACTCTTTACGATCGGTTATCCGCGAGGTAAATTCCTTCCCTCTTCCCCTTTTCCCCTTATTTTATTTGATGCTCATTGTATATCAAGGAAATACCCCGAGGCGAAGTTACAAGAGAACCTAGACTCGGAGATCATGGAGGTGCTGTTACAGGAAGCGCGGGACTCGTACGAACCGCAGATCGTGGTCGAACTCACGAGTAACTCGACGGATGAGATGGAGAGTAATGTCGACCGCATCGATGAGTGGATTAAGCAGTGGAAACGGGATCATGTGGAGGGGGGTGCGCAGTAGAGTGAGATTAAGTTAGAAAAAAAAACATGAAGCCCTTTTCTTCTCTGAGGGTGAAACGGGGGAGGGAAAAGGGAAGGGAAAGGTGCATTGGGACGGACGACGCATTCTAGGTAGTAAATGCGATGAGATACCCATGATCTTTGACTGGTGCTGAATCTCTAAAGATGTTATATGTTATAGATCTTAGAGGAATAGGTAGCAGCATCTGTAAGATGTATGATACCTTACTTACAAACTATAAGTTACCTAACTAGTATGATATTGTTTTCTCTTTTAGACAACCAATATAAACCAGACTCTCTAGTTGCCCTAGGGCTGCTACTTGATAGGTACTAGACAACTAAAGATGTATTGATAATAGGGGATTTTTAGTACGCATATAGTGCTAAACCGGCGTCTGTTTGGGGCCTATCCTGTACCAATAAGAAGCGCTGAAGAGCTGCTTAGCTACTGCAGGTGCCCGCTGTAGCGTTATAAGGTTACATGTCGCCGGGTGCGTCACACCGGAGCCTTTCATATCAATTTTCACTATTAAACCAGTGAATAAAGTCTCGACTAAGTACCTACCTAAGCAAGCAAGCAAGCAATTCACTAACAAGCCGATCAACTCACGTGTTTACTCGAGGAATTCCCTTACTACTCGTGAGATAAGGATACAAAGGGACAAACCACAAAAATGTCCAAACCCGTCCTCAACTTCATAACAGGCAACGCCAACAAGCTGCGCGAGGTCCGCGCCATCCTCGAACCCGCCGGCATCGAGGTCCGCAACCAGGCCCTCGATCTGCCCGAGATCCAGGGAACCGTCGAGGAGGTCACGACGGAGAAGTGTCGCGCTGCTGCCGCTGCTATCGCTGGCCCTGTCCTCGTCGAGGACACGTGCTTGTGCTTTGATGCGCTGAATGGGCTGCCGGGGCCTTATATGTAGGTTTTCTTTCTCTCGCTTGATGGCTTGGTCGGTTGGGTTGTTTGTCGCTGTATGTATATATCTTATCTGGTTCCTTCGACGCGGTGTTGGGTAGGGAGGGGCGAGAATAGATGAGGGAACCGGGAAGGAAATGAAAAGGGAAAGGGGCGTATATGTATAGATGTATACCGTGCTGAAAAGGGCGTGAGTAAATTGGACGAGTGCTGACACGACCGGGCGGGAAACAGAAAGTGGTTCATGCAATCCATCGGCCACACAGGTCTGAACAACCTACTCGCGGCCTACGACGACAAATCTGCGCAAGCAGTTGCGACTTTTGGCTTTTCCAAGGGACCTGGTGAGGAGGTGCTGTTGTTCCAGGGACGCACACATGTAAGTCTGACTCTGCTTTCTTGTCTCTGGATCTATAAGGATATGAAGAGAGGGAAAAGAAACAAGTATATCTGACTGACTAAAATAAAAACAGGGCAAGATAGTACCCCCAAGAGGCCCGACTACATTCGGTATGTTGCACACACACATCCATCCATACTCTACCTCCGACAGTTGGCTAACTTATCAGGCTGGGACCCGTGTTTCGAGTACGAGGGCGAGACGTAAGTTCCCCTATCTGGACCCCCTTTCACCAACCGCAGATGGATAGATACTCGACGGGAAGTATATGAATGTACTGACAAGAATAGCTACGCCGAGATGGACAAGGTCGAGAAGAACAAGATCTCGCACCGCTTCAAGGCGCTCGAGAAACTCCGGGCATGGATCGAAGGTGGCGGCATGAAGGAATAAGCAAGTGAGACATGCTCATGCTGCAGAATGTGGCGGGGATCAGTATTTCAAGACTTGATTTATTCATAGATGGGCGGACGTGATTAAAGAAAATATATATCCGTTATTAGAACTCGGCGAATAAATCCATAGACATGATGTTTCTTAAGAGATTATCAAGGTTCTAAAATACTTATGTTCAAATGTATCTCATCAACTGTTTGACGTTTACTTTACACTGCTACCCCAGACTCCCTTCGCGATCATTCTCTTACTCTCCTCAAAACGCCAATGAGTCCCAAACAGGCAAATGAGCATCGAAGCCACAAACCCAAGCGCCGGATAGTAACCAGAAAAGAATACAGGAGGCCTTCGCCACATCATTTTAAACTAAATTATCATGCGTTAGTTTAAGACACCCAATTTTAGGAATGAGAGAGTAGAAGGGGAAAGTGACATACTGAAGAACCTCAAAATGCTGATATGCCGCCAGGTACTTAGGGCCACGGCGGTAAAATTTGAGCACATCGTCCATGTGAGCGCGGGGATGATCGACCTTGCGCCCGATGTACTTGGTGATGCTTGTGGGGTCCTGGTAAGACGGGTCGAAGACCAGGAGGTTTCGGGTGCCTTTAGCTGTTCGTTCTATTCCGATGATAGTCATAGAATGGCCTTTAGTTATGTTAGAGATCCCCATTCTATGATGAAATAATAATTACTCTGTGTTTGATTTGGCTTACCTTGGTGTTGAAAGTAAAGTGGCGGCCGAGTTGTGTTGCGGACGGTGCCTCGCGTCTTGACACCAGGGCATGACGAGAAATAATTCTCGACATAGTCGTATAGTCTATGTTCGGAAGCCGTTGGCGCATCACCCTCCTTATTCTTAAGGCCTGTATACCCCCACCTAGTATTACATTAGCTACTAATTCTTTGTAACGGGAGTAGGGTTTGTATTTTTCTCCAGGGGCATGGGCAAGACATAGATAATTAAATGGGATTTGCTTACTGTATACCTAGGCTCTGGAAGAGCGTTGATGCCTAGTTAATAGCACAACAGTTAGTTATAACAAAGTTTCAAAGTGGCCAAATCCTGATAACACTCCCTCCTAAGGATGATATAAAAAGCAACTGACCTCTGGCGTTCCTATATATTTGCGGGTGCGTCTAAGGTTCCCGAGTTCTATTCTACCATCCGGATGAATACCACGATCCCAAGCATCCTCGATGAAGTCTTGGATCTGGAAGATGGTTGGAATTTCGTATCCGAAAGCTGCGGCACCTTGTGCACCCGTCCCAATGATGTACGATACTAGCATCTGGATGTTTCTGTAACCACAGAACCCACCTGTAATGCGGTCAGTCTCTGTTTACATACTGTGCACTTATGTACTTGTGCAGTTATCTACAAGTGATACATACCCTCTCTCCTTAACTTGGTGATATGCTGAGTTGCTGGATTGCAGAGATACGCGTATTGTGTCTTTGAGCTCTGCTGTATGTATTGCGCAAGGACGGGTATAGTGTCTAAGAAGTCCGTGAGCTGAAAACTCCAACAGGATATTGGGTCTTAGCAAATTAAGCGACGACGAACCTTGCGAGCTTTTGTATTTGTGCCTGGTTATCAAGCTGAAAAGCCAATCCGGCATACTCTCCTCCTTGTGGTATGTTCCGAGTTCCTTTTTCTTAACATTGTGTCAATTTTCATGTTCATCTAATAAATGGGATTGAAAGATAGGTTGACGAAAAGAAGAAAACTTACACCAAGTCTCTTAACTTGCTTGACCTGAAATCCCTCAGCAATCTGAAGCGGCAGCTGGTTTCTTGGTCTATGAGGGAGTGTCAACAAGTGTTTCCTCCAGTTATACGGAGCACCGCCCGGACCGTTGAGGGCGGCCTCGGCAGGTCCCGGGGTTGAGCTTGGCGTATGCTCGGCCGACGTCTGGAGGTAATCGCTATCCGACGTCAATTCATCGGCACTTGGCTGGGTTGATTCCTCGGAATAATCCTCGGGGAAACCATGTTGGCCATACTCGTAACCATGCATGTCGACATGGTTCTGCAGGTGGTTGAGGGGCATCATTTCGCCGCAGTCTTCAACGGGGCACTCGCAATATTCCGTGAACTCGTCTTCGTCAACTTTCTCATCAACTTTCTTTTGCGTCCCCGATCCTGATCCTAATCCCGAAAATTCCTCAAGATCCGCCTCTTCTAAACCCTCATCAGGGATGAACGGTGATTTCTCTTCTTCGCAATGTTGTATCTCTATGTGCTGCGAGGAAGGATGTTAGGGATCTCAGAAAGGGTAAGGATGTCGTAAGAATAAAGAGACTAACTACTAGCAGAGCATATTCGAAGAATTGTTTTGAGCAAAATGGGCAAGTCGCTTTGGTTGACATGAAAACAAAGGCGGCGGAGACGATCCTTTGCTCCAGAACGTTTAATTTAAGACTAGGACAAATCCGAACGGCGTTTGACCATCAACTCCAGATGTATTTAATGTATTTAGGAGTAAGGAGGCTATGCGCGCTGAGCGCATGCGTGTCGTAGCGTAGCGTAGTGTCGTATGGCTACCTGGTAGTTCGTGCGTCAGATGGGATCTAGCCGCCAAGGGTGATGATTGGCTGTCCAGTTGCTTGTTTCAACTTGAATATGTGTTTCTAGAACCTGACTACGATCTTATTCATCATTGAACATCGAATCGGTAATTGATCATACATCGGTCAACGGTGGCTATCCATAATCAGCTTCGGATTCAGGTTAGGAATCAGGTATCGATACAGGTAAGAATGGGCGTACGTACAATTCATACACCCAATGCAAGGAAACCGGGTGCGGCTCATAAGAATTATCATCGGAAACGGCTCTGAGAGGCTTTTGGAATGTGAAGAGTAACAAATTGCATTGAGTAACCCAAACAAGAATTATTGCAACATAACTTTTCATTTCTCATATTCAAATTCATTAGTACCTAGTACATTAATTATTACTATAGAACAATTCATAAATCCTAAATAAAATAATTATAGAAGTGGAAAGTAAGACCAAGTTACATACATTACAAGACAAACTTAAGCAGTAACACATGACAAGGGTTCAAACTCTTTTGTGACCCGCGTAATACCGCCTCAGTATTTACTATTTACCTAGGTACATTGGGTAACATAATGTGACCCATAATCACACTTGCTCTCTCTTAAAGGTAAACGAGGTAACAAAATTATACCTCCCATGAGATCTAATCGTTCATGAGATACCCCTTCTCTTAATATCCGAGGTAATTCCTACGTTTCTAGGAGAAATGATAGCCACCGCTCTTCATCAAGTGGCATAGCATAACAGAAGCACACACATGAGTATCTTCCTGTAACTTGTTCACATCAATTCAAAAGGCATTCCTTGATATCCCGGTCTCCCGAACTCCGATCAGTTACACAACAGTGTTCTTCAGCTTCTCCCCAACCTCCGCCACGGCAGCTCCCGCGGCAGCCACCTTTTGCTTGGCTCCCTTATCCGCTTTAGCTTTGGCCTTTTGCGAAGTCGTGTCTTTAGGCAATTCCTTGGAGAAAGGAATGAATTCGGGAGCACCTGGGAGGTACTTGCGTAGCGGCTCGGGAACTCGGAGACCCTGAAGTGATTGATTAGTATCGATATTCCTCTAGCATTCAACCGTTGATATTTTACTTACGTCCTCAGTCTGGTAGTTCTCAAGAACACAGCACAGCGCTCTCTCAGTAGCGCATAGTGTCGAATTGAGGCAGTGGACGTATTTCTTCTTGATCTCCGTCTGCTGCTTGGCACCAAACCGGATCTCGAGTGCGCGAGACTGGTAGTCTGTGCAGTTGGAGCACGAGACTAGCTCCTTGTACTCTCCCTGGAAGGGGAACCAGGCCTCCAAGTCGAATTTCTTCGCAGCAGCATTGTTCAACGCGCCTGATACGATGGCCACAACTTGGTATGGTAGGCCGAGAGACTTGTAGAACTCCTCGGAGGTGGTGAACATCTCTTCGAACATCTCCCACGACTTTTCGGGATCCGTGAGCACGAACTGCTCCACCTTCTCGAATTGATGCACGCGGAAGATACCCCAGGCATCGCGACCGTGGGAACCGGCTTCCCTTCGATAGCATGTGCTGAATCCCGCGTACTTGATGGGTAGGTCCTTGGCTATAAGCCACTCGTCGGCGTGGAAGGCAGAGATGGGCTGTTCTGAGGTGGCGATAAGGTATTTGTCGTTTTGCGCCTCGCCATCAACGACCTTGTATAACTCCTCGTCAAACTGCTCTAGCTGGGCGGTCTTCGCCATGTAATCCTTGAGCATGAACTGGGGGGTCTGCAAAGGTGTGAATCCTTTGCTGGAGAGGTATTCCAAGCCATAGTTAATTAGGGCCTGGTTGAGGAATACACCCCATTGTCGTAGGAAGTAACCTCTGTGGCCAACAACCTTGACTCCACGGTCTGGGTCGTAGCCATCCAGCCGTAGGAGAACTTCGTGATGCGAAAGCACATCCCTCTTTTCTACCTTGACGCCTTCCGGGGCCCACGTTCGCTGAACCACGTTGTTATCCTCGTTATCGTTTACGGGTACGGAGTCGTGAACGATGTTGCCGATGGTGTTGATTTTGGCTTTCAGCGCAATATCTTTCTGGGCGGCCGAGTCGAGGAGAGCTTTCTTCTCCTTGTCGAGGTCGGCTCTCTGCTGAAGTAACTCATCGGCGTTCTCCTTAGCCTAGAATTCGTTGGGGTTAGTAATTACCTAACATACGAAGTGGCGCGTTCGTAGAAAATGTCGAATATCGGTGACTCAGAAGGAATCTGACCTTTTTCTTAGCACCGATCTGCTTGTTGACATCGTTGATCTTGCTGTTTATCTGAGTCGCGGCATATTGAGCTATAATCGTGGCGGTATATTAGTTAAGAGCACCTTTGGGAATATTCGAACAGGCGACTGACTTTTTCGATGGTCCTCGAACATGGCAATGACTTCGTCGACAACCTCGACCGGGGCATATCTGCGGCGCTGAGACTCGCGGATCTTCTCAGGGTTGCCACCCCGCTCGGCGATGAAATCTTGAACGTCGAGCATGATTGCGGCAGCGGATTAATCGTTCAGATGAGGAATATTACGAGCGATTTCTCAATATACCTAGGGAGCCGGGTAAAGGAAAAGGCGTCTGTTGTCTTGATAGTTGACTGTTCTTGTTACCAGGCCAAATTTTGGTGGGGTGGTTTTTTAAAGTGGAGGGGCAGAGTCGCGGGGCATAATACGGTACGTACCATTATTTACCCCTCTAGTCCTCGTATTGGAACTTCCACCTTCGGTTTTCGAGCTGCCAGGGTATCTACATTTAAACCCCTACCCCTAAGGTTTCGTCATTCTGAGCCCCTCCAAATGTAAACACCATCTAATGTTACCTATTGAATGTTATATTCTGAATCAATTCATATCCAATGTTACTCAATCACCAATATCAAATCGCTATAAATCAAGCCAAGTCCAATGTCTATCCCATAAACAGATCCGATTGACTCCGTGACCAAACTCGAGCTTCTTAATTACCTAGTATATACAGCAAACAACCCACGACGAACACACAAGTAAAGCTCGTGTAGTCGACAATTCAACATCGACGAAGATAACAAATCCCAGCTGCCTCGACGTACCTACTCTCATAACCCTTAACGTAGTACTTAGTTAGTTTTACCTTCGACTTCTACCAATCCAGCAGTAGCCATACCGCCCTACCGACGGGCCCCCTCTTCTAATTTACTCCAACGTATCGTATCGTATCGTATTGCAATTCCTACATAGTCCTATGCCTATGAACGTGTCCCGGACAATTGGATGCCAATTGAGCTATTTACCGTACCTTGGACCAGTGCCATTACCCCGGTACCGCCCCCATCCCCTCTCGTCTCGTCCCGTACATGATATCCCGTCCTTTACATGATGACGCACTTGCCAGAGTCCGTCGCCTCGTTAGGGTTTTGGGATTTTTCGACCTGTGCGATCAGGAGCTCAAAGGCCTTGCCGACGTTCTCGTTATAGCGAGCACTAGCTTCGGTCCATGCGCAGTTGAACTCCTCGGATAGCTTGCGGCCGTCGTCCTGGCTGACCTGGCGTTGCTCCGGTCGGAGATCGCTCTTGTTGCCCACGATGACGATCGGCACCCAATCCGTACCCTATCAATCGTCGCAAAGGACGAATCAGGTTAGCCAGGTGCTAGGTACGTATGTAGGTAGGTAGGTGATTTAGGCCAGACTAGGTTGGTGGCGGTGATAGTGGCGTTTTTGGGGGAACAGGGGGTAGAGTTAGAGTGTTAGGAAGGGGGGAAAGGGATTGGGGGAGGGGTGTGACAAACCAGGTGGTTCAGAATCTTCTCGCGGATCACGCGCACCATCTCGAACGAGGGGAGCGAGGAGACCGAGTACACTAGCATGTAGCCATGGATGCCGATGAAGTGCTTCGAGTTCAGGATGCTGTACTCGTCCTATATCCACCAACGCAAGTCTCCCGTCAGCACACGATCGAAGTCTCCGATAAGCACCTTAAACATCCATAAGGCAGGTGTCAGATATTAGAAACAATTTACCTGTCCGGCCGTGTCGACAATCTCGGTAGCATAGTCTTGCCCCTTGAAACGAATGACCTTACTAAACGTGTTCTCTATGGTCGGATAGTAGCTCTCGACGAAGTGGCCATCGACGAACTGAACCGCTAGGGAGGATTTGCCTGCGATAGAAAACGTTCCAAGGATTAGCGTGTGATCCCCGAAAAGCCCGTAAGATATATATGAGATATGTTATATGTCATATCGCACGTATGCACGATCCATGGAAGCTCGCATGGAAGCTCGCATGGAATGTTCGCAAGGTACGGGAAGCGGATAGGGTAAGCATTGGCGTGCGAGGGGAACATCAATCAATATGAACATGACCGTGAACATGAACGCGAACGCGAACGTGACATTATACAACAATAGATATTAGCATTAAAGAGATTATACATACCTACGGATCGGCTGCCGACAATGGCCACCTTCCTCTGCTTGGATGGCGACGGCATGGACGCGGGGGCGCAGTTGACTAAGAAAGCGTGATATCGTAGTGCTGGGAAGTAATATTATACAAAGTAACTGTTCTTGGTGTCAGGTACACACTTTCAAATAAGCACGATAGAGTAATGCTGCTGCATAAACACGTATGTACTATAAGCAGCGGTCGGGTTCGGGAGTGGGCGTGGGCGTGGGCGTGGGGGAGGGGATTGAAAAATGTATAATAAAGGCGTCGGGTTGTATATGTCTCTGCGCGCGGTATGTGCGCAGAGGCATGTACGGTATTATTGTGTCGTGTTGTGTTGTATGTTGTAACTGGAAGGTATTGATAATTGGTGATTGTGTAAAAGGGACGGTGACGTTGATGTTGATGTTGATAGTGACAATTTAGAATAGGTAGCTCTTAATGGAAGCATGAAACATCGAAACAGTAGAACATTAAACGACGGGCGCGGGATGGTGCACACCTTTATTTTTTTAATTCCTCTTTTCCCTTCTTCTCTTCTCCTTTCTCTTAAACCTCTTGAATCAGGCAACACATTGGTGTGTGTTTATGACTTTATGACGTGCAGCAGATGTTACCCAAGATACGATACCACGCATTCGAATCAGAATCAAAGATTGAGAAGCATTTGGCCTATTATGTATGAGGTCAGAAGCGAACGAAATAGGAGGGGTCTCTTTTATTCCTTCAAATCTCCCTTCTCTCTCCTGTTTTTTGTACACGAGCTGAACATTGGGTAGGTATAGGTAACAAGCAATCCAGAAAAACAAGATGACCTTTCAATTTTTCACACCTTGGGTCTTCTTTTTTCCCCTAGCCTTCCTAGTCATCCTAGTCTTCCTAACTTTCCCAGACAAGAAAAGCCATGTGCACATGCTTGGAATTGGAATTGGAATTACCACCAGGCCGGCAGCGGGCAGCGGGCAGCGGGGTACGGATATATAGCAACCCTCATTCGATCAATAGAGATTAGCAGATGCATATGTACCTAGTACCTACCTACCTAGTATTGAATCAATCGAGTATTAATTGGTAATTGTTCAATTAACACATGCGCGTCCTTCTTTCCTAATAGCATCCATCGAACGCTTTAACGCTTAACCAAGGTTAAGCTAGACAGGCTAGGTTCCTGGGTATCCATGCGAGCACGGCTAGCTAAGGCATCTAGTAGCATCGGGTTCCTATTAATAACCTTTCCTTTGACATAACCATAACTCATAAACCATACCAATAAGGGGTGAGCCAATAGGGCGAGAGTCCGCTAGCTTTTGCTAAACCACTCATCCACCACCATCGACTGTGTGGGTGACCGCGGGGCAGGACCCAGACTCCGGCAAAATACATACCTCCTACCCTCACCAGCCCCCAGGTACTTATCCATGTGCGCCGCTTACTGTGTATGTGAAGCGCATGTAAAGGGTATGTAGGTGTTGCACCTTAGCTGCTGAATACCCTGCCCGAGAGCGACATAGGGTCATATAGGGTTACATAGGGTAACAAGGTAGCATAGGGTGGCATAGGGTGGCATAAGTGAGGTTGCATTCCTGCGGCTCAAGCTGAGGATCCGTATAGAGATCGCAAACGTTGCAGTATCAAATTTCAGAGTCCTACTTCTCTTCAATTCAACGCAATTCTATGTCCTGGGTATAGTCCTATGCCTGCGTTGCTTGCTTGCTTCCGTACCTATCCGCCATTGCCAATCCCATCCCGCATACGTAATCGTTTTCTGTTTTTAATGATATTCTGACATCGTCTAAGGAACACTCCCTCAAGGCAATGCCAATAAAATTCATCACAGACGTCTCAGCTCCCTTTTCCTTCTTCAGAGCACCTGATGAGAAAAACACATCAACCCCTTTCGTATCCCGTTGCCAAGCCTACATTGCTTCGACGGTAAATTTTGCATGTAGATGATCCTACAGAAAATTGTGCCGCGTCACGAGACACGCTCGGTCTATGTAAGCAGCCCCCGAATCAATCATATGCAGCCTGATCTTCCAGTTGATGTACCAGATCTTGAAGCCGCTCCGTATAGCTACTGTGACCCCGTGAGCCATCTTCACTTTCCTCTACACTCTGTTCCACTTTCCTATGGTGGGTAAGGAACTCGCGCAGTGAGTCAAGCAGCGGCTTAATGCTCTTGGCTGAATGACTTGATCGTATTTTCTGTCGTACCGGCCCGTGTAAAGCTAGGTAGCCTAGTAATACCGTCAAGTATCCGAAGGCTACATTCAGGTGACTAGTCTCCATCGAATCGGCCTAACAGTTTGTTAGTAGGAAACACTTGGTAGTGAGTATAGCTTTTGCCTAGGTAACTTACTTCTGCCGTCCTCCGATAATTTTCTAGAAACAGTCGGATAAGCTCGTCAATTGGCCGCTGGCCGTCGTGGTGACAATCATTTATAACTTCTCGTACGAGCGAGCTGTGTTCCGAAAAGTTAATCAAAATCCCTAGCCGTAGGACCAAGCTGTCGAGGAGCCCATCGACCCATGTATCTTGAGACAACGAGTCCCAAATCTTAGTAAAATTGCTAGAGATAGATCCTGCTAAGGCTGGTATAAGTCCTTTCGAGACAAATATCTCTGGCGCCTCCAAGCTATTATTTGTCAAGTTTATAGTAAGCTTTAGGACGGCATCCTCAAGAAGCTTGCCCTCACTATTCTGGGCCGTAACATCCGGCACTATATTCTGCGAAGAAGCCCCGAAGACATCAGCTACAATTGGGAGATATGGAACAACCCAACTAACGCCTATGCGCTGCGTTTCCGCAATGCTAACGGCATAGAATTCAAGGATCGATAAAGCATGTGCTAGATCGATCGCTTCCGTTGCTTCCGGATAATTCCAGTGCTCTGCATTTTCAGCCGCCTCAGAGAGCACTGAGAAGAGGGCCCCTGTTACAGCCGGAGAGAATATGGCAGGATCTCTAGCTGCGTTGACATCGTGGGCGACGAGCAGGTGCAGGCATTTGAGAACAAGACTTCTCGGCGAGATATATGACGGGCTAGCCTTATCCCAGATTGATAGCTCGCGTAGCGAAGTTTGAATAGCGATGAGAGATGCCTGGCTTCTCTTAGATAAATTGCTCTTTCTGTCGCGCGCTATTACCTTTATATCTTTAGATATTCCGAGCAAGTGAGAAAACATGCCCGCAGGGTTCCCGAGCCGGACGAGCTGTTGTATATGTGACGAAGGCCACTTTGCCAGTATTGTCACGAGGATAGATAATATGAGGTATCCGGATATAATATCGGACTCTTTGCCCGTATCCTTCAACAATGCCGCCTCAACGCCGTGATCGCGGCATTGCCACATGAACGCCTTGTCCTTTATTTTCTCTGCTACTTGTATCAACGCAGCTCTTCGAGAAGATGAAGGTTTGTTGCACGGGGAGCCAATTTGGTCAGCCAAGTCTTGCATCGTATCGGCTACACGAGAATTCGCCCCGGCTTGTCTCAATTCATGAATATCTCGGAGTTTTGAGTTGGGCGAACCATTGATTCCAAGATCATCATCGTCAAGGGCTCCCTTAGCAGCAACCACTTTCTTTGGTGTACCGAGTTCCAAACGTCTTCCCTTTAATGATGTTGACGACTCTTCGGGTAGGATGAGAGATTCCAGCAAGTCCCCTTCCTCTTCTAACACTTTTCTGCCTTGGCCGTATGTAAACTTGAGCGCACTGCTAGAACGTGCGAAAGTCCTGATGCTGGTCGCTTGAGATGTCGTAGTATTACGACTTGGGGTTTGGGGCAACGGCTGTGACTCCAGCATTGAAACATCGCTGACTTGGTGGCTTAAAGTTGGTTGACTGGAATCTACTTGACTACTAAGCACCTCGTCGACTGATTCCATTACCTCTTCGTCCTCATCATCTTTGGTCTGCTCAATTAGTGTATCGATCAGCCGGCGTCGACGCTTTTTCGAAACGCTTTCAGGAGCTAGCTGAGGCGTAGGTCGAACCTCCTTGTTCACTATCTTTGAAGATACACTTGAGCTTGCACGTGGGACTGCTGGCTTCGTGATATCTTCACGCGCAAAGCGTAGCGGGATTTGATGCTGTGTATTGCCTTGTTTCGCTTTCCCTGCTGCTTTTGTACCTGAGACTGATGATGTTAACCCTTTGCTAGCTATGGCCTTGGGTTGTCTCGAAGGCTTTGGTAGTGTCGGGGTCGGGGGTGGACTCGATAGGCTGGGTTCAGCATTATCGATATCCATTAATTCAGGCGAAACTGGCCGGGCGCGTTGTCGTGAGGTGGATGCGATTGGTTTACTGGTACGGAGGCTGGTGGAGGTAGATGGGCGCGATCGAGGAGGTATGCGATTTTGAGAAACACTCTTCTGACCGGTCTGAGCAGGCTCTTGTACTCGCCCCTTAGACGACGTATATACTTGAGATATTTTGCGCTTCCGGTCTTGGCTTTGCAGATCCTCGTTTGAGTTAATTGTGTTCGTCTTGTTACGATGAATGTTATCAAGACTCGAGGAGGGCGAAGAAGGATCGCGTTGAGGGGAAGTGAGAAGAGAAGGTCGCCGATGTGTTACGGTAGCCTTGTGCTTCGTAACCGGAGAGCCATCATCATCTTCCAGGATAGGTGGAAAAGCGGCTGGCGTGAATACTGTCTTTGGCTGTCTTTTACGAGCAGCTTTTCCATATGTCATCAATCCTTTCTTGCGCGGTGCGCTAAATTCCTGTTTCGTGGCCATTATAACTCTTAATTACTTGTGGTCAACGGTTGGAATATTGCCAACATAGAAGGGATTAATTGATCATAGCGATAAGGATGATGTGGGATGTCAAACGTGATGAGATGTGAAAACGTGTGATAAAGTTCAGGTAAACAGATTGGAGACGCGCTTGTCGTAGCCTTGCAGCGGGCTGATTTAGATAGAAGTAACGGCTTCCAAGGACCAAGGACTAAGGTGAGTTTTTAGTTGAAGGTGGCACGATGGATTTGCTCTTTGTTCCAAATGAGGGATGACCAAATTGTCTTGTCAAAAGGAAAAAAAGGACAGAAAATGAAGTGCACTCCAAAAAGGTTGTTGTAGAGATGGTGATGCCGTGATTCACGCTGAAGCTCGGGACATCTTTCCAATGCAGATGCATTGAATATTGCCGTGTCGGTCTTGCTTTTCCATTGTTACCTGCTAATGACGGAAGCATCCACCCACCAAATTCAGCTACTCCTGCCGGTCAGCACGCTCTTTGTAGCGAATCACTGCCCCCCAGCTGAAGCCTGGAATACCAAAGTACTTCTTTAAGAAGGTACCTAGTACACGCGGGGCTCCTATTTCGCCAAGACTTTTAGGAATTGCCTATTAGGGCTTATCGTATCAACCTTCGTTTTTTACAAGTCAGCTCCACGAGACTCACTTTAGGGGGGGTTTATGGTTTAGATTATCGTTATATTAGAACAACCTACAAACTAGTCTATCTAATACCGACTATTGGAAAGTGAGGTTCATTCCTTTCCATTACCTTGGAATCTGACCCTCTCGAGTCTCCTATCACATTAGACTGAAACACATAAGCTAGTCTTTTCACTTGTGGGGTCTTTAGCATTTATATCTCTACTTCCTATTCGATATCGGCGACGAAATACATCCGCGTAGACACATCACAGACAGTGAAGAAACTTTCTGGTCCCCTTAAATAATTATATTGTATATCCTCGATACTATTTATTAAGTGGAAATACTTAGTAAAGCATCGCTGTAACTCTGTACAATCTCTACGGTATACAATCTCAGCAGGGCCCAGGACGTCACGTATTGCAATACTTTTCACCGCCTACAGAGTATAGGATGGCTACCGAATCTGGAAACCGGCCTCAGACCGGCCCCGTACAATGTGTAGGACCTGACTACCGTTCGCCTAGTCAAAAGCCCATCGCCACCGTCTCAACAGAGGTCGAACATGACAACGTTATCACGTTACCCCAGACACCACAGCTCATCGCACTACTCACGTGAGTGACTTCCTTGTTAGGCGAGAGTCGAGCGATGCTATAGTTGTGCTCGAATCACTCATAGACAATCTCTGGAATAGGAAGATCCGTGACAGGAAAACGGAACGAGCAGACTTCATCTTCTACTCGAACCGAATCATTCGTCTCCTTGTCGAGGAAGGGTTGAACCACCTACCCGTCGTTGAGCACACCGTGACTACTCCTGTAGGTCGCACTTACGATGGACTTATGTTCCAAGGGAAGATATGCGGTGTTTCCATCATGCGGGCTGGCGAAGCTATGGAACAGGGCCTCCGAGACTGCTGTAGGTCAGTGAGAATCGGCAAAATCTTGATCCAGCGAGACGAGGAGACCGCAAAGCCGAAGTTGTTTTACGACAAGCTGCCCGAGGATATCGCCGATAGATGGGTCCTTTTGCTTGATCCAATGTTTGCAACAGGTCAGATAGCCAGCCACCTGTGTCCGTGCCATATTTTCACATATCAGATAACTAACTCTAGTTGGCTGCTATAGGCGGGTCCGCTATTATGGCTGTCGATGTCCTAAAATCCCGTGGTGTTCCAGAAGAGAGAATCCTCTTTTTGAACTTGATTGCTAGTCCAGAGGGAGTGCAGAACTTTGCAACGAAGTTCCCCAAACTTCGAGTTGTCACGGCTTTTATTGACCAGGTAAGGAGCACTTCAAGTTACCTAGGTATTTGTAAGCAGTTGCTAATTCAAACAATCTATAGGGTCTCGACGAAAAGAAGTATGCCAACTAACCATACCTAGTATATCATATTGAACCCCTGCTAACTTTGATCTAGCTATATTATTCCGGGCCTAGGCGATTTCGGTGATCGATTTTACACCATGTAGGGTAATAGTCATAATTACGAAGCATAGGTAAACTTAGGAAATAATCCATTGAATTCAGAATTGACCACTATCTGAAACCATGTTGGTTCTATTCATTGTGCAAATAGCAAAGCAACCCAGCTATTCTGGTAGATAGCATGACTTACGAAGAACCGTAATTAGGTAGTCAGTCTGACTGGGTTTATGGGGGACTGAAAACCAGGACACTAATGATCGTGCGCCGTGATTTGTGAGCATCATGAATGCTTAGGCTTTTTCTTGCTCGAAGTGGTTTGGTGAGAGGGGGTTTTGTTCTTGGAAGAACCAGGCTTCGCTCAGTCCTCTTCCTCGTCAGGAACAATTCCTTCACCCTCGTAACCTTCTTCAGCGTCATCCTCATAGCGACCAGCGGCTGGTTGTTTAGGCACAGGGCGATACGGAGGAATTGTAGCAGAACTACCTCCGGTATTATTATCCTTTGCTACAGCGTCTATATTGTAAATTGGTGTCTGTTAGTGAATTTGTGTGTGATTTAGTACGGGGTATATTAATTGAAGTCGACATACCTGCGGCGTCGATCCATTCGCTGTAAACATCGACTGCAGCTGAAAGATCTAATACACATTAGAACCAAGTATGGCAACGTTGGTATTTTTTTCACCCACAGTTGACACCACATTGAAATCTTTGTCCACAAACCGTGCATTCAAGATCGCCAATTCCGAGCTTCTTGTCGATCTTGACGTTAACTGACTTCTCGTGGTTACAGAAAAGACAAGTGAAGACGGTCGGGAGCGGATCGTTCTGCGATGCATGTAAATTTCTGGTTCTTAAAAATATGCTATCTATATCTCTGGGATCGAAGGCGAGTTACCTTCTTTTTGCCCTGAGGCTTTCGCGAACTCTTCTTGCGCTTTCCCTGTAGTGGCCGAGTATTAGCGTCCATAGCATATGGCTGGTCTATAGAAAATAGAAAAGGCTGTAGTACATACCATCGCGAACCAAGTGCAAGACTCAAATTAAAGAATTGCAAATTATTCTTTGTTGTGGTCTACGGCGACGATGTGGCCGCGATGCAAGATAATCGCGGCGTTGGATGGGAAATGTTGAGTTGAGGAAAAGGTTGATTGATTGACCGGTCGCAATCGCGGTCAAAGTATTCGTACTTTTCAGAGGAAATGACGTCGGCTGTCGCGTAGGGGAAATCGGCGCGCGTGGCTGCTAGGCAGGTTAAGTTAGGTTAAGTCCCTGTCCCCCGGCGGCTTCCCAGTTATAAGTAGAAGGCCTCGTTTGCGCAAGGCTGTTGCCAGACTTATGACAAAATCAAGAACATAGAAGTTTGTCGCAAAAGCACACCAGCTCAACACATATTTATTAAGTACTTTATGTACTTAACACTTCAAATCATAGGTACTGTCTTCATACGTACAGCCCGCCTTGGAGGTAGCCTTGCTGTCGAAGCCACAGGTTCCATGGTTTCAAGGACCTAGTGATAAGGCTATCTTATCGCTTATCAATTGCACTGGTTGGTGGGGCAATTGAGGGCAAGGCGGGTGGGGCTACCTCACCAAATCTATACCTGGTATATTCATAAGCTGTATACACGTTAACTGCATTGCCGATATCGATCCTTCTTGGCTTTCAAGTTCCACATGATCATTGTTGAAAGAATCCACATACTGTTACCCACACTGATAGTTAGGTACTTTTACATACATTTCTAATACAAATTAAATATCCCAATAAGTGTATGAATAAAAATGTCCGTCTATTGGCACATTTGTAGGTATATGAGATCTATGTTCTACGTATATATTTTATACTATTAATGTCTTATGCCTCTTTGCAACATCCCTATGCACACCCTAAATTACCTACTAGGTACCTAGATAAGGCAAAGCTAGGCGTGGAAGGAACGGAGGTTTACAGTAGATGCAGGTACAAACTAGTGCCTAGTCCGGGTGGGTTTTATCGCTGTTAGGCAGTCAGGTGCCCAGGTGCCTACTTCTCTTTGGGCACCTTATCTTGGGTTGATACGCGGATACGTTGATACGTCAATACATTACCTAGTAGGTATGTAGGACGAAGTATCTCTGGATCCGTACATGTCTGTCTGGTGTCATTCCAATTCGTCCGGCAGTAGCTGAGTAGGAGGCCCGAGTATTCGGTACATTCATTGAAAGAGTTAGGCCTTCCCGAGGGACCCTCATACCAGAAAGCCACCTGCACATACCGACCACCGATCTACCTTTAACTCTATCATTTTCATAGTTGACCGCTTTAACTAAACTAAACTACCTTACTCACTCTCACCTTACTCAGTCATCATTTTGACTCTTTTTAAAGGAGAGTATTGAGTCAAACATACAAATAAATTGTTTCGGATTTACAGCCATTGATCTAGTTACCTTATTCTCATAAAGTTCCATCTCTTGCTTTACATTTTGAAGTTGATATTCGTCCAACTGTGACAATGGCAAGCTCGGGTTCAGGTAAAGATGGTGAAGTGGGCATGGCCGATGTTCTTGAAGCTTTAAAGACCATTCAGGAAAACCAGAGTAGATTAGCAACAGAGGTTGAATCTGTGTCTTATCGACTTGATGCTCTTGCACCACCTCTCCGAGCTCCGAGTCCTGATATCAGCAGGGCATCGCCTTCTCCCCTCGTTGGAATCCCAACTTCGCCCGTTCAGGCGACTATAGCTTCAAGCGAATCCGACGCCACCAAGGCACCATCTGCGTCAAAAGAGGCAGAGAAATCGGGGTTCACATCTCGTATTATTCTTACGTAGGCTATAACCCTCGGGGAAAGTATCGTGGTCTAGTATTAACCCCGTGTTAGTACCTATCCCAAACAGATCGGTATCAGCCCAATCCCCCTTCAATGGGGTGCCCCGGACGCAGTTGAGCGTGGCCCAGTGGTTGTCTCCCGATCATCGTCCACGATCCGGAAACGCAATGGTACGTTTGTCGGTTCCTGTTTGTTTTGCCCAGTCACTAACAACACTTTTAGCTATCGGAGGTAAGCTGTGTCCTACTATTAGGCAATAGGGGTTTAAAATAACCGGATAACTGAATAACATAGCACACGGTGGCTCCTATTCCATCTATTACGCTCTTGCTCTCGCCAGCAAACAGCTCAATGCCAACCACAGGTATGACGATGTTTAGTATTACCTACCTTAAACATATTGTCTAATTGTATCTTGGTTAATAGACCTGATTTCACCAACACGGAGCCGGCTGCCCCTATTGGCCCATTTCCTCAATGGGGTGACAAGAAAAAGATTGTCGCCATGGACCCCTGGGGCCACTTAGCCCCGTGGCTTTTCTCCGATACCATTGAGAAAGAAAACGGTAATTAATCGTCAACGTGGTTGACTTTCTCTTGTGCAGAGTATGCTGATGAATCATTGTAGTCGACATTCGTCCAACTATCGCGATTACCAAGGCTCATATGAAGGTAGAACCATAAAAAACCCCCAACTTTCGAGCCACGTTAATTTGAATTAGCTCCCCGAGCTTGAAGAGAGTGTCCGAAAAGGTCGACTGTATGTATCTCGCTCGCCACGTTTAGTCGCATCTACTCACAAATTGGCCTAATTCTAGTGTTCCCGATGGAAAAGTATGTCTGAATGCGAGTGGAGAGCTTGCCGTGACAAAGTTTGCAGTTGAGCCAGTAGGAACCCCCTCACCCTGAAGCCTTAAATTTATGGTGATGTTAATGATAGTAGGTTTGGTATCTTCCTGGTGTAGCCGAAAGGTTTGGAATAGGTATGCACCCAAGGGGGTAACGCGGGCAGATTGATGACTGATCTGAACAGATGAGGGTGTTCTAAGGCGTTCCCTGTTCGAACACACCGGTGGTAGTTATCCAGAAGTAAGCGTTCACTGCTCTGGACAGAATTGGTATAGACCTAACCACTCACATGTATAGCTTATCACACGAGGTGATATCAAGGTCTTCTTGCCCCCAATTGGTAAGTAAGCTCCTAATCCGAAGGAATGTCAAACCATTAAAGCTGACATTTGTAGGCGGATTGACTGTCTATTGCTTCGGAGACCCGGCGAAGATGTCTGACGAAAAATGTAGATTGGCCTTGCGTGTCCATGATGAGGTAATTTCTGCATCCCGACTATTGGTCGGAGGACGTCCGGCTTACATATAATGCAGTGCAACGGTAGTGATGTGTTTGGTTCCGATATCTGTACTTGCAGACCCTATCTTATCTTCGGCATCGAAGAGGCTGTCAAAGAAGCTCAGAATGGCGGCAGCGGCGTTGTCATATACTTCAGAAAAGAAGGACGAGCATTGGGCGAAGTCACCAAGGTAACTCACCTCCCCCCGTTTTTGATTGCTGAGGTGCTAACATATATCAGTATCGTAAGTTTTCATGCCTTCTGGCCCAATACTAAAGCCTTAACCATATCCGGTAGTTGTATACAATGCGAGAAAACGAGGAGAAGACCGCGCCTCGGATTACTTCAAGAGGACCGAAAACGTCGCTGGCGTTAAAGATATGCGCTTCCAGGCCCTGATGCCCGATATCCTCCATTGGCTCGGTATAAAGAAGATCGATAAGATGCTAAGTATGAGCAAGTAAGTAACTCGGGTACGAATAGTGGAGAGGACGTATCAGGTGCTAAGGTACTACAATGCAGCATGAAGCACGATGCCATCGTTGGCCAGGGGTAAGCTGATTCCCGTACAGCACACCAAAGCAGATGTCTAACCAGTAATAGTATCCCTATCCATGAGCGGGTAGAACTCCCCGAGGAGTTAATCCCCGCAGATTCGCGGGTCGAAATAGACGCCAAGATCACTGCCGGTGGGTTTTATAGCTTACCTACTTGCACCAAGTAGTCATCAAAATTGACGATGGGTGGCTGATAACTTGCAGGATACTTTACGGCCGGTCACAGAATGACTGAAGACGAACTGAAAGCCGTGCAGGGCCGAATGTGGGATGAGTGAGTACCATCCAACCAAACGCTGTTTCTTCGTATTAATAACAATGACAGCATTGATCACTGATGAATCACTGGTGAGCTTTCCGATTGAACTGGCTTTGCCGATGAGCCCGATGTAGGAGTTGAATTGAGAATGGGATACGTACCGGTCGAAAACTTGATCTCATTCTTGGGAACCCCCGCTTCTACTATTGCCACGCGTGAGACTAATGTACTTATGCATTCCATAAAACGCGTCTCGATTGTGCTATATGCTGAATGTTGTGCCTTGTGACTGCGGTGATATCTGCGATTTCTTACAGTGTGCGACGGTGATCCTATTGTAGCATGTCCAAGCGGCAACGATCCGGCAAACCACCTACGTCGTAGCACGTCAATTCAACAGGTAGATTTATCCATATGATGGAATCTTGCAGCTTCAATCCAGAGTTCGTCCACATCAGCCTTAGAAGGCAAAGGCAGGATGAGATGCATCGGCATGGAGGAGTACATAGTATGCGTAGCGGGCGGTGCCTCAGTGGGTTGATTAGATGCACGGAATATACAAGGGGGCACCATCACGGAACCCGCGTTGAGCTCCAGGCCGCTGACACCCCCTTCAGCGACTTCCAGAGCTGGCAGGTCGCTGTCTCTGGCCACTTGAAACGTACCCCCTAGTATCCCCTAGTATTCCCTAGCATCCCCTCTGTCCAAGTAAGGAAAAAATGGGGGTGGCTACCACGTAGTACATCAAGAGGGCAAAGTGTGTGCTGGGATATTGTATGCAAGGATGGGTTGCAGATGTTAAGAGATACTAAACCTTTACGAGTTCGTGAGTGGTTCAGTTGTCAGCAAGTACTCCACCCTCCACGTCTCTAACTGGTGCATAACGACCCAACAGCGCTGCAGGCGTCTACGCCCAAATCAGCCAGACCAACGGAGACCATAGAGCTGCCACCACATGCGAAATGTCCCCATTCGTGAGTGACATGTGGCATGCCCGCACCGAGTGTCTGGGGAGTCGTTCCACAACAGCCGGTAGAGCTTGGTTCTTAGCGGCCTTTTTCGCCTTACTGCCTACTGTCTTAAACGCGTGAGATATCCATTGATCTATGGGGAGCATGCTCCTCTAGCCTGCATTGTTTTCACCAAAGTTGCCACTCAAATTGCAAGCTTTTCCAAGGCTACGATCCAAATCAGCGTTTCCTCGACAACCTCATCGTATAGACCTACTATCTACCAAGAATCATCATACCTCGATCTGGAATGGCTGCAGCAAGATATTCACCCGACATCGTACCTCGAAGGGAGTCTTCTCCAAGACCCAAGAGTGCGGAAAGACGCCGGCCCCGCCTGCTCAGAGCCTGTGCCACGGAACCTTCGATCACTACCTCCAATGCCTGCAAAGGGGTGTTGACGAGCCCAAATATGAACCGGCGAGCAACAGAGCTGCTCAGCCGGGTCGCCATCTCTAACGCCAACTCGTCGCCATCGTCGACACGGAGCTATGGCTTAGACTCCGCGGATGCCCGCGAGTCTCACATATCAAATTCAAATCATGATCCACGTGCGTACCGATTCCGGTTCCCGCTTATCGACCCACGGGGCGATATAACTTCATCAACAACTATACTAACTTGACAATTATTAGATTCAGCTTGCTACTTTAGCTTCCCCAGCTTCGACGCCTGGGAAGTAGGCGAGCATCCAGACGAAGAGAAGGCGGCGGTTGAAGAGAGAGCCTGACTCGCAATTGCGAATTGGGGTCTGGGAATTGTAGGATTTGGAATTGACAGGAGACCGAGTATTGGGGAAGGAGACGGGGATCGCCGAGATCGCCGAGTTTTCTCCCCGAACACGAAGCTCGTGTCATCTCACCTTTTCTTTTTTGGGTGCGATAATGTGAAAGCGAATGATAAAGCATGACGACAGGGTCAACCGGCGCCGGGGAGTTATTTTGCTTGTATTAAGATATATGTTTCGATGTACACCACCAGGATCTATCATTGCCTGGATGTTTCGGGATCGGCTCTCGGCGGAACTGATACAGGTTAACGGATTGCGGATCTATTCTGCAAGTGAGCATATGAAGGGAAACACTGGGACAACCCGTTTATAATAGCGGCAAGGACGGGATATAAAAGTCAGGATTGTGGATTATGGATTGTATTGTTCATCGATTGGGTTCTGAAGCTCGTCTATATCTCAAGATAGCTCGAGCATCGAGTTCGAGTTCTTGAGAAATCTGCGGGGTAAACAGCACCAAGATGACTGAAGTAATTGTGAGGGATTTAGCTGGCGACAGCTAGGGAAAGACAACTTCAACACCAAATAAAATAGTAATGAGATAATAATTAGAATATCTCACTGAGACTTCTTTCTCTTTTCAATTGAATCAATTGATAGCGAACCATGCTAGTGAAACTATAATAGCTAAAGTGTGCTAAATAAAGAAATAAAGCCTCTAAAATTTGGATAAAATATTCGCTATGATGCTATCCTTGATGTTTTAATAATCTAACCCTAAGTATGCAGTTACCCCGCATGTTAAAAAGTATTTGTCGGGTACGTACATAATTTAAGCACATTGGCTGTCGCGTAGCGTCTTACCAAAAAAGATAAATTTGTCGAAGGAAAAAGGTCATGTGACGGACCCGTAATATTTGATTTTCCACGCACAAACGTCAAATTTTGGCCGCACTAGAATTCACAGCCAGATCCATCCAAACGCAACACCAAAAGCTTTCTTTCAACACAATCTTCAACAACGTCCTGACTTGCGAACCACATCTACTTCGCAAACATGGCGGTTGGAAAGTAAGTCATTTGATTTAATTATACCTCTGCGACATTTATAATCCCTCGATACTCGATACCAATAAATATTCGAGCGCTCTGCACATTCCCGCGCCTGGGTCGATGGTCAATGGAGAATTTAATACTAACCATCCGCTCGCAATAGGAACAAGAGATTGTCTAAAGGCAAGAAGGGCCTCAAGAAGAAGGCTCAGGACCCTTTCGCACGAAAGGACTGGTACTCCATCAAGGTAAGCGAATGCCCCTCATTCAATAATTAATTTTCAGATCAATTTCCACTCCTCGAAGGACTCCATGGCTGACTTCAATACATAGGCCCCGGCTCCCTTCAACATCCGAGAGTACGAATAATCTTTTCTGGTATACTAATATTTGGCAATATCTAATTTTGGTTTATAGTGTTGGTAAGACCCTCGTAAACCGAACCACCGGTCTCAAGAACGCGAACGATGCTCTCAAGGGCCGAATCTTCGAGGTTTCCCTAGCCGATCTACAGAAGGATGAGGACCATGCGTTCCGCAAGGTCAAGCTACGCGTTGACGAGGTCCAGGGCAAGAACTGCCTGACCAACTTCCACGGATTGGACTTCACCTCCGACAAGTTACGCTCCTTGGTGCGAAAATGGCAATCTCTTATCGAGGCCAACGTCACCGTCAAGACCACCGACGACTACCTCCTACGTCTATTCGCTATCGCCTTCACCAAGCGACGACCCAACCAGATCAAGAAGACCACATACGCCGCTTCTTCTCAGATTCGCGCCATCCGAAAGAAGATGGTAGAGATCATTCAGCGCGAGGCTGCTACTTGCACCTTACAGCAACTGACTTCTAAGCTGATTCCTGAGGTCATTGGCCGCGAGATCGAGAAGGCCACGCAAGGCATCTACCCCCTTCAGAACGTATGTACCGACTTCCCGCCTAATATAATAGGCTACACCCTAGCAACTTTAGTCTTGTGCGTCTTATACTAATAATTCTTTAGGTGCACATCCGCAAGGTCAAGCTCCTAAAGTCACCCAAGTTCGACCTCGGTGCCTTGATGAACCTGCACGGAGAGTCCACGACGAACGAGGAGGGACAGAAGGTCGAACGTGAGTTCAAGGAACGAGTCCTTGAGGAGGTCTAATTATGATGAACTCTGGTCATGGGACGGCGTGGGTTTTTGTGCAATGGCAATAGGTCTCACTTCTGATTGCATTCGGCGCAGCATGGTAGCTGCGATTACAGCAGCCCTCTCAGGACATAAAAAATGAGAAAGGTTAACTGATGACTATGGGTGTTTCCCTCGGTGATTGCAGTTATGTGATATGATGTTGGTCTCTCCCAAACCATGGCAGATTATTTGGTGTCGGGATAACCGGAAGCCAGATGCCGAGCAGGATATACACACGCGCGGCTTCGATACTCCTTCACATATCCCATGATGCTCATTCCTGCTCTGGCCCGTCCTGTCCCGTCCCGGGTTTTCAGATCCACGAATGGCCATTTTAGGACAATACCTTATTCTGATAGGCCTGATACCCTTAACATGCGGCTCTTTGATGCACCTGCTTAATTTTTCACATGCATCCATGGATGCCTATATCATGTGAACAGTGTACTCAGTAATGTCTTTGCCTACTACCTAGGTACCTAGGTAGGTACATAAGGTTATCATACAAAGGATCTTATTACAATGATGGGTTTAAATAGTATTGTGACATGGCTGGTCTTTCCACGACATAGAAGGTTCTACCAATCATCTATTAGTACGTCACAGGCAGGTACACGTCAAAGTCTTGTACGTAGGACCTCGGAGGGTCCAGGAGATTACCCAGGTAGCTTGAACTTTCGAAAAGGTACCCGGCAACCAAGTAAAAATCCGCCACCATAAAATGACCGTGGTTCCGCTCGCATGACCAAATACCGCCAATGGCATAATTGATTATTTACATTACCTAAAACAAGATACGGCAGCTGCTTCCTCTCACCTACGAAAAGCTTCATTTTCATTGTTCATATCATTGTTTATTATTATTCACTTACAATTATCCTTAATTTACTTCATCATTATCGGCGTCGCATTACAGCTACCGACTTCCTAGGAAATAGATCCGTCGCACAAGTAAAAAAGTCGGGAATCGGATAACGAAAGAAACGATGGTCTCCGAGGATCAGCTCCCGGTCCTCAAGGTCCTGATCATCGGCCCTTCTGGCGCCGGCAAATCTGCATGTACGTACACGTGAATTTACCTCTGTTCTCTGAAACGGCGGTTCCGGATAGCCGGGTCGCATCGCGCCTACCTATCGGAAACTGGATCTAGAATTTTAAGGATATTTCGGGCTGAGGCTAACATGATGAATAGTGTTGTTAAGATGTATGAGGTTCTTACTCCGGGATCTCCGGCTTGTGCTGCGGGTTCTTTCCGGTTGATATTGCTTCGGTTTCTAAGATTTTTATAGACTGCGATGACCAATATGATCCGGAGTCGACGACGGCAACAATTGGTATCGATTTTAAGGTATGGGATATAACTAACGTCAACCCGCGCCTCAGTGAGCGAATGGATGAGTTGGGACTAATTCTCGACTCACTATCTCTAGATGAAGAAGCTTGCCGTGCATGGGAAGGCATACCGACTTAACATATTCGATACCGTAAGCTACTTATATGAGTTATACAACTTGCTGCGTCTATCATACTTACCCTCTTCGCTTGAAGGCTGGCCAAGAACGCTTCCGTACGTTATCGACTAGTTACTACAGAGGTGCACATGCTGTCATCATAGTCTACGATATATCTAGCCGGAAGAGCTTCCTCAGCATGGAAAGGTGGATCGACGAAGCGAGAATGAACGCGTCTCCAGATGCCGTGCTTTATTTGGTATCGTATCCCATACATCACTTACACCTAGATATGATATTTCACTGGACTGAAGTCACAACTAACTCGAAAATCAAGGTCGGGAGCAAACTAGACAAGATAGCTACAGGTGGTCGGGCTGTTACCGAGGAGGAAGGAAAAGCGTTTGCGGAGTCGCAAGGCGCCGGCTTCTGCGAAGTCAGCTCCAAGACGCGCGAGAACATCCGCCGGCCCTTCGTGGAAGTCGTGGACCGAATCGTGCAGAAACCGCAGCTCCTAGCCGCCGCCACGCCCGCGGCCAGCAACGCGGGTATAAATCTAGGTCTAGGATCTGACTACTCCTCCGCCTGCCCCTGCTAATCTAAACCAATCCAACCCAAACCAAGCCAACCCTTGTCTCTATTTTGTCTATCGGTAACAAAGCAGATCCCAGGATAAACGCCAAGGCTTCGATGCAGGTGGCAATGTACATAGTGTTCCAAGTTCTTCTCCTTCTCTAGATGATGATATCCCTTTATGCGACGCTACGCAATGCAATGATACACGAATTATTTACAACCCTCTAGACCGTACCTTTATCCCGTCTATGTCGCACTCGCTCTCGTGTATCCTCTACCATATGCTCTACCCCTTACTCTTTCGGCGTGAGGAACTCGATAACAGCTGCAGGAAATCCCGATTAGCCTCAACCCAAGTCACACAGATTTCAAAATCATGGGGATTGTCTCGTATGTGCAAACAACTCACCTCTCAGAAACTCCTCCGGCTTCTCCGAAATAACCCAATGCCCGGCGTCAACATCGACCAAGCGAAAGCGCGGGAAGAACTCCCCGATCAGCGGCACCACCTCGTCAGGCACATACGCGCTGCGCGTCCCGCGCACGAACAGCGCCGGCCCCGCGAACCGCGCCGCGGAAGGGTCTTTGAACGGGAAGTCGCCTAGGTGGCCTAGCGAACGGCCGAGTATTTCCAGCGGGACGCGGAACTTTTGCGCGATTGGACCGGCTGGTGTAGACGGGGAGGGGGATGGTCGGTACAGGTTCCCGAGCAGGAAGTGGCGGATGGCGATGTCGTCTTCGTAGTCTTTGAGGATGGCGTCGGCGTCGGCTTGCCGCGTTACGCTCGCGGCTTCGATCCGTCGCATCCCTTCTATGTACCGCGCGAAGGTGCCGGAGAGAGCTACGTCGACGGGCGCGTTGTCTACGGCGACGATGTCGGCGATGAGAGAGGGTGAGGACAGCGCGAGGGTCATGGCCGTTTTGGCGCCCATGGAGTGTCCAATTAGACTGGGGGATTTGAGCCCGTGGTCTTGGATGAAGCGCTCGATGTCGGAGGCCATGGCTAGGTAGGTGTGTTGGGGCGCGTGGGGGGATTCGCCGTGGTTGCGTAGGTCCTGCGGATGCGGAAGATTGGTGTTAGATGGCTCTCAAGTACGAATAGAGATGGAAGCCGAGGGATTGAGAATGGGCTTACGACGGTATAGACATGACGCTTGAGATCCCGCGCTAGGGCTCTCGATACGCTTCTATTGTTCTTCTTGGACCCGAAGAGACCGTGCATGAATATTATGGGCGCATCTTGTCGGTGACGGTCGCCTTTCGGGGGCTCGTGGTGGTCGTATGCTAATGGGACTGTAGAGCTCGAGGAGTACGGCCGCGATATTATGGCTCGCAGAGGCGTGCTGAGGGCTAAGCGTGGGGAGACGATGCGCCAGGTCGCCATTGTTGATATTGGGTTGGTCCTATGTACCGTGACTATGCCCGGTGCATTAATTGAGTTTCTGGCGCCTCGCGCGATCGGCCGCGGTATCGTTCTAGGTGAGGATTGGTACAGGTTGCGACTTATCGAGACGAGGTACTAAGTACTTAAAATAAATATTTTAGATCATTGATAACTGACGCAATATCGATATCGGAGCTCAAGTCGGCTTCCTTCCGACCCCACTACGAACTACGCCGAGCAAGCCGAGACGTCATTAGAATGTACAGAGGTACTGCTTCGTATTATGAAGTTTATAATTAACATAAAGTTCTTATACATTTTCTAGTAGCTGTACACGTTCACATTCCCCGTAGTCGATGCTCGGATCTTCTTGTTTTCCTGAATCAGCAACATGCGGACTACCCAAGCGCAACATATAGAAAGGAGCGCGAAGCCTGCGGAAGCCCCGAAGCCAATACCGTATCGAGGTTCATCGCTATCTGGCCATAGATACGCACCGTATATATATCCGATATGACCAAAGACATTGGTTATCGCAAGAACGACCTATAATAACATGAGGTTTTGTAAGCGAGAAATATACGGATTGGAGACATATCGAAACTTACGGCTCTCTTCTCTTCTGTCTGGCTTAGGGTCGATGACGCCCAGCCGACAACGACGGAGTTGGCAGAGAAAGCGCCGACGGGGAAAATGAAACAGGCAACATAACGTGCCGCCGTGTTAAGCGTGCTGGCTGCTATGATGAATCCAACGATTGCGATGGATAGTGTGATAGTGATATGCCGCGTCCTCTCGTTTAGTCTCCCGGAACTCCAACCAACTATAGTGCTGCCAGCTCCTGCGAGTACGAACGGCGGGCATGTCAATAGGAGCGTTACTGTGGTGTTATATCCGAGCGTCTTGGCGACACTTCCGTTTATGATGGTGTCAATGTCATTATCACGGTTTCAAGGGAATGAAGAACTTACGTCGGAAAGAAAGCATTAAAAGAACAAGCCGACAGATGGAACATTTGCATAAAGCAAAAGAGCCATGTCCTCTTGTCTCCGAAAGCCTGCTTGAGGCCATCCCATGCACTGGCCTCGCCGAGGGCATCGCTAATCCTGTCGCGCTCTATACGAGCCCGTACTAACTTGCGCTCCTCGGCACTCAGCCAATGTGTGTCGTCTGGCGTGTTTGGTAGAAGCCAAAATCCGAGCACGGCGACGAATGCGGTGAAGGCGCCTTCGACGAGGAAGAGCCACTGCCAACCTGCTAATCCTCGAAGCCCATCCATCCCGGCGAAGACACCGGCCGAGATTAAGCCAGTGACCCCGGTTGCGAGGAGTTGTCCGCAATACATGAGGCCGACGCGTGTGGCCATCTCTATTAGAAAATGAAGCGAGAATCAGCTTGATACAAAGATGGATACTAGTGGAAGTCCATGACTGACCACTATGCGTATAATAAATCGCCAGAATGTACGTGGCGCCGGGGTAGAACTCATCTAAGTTAGCCACGCTAGATTAGGAGACAAGGCTAGGTCTCTCACCGGTGCCTCTGCGATTCCCAAGAAGAACCTGCTAGCTACGAGGCCTCTATAATTCTTGACAGCAGCTGTACATGTAGACACCACGGCCCAGACAAACATACACCCAGACATATAGATTCCGGGCTTGATGCGTGTAATCAACATGTTGCTCGGTACCTGCATGAGTACGTATCCGACGAAGAGGCTATGGGATAGTTGTTAACGTAACGTTTCTACTTCATGCTAATGGCAAAGGGGTCATATACATGCTGACTGCAGTATTGAATTCATTACCTGCCATGTTGAGATCGCGCTCGAAGTGATTTAGACGAGCTTGTGCGATGGCGTTACGATCAACGTAGTTAAGGAAGTACATGACACAGATGGTTGGCTACTCTATATATCAGTTTATTTCATTACATGCGTCCTTGAGGTCGCCCTTGATACGTACCATTATATAGAGGTCAAGCTTGCGCACCAAGGCTTTCTCCTTAGGATCCATCTTAATTCTCGCATGGGTATGAGGTTCGCTTTCTTGTTCGACTATAAGAGGCTTCTCGTCTACGATGGCGGTGTCGCCTAACTTAGGGGTAGGCGGCAGTTTTTGTCCTTTAAACTCCATCGTATGCGTATCTCTCTCAACTAGACTATGAGTATGAGGGGGACGTGAAGATGCTCATTATCATAGCCTAGGTAATCTTTATCTCCGTACGGAGCACAACTCTCCCCGCCTCCACCTCTGAGTTTCAATGTGACCTTGAGGGACGTCGTTACGTGGGGGTATACTACTAGATACGGGATATATAGGCTGTTATTCTAATCGCTTTTCACTACCTATTTTAACGACATATATCAATTCATTGGACTGGCAACCGTTTGGCTGACAATTCCCTACTCCTTAACTCGAGGGGTCTAAAGACGATTGCAACTACAACTAGATAAGGAATGAGTTGTTCTCGGAACCGATGCATATAGCAAATGGATTTTATATACCTAGGTAAGCTGTTGCCTTTTACCGGAATAAAAACGCTATATAGCATGCAGTTTCGAGCTGTATAGGGAGGTGAAATGTGAAACTTTAGGTATAAGGTAGTTGCCAATGAATAATTGTAGGTAGGAGAGACCCTAGAAATGTATCGGTCAGCAAATGACCAATAAGAATCCGTATAAGGTCTAGTATATGCTTTTTATAGAAGACCCCTACACCGATCTAAGATCTTACCGGGGGCGTCTTCTGACTTCCTAGAAGGATCTTTAGCTTCCCGGTGAGAGAACTCACCTTCACTTTCAATTCCTTCTCAATACCAACCCTCAAAGAAAAACCTACTTCAAATCCAAGCCACTCAACAAATCATAGAAATTCGGGCCTTTCGGTGAAATCGAAGCTCTACTGGTAAGAGGCGTTCATGATGTAGCATTGGCTTGGCGATCGATCGGTCACATTGCATATTATTTATTGGAAATGGCGCACTACTCACACGGGATCCATTGTCCGTTGGAGAATCCGTCCAAGGAGATCCGTGTTTTAGAGATAATCGACAATTCCCATGACACGATCGAGTGCCGCCTAGTGAAAGACAAGGTAGATGGTCAACCCTACAGTGCGCTGTCATGGTGCTGGGGTAAACGAGATCACAATGATAAGACGGTGATTCGTATGATACAGGTCAGTAACTGGTGGAGCTGATGAACTGGATAATTGTTGACCGGTGAAATATGGTGGCGTAGTCGGGCCAGCCATATGAGTTCCTTGTACCCAGGAGTCTTGAAACCGCCATGCGAGTGCTTCGTACTCATGGCGTTTTTAGAGTATGGATCGACTTCGTCTGTATGGACCAGGACAACATCAATGAGAAGAATTTTCAGGTGCCAATGATGTCGAGTATCTACGGGGAGGCTGAATGTGTCTATGTATGGCTCGGCGACGAGGGCGAAAACAGCAAGTTGGCAATGGACTTCGTAAAAAACCGAGTTCTCAACCTAAAAGAATGGGATCGATTGATACGAGACGACAAGATCGTCAAAGAGTGGCAAGCCCTGTCAGCATTGATGAGGCGTTCTTGGTTTTCCCGTCGGTGGATCGTGCAAGAGATTGCAATCGCCCAAAAAGCAACTCTCTTCTGCGGGATGGATAGCGTTGATTGGAAGGACTTTGCAGACGCCGTGTCTCTCTTTAACGAGGTAGAGACGGGTACCCGCAGGATTTCCGAGGTTATAAATGACAAAGTACTTGGACATATGCCGGATTTAGGAGATGTGTCCGAGCTGAGCGCCACCACATTAGTCGAGGAGACAAACAACCTTTTCCGACGACTCTCGGGGAACGAACGCCAAGCCCAGTTCAGTCTCGAGTATCTTGTATCGAAACTGACCACATTTGATTCATCAGAACCTCGTGATACCATATACGCACTCCTCGCCGTTGCGAGAGACACAGAACCCGTGAGGTTGCTCACAGAAGACGTGATCGAAAAATGGACTTGGCAGAAGTACATAAAGGAGAAACTCGTCAAGCAATTGGCAGTAGCAAATGTCTCTAACCCGTACCCCGTGGACTATAGACTCCCATTATCGGACGTCTACGTCCAATTCGTCAACTGGGCTATTGACAAATCCGACAAGACCCGAGCCCTCGACATCATTTGCCGACCATGGGCTCCAGAACCACCACCATCGGATAGCTTCAGCACTTACAGCGAAGAGGAAGACTCTCATTGGCGAATCCGAACCAACTCATCGCGCCCCGAAGACGAAGGCGAAGACACCCTCCCATCATGGATCCCCACCATAACCCGCGCAGCCTTTGGCATGGACGGCGAAGGTCAAAAGATGCGACGTAAAAACGCCGACAGCCTAGTAGGGCTGCCACCCAAGCGCGTCTACAGCGCCGCCGGGACCCGGGTCCTAACGGAGAACTTCCGCATCGAAGAGGGAGTCACAGAATTCAGTCACAACGCAGCTCTCAACGGACTGCACTACCACAGCATGTTCGTCGAAGGCTTCGTGCTAGACCGAGTAAAAGAGCTGAAGTACCCTTCACAACAAGGCAACATCCCACGCGACTGGATCAAGCTCGCACGTCGGCGCGACCCAACCGGCGACCTGCCAGACGAGTTCTGGCGCACCCTAGTCACAGACCGCGGACCTGGTGGCGAGAATGCGCCGCGATACTACCCACGTCTAGTCCGCCACGCGCTGAACCAAGGTGTCCACGGGGACTCGCTGAACACGACGGACATCGTGAACTGGGGCAACTGCAGCATCGTCGGGGAAGTGCTGCGGCGCGTACAATCCGCGATCTGGAACCGGCGAATGATGCGCACCGAGAGGGATCGCAGCCTCGGTCTCGCACCGGAGGACACGCGGCCCGGCGACCTGATATGCGTGCTTTACGGGTGCAGCGTACCCGTCCTTCTCCGCCCATTCACAAAGACAGAAAGGGAAGTCGAAGAGGAAGGAAGGCGGCGCGAGGAGAAGCAGCGTCGACGGGAACGCGAGGCCGCTGCGAAGATCAGCCAGGTGTGGCGGGACATAGTAACGATTCGACGAGCTGCGGCAGAGCGCAGACGTGCCGGACAACCCGGGTGGGAGGCCTGGGATAAGTTAGAATCCGGCGCGACCACGTCCGAGAAAGACTTCCCGCGGGAACGGCGAGAGCCAACTACTCAGGTCCTGAAGACGGAGAAGGTGCCGCTACAAAGCGATCCTTATACTTACTACCAGCTCATCGGCGAGTGCTACGTCGACGGCATGATGAACGGCGAGGCGCTGTTGCGGTTTGAGCCGTCCATGTTGTTTGAGATACGGTGACATATGGATGAATACGTTACTAAACAGATGTCATACCTCGAATAGTCACACTACATGGAGGCATTCAACGTCACGATTACCGCCAATAACACCTATCATCATACACAGAACGAAGAAGCGCAGAAGATGCAATAAAGCAAACGTACCAATTGAAACGGCCGACTATGTAACTATACTATCTTGGGTACTAGGTACATGCATTTTACTCCTGAGGCCTATGTTGGCCTATGCCGACCGTCTAACCTGATGATTTTCATATCCTTTTGAAATGACTCCTTCACCTTAACGCCTTGCTGCGAAGTTGCCTCGCCTTATGAGCCCCAACCTTAAATTAATAGTGATGCATGAACAAAAAGAAAAAATGCCTAATATCGCGCTCGACAGCTCCCTTGGCAAATCGAAGCATACAACTAGAGATATGGCATCCACAGAGCATCGCATTGCGCGAGATTCATGGGGTTTACAGCCCTGGCGATGAGGTCAATGACCGTCTGATTGGCTGGTAAGTTGCCAAGGGGGCTCTGAGCCAGGCTCACGGCACGCTTAACAATCATATCGCAGTTGGTCTGCACCGTCTCGCGCAGTTGGTTCTCGTTCAGGTGAATGGTCCGGTGGCTGCTTGTAAACCAAAAGATAACCTCATCCCTAACGAATAATGTTAGAGCATGCTCTAGCTCGAACTCGGGCTCGGTCAGGCAACGCGCAATTGCCATAATCGAGCAGCTGAAGATACCCTCCGTCGCTAGAGGGCCCATGAGAGCCTGTAGGTTGGGTGTGAGACGGAAGGGTACCGGTTCGGGATTGTGGAAAAAGGGCTTTCCGGGTGCCATGAACGACATAACCTCAGAACCCCAGATTTTACCCGAGCCCCGAGCGATATGGATCTTGTGGGGATATCTATTCGTGCTGTAGAGGATATAGGTCATGAATGTGAGGGCAGCAAGTTGGTAGGAGAACCGGCGTCGGAATAACCAGAATTCGGAAAATTCGGGGAAGATACTTTGGAAGTATTCAAGGACGATAGTACGAGGAACCCATTTCTCCTGTATAGCCGTGAACACCTCAAGGCGAGCCATCGCCGTTTGCTCGGGGGGTTTCTGCATTGATTCATTAGTTATTGTTGATGGACGTTTGCTAAGGTTGATTTGATTGAAACTTACACCACCCTTAGGTTCGATTAGGCCCCTCAGTTTATCCATCGTAAACATGACTGGCTCGTCCTTGAGCATCCCGTTACGTCGGCAATGATCCTCGTAAATTCCCTGCAGTGTGATATACGACGTGTCATCTTGCACAATTCGTATGTGTGGGGCAAGAGGAACTATCAGTGGCACTGTAAACTGCAAATCGCGGCGTCGACTTTCTTTCTTCTTAGCAAGTGTCTGGTTCAAATGCCGGAATAGTTGTAAGATCCTCTCCTCTCGTCGACAATGTCGTGCGGCAGGATGTTGAACAGCGAATGAGTGAATACTACCGTCGTGGCCTCGGATCTTCAAGCGTCGGTGAGAGCCGCCGACACCTCGAACTAGCTCAACATTAGGAAGAAATCTATCGATTCGAATAAAATCCTGGTTCTTATCCTTGTGCTGTAGGTACTGGCCCGGAACCTCGACATCGTCAAACTTCTGGTAACGAAATTCGCTCAGATGTCTCGAGTATAATTCCAGGTAGGCCTTCGGATTTCTACGATCGAGCTTCTCTTCAAATTTGTCACGCCACTTTCGGAGTTTATGAATGTACTCATACATCGTCGGCTTCACCTGGACGAATTCTGCTTCGAAGGATTTTTTAATGTGCGCAGGGAGAATGGTTTCGGCAAAGCGGGTGATGTTGGTCTCGGTGGCCGACGGTAGTTTCACATCTTTCGCGTATGAAGCGGGCATTCGGCTTACGTACGCTAGCCCATCGTTCAGGAGCGCGATAATCAAACGATATGCATCTTCGTCGGGTGGACACTTGAAGTATTTTTGGATTTGATCAACCATTGTCTCCATGGAGAGTGCAAGTAGAGGGAAGGCTGTCTTCAGTACAGACATGATCTCCTCTGTAAGCTCCCAAGGCGGCCGCTTTTGTGTAGCGCCGGAGGCCGCGCCATCCTTTCCAGCCGTCTGTTGATCCCCATTGGGTGCAGCGCCGGGTTGTGGAGCAGTTGAAGCCCCATTAGTATCGGATGGCTCTGTCTTAGCTTGCGTATTTCCGTCACCGTTGGAGGTCGCCGGCCGGGAAGATGAGTCTTGTTTCACCTGGAGATTGTCCTTGCTGAGCGATGGCGAACTGCTTAGCTTATTACTAGATGCGGCTGACTGTGCTCGCTGCCGTGCTTTCTCCTTGGCTTCCTGGTTCTTCTTGATGGCAAGCATATCTTCACGGTTTGTCCTTAACTGGAAGTATAAGGATTGAGGGTATGCCTTTGCGATCTTTAGAAGGATTGCGTGAACTTTAGGAGCCTCCTTGTGGGCCATTCCGGTCAGAAGTTGTGGTATGAATGTTATCCAGTACCAGACAGGAGTTTCGCCTTTGTAATCATCGAAACCAGCAGCAATAGTCCCATTGGAATCGTCCAAACTTAGGAGCCATAAAATACGTGCGATGAGCTTTCGAGCCTTGCCACTCTTGTAACTACCAATAGCTTGCAAGTACGAAGTCAACGCTTGCCTAGCAGAGTTCAAATCTGTAGGATCTTCCTTAAACTTGCGATCGTTGAAATAGCCCCATTCTGCCCATGCCTTGGCCTTACCAATGTCATAGTACAGTGCGGTGCCATAGGCTGCGTCTGCTTCTTCCTTTTGACTGAGCTTTTCTAGGAACATCCCCTTCAGAGTAAAGAATTCTGCTTTTTGTTGAGCATTGAAGTAATTCAAGTTCGTATTGTTTATGACGTCCAGCCCACTAGAAAGCTCGTTAGGATTTTCGTAGTGGCATCGAGCTTGTTCCCTCAGTTTCAAAAATGCCTCCTGAATCTCTATATTAGGGAGGGTGTAGATTCGACTAAGTTGGTTTATGCACACATCAGGTAGGCTGTGCTTGCGGGCGACGTGGGCAAAGCGATTAATAATCCAGGCTGTTTCGTGATAACCGCGGTATGCAAATGAAGCACCGTTTGCGCCTTGCCCTTGCGGGGGCAGAAGCTGCAAATATGTACTATTAATTAAACCGAAGATATGCTGTCTCCAGGTGACGAGATCTTGCCAGTCGGTTATATCGTCCCAAATATTTGGCAACCGGTCTCTCCATGATCCAAGGAGGAGCTTCAGCTCACCAGACTTCACATCCAAATTTGTTTGGTTGGTATTAGCTAAACTTTGACAGATGACGCTGGCGTCATGGAGTTCCACAAGTTGTTGGAAGTTGTGAAGAAGAGGGATATGCGCAGCAGTCAGTCGTTTTGGAAGTTGATGCCACTTCCTGATAGAAAGCTGTATAGCCTCGTCACAGACGCGAGCAAAGTCCTGGGTAGATTCCTGCTTATTGTGAAGTTTCAATAGAGACATAAAACTCTGAAAGAAAGCTCGCCGAGCGGTCGGGGCATCCATGACCCCCTTAACAAGCATGTCGAGACTATCTCGCTGTTCTGGAGTTTGCCACATATCAATGCTGCGCCAGGCACATTCGAGGAGAAGGTCTTGCAGATTTTCGTGCTTCGCAAAGTCTTGAAGTATCTCCCACTGCTGTAGTTTTTGCGCGCACAGGACCCAATGATCCTCCCACAACATGTACTCACCCTGTGAGAAAGGGATAACGCCTGTTCGGGCCTTGATCTGGGCGGCTTCGTACATCCTCTGGGCCTTGTCCCACATGCCGTTCTGTTCGTATGACAGGGCTGCATTTGTCTCGACGAATTGGCATCGGCGGCGCCATGTACCGTAAAACAGATCATCTTCTTTGAGGCTTGAATATAGCTCGACTAATGCATCGAGATTGCTCTCCCGTACTTTAGGTGAGTCGACATCCGGTTTGATGGTTGCGTTTTCGAGCTGGACTAGAGCTGTATACCAAGCGTCATACGTCTTCGCGCCGAATTTGAGTATATGTGGAGGAATTTTGCAGCCTGGCCACGCCTTCGCTGCGCCCGCTAACAAAGTTTGTACAACATTGGGTCTCTTGTCAATCTGACGAGAGTGGAAATCCTTAGAAAGTAGTACTACCAAAGCCTTCTCCAGATCTGTCTTTTCGTCCTTGGCGCAAGCAGACCAGAACATGGGGAAGAGAGTTACCCAGAGATTATGTGACAGGTTGGGGTCAATGTGCTGAAGCTGGGTGAGGGGTTCAATGATGTCCCGAACCTTGACATCCCCTAACTCGGCAACGAAACGTCGGTGATTCGCCATGAATGTGTCGTATTTATCATCTGCCATTGCGGATGGCTCTCTGATATCCTTGGAATAGACCCCGAAAACAATTGATGCTGGAAGTGTCCGGAAGTCTTCTTGGTGTAGCTGAATGCTGGAATTCATCTCCACGGCACCCAGCAGGAGCTGCGTGGCCTGGGCCAACCAAAACGAGTCAGCAAGCGTGTCCCAATTCTGCGAACTGATGACATATGACAGCCGGGCAGTTGCTGTTTTTGACAAGCTCTTGTCGAAGATAGTTAAAAACCGATTGCGCATTTCCACATCCTGTGCTCGTGTTCCAATCAAGAAGGCATGTTCCATGCGTACTGTGAGTTCCGTTCGAGTTATCTTTGGGTCTTCATAAATACGTATCACTAGCTCGAGAAATTTTCCTAGCATGGTTGGGTCGCTTCGATGCTCAAAGGAGAGCATCTTGTGAAGTACAGCCGTTTTCTCCTTTAGAGTAGGCCATGTCCCCTCAGACCGGAAGACCCAGCCCTCAACCATATCAAGAATCTTCTCGCAGAGAGGAATATGTTGCGATTTCTCTACTAATGTTGCTAATACGCTTAAGAATGGTCGTCGGTGGTCTCCAAGAATTTCCATGCGCATCGCGGTCACCTGGATGGCTTTGATCATGAGATCAGTCTGAATGTTAAGCTCGTATTGTGACATTTCCCCTGTCTGTGCGTTCGGGTCTTGAGGTCGCATGTTGTTCATGTTCATTTGTTGATGGGCGGCCACACTCGTGTAGTGTTGAACATGTTCTCTAGCAAGTTTAGTCTGCAGGGCCTTCATCAAAGACGGGATGTGCTGGTCGATAACCGAGGGTTTCCTTTGGCCTAAAGACCACAGAATATTAACACCAGACACATATTTGGCAGCTGCTAGGGAGTCTGTCGCTATCGTAGATAAGAAGGTGATGATCTCGGATGTTGGAGCTTCAGGCTCTCCTTCAGCATCTGCATCTTCCATCGGCACATCTTCTGGCACAGCATCAAGAATCCGCTGAACTATTGACTTGACATCACGCCCATCATCATACTTCTTATCCGCTAAATGGAGACAATCCTGCAGTTCTGAATTTTCCGATTTTAGGCATTTTTCTGTGACTTTTTGAACTGAAGGCATATTCTTTGAGATCCATTCATCGGACTTAAAGTTGAGGATGATTCTCACCACCTGCAAGGTATTGATGATGTTGGTTATGAACTTCTCGTCGTAATTCTCATCGGCGGGGTCGGCGTTGAGAAGTCTCGCGGTCCTCTCGCTTGCCAGGACCACTTCAGTAATATTTGGAAATAAGTCAACGTCTAGGTCGGCCCAGTACCGTGGTTGCAAGAGGTTATAAAGGAGAGACATCGCTTTTTTGCACATCTCCGTGGACTGGGGTGGAAGAGCAGGCCCAGACGTCAATGCCGCATCTCTCGGCTTTGCAGAAGGTAGTTGGTATCTCTCATTTAGCTGTGCGATAAACTCAATGAGATACTTAATCATCTTTTGCCTAAACCCAGCAGGAATCTGGAATTCAGCTCTATCGAGTTGGGCGGATTGCCGAGCTGCTGGAGGGGAGGAAGTGATTAATTCACCGTCCAGTCTTCGTTTTCGGGAACTCGGCGATTCAGAGAACTCTCTCTTAGGGCCAACCAGCTTGCCGTCTACTCTTCTCTCTTCCCATTGCCAGATCAGCCACATCATGTTCAAAGCAAGCTTCTTACTTTCCGTCGAGGATGACAAGAAAGGGGAGACCTTTCGAAGCGATGTGATGATCAATACAGCAAATTTATCCCTAGAGTCATAGAAGAGATCAGAATGTCTGACCAAAAAGTGAAAGATGCTTGTCATCTGCTGGACATTCTGGCCTTCTTCAGCCAATATGCGGCGCGGGGCCATGGCCCAGACAGCACCGCGATCGCTTGGTAATGGCATACAACGTTGCGGTAGAACGGGTGCGATCAGTTCGAGGGCCTGAGTGACCAGAGCACGCCCTTCGTTCTGATTTGTCCTAAGCAATGAATAATATACTTGGCTGACGATTTTCGAAGGCGTCTCGTAATGAGCAATGAAATATCCGATCACGACATATGCGGCATGTTTATTGATCACATCATCCAGCCGGATATAGGTCCAACCAAATTTAATGATGTCTTTCCTGGCATCCTGTAGAATAGAATAATGATATTTTACCAGCATTGCAGAGAGCTGGAGAACTTCCATTCTCGTATGATCGATCCCTGGTTGTGCCAAGTCATCCTGCGGTTCACTAAGATTGACCTTCCATATCTTGACATTGATAGATTCGATGACTGTCCGATCAACTAGCCTCTGAGTTATGGGTTGGTTCCAGTGTCGCATAACATCCATTGCAATGATCGGGTTAACGACGTTACGAAGCAGGAAGCACTTGGTCTTCTGGGTGGAACTCTTTCCAGCGTAGATATCAAGGCAGCGAAGTACGACGGCTTTCCAGTAATCAATGGAGTCGCTACAGATAACGTGATTGTAGAGGAAGCTGAATAATGATGGCGTTGCACGCAACTCTTCAGACGTAACCGATTCCACTAGGCTAAAGAGGGCATCTAGATCTCGAGAATTCAAAGATAACGCCTTTGTGAAGATGCCCATGAGTTGCTCAGAGGCTTGGTCAGCAGGAAGCCTCAGATTGGGCGGTAGGCTATTCGTTCGCAAGTGGCGCTCTAGATCTTTACCGATTCGTCGTAGCCAGGAGATAGTGTCTTTCCGTTCCAACCAACTCCGAGTACTGACATTCTGACTTAGTGAATCGAGAATATTTATTGTGTTGACCATTGCTATAAATCTTGTTTCTTTCGAAGCACCAACGATTTGTGTGCAGAGAGAGATCAATCCGTCAATATTAGCAGCAGCGTGCTCTCTAAGAGGCTTACTCTCCGGGTGAAGCAGAACCTGAGCCAAAAATCGACCATATTTCAGGTCTTCGAGCTTACTCAGCAAAAAATTCCAGACTTCGGACGGGTATCTATTCAGATACTTGTACAATGGTGGTCGGAAAGGGCTATGGTGAGTACGGCGCAGCTTATCCTCAAGCTCCAAACAAGTGTCGATAAGCCGCTCCTTGAACTGTTCTGCCGCTGGCGGGAGGAGATGAAATATGTTAAATACTGCTGCAACAACCTTCATCTGGCTATTTTGCTCGAAGAATGTGAACGAAATTTGCTGAAGAAGGTTCGGATCAGCAAGTACTTTGATATGATCTAACAGTCTGGCACCAATTTCTACTTTAAAGTAGGTGGTAAGAAGACGGAGAAGTCTAGCCAGATTATCCAGCCCGTGAGTGCTTAGTCGCTTGGGATCCTGAAGATTGGCTAGAACAGGTCTAAGCCCTTGCTGAAGTAGATCTTTGGGCAATTTGTTCGTTTGGGAAAGCACAGCTCTAAGAGAATCATTCGCCGCCTCAATAGTAGGCTTAGATTCCGAATATAGGCATTTGAAGAATACCGACACGATCTTAGTTCGGGTTGGGTTGTTCTGACCCTTCTGGAAGTCGTCGAATCCCATTGCCTTGCTCAGGATTTTAATGCACGAAACTCGGAGATTCACAATCGATTCGTGCGTTCGAAACTCGGCGTGCTTACCAGCCAAAGATTCGTCTGTGGCATCAGCTAAAGCTAGCGACTCCATAAGTAGCCTGTTTAGGTGATCGTCAAAGCCGACAAAGTCAGGTTTTAGACCCATGTAGTAAGCAATCGCATCGATGTATCCTATCTGGGTTGAAAAAGGTAAAGCTCGTAGAGGTTTGGCATAAATGGGCTGTAGCAACCGATCCTTATGAGGTTGTAGAAGCTCCCAGATGTCCGAGTTGATTGCGTTAGCAATAATTTCGAGCGATCGCCTCGCTGTTCCCCGAACATGCTTATTCATATGAGAAAGCTCGTCGTTGAAGAGGACGCAGATCTGCGTCAGGCGTGAAGGTTTGGGGTGAGGTTGGCCAGGTACTGCAGGGGCGGGCAATACGTCTTCTTTCTTGACATTAACAGTGATCCGTTTTAAGAGAGATTCGAGGGTGGTTTGGGCGGAACTTCTGGTTTTCTCCGGCAAGTCTTGCGGCATATCCTTAATCACGTACATCAGAGCTCGTATGAAGTCCATTTGCTTCATCGCGATCCAAGTGTCGCCGAGATCAACTTCGACGAGAAGATATCTAATACCAAGACTACCGCCAGTCTTTGTGTACCATTCTTCTTCGTTGCAGGCGTGACAAAAAGTTTTACTTAGATGGCTGAAGAACCCCAATCGGCCAACGTACATTTCAGAACCGAAAATAGTTGCTGTAGAGTCATAGACTGCTCGTATTGCCCGGAAAGCAGCATCGCGCACGTCGGGCAGATCTGATGCGAGAGACTCGACAATTGCATCAGCCAGGATACGCGTATCAATATATAATGGCCCCTCTCCCGCCTGTACGTCGAAATGACTCATTTCTTTCTTAAGGTCTACCAACCCGCGCCCTATTTCGATGATCGTGAAGTGTCGGCAAAGGTTCATGAGGAAGACGTCGGCTTCTTCTCGGAATTCGGGAATGGATTCCGCATACATGATAGCTTTAATGAGACGTTTCGTGACATCGTCCTGTTCATCCTTTTTGGCAACAGATCGTTGGCGATCTGACGTGTTGAAAAAAGAGAAGTCCGCCGCTGGTTTGCGAGCGAGGAGATCCTGTGCCTGTAGACGGACCAACCTAGGTAAATCATCTGGTAGGTGGTCAACGCCAACCCGTAATTTCAACTGAGACTTTATGAGCTGCAATGCTTGCTTTTTGTAGTAACCATCGAATTGCCTGGATGCATTTGCTTTCGAAGGCTTCGGGATCTCCATCAATTTTCGAATGGCTAGGTCGATGCCAAGTTCAGCCGGAAACGCGCGATCACGTTTTGATCCTATTAAGCGTAGATCGAAGCTTGAGGGATCATCGGCGTACTTCTGATAATTGACTGGTAAAGCTTCGGTCATAAATTTGCGGTTTCGACCACCTAACTTCCCTAGTATGCGCATAGTTGTGTGGGCATGGAAGTGACTGTAGGGATGTGGTTTCAGATGCTCGAAAAGCGCGTTCATCAAGTCCTCTATCACCGGTGCCATAATGGGATCCAAGTAGTCAGCCGTGAGATTATCAACGCAAAGCTCCAAGGTCCGCAGCCCCTGACCGACGAGATCTGTACCAGCTCTAAGAGCGACAACCAATGGCCGCATTAAGAAACTTAGGTGCGGAAGCAGATTACTAAGACGTGCTGGCACCGTAAGGCATAACTCGACGTACAGATCTCGCTCTGCTGGCTTACGAGCAGCCATGAGCAGATTGTTCAATACGTCAAGTAGCATTTCTAGGAGCGGTAAAATTTGCTTGTACAGATGTTCGAACTTTCCGCCGCCAATGCTTCTAAACAACGAACGAAGAAGTAAGAAGTAGTTCATCGGCTCCTCAGCCTTGGTAGATAAATCGATCGATTTTGTGACTATGTCCACAACGTGTGGAAGCAAGACTTGCTCATTCTGGTTTGCGAATAGGGTCACTGCCATGAATGCAAGCTTGAACAGACGTAGAAGGATTGATGACTTTTTCACATCAGCCGATCCTACGTCGTCGATTCGCTCCATGAGGAATTTCAGGAGCATGCCACAGAAACTTGGTGATGTAGCCTCGCTGGCTAAGAAGAATTGAGGGATGTGTAAGAGGGCAGTATGTTCGAAAATCATTTCGTAGAGGCGAGGGATCTCCTGCTGAAAGACCTCATGAAATGTGGCTGGGTCAATGCAGTGGAAAACTGTAGCGAAAGTTTCGAGAAGATCTTTCTCTTCCTTGCTGCTTGAGACCATATAGAAGTTAGCCATATATTCTACCGGCGATGCATACTGTGATTCGGCAGCTGGCTTTTCGATTTCATAATATCGAAAAACATATGCGCCTTCTCGGAAGAGCTTTATTATAACATTGACTTCTTCTGCAGAAAATCCGTACGAAACTTCTTGCCAATGCGATGGTGCATTCTTAGGGTCGACCTGCAGAGGTGCATTGCACGTTCTAAGCTGGTAGAATGTGTTTTTAAGTCCATTCATCAGATTTTTGAACAAGAACTTGTTATCTGCAACGGGATCTGTACCGCGATCACGAGGGTTTGACGTTTTTATCGGCATTGCTGTGAAGATGTCGGTTTCATCCCATTGTGGATGATGCTCCTTGTCCGCTAAGTACGTATCGGGAATCTGGTCGGCAGCCTGCTGTGCATAAAGCTTGGAAAGCTTCACAGCGTTAGGGTATTGTCTGTTCATCGCGGCAAATTTATCACCGATAGCGTTGAGAATCAAAAGCAGATAATGCCGTGCATCGATCTTGTTCGGCATCTTGGCAATACATTCGGCCATATTCAACAACAATTTCGCACTCATCGTCTGGAAACTCGTGCCAGGGAAATTATCCTGCAAGTTCTTGGTGTATACTTCGACAGTTTTGCGAATTTGTTCCGGGTTGAGAGAGTCGCGAACATGATGTATGAGGTCGGCAAGCATACTATAGGCCAACGGCCTCAATGTATCATACACTGTGAGCCCATCGCCAATCAATGTCTTCTCTTCTAAAAGCTCATCGATCTTAGGGAGGAAGATCTTCCGAAAGTTGAAGTTTATGATGTGCCGAATTGCAACTAATAATTCCTTACGGGCTGCAGATTTCTCTCTCGGGCAGTCTCTAAGTAGACGAACGACGATCTCGGGTAATGTTGGTAGGAAGTCCGTAAGTTGGCTAGAATACTGTCTAAGCAAATATGCCAGAAAGCTCATAGTCTTCACTTGCGCCGTAATAAATTCACCGAAGGCCGGTCGGTTCTTGATGTTCGGGCTCACACCAGCAAATACAGTATTTCTCGATTTGGCTTCGGCATGAGCTTGTTCTTGTGCCTTGGCCTGGAGGCATAATACCGACTTGATCAAAGGGACGAATGCCTTGACATTCTGCTGGATGATGCTCCTATGTGTCTGGAAGACGGATACAACAATGATTGGGCATTCCGATAAAACCTTGAACGATTGCATTCCTTTCAATAAAGGACGGCTTTGCTGTTGAAGGTCTTGGCCCAAGTCCGTCACAGAGGCGACCGGGGATCCTGGCCGTGGAGATTGGAAGTTGGTTTGCGTGCTACCAGGTGTAGATGGCGGACCAGATGCATTAAATGGAATAGCAGTGTTATCAAGCTGCTCTCGCACGACCTTCTCCATCTGCTCAAATAGCTCTTGAATCAAGTCCAAGAAGGGTTGGACTTTGCCATGGAGGACTTTCGGCTGGTGCCTCATGATATCTGAAATTATCTTGACACATAGTGTGGCATTCTCTTCATTATCGTTCCTAACTAGGGTCATCAAAATATCGACAATCTCTTCGGCATATGGCTCAAAGGGTTCTGGGGAAATTTGAGTCTGGTGAGTAGGTAGACGGTGGAGGATTTCGAGAACACAGTTTCGGAGTTTCTGCTCGGGAGAGGTGCTTTGGAATAGACATGGTCCTCGAAGGATGATAACGAACAACGGCATCAACCGCTTAAGAAAGACGACATAGTGCGGGCCATTTGTGTAGTGTTCGAGACTGTCTCGTAGGGTGGTGGCAGCATCGAGCTTGGATCTAGGTTCTACAAAACAGAACATTAATTCATATTGCTTTCAAAGGTATCGAAGATAAAAGGAGAACAAATCGCATGGAGATGACGGTAAGAATGATAGTGTATATAGACTATGCATACCTGTTTCTTGAGTCGTCAACCTCTTGACGATATCGTCAAGTGCTGGCCCCGACATGACTACAACCCCAGCATGCGCGCCGTGAATGACCGGATTCTATCATGCGAAATTCATAAGGCTTTTATCAAACACGAGATTTCCATGCGATAAAATCTTGGTCGTTGAGTATATGCGAAGAAGGGTAAGGTACTTCGTAGGGTATGTTGCTATACCTCGATGCGACAGAGATAGAGGATAGAGAATGCTGCGTTGAGCAAGTAGTAGAAACGCAACAATAAAAAAGCCTATAGTGCAATTTGCATGCCCATTAAAGGAGAGAATGGAAGAATCGGAAGGGTATCACGAAAAGTGGTTAAAGATTGTAAAAGGGAAAAATGGGCGTAAGGCTGAGGTAGAGGTAGAAGCTGTAAAAGTTAAAAGATTAGAGGTTAGAGAACTGGCTCAAAAAGTTAAAGTCAGAGTCGCGACTAAGAAGCGACAACTGAATTTGGAGGTGGGCGCGACTGTCAACGCACAGTACAGGTACAACGCTAGGCCTTACTGATTTTCCGAGTTTTGGAAACACTTAGACAGTTTGATTGGTTCAACTTTGGGGGACAGTCTGGGGCTTTAACAGGGATTATCGACGCTTTGACCAATTGAAATGTGTATACCCTTGTCCGCCTTATCGATAGATATCTCTAGCAAGCTAGGTACAGTTCAAGGTCAGAGCTGTTCAAGTACGTACTGCGATAGATGTGCAATATCGGACTCTAGTTCACGATGGGGAGTCCTATTATCGGGCATAGAATTATCATAGATACCTGAGGAACAGCCAAATCTTAACGTTGACGCATGCAAAATAGCAATTAGGAAAACTTTATATAAATTAACGGCCTCTAGTGTCCCTCATATATAAATTTTAACTCATCTCTGTTTATCGTAATATTTTCTAGATCTGTGACAGTGCTTAGGTGCTTAAGCCTTAAGTTTACAAGTTGAATCTAGGTAGGTGCCATACAGCTTCCTTCCTTCTTCCTTATCTTGATTAACTACTAAGTAGGTACTAGGTACCTACCCATCTACATCATCAAGAATTCCAAAGTTCAAGGTTATTTTGACAAGCCTTTATCTTCTGCGCATACCGACTAGATACTCGTTTCTCTTAACAGGGACATAATTGTTAAAGATAGAGTAGCTAGAAAACGGTCATACTTGGAACCGATGGCGGACAGCACTCAGGCAGCATTTTTCTATGGTAAGTACAGACACAAGATGCATATTACTCGTCGCATTTGTATTAATGATAGCTAGGCACACTTGTTAGGGTTCCTTTCATAAAATGACACTCGATTAATTGCTCACAATTCCATAGATGGCCCCCGAGGTATTCTTCACAGTCTGCTATCGGGGAATCCCGAAAGAAAACGTTGCTGTGCTGAGAGGTCTCCATGATTTCAACCCAGCAATTCTACATGGGTTCTGCCGGCGGTATGTCGATATTCTCTATCTATCTCCCACGTCTCTGGCATCAAACACTATCCATTATACGAATAATCATAGCAGCCTCATCTAGGCTTGGTATAGGTACCGTTTAGGGCATAGCTAACCCTTAGGTTTATAGTCGGGTTAAAGGTGTGGATTACCCAGGCATTATACCTGATGAAGACCATGAGGTCAGAGGAATGTATGTGACGGGTTTAACACCTGCCAATCTGTATCATCTCGACAAGTTCGAGGGCAGCGAGTACGAGCGTCGGAAGGTTAAAGCCCGCTTGCTTTCGAAAGTCGGAGACGATAAGGGACGGGGTAACGTCGAGGGCGATGAGGTCGAATGCGAAGTCTACGTCTTCAACTATCCTAACGACTTGGAGGATCGAGAGTGGGATTTCGAAGAGTTCCGGCAGGAGAAGATGAAGAAATGGACGCGAGAAGATTATGGGTTCGAAGATACCGATCACTTTACACCTCAAGCCGTCGACGAGGATGAAAAGCAAGCTGCTGTCTGTGAGTTCACGTACCCTTACACTTAGTCGTGGAGTTCCTCATCTAATTTGGGATAGGAAAGAGATGAATCTCGAAATTAGGATTACGCCAATGTGGCGATGTCCTCATAATATTCCGTTTCATACATGGAAATTATACGATAGAGATGCAACGTTGCGAATAGTGCCTTCTTACCTTCCGACTTAAAACCTATTGCAGAAGACATTCAGGTTATAGTTCCGCTTAGCCAAGGGCTGACCGTTAGAAGCCTGGCCAGAACATAATCGCCCCCAAATCCTAGACACCTAGTAGCCAGGTGATTTCTATTGGAGCAACCATGGATTTTAGTAGGAATGAAGAACTTACATCTCATAATCTAAATTTTAGACCCAATGGGCAGGTAGGTTTCGTTTCGGCTCCCTCGCGGATCAGTGCATGACGCCTTTGAACCGGGGTGCACCGGTCAAAAAATAGTATGCCGCGTACGACGTTATGCGAAACCCGGCCGGAATTTACAGCCCTTGAAACTCGGGTCGGCCTGCCTATGGACTAACAAGCATTCATGATTTTACACATACTGACTTCGTAATACCTGTGATCAAGGCGCCCAATTGCGATTTAGTTAACTCGTAAATGCCGAAGAGGCTTAAAATACGCCTTACCATCACTTTTTGCCCATGAATCATTCGACCATCCACTGATTCCTTTTTCATCTTAGACAGGAAACATGAAACTAGTTCGACCTATAATATCGACTCCTTCGACGCTGTCAGCTAATTGGGAATCAGCGGCACATAAGACCACCGTTGAAGCTCTTCATGTACCATATTTATTGCAAGCTTATTCACATATACATACTTACATGCTATCAAGCTAGGTAGTAATTGTAAAGATGCATGCATAATAACCTAAACAGCAGCTTTCAAGATCGCTGACACCGAAGCAGGTAGCTAAGCCTCTATGTAGTATGTAAATGATGAAGACCTACCTGGTATGTAGGACCTAGGTAGGTGCCCACAGTTATCCGAGAGACATAACAAGCTTTATTTCGACGCCAAGGACCAAGGAAATCGATTACGGAGGCTCTCAGGTCATCCCTCAGGTATTTTTATCTTCCCTAAAGAGGCAACTAACGACGCCTAATATCTCCCATTTAATTTTTAGTACGGACGGTTTACTATCTATCCGCTTTTGCCCCCATTCTATGTACGTAATATGTCTTGACATATACCTAAGCGACATATTGATCCCACGTGCTATTTCAAGCAAAAGCGCATCGTCTAGACTCTAATTCATGGAGAAACCCATGTAAAGTCATTCTATGGAAAGAGGGCACGGCACGTCCATACTTCTGTCCACTGCCTAGGTACGTTAGATACATTAGGTACCTAGTACCTAGTTCATAATATTCGTCTTATGATTGGAAAATACGGACGATATTATCGTACATACCTGTGCACATGTTCATGTGATCTTTAAGAATTAGTCGTAAAGCATACGATCAAATAAGTATCTTGTATATCCATTAAGCATTTCAAGTTTATCTTGGATTTGCCTCGTCCGATGATTCCAAGCGACGCAATACAAAGTTTCAAGGTTGCGCATGTAGCATGCTGCTTCGAAAAATTGACGACTGCCAAGCCATAAAATCTAGACGAGTACATAACACGGTAAATCGGCTTCATCGGAACATTTGACTTGCTGTCTTAGGCACTCTGGGCACTCTGTAAGGAGGTGGCATACACAAAATTTACCTGGTTGGCCAGGTGGCTGCCGGTGCTGGTGATTACGGTCCTAGATTTCTAGCCCGGATTGAGGAGGTGGAGGAAGTGGTGTATATTTGACACTCATCCGCCAAGACTCGGCGCTTCCTGGCCGATCGATGGCCACCGATTCACTATATGCAGTCCGGTCACTTGCTTCGGAGTATGAAGATGGCGCGTGTGACGCCCGATGTGCTGCAGTGGCTGATATTAAAGTGATGATTAATATGGTCTGTTTAAAGTAGGGCACCCTACCACCTAGTACTGTACTCTTAGATCGACCCGGATATGGAACGATTGGTTAAGATTGTTGGTTGCCACAATTCAAGCTTTCTTGCTTGCATCTCCATATCCATGTTTGTACCTACATACTACGAGCTGATGACTGGTCAGGTAACACAGTACTTTAAACTCGGGACTTATTCCGTGTATTCGAAGTGAGCGTTGCTGACAGCTGGAGGTACCATGCAGCCATGTAATTCGTTCAATGAACGAAAAAGGATTATAGAGAGGTAAACAAGGATATATTTTGAATTCAATGATTGGAATGGGCGAGTGTCGCATCGTAAAGCTCCAATTAGGCAATCCCTGAAACTGGCACGGTTTCAGATTTCGACAAGTCTGGTGAAGGCGGGGGAAAAGGGGAGAAGGGGTGTTGCCTCTCGCCAAAATCTAATCGCTATCAACGGTTAAAGCCACAGAAATCCCTGTCAGGGGCGAGGGGGTACGCAACTTTAAACCTAGGAGGGCTCAAAATGCTTTTTAGTGATCGACTTAACCCCTGTCCCAGCTCTGTGAGTGGCTGTAATTAGATCTCTCGGCGCGCGCAAACCTTGACCTGCTTGAATTTTAGAGGCTGAAAGATTTTTAGCATTTGCCTTGCAGCGAAAGAAATCCCCTATTTTCCTTGCCCATCACGAACTAATAGTACGTAAGCGGATAGTTTCCCGTATTTTCCCCGGCTCAGGCTGCTCTTATACGGTTATTATTCGTACCTCCTGACGATCTCGTTCTGTTATTTTCGGGCGTATTCTGTAGGCGCATATGAGTAGCATTTTTTGAGATATTTTCTTATTCTTTGGGAATATTATTTGCTTGATTTCTCCGACGACGAAGAAATTTTGTGCGTGATTGCACGACTGTTCTAGAAATCTCGGGACGAACCTTGGAAATCCCAAGTGTAAGGTAGAGTTTGCGACACCGTAACCTAAATGATGACTTGATTGGTTACCGGAGGCGTCCGAATTGGGCAAGTTGGCTTAGTCTTCTGATTATATGATTGGCTAATGACCTATAGGCCAGTGGGGTCAGAAAACCCCCTGAGCTATGTATATTCTGAAACTCTAACGCCCAGGAACGGCCGAGGTCTATGCCGTAAAAGAATTCCTCTCCCCACTCCATTGCTAAAATTTACCTGTCTTTGTACAGCTTAGGCAGTTGTAGCTGTCCTAATTAATTTCTCTGTCACAGCTCGTCAGCATGAGAGCGCATGTAAATCTTCCTTCACAGGCTCACGGTTGACCGATGCGGGGGGTAGTACTAAGGGAACAAACAAGGTCGATCTGAGTCGTTTGAAGATTCGACCCTTTTTCTCCATACAACTCAAACAGTGGGGTCTAACAATTGTCCTGCAAGGCCAGCTGAACAAAAGAAAATGTGAAAATTGAGGTTTTCTGAAAAAATACCCAGGTATAAACTGTTGGTGATATGACTATCCATACTATTTAACTGTTACTAAGGCCATTTAGACCAGATGTTTGGTCGCATGTTCAGCCAAGACGAAACAAGCCAAAAAAGAGGTTACCAAGCAATTCAGCCTATCGTGTAAACCCGAACACCTTTCCTAGTGCGCTACTATGCAGTACGCTGTACTTTGCATTCCCTGTTAAGGCTGTCGTCCACTTTATCCCTACCACCACCCTTACCCCTTACCCCCTGCCCTTGTCCGCCTTCGTCAACCATCATGCTTCGAAACCCACGAGAGCGATCAAGATGGCTGAGCTCTACTGGCTACGTTCCATCCGAACAGAAGTGTGGAGTCAACGATCTGCTCTCGTCTCTGTCGTCCTAGTGGATCTTGCTCCGCGTAGTAAGTAATAAGACCGTCAATGGGTGTGAGCAAGCGTTCTAATTCATTCCTCCCACATCCAATCAATCTACATTCACTTCCTGTTCCTGCAGCTCCCTCAGGCTAGTCACATTCTTTTCTTTGCCATCATCGTGCATCTTTAGTTGCCGCTTTCCATTCTTTTTGCCATCCTTCAAGAGTATAAGACAATCGCTTCCAGTCCCTCAAGTCGATCGTTTTGTTTCTTCTCTCCTCACGCCAGCGGCAGCATTCTTCACGACATCTTCATAGAAGTCTTTCCTTCCTTTACAGGCCAAGCCTCATTTTCAGTTTCTTCACTTTTTTACCAATCGCCAGGAGCATCAACTTTCCTTTGAGTTTAGACTCGCGAAGAAACATCTTGATCGATCTCACTCTCTCATTGTCACTGACATCTCGCTCTGTTCACTCTCGCCAGAACAAAGCCCTTCAGGTTAGTATCCATTGTTTTGCTCGCCTCCCCGATGTGAAATCTGCACAATAACCTTGTTGGGCCACATGGTGGATCAGAAAGAGCCTCTTCGAGATCTATCTACTTGGTTCATGGCTTTGTCTGGTCTCGACCAACGAACAAGGCAGCATTGTATAAATGATATAATAAGACTAATTCGAAATACTAGTTAAGACATACAGACTCTTCAGTCGACCCATATCGATCATTCAATTCATTCCTGCACAAACTTTCTTTAGAGATCTTATCGGCTGGAACCAATAAACGTCTCACCACTACATATCAAAATGCAGTCGTCTATGATTTTCACCTTGGCCGGGCTCGCTGCCCTTGTCAACGGCCACATGAAGATGAAGAGCCCGGCTCCCTTCAACCCTTCGGCTCTTAACAACAGCCCTCTCGACGCCAGTGGTAGCGATTTCCCTTGCAAGATTAGCGGTAGCTACACTGCCACTGGTGGTACCACCAACTCCTATGCTCTCGGATCTAAGCAGACCCTCTCGTTCGTCGGCCAGGCCACCCAGTATGTATCATCGATTTTTCTTTTCTTTCCCTTTTAGTGTCTTAGATTACTAACTCTTGGTTTAGCGGAGGTGGTTCATGCCAGGTTTCGATCACTTACGACACAACCCCTACGAAGAACAGCAAGTGGAAGGTTATCCACTCCATTGAAGGCGGCTGCCCTGCTAAGGGTGTCAGTGGCAACATGGGTGATAGCGCTAACGCCGACGACCCGTACACCTACCCGTACACCATTCCCAGCAACATCCCCGCTGGAAAGGCTACCATCGCCTGGACCTGGTTCAACAAGGTCGGCAACCGTGAAATGGTAAGTAATTCTTTTTGTAAATTCTCATATTTTGATATCTTTACTAACACTTTTTCCAGTACATGAACTGTGGTGCTCTTGAGCTCACTGGTACCGGTGGTAGCCAGTCCAACTTCGACGCCCTCCCTGACATGCTGGTGATGAACATTGCCGGCAAGCCCACCACCCTCGAGGGATACGACTATGCTTTTGCCAACCCCGGAAGCTCCGTTGAGGACAACACCTCGGCCGGCACTGTCGCTACTTGCGGTACCAGCGGTTGCACTGTTGGCAAGACCTCCAACTCCGGCTCCGGCTCCGGCTCTGGTTCCGGCTCTGGCTCATCCGCTGGCACCAGCGCTGCCGCCCCTGCCACTAGCGCCGCTGCCCCTGCCTCATCTGCTGGTTCCGGTGGCGTTTTCCTCACCAAATCCCCCGATGCTGCCACTCCTACCTCTGCCGCAGCCACCAGCCCCGCGACTTCTGCCGCCCAGGCTACCCCCACCGTAAGCACCGGTTCCGGTTCCAGCTCCGGCTCTGGCTCGAGCTCTGGATCTGCCATGAAGGGAGCTTGCAGCCCCGAAGGTACCTTCAACTGCATGGGCTCGTCCTTCCAGCAGTGTGCCTCTGGCACATGGTCCGTTGCCATGCAAATGGCAGCTGGCACCTCTTGCGCAGCCGGCCAGAGCACCACGCTCAAGATTGCCGCCATCGGCAAGCGCACGGCCCGCTCCTTCAAGGCCTAAGTTTATGCCGCATTCTCTTTTCAATAGAGAAAGGGGACGCTGTTACGATAGGACGGGGTCTTGAAAATGGGGATTTTCATTAGGGGACGGTTGAACAAATGACATTGGGGGGCATTCGCGGGTTTGCGGGTTGCATGTTGCATATTCTTTTCTTTCACTCTTCCGGGTCGCCATTAGACTTCTTGTACCACTAGCTTATTCTTTGTACATACCTTTCATACACATACATAGGCCAATAAAGGACCTTCTGACCAAATGGAGCTCGAGCTTGATTGTGTGACATGTCTCTCAATTTTTTTTTACTTCGGACTTCCCCAGATTTGTTGCGAATGCCCGAGCAAGGTAATGACATCATTCTAGAGATTTCTAGGGTATGGTAATTATATATACTGCGATCAGCCTTTTTACGTATGTAGGTTCTGAGTGGAAGGGTGTAGAAGCAGAGGGTGATCGTAACGTATGGACCGATCAATTTTAGAATCGCTGTGACATTTGTCAAGAACCAGATTGGATATTTTTTAGAAAAAAATTGGGAAGGGGGAAATCGATATGTTGTTGTGATTAGGTAGAGAGACGATTCATCGGATACTGTGAGTCGGATACTGTGATTGGTCACTCACCTTATTGGATAAGGTTACATCAGGTACTTAACTTCAACGTCAGTGGCGCAATAAAGTGGACCCATTATCTATCGATAAACACAGCCATCATACAATGTCTAGGTGCCAATCCAAGGTCGTCGCTCTACATCTATGTATCTTCAACGCTTCATATCGATTATCGAAGAACTACCCTTTCAAGTACCTTTTCGCAAAACACGAAGCTATGGATCACGATGAGAAAACTTCCACAGCTCTTGTTCGTAAGAGAAACGATATGGAGCTGATGCCTCCTCCGCCAGCCCCGAAGCGAATCAAGCGACCAAAGAAAATCATCGACGAAGATAGCTATACAGATGCGCTATCGCAAATAATTGCACGAGATTTCTTCCCTGGACTTCTCGAGAGCGAAACACAACAAGAATATTTAGATGCGATCGAATCTAAGGATGAAGTTTGGATTTCAAGCGCAAGTCGACGCCTTCAGCAAGTTATGACCCCGGGACGCCGAAGAGCAAGGAGAGGAACGTCATTAGCACCAGGCGCGCAAACACCAAGGGGCTTCGTTGGAGATACCCCGATATCAGTATCATCTGAATCCACAACCTCATTCTTGAAAGAGAAAGACGAGATCGATACGAATATGAGCTTGGGCGCTTTCCAGTCCAAATATACAAGCGAAGATAACGAGAGTTTCTATAAACTCTTGGATAAACAGAATTTAAAAAAGGCCGAGAAATATGCATGGCTATGGACTGGGAATAAATTGCCTTCTAAAATGCAGTTGAAGCAAAAACAAATCGAGGCAAAGCTGATGGAGACGCGAAGCTTGACAGATGACGGATTTAAGAAAGATCGTTTAGCTATCAAGGATCGAGATGAGAGGCCCTCTCAACCTACCACGAAGAGCTCAGCACCGAAAAACTCTTTGATGTTCATCCCGGAGGGTATAGAAGAATCGATGGTGACTAGAGTGCAGAAGGCGGAAGCCGAGTCTCGAGCCGCGCCGAGGGGGGTGAATTACGAGAACACTAGGTTACCAGGACCGAAGATTACCGACGACGAATCGGTACCATCGTCCCCATCGTTGTCAGCCGTCCGGGATGCTATCGCGGGAAAACGAGGAACCAGCGAACTCGATTCCACTACCGTAGGGAGCGAAACGCCCAGAGTTAATGGATACGCATTTGTGGACGATGAAGAGCCGGAGTACGAGGCGCCAACGGCACCAAAGATTGATCTTGGACCTGGCGATTCAACGCCGAATCCTTTCATTATCAAGGAACAAAGTAAAAGGGAGGCCCTTCACCATCGCATGGTCGATCGGATATCGCAGTCCAAAAGAACGTCATCTAAAATTGGATTGACTGGAAGAGTTGACATAACGCCTGTCCCTAAGTTTCCAAGTAGTCCTCGTGTTACGGCAGGCCTCACGCCAGCAGCTCAGCGACTTTGGAGTAAAATTGGTGGAAGTGGCGGAAGTACGCCAAGAACGCCTTTCGGCCAAAGTTCACCGATGAGAGGAAGAAGTTCCAAGTTGAAGCATGTCACGAAGTGACACAGGAATAGATATGACTTATGATACAAATATGATACCCCTATAATGATTAAAGTGCTCAGTCACACATCATCCTAGATATTCAATACAATTTCGTTGGAAGCAAATAGCCATCTTCGTTCACCACTTTGTTCCATTTCCTATGAGTTTGCAAGAGAAAGATCATATGCAGGTTTATTCATACTAATATTTGATTGGCTTAAGAGAGTGACAAGGATCTGGAGCCTAGTGGGGCAGAACAAATTTACCCAGTTGGTAGGTACCTAAGTATCTGACTAGGGTAAAATTGAGCTTGGACAGCTTCAAAATCGCAACTCGCATTTGTACCTTCAGCCTTTTAGCCTTGTATTCAACTCAACCTAACCCAACATAACACAACACCGATATTCATGCGCCGATAATCCCGATAAATTTCACTTGAATTAGACAACTTGTAAGGAACTCCGAATCCATACGATATGTCGAAAAGACAGGCCTCTGAAGCTTTAGAGGACCTCCAGGGTGTTGATACTCCCGTATCGAAAAGGTCGCGGCTCGACGATGGTCCAGAATTAAATGGGAATGATACCTCTATTTCGGATGGGAGACTCGACGATGATGGTGACGACTTTGAGGACGAGCCTTCGAAGGCACCGATACGACAATCCGCTCCTACAGAAGGATATGACGACCTTTACCTAGATACGATCGACCGCAACGTGCTCGACTTCGACTTCGAAAAGCTATGCTCCATCAGCCTGTCAAACATAAACGTCTACGCATGCCTAGTCTGTGGCAAATACTTCCAAGGACGCGGTCCTAAATCACACGCATATTTCCACTCTCTCGAAGTTGGACACCATGTGTTCATCAATATGGAAACGCAAAAGGTCTATGTGCTACCAGAAGGCTACGAAGTGAAGAGTAAATCTCTGGACGACATTAAATACGTATCTGATCCAAGGTACACGAAACAGGAGGTGATGGAACTAGATCGCAAGGCGCGAGCCGCGTGGACACTGGGTGGGAAAGAATATACACCTGGGTTTGTGGGGATGAACAATATTAAGGAGAACGATTACCTTAACGTCGTAGTTCAGGCGCTTTCTCACGTTTCACCGCTTCGAAATTTTCTCCTACTAGAAGATCTCTCATCGCGCGCTGAACTCGTGAAGCGTTGCGGTATTCTATTCCGGAAAATATGGAACCCTCGAGCTTTCAAGAACCACGTATCGCCTCACGAACTGTTACAGGAGATTTCATTAAGATCTAACAAGAAGTTTACCTTAACGACGCAATCCGACCCTGTTGAGTTCTTATCATGGTTCCTTAACAATTTACACTTAGGATTAGGGGGGAGCAAGACAAAACCGGGGAGCAGTATCATACAAAGGATATTCCAGGGGAAGCTGAAAGTTGAGTCGCAAGCTATCACGGCCAAGGCAGATGCCAATGATCGCTTGCGGTTTGAAGAGGCAGCAGAAGTGAAGGCGGATGTCAGCCGCTTCTTACTCTTGACACTCGATCTACCACCAGCGCCCCTATTTCAGGACGAGCTGGAACGAAATATCATTCCGCAGGTCCCCCTAACTACCATATTGTCGAAATATGACGGTGTCAAAGCGCAGGAGCACCTGGCGCAGAGGAAACGATATCGATTAATGCACCCCTTGCCGCCTTACCTCACGTTCCACATTAAACGCTTCTCCACAAACAAATTCGTATCAGAGCGCAATCCTACGATCGTCACCTTCGACGCGCGCGTTGGTCTCGATGTATCTCCTTATGTAGAGCCAAGCCCAGCGGAGTATCCTCCAGGAGAACCTATTTGGTACGATCTGGTTGCGAACGTTACGCACGAGGCTGTTAGAGCAAAGGAAGACGTGGCGGACTCAGGCGAGGAACGGAAGACATGGAAGGTCCAACTGAAGGATAAGGGGAGAGACGAATGGGTTGTATGCCAGGACCTATTCGTCGAACAGACCCAGAAGGAACTGTTGTACCTGGGCGAATCTTATCTGCAAATTTGGGAAAGGCGGCGAGATCCCAAAGGCAAACGGAAAATATGAAAATACCTGATCGCATGAGATGGATTGAATCAAGTTAGACAAGCAATTAGCACAATTGGATCCATGAGATCCTCTTGTAGCTTGCCATCACTTTACTATAAAGATACCAACAATTGTGTGCTTCTCAGCTAACCTAATATGTCTTCGTGCTGCGAACACTCATGTTCCCGGTTTTATTAACTTGAGCCATTGAGACTATTCACCCCTATACTATATTAGGGTCGAGAAAGATGATTCACTATACTGCAAGGGGAAGATTGAATATCATATCTTCGAGCAGATAAAAGTTTCTTTGTTCGATATTGATGCTTTTTATATTTATGTGGTGACACTTAGACTATCTCAGCTGGTCCCACTTTTGGCGTATGCATTGCCGGGCGTTTCAAACAGGGCATTTGGACTAGGATTCCTAGGTGCTATCTTGCATGTGCATGAGACGGTGAGGGACCGGGCGCTCTACATTCCTGATATCCGTTGTCCTAGACATCACTTAGAATTGCCAATCATTCTTCTATACAACTACTATTCATATACCATATATCATATCGAATTAGCTATATAAGAAACATCAAGTTATACATCATGAATGTTGGTAAGGATATCCAAACACACTGTCTATGATATCTAGTCTTTTACTCATAATATTATCGATAGACTGGCTTCTTGACAGTGGATACGTCCCGCACGGCGTGATCCGGATTGGCATCCGGCGCCAGTTGGCGCAGCGGCTCACCGAGATCAAGACGTCGACGCTGACGGCGGAGTACGAGCGCAAGATGAAGTACATCGAGCTGCTGCGCAACCGTCCCATCGCCATCGAGACCGCCACTGCCAACACTCAGCATTACGAGGTTGGCACGGGGGTCTTGGTGGGGATGCTAGGCCCGCGCATGAAGTACTCCAGCTGTCTGTACCCTAAGGGCAACGAGACGCTCGCGCAGGCTGAGATCGCCATGCTGGACTTGTACATCGAGAGGGCGAAGCTCCGCAATGGAATAAGCATCCTGGATTTGGGGTGAGCGGATATCTTCTCGGATAGCTGGAATAAAATACTGATCACGTGCGCAGGTGCGGCTGGGGCTCCGGCGCCTTGTACTTCGCGGAGAAGTTCCCCAAGTCCAAGATCACCGCGTTCTCGAATTCGAGGACGCAGAAGGAGTACATCGACTCCAAGGCGAAAGAGAAGGGCTTGTCGAATCTTACCGTCATCACGGGTAATGTCGTGGACTACGAGTTTAAGAAGCAGGCCTTTGATCGAGTAATCTCAATAGAGGTAATGGAATATGATATTGATAATTCCCTTTTTATGATAAGATATTCCGTTGCTAACGTATTTCTAAGCTATTTGAACATATGAAGAACTATGAGCAGCTAATGGCTAAGATTTCAAGAGCCCTGAAGCCCGGGGGCAAGTTGTTCGTGCACATCTTTGCGCATAGATCCACCCCCTATGACTTCGAAGAAGGATGGATGACGGAGAACTTCTTTACCGGAGGCACCAGTACGTATTTGAACCTAGACGTGGAAATCAATGGCTGCTTAGGAGATATGTCTGCTGACTTGGAGTTTTCGTATAGTGCCTTCGGCAGATCTACTACTATATTTCCAGAAAGACCTCCAGATTAAGAAGCAGTGGTGGGTCAATGGAACCAACTACTCAAAGACATGTGAGGTTAGTACGCTCTTATTTATCAGGATCCGTATAGGATCATTCTGATACCCGAGACTATTTCTACCATGTACTAACTTGGCCAAAGCATTGGCTTGAAAATATGATGGCGAACTCGAAGGAGATTCAGCCGCATCTAGTGGAGACGTATGGCGAGAATGCAAACATGTGGTATAACAGGTGGAAGATCTTCTATATGGCTTGCTCGGAATTGTTCGCTTATGAGGGAGGTGACACTTGGGGAGTTGCCCAATATCTGTTTGAGAAGCCGAAATAGACGCAATAGCGATACCGTAGCACACGAATATAATGTATAGACCATTTGACTAATTTTGTTCTCTTTTCTCTCATTGTGCTAATCTCCTGTCGGTTCGCGATTATTGCGTATGTACATCTCGAGTTCTCAATCGAGCCACCTCAAGTCGTGGTTATAAGCCAGCCATTGTGTTTCATATTTGTTCTTTCTTCGCACTCGTCAAGTCTTTCGTCTAGTGGTCCCACGGATGCTTCCAGCCCATCAGGACGGCGCCTAGTGTTCGGGTAAGTAATGGCTCATCATAGTTTGGGTTCGGTATTAATCACCATCTTTCTTCGCTCGATACATTAACTATACAAGAAGTTAGCATGTGAGAATTAAGAAAGGGTAAGGGGAAAAGACGTACGAAAAACCACATGCTTGCGCCGAGAGCGGTCGCAGTGTATCTGTATGCGCGAGGGGCCCGCCAGCTGGATGTTGGCGGGATCATATGGACAGGCCTACGACGAGGCGGGCCATGAGGTTCACCGGACATCGTGACTAGAATTGGTAGCCCGCTCTTTAAATGAGTATCGTTGTAGACTGAGAAACGGGTTTATATGACCCGGAGCGATGTCGTGAATCGTGATGGGTTAATTAGAAAGTCATGTACAGTACATTCGGAGAGCTTGGAGACAGCTCTACCGAGTATTAGCCGGAGGAAATGATTAGCATTACATAATAAATTTTGTAGACCATCTGATTCGTTCAAATTCTCGGGGCGTGAATACTAGTGGGTCTGAGGCTTGTGTGGCGGGTGAGCTGTTTTTATGGAACCATTGCAGCCCTTGGAAGGTTGGAAGGTTGGAAGGATGGAACCTTGAAAGCTTCAAGGTTCTAAGTTGAAATCCAGATCACCTCTGGAATTTGTACACAACCTTCTACAAATACAGAAATACTCCACGTCAATTTATACTCATCATACGAAGAATTGTCTGGAAATAATTCCCACAATGCGACGCGGTTTTACATAATTCATTTGATTTAATCGCAAGCTAGCGCGTTGCTGGTTTGCGATTCCGGGTCCATCAACTCTTGACGTTCCTCTTCCGACCCGAGACGCAGACTTTCCCTTTTTACCACTTCCCACCTACATCTTTGTCGCCCTACTCAGAGAGACGCGCTGCAATATTGGATCTGCAGCTTTAGAGATGGCGCAGAATACTGCAAGCGCGGCCCCTTCGCCGCGATCCTTCGCGATCCAACATCAACGCCCTCGAGAAAGCTTCGGAGGATGCTCAAGAATCACAGACTACGAGCTTCTTGGTAAACTAGGCGAGGGTACTTTTGGGTAAGTTCCTGAGAATATACTTTCATTGCACGTTATTAATGCTTACTTTCCCATTAGCGAAGTTCATAAGGCGAGATCACGAAAAGCTGGGACACTAGTTGCTCTGAAGAAGATTATCATGCACAATGAAAAAGACGGATTTCCCATCACCGCACTTCGAGAGATCAAGTTGCTTAAACTATTGTCGCATAAGAATGTCTTGCGCTTGGAAGATATGGCCGTTGAACATCACAACAAGATAAGTAAGTTGTCCTTATCCCACACGAATATATCCAATAGCCTAACAACATTAAGCCGACAAGAGAAAGCGACCAATTATGTACATGGTAATGCTGTACATGGACCACGACCTGTCTGGCTTACTCGATAACCCATCCGTCCAGTTCACTGTACCCCAGATCAAATGCTATCTACTCCAACTCCTCGAAGGCCTCCGTTACCTCCACGACAGCAAGATTCTCCATCGCGATATGAAGGCTGCCAATTTACTCATCAGTAACAAGGGAATACTTCAGATTGCCGACTTTGGCCTCGCGAGACATTATGACGGCCCGGTTCCGGAACGTGGAAAGGGTGGTGGTGAAGGACGACGGGAATACACAAGCCTAGTCGTTACACGATGGTATCGGCCTCCTGAGCTTCTACTACACCTTAAGAAATATACCACTGCTATTGACATGTGGGGTGTTGGGTAAGACTCACCAATTATTTAATTGGTATACAATCTGTTAACATGCCTTATAGTTGTGTCTTTGGCGAGATGCTAGTTGGTAAACCCATTTTAGCCGGCGAGAGCGATAGTCACCAGCTTGAGATAATATTTGACCTTGTTGGAACTCCAACGGACCAGACCATGCCGGGATGGAAACAGTTGCCTGGAGCTGAGGGACTCAATCTACGACCGAAACCCTCTACGCTATCACAGAGATTCCGTGAACATGGTTCAAGCGCTATTTCTTTACTGAAAGAACTCCTGACGCTTGATTGGAAGACCCGTATTAATGCCATCGACGCATTAGAACACCCCTATTTCAAGACAGCACCTTACCCAGCGAAGTCAGAAGATATTCCTACCTTTGAAGACAGCCACGAATTGGATCGTAGGAAGTTTCATGACCGAAAAGCTGCTCTTCCGCCGGCTCCCAAAGGAGGCACTGTTGGGGTCGGTGCCTTTGAAGGTCCCAATGCCTCGTTTGGAAGTAACGATGGTTATGGTAACAGGATGAATGGTCGGTATCAGAGACATCATGGTGGTGGAGGTGGAGGTGGATATCGCGGCGACGACTCACGTAGACCTGCGTGGGCCCGAGACCAGCCTCATATGGACCATCGACTACCGCAACGCCCACCCCCGCCCGAATATCCCGGCAATGGATGGGATAATCCCGCAGAACACCACGACTCGTACAGGGAGCGAGCGCCTAGAAACCGCGGTGCCAATCGACCAGATGTCGATACTTACATACCTAGTTATCGTGCTGGTGGACGAGATGACCGCCCACCCAGAGAGGACCGACCGCCTAGAGAAGATCGACCTCCCAGAGAAGACCGACTACCCAGAGAGGATCGGCCACCCCGAGAGGATCGTCGAAGATGGGATGATCGCGACGACAGACGGCATGACTGGGATCGACGCGACCGCGATTACGACGATCGCAGTCGAGCAAGTCAGACCCGCAGTCGTAGTCGTTCTCCTAGAGATAGGGATCGAGATCTTTATAGGCGATAGAATCGCAAAGGATCTCGAAGATCTCGAGGACCACAACGGCCACAACGGCCACAACGATCATCTCTGGGTCCTTCTCACCCTTCTTTACCTCCTAGACCCTGTTCCTCCGACCGGCCTCCTACCCGATCACGTAGAACCTACTCATCGGGGACATCTCGAGGAAGTCGGGAAAGCCAGGGCCCATAACTGTGTAATTTATAGCTGGCTTCTGCCAATAATGAGTGCGATAAGCCTATGGCGTGGCCCGCAACATATGGATTGGCGTTTTGCGTTCTCGGGATTTCTAGGACATGTGCGCTGTTAGGCGCGGTATATTGTGCTGGGCTCATGACATAGGCTTGGTACATGAATCGATTTGAATTCTGACATCGGCTTGATTTACAACGTGTGAAAGTGAACATCTTGCTAATGCTAGGACACGGCCTCTCGACGTCGCCTTATGGAAGCATGTCAATGAAAATAGTGTCCCTAGTCGCTCCTTACACGTGTCACTAGGATTTCCATCGTTCAATATCGGTTTGTATCCATGGATCTATGCATGTAGTCTTGTGTGTTGCACCGCTGGAGAATAGGTGGGCATAATGTAACTATTCCGAATCTAGACTTGGCGAATTGTGAAGAGGGTCACATAGATTGCTGAGCTACAGTGCAACGGATATCGACGTCGGGAGCAGTTGTTGTATCGACTACTACAACAGGGGCGGCTTTGGGTGTCTTAGTATACTAGTAGGGTGATGGCTATCTTAACTACTAGGTAGATGACCTTAGAAGTTATGTACTGTGGTGAGAATCAAGGAAACTTGATGTTCAGTCTCTTGCGGGCATTGTACTGATAAGAGATTCCTGACCAAGCATATGCTAACCTAAGCAACGGCGATAGTACCAACTAGTAAGTCGGCTCTAATTATTCGCAAATACCCAATTCTCAAAAATCATGTCTCTTGAACACAGACCAGCCGGAGTTGCAGATCGACTAAGTAGAGCTACTTGGTGATTGCCTATGCATTTCGTTAACAGTATCACAATGAGGTGTTCCGTGGGCTGATATCATATCGGGGCTTGCTAGCTATGTGCAACCCCAGTATAGAGGAGTTACCTACAAACTTGAAGACCGCTCTTCCGCGCCATCAAGTGAGGTCGCTACTACTTTCCTCGTGTATTGTCTGGGAGAGCAATCCCCTGCGTCGTCTCTTGGGCTTGTCAGAGGGCCTCAATTTCTCCCATTGCCTTTCAAACATCTCATACGCATCGTCCTTCTCTTGCTTTGATTTCACACGCTGTGAGGACGCACTAGGTCTAGGTAGTCTACCGGAGCTTCCCTCTGACCGCGTCCCAGATTCTGGTATATCGAAATCTAACTCGTCGTCACTGATATCTCCCAGGTTGGATCTTCGATAGTCTGAATCCTGGTCGCGTGACGTATCGACGCCCAGCGAGACAAAGATGAAGCTCGACGTTCCATGCAACACGCACCCAGCACAAATGCCTATAACAGCCGCGCAGGCGAGCTGCATTTCGTGTTAGTGTCAGTACAACAGCTATTCCCGGAATATATATATATAATTGGTATCCTTACGTAGATATAGAGGTACTATGTTAAAGTTAGTAACTCAGTATATCTATCTATATAAATTGCAGGGATTGCTATATAAAAAGCTATGGAAGTAAATACCTTAAGCCTAGGAAATAAATCCACAATAGCCAGGGCACCGTTCGAGACGGCTTGGAGCATGTACCATATAGGAGATAGGAGAAACACAACTAGAGAAAGGAGGTAGTATAGGGGATAGTGTAGAGGTATCGTGACGAGGTAGCACAACCTCGACAACAGTTTAAGCGCGGGATACAGATATGACGTGCCAAATGTCTGCAAGGGGGTCAGCCAATCCATGATCACGGATTGGCCTCGTGCCCCGAAGACTCTGACGATGGTGTGGGCTGTTCTCTTTTCTTTGCTTCTAACTGGCGTCTTCGAACTTGACCGGTGAACAACGTGAGCTGAATCCGCGGGATAGTTCTTGAAAACAATAGTATAATGGTATAGTATAATGGCAATTATTACCCCTTGACCGAATATTATGACCGACGGATTAAGGAGGGTGTAGTATGACAAAGACAAAGACGACGCTCCATTCTTGGCATCAGCTTCAGATGATCAAATGTAGCCAGGTACCACAGGCACGGCCTTAGTTTCCCTCCAGCTCTTTGGTATGTACGCTGTTATGACTGGGTGATAGTTGCCGATTACCTGGGAATGTACCTTACATTTGTTAGCTCTAGGAAGCAATTGTTAGGTCGCCCAACCCGCCGTTGCCCGACTGGAACATCTGGAACAGCGAAGTGGAACCGGAACACGACTCCACTCCGCGGGTGGAAGGTGAATTCGTTAGTCCGATCCGGTGGGGTAAATGGAAGCTAGGAAGGTCGATTGGAACATTGAGACCTGGCTTGGCAGCCGGAAATGTACGATGTACTGGAACATATTTGGGGTCAAGAACGAACTCGAAGACGAGAGGTTCAATGTTGTTATGTAACTGAAAACCCAAGTAAATCCACGTGCAGCAACGCGGCTCGATCGGCTCGATGTTCTTTTTCATATTCGGTACATGCATGACGATAATATGTCGTGGTTGTTGAGTTGCGCTCACCGCTGACCTCGACAAGATTGACTTACTTGCATCGATGCATGTATGTATAGATTAAAGACTTCTTACTGCATTGAATAGTAGGTAACGATTAGAGTGTTTTCCCGGTTTTGCCAATTTGCGTTATATCTAAATGAGATGATGTGGGAGGTAACCATTTGTTGTCAGATCAATTAAGTATATACCGAATAGTATATACAAGTAATTAATTAGTAGGAGAAGATTACAGTGGAAGATATCAACAGATAAATACTACTACATAGGTAGGTAATCAAGTACCAAAGTGATAATGGTACTTACTGGACCCTTGCGGTGATATTCGGCTATTGTGGTCAGTGCGTAGGTTTGGACCGGGGGGACTAAGGCGGGCAATAGACAAGCAGGGACCAGGGATGTGGGTTGATTGGCTTCTTTCCTTAGTCGTTATCATAGAACGACAAGAGACTTGAATCTGAGCCTGCTGAGCCTGCTGAACGTCGTCCTTCCTCGTTTAGATCCTCCCCCATCTACCCAATCGTTCCCCCATACATCCCTCTCGCTGTCTCATAGCCCCAACTACGCCAAAACGGTCTCATGACCACATTTTGCTTGCGGTGATCCACGTCCCGTCAGTCCATCCGGTCCAGTATCCCTTCAGCTTGATTCACTCGAAGCAAATCCCATCAAATCTCACCAAATCCCCTCTCAAGAAACTCGGTCACACCGCCTGGCCCTGCGGCACCCGCCCACGGCCACGACGCACGACGTACCGCATCCCGCCCGTCAGCTTCCGACTTCCCCGCGATTGATCCAATTCTGTGCCAATTCTGTCCCTTGGAAGTCTCAATACCTTACGAACAAGCAAAAAACAGCCTAAGCCTAACGACTAGAGGGAGGAATTTCTTTTCCTCCCCCGTCACCCCACGTCAAAACAATGGGTAATAACCCTTCCTCAACCTCGAAACCGCCCACCCCCACTACAGCTTCGTCGCACGACTCCCCACGATCTTCCAAGAAGGAACCCAAGAACCTGGTATCAATACACAACCAACAGATCAGGTCACCAGCCTCTCCCGAAGCTTCGACCATCCAGGCAACTGGTACATCTATCATTAACAAGAACTCCCAATCGAGGCCGCTCTCCATCCTCAACTCCTCCTCACCCTCCACTAGCTCAAACAACTCTTCTGCAATTCCTAAAGCTCCCGAGCCAAAGCCGAAGCCCGCCGAATTCAAGGATGAACACTCTAAACCTGTAGCAGTTCCCTTCTCCTATTCCCATTCGGAACAGGACTCCTCTTACGCCCACGATTCTCAGTACGAGGAGAGCCTCATATCAGGCCCCACCTCTAGCAGCATTCAAGATATGTCGTATCATATCAACCGTCCACCTAGGTTACCGCTTCCAATTGAAGAAGAGATCCATACTCCCGGTTCGCCCATAGTTGGACCAAGTGATGCTGACGTCAAGCCTGTCGATGATATACCAGTCTTAGATGAATCGAGTAGTATACCGCGCCGTGCTTCCGGGCTTAGCAACGCGACTGATGAAGATGATGCCGAAGAACTTCGAGTTGATAAGACACGGCCAACTATACCAACCCGTATAGAGTGGTCGCGGGGTGGCCAGAAAGTTTACGTCACAGGAACACCGTTTCAATGGAGTCGAAAGCAGCGATTGGTTCCAGCGTGAGCTTTCCCTATTCTCGCAATTGTCGATCCGACCTCAGAAGTCTGCCAGTAGAACGACTAAATTTTAAGTGCCAAGTGAAGCTTAAATGTCAATTAAACCTCGTAGACATTAATTGCTGACATTTTATCTCTCGGATATAGCAAAGATAGGGAGGGCGTGTTGCAGACAATAATACCCGTTTTCCCAGGCACACACCACATAAAATTCTTGGTCGACGGAAATATGCAAACATCGCCTGACTTGCCTACTACGGTGGATTTTGGAAACAACTTGGTCAACTATATCGAGGTAAGTGGCGACGACGCAGGCTCGAGGAATGTACCTCTGGATGCGGGCGTTCCTAAGTCGAACGAAGCCGCCCTGTCTCTTCCATCGAGACAACCTTCCCACGATGGCTCAGTTAAGGGCCCACAACCGAAGGTGATAGATCCGGTTGAGAGATTCTCCGCAAAGATCCCTCAATATCTAGATGATTTCGACCAGCCCGAAGAGTCCTCGTCATATAGACTTTCTGCGTTGGCTTTGGATCGACTTCCGCCACCACCTAGCCTACCTGGTTTCTTAAGTAAACCGATCATGAACAACACTACGCTCATTAAGGACGACAATAGTGTACTGAACATGCCGAATCACACCATACTCAACCACTTAGCTACCTGTAGTATCAAGAATAACGTTCTTGCCGTATCGGCTACTACTCGATACCAGAGCAAAGTAAGTTTTCATAAACATTTATTCCACTCGAGTCCGTGATACTGACAGTGAGGAAGTACGTGACCACGATTATTTACAAGGCTACAAAGAACGAGTAGCGCTCTACCCTCAAAGACAATGGATTGTGTCGAGTGTCCATAAGGGATACTATTTCATACTATACGGGAGTTTATCTTGGGAGAGTGATACCTCTCGTGTGCTTGCTATTAGGCTAAGGCTAGGGAAAAGGTTATACTCCATGCCTCGAGCATGACTATTCTTAGGGGGAATCTCGCACTGGCTAGTGCCATGTATTTCACTATTTTGAGGACAGATCTATGTGGATCAATTTTGGTTATAGGTTGTGGCGGATGGCTCAATGCGCAATGGCCCGCGCTATGGAAAACTGGTTGTTACGAGAACAATACGATTGCATGAAATCTTAGAAGGATGTATACGACGCAAGCCTAAAACCGCGCAAGCAAAGGATATAAAGACTATTTAGATGATGTTGATAGCGAATCGAAAGAATCACTGTAATCACATTTGGGCATATTTAAGTTTTAGTAATTTTAGTCTCTCCATTTGACGTAGACTTCGTCTGTTCTAAATCGTTGCGTACATGTGCTATCCTCTAACGGTGTACGGAATCCCGTCTCGTATGCAAGAAGACCAGCATGGGCTATCATAATGCCATTATCTATACAGAAACGTTCGTCTGTCGCAAACACACTCCCACCCCTTTCTTTAGCCATCTGTCCCATCATTTCCTGCAAACGCTCGTTGCACCCCACGCCGCCCACGATGAGCACCTGGTTACTCCCCACGTGTGCCATGGCGCGCTCGGTGATCTCCACGAGCATGGCGAACACTGTCTCCTGTAAGCTAAAGCATAGATCCTCAGGCCCGAACCGATCTTCTTCATTAACCTCCTCGCCCCGCGCGATCTTCTCCTGTTGTTCGTTCATCTGCGCCGCCAGCAAATCCGCCGCCGTCAGAATCCCGCTGAAGCTACAATCCATACCCTTCACGGTATACGGCAGGTCCAACAGCTTCTGACCAGCGGACTTACGCGCCAGAAGCTCGATGTTGTACCCCGGCGCCGGGTCGTTACTAATGGACAGCGTGCGCGCAAACCGGTCTAGACAGTTGCCTACGGCAATGTCAAGCGCCTCCCCGAAAATCCGATACCGTCGCTCCGCGTACGCGATCACCTGCGTGTTACCCCCTGACACGTATAACACCACCGGGTTCTCCGCCCCCGTTATCTCCCGTCCCATCTCGATGTGGCCCACACAATGGTTCACGCCGACGAGCGGTAAATCCCACATCAACGACAGCGTGCGCGCGGCTACTGCTACGGATTGCAACGGCGCGCCCATGCCTGGGCCCTTGGTGTAGCATACGCATGACAGCTGTGTGGATGGGTCGGTGATCCCCGCAGATGCTAGCGCGGACTTCGTCAGTTGCGAGAAGTACGCGCGGTGGTGTCGCGCTGTGTCTTTTGGGAGGAAACCCGTCCCTGGAGGCGAGACGAAGGTGTGCCGGATGTTGGCGAGGATGGCCGACTTCCCCGTCGCCGGGTCGTGCGAGATTATCCCGATCCCGAGCTTGTTCGCGCTGCCCTCGCAGCCGATGGCGAGGAGGGGGCCCGGTTGCTTGGTCATTGTTTAGGGTTCACGGGTGCTATGGATGGATGTACCGACCGATATTGACGTCGAGAGGGGTGCGTTGCCAGCGGTGATGGATGGAGCGGGGTGGGGCTGATAGGGTGATAGGATATGATGGGATTAAATGGATCTCGTTAATTAAGCGCGGACTTTTAGATGTGGCGAATATTCTGGTAGGGCGGGTTTTGCCTAACTAATCCAAGCTCCTCAATGCCGCGACTAAGAAAATCCGAACTAGGTACTAGATATGTATCTTGATCCTTGAAATTTTTCGAATTTGTAAAATCTCGTTACTTTTGTGTGAGACTACGCGATTGAACAAAATGAAAAGAAAGGTATGAGGCTCTCTCTCTTGCTGTGGGGTTAGATGTAAGAGCGGGAAGTGTGTCTGCATGTGCAGAAACCTTGAAACCCCTCTCTCCAATGACGACTGATCGGTGACTTGATGACCCTTATCGATAAAATTGTTTCGATTTTGCTTCCATTTGGATTTCCGAATTTGGTTAGGCTAAATCTACGTGGTGGATCCTCGACGCCTTAAGGTTTAGGTACCAGCTGGCCGTCGAGTTGCGCCAGAGTGGGTAGAGTGGGGCAACCACACTTATTCACCTCAATAATAGCCTTCAGTCCTAAGCACCAGGGAGAGAAATCCCATATTACCATATTACCAAATCGCTTGCTACCTTTTCCAACCTCTTGTCATCCTCCCACAAACTTACTAACTACCAACCTTAGTGCCATATTTCTCCTCTTTTGTCCTTTTCTTTTCTATTTTTCTACGAAAGCATATATGAGAGACGAAAAGAATTATCGTGAAGAAGCCGTCTTTTGAATGGGGGAGTATAGGAATCCATGTTCGTCATTGTTGTCCGTAATCCGAGACCAACATCATCTTCCGACTGTCGCTGACTTCAGCCTCTTGCAGACACGTACTCCTAACGATTTTATTTCCTCTCTCTCGTCCTTCCGAGTATCCATTGCTTTCCTACGGTTCGCCTCTTCCGCATCATCGTCCTTTTTTTCTTGTCCTTCGAATCCTACGAACTTTGCCGCAAATAGGCGGATTACGCCAGCGCCTACACGTTTATGCGGGATCCCGTCAACTCCTCACCAGATTCAGGTTTATATCGCACAACTCTGGCAATATGACTCCTATTATTTGCCAACGGACACACAAATTTACAATCAAATACTAAATGTCCTTTCCATACCGAGAGTATGGATAGGTACCTCATTTTGGGTAGACTACCTAGGTAGTCTAGCCGAGAGGAGCAATCTTGAGACACCTCGGAGTTGCGCGCTTCCAGCACATATCTAGGTAAATTACGACGAGCCTTTTCCTTAGCATTCTACGATTTGTCCTATTTTACAGCTTCATCATATTTTCGTTTTCTTCATTTTCGTACATCTGGAGCGATCCATACCTCGTCACCTTTCCTTGATTCGCAACACCCACAGTTAATTTATACCGTATTCGCACAGTGTGCCTGTCAGTCGATGGCACATGATTTTTTTGCACCAACTCTGTCACATTTACCTTCCATTCTCAAGACAAGCTCTTTTTATTTATTTTACTTCTTTTACTTATTGTTCAAATAAGATAAAGTTCTGTGGTCTCGCTAAGTTGCGTTTAACACATGAATGCTAAAATCAGAGAATAAAAGCTAACCTGCTACGAAGCAGCACGGACGTGGGATGATTTGCGCCCAAGACCGATACGCTACTACATTATTGTTCACGAAAGGAGAGCAATGGCCCCTTACCAACTACACTAATATTCGACAAAATGCGACGCAATTTTCAATCCTGAAAGGAATCCCGCCGTCGCGGTCAACATTCAACTACACCATTCTGGTAGATAATTCTTTTATGGAGTGGAGATGATCACAAGTCGCAAACATGGCTATCACGTCAAACTTCGAAACGGATAGGAAGACAAAGCGGGGAACGTATATTTGTTCCCTATGCTCCTCCCTCGTCTGCAGCCTTAAACGCCAGAACAGCTCTCCCAACGCCCCCGGCTATGCATGTGGCTCTGAAGACTATATACATTTACAGTAAGACAGTTCCTAAAAGCATCCCCCTATTTGCCATTTTCTCAAAGCTGGGCCTGTATGTTCGCGGTAGGTATGTACAAGTATTGACGCGAGCAAGGGCAAACTAACTGAGCGGGATCGATATCTCGGTGGACTCTCTCATCGGCAAAGATAGCAGAGTACCTCTAGCCAAGCCGTCGAAAGCTGATTTATAGGGCGAGACAGAGCATAGGCTCTCCTACAGATTTGCAGGCAACAATGCGCTTGGTTAAAGCCAAGATTCGTCATTTCCTGAGCACTGCGCATCTGATTCGTGTTCCAGGTCGGCATTTGAGATCCGTCGAGGACTTATTACGACCTCACCTAAGATTCATCAAGTCGAATTCTGCGGTTGTGGTGCCGGGGGTTGGGGCGGAGGCGCCTGCGGTTGTGGAAGGGCCTGCCGATTTGCGCCCCCCTGGAGGGCTGCCGCATCTACTCCTTGTCTTCTGAATAAGAAGGGCGAAGGTGGTATCGTCGATCTGAATTTCATTTGGCGAGAGCTATTAGGGTCGACTTGATACACCGGTTGTTCATCATCGTCGTCATCCTGATCATACTTCCAACGATCGCTTTGGGAGTAGTCTATCTCGCGCGGAGGGCTCTTGACCCCATTCAGTTTAGGCGGCCGACGATCGACAAACAAGCGACCGAGTCGACCAATACGACGACGATACGAAGTCATCTCTTCGTGATCATCTGTATTCAAGTTGATGCCCTTGAATCCAGAATGAAGAAGAGATCCATCTGCCTCTACCGGAGGTGTTTCATCTACATCCATGGAATCCGACGCGGATGCCGGTGGGGTCATTAGGTATGTGGTTTTTGCAGGCCTGAAGCTTGCCTCCTTTTCTTCTCGGACAGGAGGCAGCGGGTCAGCAGTAAGGTCCACATAGCTGTGATTCCATCTCCTATGGTTCTGTATCTTCATCTCGACATCGTTACGCAACTCGTTCTCCTTCTCAGCGAGCTTGTCGGCCAAGACGACGAGGTCTGCAGGTTCCACAGATCGACCTCCATCTGGACGAACAATAAGACGAAGCTGACCATGAGGAGCTGGCCGAGAAGGTTGCTGGGCTTCTGTTCTCGGCCGTTTCTGCGGTCTCTGAGTGAACAAGTCGTCGTCCTCACTCTTTATGCCAAGACGAACTTTAGATTCCTTAAGACTGGTTCGCAGGCCGAAGATGATTCTGTCATTGCTCAACAGGTCTCTCTTGAATACTTCTCGCTGGCCGGAGAGGAGAACAAGTTGACGTCCTTCTTCTAATTCCTTACGCAACTTCTTCAATTTGTCGCTCACCTGCGCATCGCGTGCCCTCGTCTTTCTTGTCTGTCGGACCTCACGTCGTCGGAAACAGACATAAGGGTCCATGTCGTCATGCTCTTGGTGAGTCTCAAACTTGACCGCCGGGTGCAATATTTTATTGCCGGTTGCCTGTCGTTGAGTCTTCCAATACTCATAAACATTCTTTGCATGGGCTTGAATCGACTTAGCAGAGACTAAGTGGTTCATTGCACGAAGCATTGTGTCAAACGGTACTACCGTATTATCGACCGCAGCAAAGGGAGCCTGCTCCGACGCCGTATCTTCAAACACTTCCATGATGCGCTCGAAGTCGTCCTCGGAAAGCTGGGTGTTTCCCGTCCACTTGGCATTGTAGGTCTTGAGGTATTCCTCATCCTCTGTTGTCATGTCATAGAGACTACCGAGTGTCTCTTCGACGGTTTCAGAGAATTTGATATAGCTTTTGGGCTCTACATATGGGGTGGGATACAGCTCATTATAACTAGCCTCGCTCTTCTGGGGCGGCGGCACCGGAATCTCATTATCCGTACTGGCGCCGACACCCTTGAGGGCGGCTTGCAGATGGTATTCCTATTGGCGGAAATGTTAGTGGACGGTAAGTGGGTAGTTGTGTGGCTGACATGGTTGATATAAACCAATATCAAAAACAGGTGTAGGAGCCAACACGAAGTCACGTGGCAAATCACGTGATACGCGTATGAAAGGTAAGAAAAGTAATGATAACTCACATTTTCCTCTGCTTGTTCGACGCCAGTAGCGATTTGAGATTCATTTGTTAGGGACTCATATTCGTTGGGGTCGATCTGATCTTCGCGGAGTACGGGCAGAGGCGTCTTTGTGTTAAGCTTCTTGTATCGCACTTTCCGGGTCGACATGACGGTCGGCGGTGTGGAGGGATAGTTGGGGAAAAGTCGCGTTTATGGTCGGAAAAAGCCCGAAAAAATTCGGGGACCTAAAAGTTTATGTCATGCGATGATGAAAAATCAATTTTAAAAGAGCTAATATTGGGGTTTAGGTGGTTGTTTTGATGGCCGAAGTGTCGTCGTTGGATGAGGTGACGTTGAATTGTTTGGGGCGCAAATTTTTGCTTGGTCGCCGCAGCAGGCAGCCCGAGCAACAACAAAGTCAGAATAGTGGTTGTGCAGGTTATGCAGAGAGTGGCCTGGGTGGCAGAGGGGTTGAAAGGTGCCCCGTCGCTCCACCAAAAAGAACTTACGCCTTCTGATTTACCGCTCTCTAATTGGGTGCAGGTGCGCATCGTGCAATTTTGGGCAACAACTTGGGGGAGGGGAAAGGGGGACCGGGGCCTGCTAACGCCCGTCCACCCGCTAAAAAAGACAATTACGAGCTGATAATAGGTACATAATACTTAAGTTGCCTAGGTAGGTACTTGCCACTTATGCATTTTTACGCCTGCATTCTTTCGCCGGATATGTACCTTTTCTTACCACCGCACATTCCCCTTTTTTTTCTTCTCTCCTTGCACAGTTAGGTACCTATGAATGTGTATGCACACGATTGATAAGGCAACAACAATGAAATGGGATGAGTAAAAGGAGGTGACTGCCTGCCATAGTCGACCAATAAAAATCAACGCAAAATGCATTCTACTGAAAATTTTGCTATCATGCCTCTGCAACGAGGTAATTTACTCCGATGCAACGATGAACTCCTTCGAATTGTGATTGAATCCTCAAGTTTTTTGTGCACATTTGATTGTTCGGTTTCTTTTTTTGTCTTTGTTTTTTGCTTTTTACACTTCTATGACCTCACTCGACACGGACCTTCAGGCTTCGAGTCCTAGCTGCTAGGTATATTCAGCCACACATGATTTAGCCACAGCTTGAATACAGATAAGAACGTGACTTGGGACCATGCTTCATGCAAGCGTAGGTCGCATCTATGCAACCTATTTTTCAAGATTTATCTATCTATTTTTATTCAGATCATTCATAGATCGTATGTTACAAATGGTTAATTTATTTATGCTAGGTCGATGCACTAAAAGTCTAATAATACATCATTACAATGTCGAATTCGTGATTGTGTAATTATGGCTGATAAGTAATCTGTAACTGGGTGTGGCTTCTACTACCAAATAAATGCGGCTGTGCTCTCGGAACTAGGACCCTTAAACTGTGGGGACCACATAAAAAAGCAGTTCAGATCTTGGTCGCCTTGTCCAGCTTGTCTCGGAAAGACCCCACCAACCCACATTCTCTACCCAACTCTTTCATCAGCCTCATCCATCCGCCAATCTACCATTAATCATCGAACATCGAACCTGATCATAGCATCTTTCCAGTCGACGAATAAATATATTCCATTTTATTATATCGCCGAAAATACAACTATATCCCATTCGAATTATCTATAAATAAGCCGAACCGACGTTTGAATTACTCCGCTTGTCGCTTTGTTCCTTACCACCCCCTAGCCCGAACCCGCCTCCGTAAAGGAGCGTCTAGCAACATGGGCAATACAACGAGCGCCGTGCTCGATAACATCGTGCAAGGGTCGAACTGTACGTTCTTGGCTCTGCCCAACATAGGAAGGAATAGAGTTCTAATTGCGTCTTATAGTCGACCGGGATGAGGTTGACAGACTTAGGAAGCGGTTCATGAAGCTCGATAAAGTATAAAACGACCTATTCAACGTCATTTCCCGCCTCGTGCGCCGATCCAGACGCTAACATCACCGCTTTTGATTCGCAGGATAATTCGGGCACGATCGAACGAGATGAGTTCTTGAGCTTACCACAGATATCGTCGAACCCCCTAGCTACGAGGTACGGCTCCTGTCCCAAACACACATTACGTAAAGCTTTATACGATCACAAGACTTGATACTAACTCATACTTTTTACACGCGAACAGAATGATAGCGATCTTCGACGAGGATGGTGGTGGCGATGTGGATTTCCAGGAGTTCGTGTCGGGACTGAGCGCGTTCAGCAGCAAGGGCAATAAGGAACAGAAGCTGCAGTTCGCATTCAAGGTTTACGACATCGACCGAGACGGATACATCTCGAACGGAGAGCTGTTCATCGTGCTGAAAATGATGGTGGGTAGCAACTTGAAGGACCAGCAGCTGCAGCAGATCGTCGACAAGACGATCATGGAGGCCGACCTGGACAAGGACGGCAAGATCAGCTTCGAGGAGTTCACTAAGATGGTCGAGACGACCGATGTTAGCATGAGCATGACTTTAGGTAAGTTATTTTGACATTGAGGATGATGGGGATTTTAGGATGGCAGTTGCTAACGATTTGGTACAGATCAATTCTAGATACCTAGCTATACCGCAATGCAGCCATAGTAATGAATCATGAGGTTTGGGACGCCATATATTTGGACGACGTGTCTGTTTATGCTGCAGGTACAACGTTTGCCGCACGTGAAGACTTGATTATTCGGACTCGATCCGCATATGGCGTATATGGACTCGGGGGGTGATTGCATGAGTGAATGTTTGCAAGTTGAGTTAGTTGCCGTCGTTTTTTGGCTCTTTGAAATCTAAGAATGGCCCTTATCCGACTCTGATGCATTTAACTCAATATTTCAATCCTATCAGCATGAATAATGATCATCCCAGCCTCGGGCTTAACTGGTTACTATTCCTCACCTAGACTTTAATATTCACTTACAATGGAGAAGGCAACCTATTCGTATCAGATATCCGAAAATCTTCATACTTTTAGGACTAAGTCCATCTTATCTCTACAAGGCGATGCCCAGCGAAACATCAGAAGGCCAGGTTGATCAACAATCAAGCTGTCTCTGTTTAAACGTCCCTTGCTTATCTCCTTGACGAGCAGATGGCTCTTGACCCCTTAAAGTCGGTACAGTACGTTATAGCTTCTTGATATCACTAAAATACGCTCCCAGTAATTAGCATATTATGACAAATCGGAGAAGATAATTGGCCAATCTAGCATAGTTAGTCTCTTTGCTGGTTCAATGGTTATAGCCATATGTTAACCAAGTGGATAACTCCTCCAACCCAGTCAAATTATTCTAAACAACCTTAATCAGCGTATAGCAATAACCTCAAGATCGACCAAAGAAAACCATCTCCCTTGGCACGCACGGGGTACTTAGAATGGCAATGATGAGGTATGTTGTAGGGCGAACTATCCAATGTTCTATGGATGCATCTTGAAAGCCCAGGGAGAAGTTGAAATGTTACCATATATGATGAACTACCTTCGGTTAACAAGCGACATTTTCCTTTTCTTACTTTCTTTACGATATTCTCCCTACTCTACACCCTTCAAGGCTTCTTGGGTGGATATAGCTTCTTTACATTATTGTATTTTCCGATTATGCTAGCCCATGAATATCATACCGTGATAAGACCTGCTTACAACGGCGCTATAGTTTCGATATCTGACTTATACATGTCAGTGTCTAGGTATCAACAATGTATATATCGTGATATACGGCCAATATACAATCATTTCTATCCATACATTAGTACCTACTGTGGTGGTTCTGTTGTCAACAATAAGAGATAAACTACCTACCTACCATTCAACATAATCAACCCTGAAGCTAGCTTCGTTGAAACTTACAGAGCTCCCTGTTTATATGTGGAGATTTTTCCAGGGGCTGGGCCGGAAGTTAGACTTATGTTGTATGATGAGTGGTTATGGCAGGTGACTCGCCATAGGACCGACCACTTTATAGGAGTAATCGCATGCTCATCAACGCCCGTGCTTCCACGAAGACTTCTTCAGGCTTTTCTTCCCTTATAAAATCGCCTACAAAGGTTATAGAAAACACAGCGAAGTCACTGTTGTATCATTTCTCGCTATGAGCCTATGACGGACTTACCTAAAGGTTTGGATTAGAAACCAGTCAAATTCTTTGAAATGAACTCGCGGGGGGATATACGAAACTACATAAAACAGGCGTTCGCGCGGGCGCTTCGCTAGGGCACCGGTCATATAAACCAATCGAACATATACCTACCTAGGTAGTTATGTAGGTAGATATTCATCGTTTTGCAGAAGTGAGACAATATAGTTCGCAAAACGCTTTATTGTTGACTTTGATACTATTATTATATTTGGATAGCCAATTATTCTATGGAATATCTGTCCATCTAGGTATAATGGGATTAAACCCTCGAAGGAACGAAGCCGGCCAATGCCATCGCTATGGTGAGTGTCTGCAATAAAGTAGAATTCAGAAGTATAAGAGAACTCGTCATCTCGAAGATTAAATATTTTGTCAATGTCTCATGTGAGATCCACGGGGCAGTATGATGCGGTCATATCACAAATGCAACTTCTGAAACCATAGACTTCTGGAGTGGAGGTGAATAATAGGTATTGCTGAACTCCAGCTCGAAAATCCGACTAGGCACACGTACCATTGTATGTATGTGATATACCAGGTAGTTCGCATCTGTACTATTCCGCATACCGGTACAGAACCCGTGAGCGTTACATCCATATTGTCACTACATTTACCTCGGCAGCATATTCCGTCTCGCGCCCACCTCCAGGCAGCGATGTGATATTGGCCCTAGGACCGCCACATTATGTCGCGGCTGGCTGCAGAAGTGGCCGTTATAGCAAGATGACTGCGAGATTCTGCACGCCGAGACGTAAGCAGAAGGGACTCGCGAAATACTTGGTAGGCTTTGAAGGGTTTAAAAGCCTACCGGCGCTATTACCCCGTACGGATTGCCGGCTATCGAATCATTCCAAAAACCGCAATACGCTGGGTCAGCCAGAGCCAGACCGGCTCCGCAGCCGGCAATGAAACAGTCGATCCCCTGCAGAGGATGGGTGGTGGTGGTGCGGGAGCGTGCCGTCTGATGACACTTGCGACGAACCCTACCGCGTCCCATTTAATGAGACGCATGCAAGATGAATCCTGCATGCATGTCGCGTAACGATCGGTAGGATTGGCTTCGCTAAAGAAGAAATTATAGTTGGAGAGGCTTTCATATCGTTCTGTGACTAGTCCAGTCGACGAAGGCCTCATCGAATTATCGTGTCTTGGACCTGACCGGTACCAAGTGGCGTAGACGCCCTCTAACTCGAAGTGATCTTAGCACACATACTATAGTACATCTTACCTCAGAAACCAATCGACTTCAGCAGTAAGCATTCGTGCGTAAATTACTCGAACCCATGTCGCGATAGTAAAAATTTCGACAAAAGTTCCACTTAGATTTTGGCGAGTTTATTAGATCATGTAGGTGTAAAGGGGGCTGTAATCACGGCCGTTACAATTTTTCTTATTCTAGGATAAGTAGTGCGGGTAACTGCATTGGCGGGATGTTTTGCTTCTGGTAGGTACCTAAGTATAAACGACGGCTAGTTGTGATAGCCCTAGGGTGGCTGTTTGTTCTCAAATGTGAGCAATGAGCTATCATAATCGACGCTGACGCGAAACTGGGCTTCAGATCTAGGCGACGGTGGCGGAAGATGCAGATCCAGTGGTTCAAGCTCAGGCTCCTGCGGGAGATTTGCTGATGCGACGTCAGGAACTCTCAGCCTCTTTTCCAATAGTCTGGAATGGGGTAGTACTGAGCTTGCAGCAATACAGCCCTACATGGATATATTCAACTTGCCTAGCGTTTCTGGCGGCCTCAGTACCCAAGTTGTGAGTGGGTAGGGGTTTAATGGATTTAATGGATGGTAATTCGATGTCGGTTGATGAGACACGAGCAGGGACTGGGATGTCGTACAAATATATCGATGCTTTAGGATTGAACCCCTTCAATGTCTTTAGAATGAGCAATAAACAAGCGGGCTTGTTTGCTGAGGTTGTTTCAGCGGGTTCAGCTGCAAACACACCAGAGGACCCATCCGTACGTGTCTCTGTGTTACGTGAGGAACAGAAAGAAAAAAAAAAGACAATAAAATCAGGGGGACCGAATAATTCCTCAGTTGAACATGGTCCCTTGTCGTTTGGGTAAAGCGGAACGCGGATCCTTGTCCCGAGTAAAGAGGGCGCGGATCAAAAATGTGACAGGTCACACATTATGAAAAGCTTCGCAGCACGGCATCTCTCTTTTTCAATCCCCCCCCCATGTTTGCTCTGAGTCTAGGTCAGGTCCCCCGTCTTGGGACAACTGCACTGGGGGGTGTAGACCAGCGGACCTATCAGAGATCCTAAAGCAGGGGGTTCTATTTGGCAGCGCGGAGCCATCGCCCACTCTTCCATGGTGTCGGGTCCGATCATGTCAATGGCTGCCGTGACTGTCTGACAGCACTCTCCAAGGAAGATCGCAGCTAATAGTAAATGATCTTCGCGGGCTGGCTGCGAGAGACACGTCGAGCTGAATCGGAAATCTTCCGAAATTGACTTGCATCACCGCCGCTTATGCGACCGGCCAATCAATAGGAACTTCTGACCGCAAATGGTAATGTTGAGGAGTCTCCTAAACTTCGACGCTTTCCACTCTGTGTCTTATTGCCATCTTGGTCCTAGTTGGACCCATGTCTTTCTGGGGAGTGGTACCGTGTACGCATGGCTTACGGGGGCGTGTAATGTTGAAATGGCTAATAAGATATGAGAGAAGACCAGGACCCGGAGGATTGAAGTGTGGGGAGGGGGGGTATATTAGAATGCCGTGGTGATATTCTAGGTAGCCGGTAGGTGAGAAGAAGAAAAGAAAATAGGAGAAGAGAAAATGAAGTCAAAGAAGAATTGCGACAAGGGAAATCGATGAAATCGAATACCAACCTTAACCTTAATCCTGATGGAAGCCATCTATAAATTGAATATTACTACATAAGTACAAGTGTAGGTAGATATCGGATATTGCCAGGCGGTTATTTTAGATTACATAATGATTTCTTTTCCAACATTGATTGAACCTTTTAGCTACATGAAATGTACTTCTGTACCACTAGTTAGGGGTATTAACGAGTTTAAGTTGGAAGTACGAATCATTTCTTTAATGAGACAGCCGAAACATTCAGGCCGTAATTGAATATGCCGCACATATGTACCTGCGTTTGAGGTATATACTAATGAATGTACACCAAGAGATCCGTACCTCGTCAACGAAATTAAGTGGATAAGCTCGCGAGAGCACTGAATACCTTTCTACTCTATACCTTTCTTTTCGCCGTTTCTTCATTCCCGCCCATTTCCAAGGGTATCCGCAAGCATCGTACAACCATACACCCATGCTCTAGTGAATTCATGCCCCTATTTTCCCCCCTGCCTTGCCAGCCGTCGCCTCGTTACTTGCCACTCCAGTCGTCGTATTTGCCCCTCCCTTCGGCCACCCCAGAGCTTAGAACCCGAGCTTAGAACCCGGGCTCAGCTCGACACATTACGACTCGGAATGCAACCGTGCAAATGATCCAGAACCAACTGAAGTAAACCCATTACCTCATGCGACTAATCCAACAAGTAACTCGGTGGTACGTCGTGATCCGCCGAACTCCCGAACCCCTGTTCGCCATCCTTATTGCCGTGAAAGATGGGCTGGCAGTGCTTCCGTACCATGCGCGGAATCGATGGGTATCACAACCTGATATGCAAATAATCACCACGACCGAACGGAACGCCCCGTATATGTCTCAAATCACAAACCGATCGACCCCTTCGGCACTGTCCTGCCACATCTTGCTCTGGTGGGAGGCTCGCAGCCCCTATCGAGAGGTATGATGACCGTGGTGACTTGGCCCCGCGGGATTCGCGACGGAAGAACTGCCAGGTTCGGCCTCTTCTTCATTTTCATAGAGGTCGAGACATTCTTCGATGACTAGTCCAGAAAGTTAGTAGGCCGAAAGCGCACAATAGTGTGGGAAACTCGCGGCTCGACGCCGCACCGGAACATACTAGCAACGATATTTTCCTCCCATACGCCGTACTCGTAATCAACGAGGCCGTGTCGATCAATCCCATCGCAAAGCCTCACGATCTCTTTTCCCATTTTCCTTAACCCGTCCTCGCTGATTAGAGTCTGTCCTCGTTGCAACTGTAGGCCAGTTCCCATCAAATCTTTCTGCTTCTGGAATAACGAGAGCCATGCGTGATTGAAGTCTTGCCACATCTTGATACGGTCCCTGTAAAGATTCTCGTCGTCCGCTGCGAGACCTTCAACAGTTAAACGTCACGAATGTCTTAGAGTTATTAGGTAGGAACTTACCTAGTTCCACAACTTTCGAGAGTAACCATTCGGAGATGTTCAAGAGCGACTCGCTTGCAGCTTGCAGTACACCGCTTCGAATGTTAGTGAAGACCTCCCTCAGAGCAGCCTGGTAGTGCTCGTAAGCTTCAGTCATCTCGGTCGTTTGCGAATAATCAGGTTCCTCCATGGCCTGGTCTGATGTGCTTGTCTGTGCCATGCCGCTCATCGATGTCATTCCACTGGGATAATTTTGGAGCATTGTACGCTGGCTAGCCGGACTCTGTTGATATACTGCTGACGTGCTCGAGGTGCTCGCGTGTGATTGCAGATTAGACGCTGCAGCCGCGTTGGTCGGTTCGCTCGGGAAATAGGGGGTGGCTACATCCGTTTGTATCATTTGCAGGGCTGCAGGCTGCCGTGACGGGAACTGCTGACTCGTATCATAAACGGCACTTTGCGCGCTCGCTTGCGGCACGTTGTACATCATAGGCGTATTATATGTACTGAAACTCTGCGTCTGTCGAGTGTCTTGCCCATATTCAGGTTGGTATGTCATTGTATTTGGCTGCATGGCAGTGGAGAACGCTGCTGCCGGCTCTTGGTAATATCCACTGTAGGTAGCCGCACCTCCTATACCTCGAGTTGCCGTGGGCGATGTATTTAGAGGCGCGGGCCGATACCTGTCAGACCCGCTTGCGCCGTACGACCTACCCTGCGCATTAGGATCGTGAACTGGATATCTTGGATTATTGGAAGGGGCGTTGATGGGCGGTTCGTTCGGCCTCCTCCGTCGCCCGTGGTCATCCATGCCACGGGAAACGGGTCGCGAGACGCTCAAAGAGGTGAGTATAACCGATGCGCCTCCGGCAACGGAGCTGAAGTTAAGAGAGGGCCACCTTGCGTCGTTTAGGCCGTGCCACAACCGGCCCGTTAAAGTCGTCCGAGAGCTTTGCCGCGAGAAGATGGCGCGTGAGATACAATTTGAAATAAACACTATAAATAACGGTCCGCTGTCAACGAATTTTTTTCTTCCGCTTGCAGTGAAATACGCGAGATTGGGTAAATTTTCGTTAGGAGTTCCCAAGCAGGGACCAGACTCAGGCGAAGATAAGAGGGAAATGATGCCCCAGGCTACAGTGCTTTCTCTTTTGTTCGGATGAAAACCCTAGTGGAGGGAACTAGTTAAGTGGTGGGATATGTGATCTAGTCATGAAACCACGCGTTTTCCAAGAGACGCGTCTCGAGGCAGTGGGTTTTATGTGGTAGAAGTTAGGAGTTATGGGATGAAAGTCGACAGACTGGACGAAAGTCAGGGCCTATCAACCAGGGGGAGGCCGACTATGTATGAATTGCCGAAAGTTTCGAAAGTTTGATGCCGGAAAAAAAAGTCTTTCTGATGCAAACAATCCCCCCAACTATATGTCAGGTGTTAACTACCCAGACCTCTTACTGAGTGGAGAGTAGGGATGACGATGCCCCCCCGAGGTCCCAGAATTTTGACTTTGTCCTTAGATACCTACTATGTAGGAATTTGGGATGGATTTTTCCACAAAAATCCCGAGTAGGTTAGGAGGTATATGTGACTTGTCAACGGGCGTCCTTACTCGTACTGGGTAAATCCCAGCACCTTTTTGCAACTAACTGCTAAACCAACAAGTAGTGACCTTGCCGAACTCAATTGAATAGCAAGCCGCACTAGGACCAAGTCTAGAAGTCTCGAGTTCTCCAACGATTTTTTGGGGGAAGTCAGCTTCCTCTGGCCGTACACTGAGCTTCCCAAGTTAGCTTTGTTTTCCTTCAAGTGCCGATCCGACTAAACACAGCTTTCGACTGATTCAGGGTCTGAGTGAGTGATAGAAATCTAGACTTGGTCTAGTAAACCCGCGAGTAAGAGAGATGTAGAAGAGACTGTGTTATCAAAACGAAGTTTAAGGAGAGTAATAAAAGCGACTGGCGACTACTAGGTAAGTAGTAATTCGGTGGTGGTGTGAAGAGCTCTTTTATATGTCGGGTAACGTCCAATGTCTGTGGGTGTAAGTGTAAGTGTAAGTGTAAATGTAAATGTGAAATAGAGTTGTTGACATCGGAGGATTTAAAGAAGACCGGAGATTTCTTCTATTACACATGTATGTAGTATGTGTGTACGCAGTGGATAATAAGATTTCAGAAATAGCGAAGAGTTAGGCGACCCGGTAGGTACTTGCCTCATGATATATTATTAGGTGAATGTCGAGAAGTAAGGCCAGAGGAGTCCGTAGCAAGTAGTATGTGGTATGGTAGGTAGTAGATGGAAGGTGGGAGTGGAGACCCAATTAGACTCTAGAGTAGCCAGAATGGTGGTTTCCCATTAGAGCTGTGGGTATGTAATACACGAGATCAGGCGACGAGCCTTCCAATGAAAATAGAATAGAGGAAAGAGCTTTAACCAGAAATCTCCCCCAAAACACATTAACGACACCAACGCCCTAACTTGCGCCGTGCGGAAAAGCAGCTGGGGTCTGGCAAGCAGGCAGGGCTTGTCTGGCTGCGACAGGGTGAACAAGATCTGCGCGGTGCGCACAGATAATCGAGAGCGGGTCCGAATGAATCCCCCCTTACCGATACCCCAAGGGGTGTGCTTCTACGGGGACATGACGGGCTGGACGGGGTGATCTGTCCAGGCCCTGAAGCTGCTTCTGAGATGGATACCTTACCTGCCTGGGTAGATGGGCAGATACCTTGGTAGGTAATAGGGTGATGTGAGAGTGTAGAGCCCAAAGCCCAAAGCCCGGAGAATAGAACTTATTGGGTAGTACGGGATAAGGTATATTGGTCAGGGGCTATAAGACAAACCCTTCCAGCCTCAAGGGGAAAAAATAGAGATCTTGACTCGAAGGGTGTCACGGGTCACCGCGCATGTTCCTGGTGCGGATCGGCCTAGCATAAAGAAATGGCTGCTGTATCCTTGACCATCTTTCTGCGGCTCATATGAAGTTGTGCTGGTCTTTTTGTCGTATATGATTTTTTTCTAATAGACATCAGCCCATATTACAATAACCTCTAATGTTGCCATTCTTCGAGTGAGTGCATGGATCGAGTTACGAAAAGCGGCGGAAAAGTCCAATATGAAAAGAAAGAAGACGGGAAAAGAAGAGGAAAAAAAAACCGGACATGTCCTTGGTCGCCTATCGACTAATGGACTGGCAAGGTATGGGTAGTACACGGCGACATTTTGCTTTTCTTAATTGTGCGCCGAGATTCTTGTTGTGTGGCTGATGCTGATTGAGAAACAATTTTTATCTTGCGTCGATCGGTCATTTTTATGATCTGAAGCATCATGATGTGTATGTGAAATTAGTATACCATATTGAGCATTCGTCAATAAGAAATTGGTTCCCTTTGCGCCTATTTATTTTACTGCAATCGTATTTTTTTCTTCTTCAAGGACGACGAGGCAGGGATGAAGATCTGAACTCAAAGTTGTTCCTTAAAAAAGGTTAAAGATAATTTAAGGTACATGTGGACTAAGTCTATTAGGTAAGGTGAGAGCAGATAGATACCTTGAACTTCTAGACCCTGTCTATACCAAAAGAAGTACCGTAATATCGTGGCGGACATAATACGCCTGTAAAAACAGAGTTGCCTATACGTAAGCAAATAAGTATCCATAATGTAAGTGCAGTACTATGTAGTAGCAACGGCAACAGCGACTGCAATAGCAAGAATAACCTTGGAAGTGGCAAGTCCATAACATGAAGTCGGTAAGTAGGTAGGTATAGGTGGTTAAGCTTTAGATGTTGGAAGGTGGAAGATGGAAGGCGGAAGGCGGAAGGCACGACTTGTGAATCCGGGGTTTGCCGTTTTCTTGTGCATGCAATTACCACGGTCCAGACGTTTCGAAGTATTTTCTTTCGCTCCTAAACATCCTAAACATTACCTTGCTTGCTTACACGCATAATCCGAATACCAATAACATCAATCCGATTGAAGCACTTGATGCTACGTACCTCTTCGTTCTCATCTCCTTAAAACTTGCTGGCAGAGTACAACATCAAACCAGTTAATTTAGGCGTGGGAGAACACAAGAGGTTGAAAAAGGCTTACACATACCTGCTCTGTGCTTTCCCTTGGCCAACCATTTATTAAACCTCGCTCGCCTTACCCAGGTCCGGTAATACACTCGTCGCATTGCTGTGTTTTACTGATCAAGGATGTGGAATATGTCAGTTGATAAAGTCAATTGCCACCGGTCCTCATGGTAGATTGTCAATTCGACCTGGGGAAAAGAGTTAGAGCGATTGTTAGTCGGATCTTACACCGACAGGCTATCAGAGGCCAACGAAGCCGACGAAGAATTTTTCTTTCTAAAACTACCTTCTTAGGTTGTGTCACGATGCCGATGGCTATTGGTCAATACCTAGGCTGAAAAGAACAATTAGCTCTCGTAGTCTTGACTGAAGAACTGAGGAATTGGATGGTTAGCGCGGACACTGGCTCATCTTGCATCCCCTACCTACCTGGTAGGTAGGTAGCAGTCTAGGTAGCCCTGCTGCCCTGGAGAGCACCCTGTAGCAAATCGACCGACCAATTGATGCCCGATCACTTGTTGAACCAGCCTGTGATGCTCCTGATGAGATGATCTGAGCGTCGGGAAGCCCAAGAGCTTATCGATATTTACCTACCTAGGCACGAATGCCAAATGGGGAGGGCCCCCAAAAAAGATTCTCATAATCTACAGCGTATGAGGTACATTCTCTTGGAGTATGCGCATCCTCACCGACTGAGGATTGAGTACAGCAGTTCTGTGTACCTATTAGGCCGTGAGAGGACCCTCTAATAAGAACTGGTGGATGTTTGGTCGTCTAAATAAGATCCTTGAACCATGTTGGAGACAAGGCGTTAAGATGTCGTCAAAGAACGACAAGGGTGCGTCTGACATCGACCCGGAGTCAGCCGGGGTTGTTCCATCGTCAATTTTTCTCAGATCTGACTGGGCTGGCATTTCCTAATGGCTACCTAAATGTCAAGACTTTGCGCCGTAGCTCATATCCATACGGTTCCAAGGTTATGTATGAGGATACCTATTGACGAACAATTGCAGACGATTCTTCAAGAGGTCAGGTCGGATGTCTTGGCTCGTGCTCTCGGCAAACCGGGTTCGACCCATTTGGAAATGAACTTGGCGGTATGCTGATCAGCACGTTCTTGTACACGTGCATGCGCAGGGCGATCCAAGATACTTGATATACATATACCGGTATCTATAAGGTCGGTGTATCGCCAGCTGGATGATAGGTACGGGATATTTGCGAACGAGTTACGTATCCCCCGCATGCGATTTATAAAGCGGGTGATAGGCTTGACCTCCACGGCTGCGTTATGTCACTATGTATGTACGTAAGCAGCAGTCCCGGTCCTTTCCCATTGCTACCCCTACTAGGTGGACGCTGGTGGGCGCTGGTGGGCGCTGGTTGGTGTTGTTCGTCATGAAAAAATCACCCCATTTTTATGGGCTTGCTTGACTAGCGCAGGTCCCCGAGATTCGAGGAATAAATAGAAACTGTGCACTGACAGATCCACGCGAGCTTGGTTCATCTAGCAGGTCTAGCTTCGCTATGGATTGGCATCGCTTGTCATCACTCAGTTGCCAAGTAGCCACTTGCTAACCCTGAAGAAGCAGCAGCAACAAGTATCAGGCAGCTTTCGTGGGTTGTATGCAGCTCTTCGAACATCGGTGATACCGATCCTTCTGTGCTAGTGTATTTGCTGGATGTATCTCCGACTGGACAATCTTCAGGAGCTGTACCAGCTTTGCCAGACTCGACATCTATCAGACTTAACTAGTTCGGCTAGGGCCTAGGCTGTCTTCTTCAAACCGGCTATGAAAGCCCTCCAGGGTAAAGTCTAAATTGCGCGACACGATCGTGTACATATAGGGCACCCGAAAAGGAAAGATCTACAAGATAGAGTAACTACCTAACGTTACAGTATTGGCTGCTGTGCGGGCGGTCGCTCTCAGCCTCATCCGGGTTGAATGAGGCTTGCACCGGTCTCTCTACAGCCGTCGGATGTAGCTTGTCTAGAAACACCACGCCTCGTATTGGTTCATGGCCAAAGTCAGGTCACGATGATTCATTGTTCGGCCTTGGCCAAATCCCTAACGGCGTAGTCATTGAAGATGTGTTACACCTGTTACCCCGGGATCAACCAAGTCGATCAGGTAGAAAGTTCCGCGGTAGGTAATTAGTATTCGACCTGTCTTAGGTGTGTGTACTTTGTCCGCCTATGGCATCGATTAGCAAGTCTAGCAAATTCTCATCTCATTGACCGCAGGTAAAGAGACCAATAATCTCAGTACACAATGTTAGTCCATTTCTATATTTCTAATTGATAGAGGCGGTGAGCACTTGTTGGCCGAGGAGAAAGTCATCCGTAGTTTCGTCCTCCCTTTTCTAGGCGACAGCTGGCATTGAATTATGACCTGGTAAACAGTACCTAAGTATTCCCATCTCCAAGGGGTTCCCCCAAATTGGTAAGTTCTTTCTAGAAGGATTCTGCGTCCGCTATTGTCTGAGGCTAGTCGATATCCGGTATATGGCCTCGCTTTTTCGTTTGTGGAATATTAATTATCATTCAATGCGAAGGATAGGTAACATGTCTGTGCTTGCTCTAACAAGTCCTCCCATTTAACAATGTCAACAATGCTGCTTATCTTCTCCATTCCAAGCCATAGAGTAGGGCTATCGCATAATCAGTGTTAGGGTCGATTTTTTAAGGCTGTTTTATTTACCCAGGGGTTGGCGATCTAATTGATTTGCCCTTGCGGTGTGGTAGGGCGTGGAGACACGACATTGGGCTGTTACTTCGCGTCGTGCAGTCCTACGACCGCCTGTCATACATAATACAACGCAATCCAGATTTCCGGTTGATCGATCCGTACTTAGCCTGTCTCTGTGTATCTGTTCGTTCTGATTGGTGGGTTAGGTTGACCCAGGGGAGTTTGAATTGGCAATTCATTTGTATTGCGACTAAATCAACGTCAATCCATGTTGCGAGGAGCGAAGAACATTCCTGATGAATCCAATGTCGGACCTCATTATTAGCATCTGATGTGCGTCCCAGAATACGAAGCAGGTACATAATGATACAGAATCCCTATACACACGATCCGCTGCGTAGTCAGTATGATGGTTACAAAGTAGTTGTGGTCCTTGTCATCAACTTCGACGATTCTAGCTTGCTCAAGGACCGCAGAGAACTCTGGTTGGCCGATCTTATTGCAAAATTTCATACGTAGGTCGCTCTATCTCTTGACCCATGCGGGCATCTTTCTCGCTTTGACGTGGCCAGGCTTCTTCCTCTCAACCTTTCTCGGATCACGAGTAAGGCAACCAGCTGATCAACCATGTTAGAAAAGTGTAACCCGAGATCTATAGAATCGAATTTTTAGCTTACCTTTCCTTAGAGGTGCCTTCAATGCCGGCTCGTGAACGGCCAGGGCCTTGGCAATAGCCATTGCAAGCGCTTCAGCTTGTCCAGTGGTTCCACCGCCTTCCACGAGAGCCCATACGTTATATTTGTCCATTCTCTCCATTGTTTTCAGGCCCCAAAGCGCGCTTTCTCGGTCGTGAATCCTCCCAAATGCATCGCTGATAGCCTTCCCATTAATAAGGACATCTCCTGTCCCTTCTACAAGCCAGGCTCTGGCAACTGAAGATTTCCGTCTGCCGACGCCGTGTGATCTACCAAACCTGTCGACTGGGATTTGCTTTGCTTTGTTGAGGTATACGTTGATATCTCGCTTGAATGGTTTAAGACCCTGGGTGACCTCCTCAGGCATCAAGTCAGGATGAATCTGACTTAATCTCTTAACTAGCTTGATGCAGGTCGCGAAGTCTCTCGCTTTTACTCCTTCACCAACTGATAATCGATACTGCTCTCTCGTCTTCCATGCTACCCGCTGAATTTGGTTTGGGGCGGCGGTGGGAAGGCGTCCATATTTTCGGGCAAGGTCCTGAACCAAGACGAAACTGTCGTTGAATGCTGTTTGACGCGAGAAGTAGGATGGGGAAACCGGCATGGGACGCCGGTAGGCTACCTGGACAGAATCTGCCTCAGGACTTCGGTCAACAGCCTGCATAAGCCGGCTGAAAGAATCTATATCATCTCTTTGGCCATCTGTGTTCGTCGCTAGTGTTCGGCGCGATTGCGAATTCGTGACGGCTCTTATAGATTGAGAGTGTCGAGTTATAGTTGGCCGAAGATCTCTAAGACAGCGAAAGCCATATCTTAGAGAGGACATTTTGTCTATCGTGTCTGATTCATGACCTTATGTCGAGTATATATGCTGAGTTCGTCGTCGTCGTCGTGGCCAATGAGACCAGGTATGTAATTGATTATATGAAGCAGTTTTCAAAGTTTCGCAGCCATTAGAACCTCCACCAAAACTCAATTGGCCGGTAGATTAGATCTTCCGATTACCGAATGGGGTGTAAGAGATGGAAGGTAGCAGACTGTTTCGACCGGAGTCTAATAGGTGGGGCAGGGTCAGTGCCTGATTGAATTGAGCCACTGCGCAATTGCCCCGCCTCCTTCTTTTGCGTGTTGAAAAAAAAAATTCCCGTGAGTCAAGTTTAATCTTGGAACTTCCCTCAACACTTACTCCTCTTTCTTCCTTCAACTCGACCAGCACCGGATTTCAGAGCAATTATGGCGTTCGGAAAGATCTACACCAAGGAGGTGAGTGACTGAATAGCTGACTATTTATTTGTTTACATCGTTGCGTGCTGTGTCTCGTTATCGTTTCTTCAAACAAGCTGACATGATTTTTCTATCGCGCAGCTCAACCCCCGCACCACCGCCATCCTCGCGGTTGCGAAGGCCAACGGGCTGGACTTGGACATCGTTGAGGTTGACACAACCAACCCGACTCCCGAGTTCCTTAAGGTGAACCCTGTTAGCAAGGTTCCCGCCTTCGTCGGCAGCGATGGATACGTCCTGACCGAGTGCATGGCTATCGCCATCTACAGTACGTGTTTTCCCCATATATGGATTTCGTTACCAGTAGCACCGCCGCATACATATCTATATGATGACCTAGACATTATTTTAACAGTTATCCCTATCTGAAACATCTCTGTTGATCATGGTTCTAATTTCTGATTTATCACCTATCATTCCTTACGTACATTTTGCTTGATGAAGATGGTGTGAGCATTTGCTAACATTTCACCATCAGTCACTTCCCAGAACGAGAAGACCACTCTCCTCGGAAAAACCAAGCAAGAGTAAGTTCAAGTCTAGTACTTCATACTTCATCTAGAACTACGTTATTAACATTATATAGCTATGCTTCTATCCTGAAGTGGCTGTCGTTCTTCAACACCGAGGTTCTCCCTAAGCTCGGTGCTTGGTACCGCCCTCTCCTGGGCTGGGACCAGTACAACAAGAAGGCTGTTGACGAGGCCGCCAAGGGTGCCGCTAAGGTAGTTGATGTTGTTGAGGAGCACCTTCTCCACAACACCTACTTGGTTGGCGAGCGCATCACCCTCGCTGATCTATTTGCTGCTGGTATTATCTCTCGCGGCTTCCAGTTTTTCTACGACAAGCAGTGGCGTGCTGAGCACCCCAATGTCGCTCGATGGTACGAGACTGTCTACAACCAGCCCATCTACAGCGATGTCGCCAAGCCTTTTGAGCTTCTCGACACCCCCAAGTTGACCAACGTCGCCCCCAAGAAGGCTGAACAGCCCAAGGCTCCTAAGGCTCCCAAGGCGGCCCCCCAGCCCGCTGCCCCTGCCGAGGAGGAGGCTCCTAAACCCAAGCACCCCATCGATCTGCTGCCGCGATCTGAGTTCCCTCTTGACGAGTGGAAACGTTACTACTCGAACCATGATGAGGATGTCTCTATCAAGTGGTTCTTCGAGAACGTTCCCTTCAAGGACTACTCTATCTGGAGGGTCAAGTACAAGTACAATGACGAGTTAACCTTGACTTTCATGTCCAACAACCTTATCGGTGGTTTCAACACTCGTCTCGAGGGTTCTCGCAAGTACTTGTTCGGCTGCGCCTCCGTATATGGCGAGAACAACGACTCGGTTATCGAGGGTGCCTTCGTTATCCGAGGTGACGAATACATCCCCGTCTTCGACGTAGCTCCCGACTATGAGAGCTACGAGTTCACTAAGCTGGACCCCACCAACGAAGAGGACAAGGCTTTTGTTCAGTCCATGTGGACATGGGACAAGCCCGTTGTTCACAACGGCAAGGAGTACAAGCACTCCGCTGGCAAGGTTTTCAAATAGGCTATCGAGATGCGGCTTTTTGATACCAAATAATTACGAGGTGACGACATCATGCAAATGGAGGGTAGGCTTTTCGGGACAATGAATACCACGTTAGTGACGGCCACACTCGTATATAGCAGTCTAGAATCCTATTTGGAATCTTAATAATGCTATTAGTCAACTAATGCTCGTTCTTTGTTAAAGTGCAATGCGTTGCTAAAGTATCACTAAATAAAGAGGGTGACAAATATATACCTTCCTTTTATTAGATAAACAAAAGATTGTCTAGGTCCTCAGCCTTGATGTGAAAGAGTTGCCCTTGAACCAAAGAGATCATCGTGGCGAAACACATAGCCTCGTAGAAATACTATAAAGTCGCCGGTGATCGTCGCCCTTGCTAAACCGCCTACGAGTTATATTACTAAAATAAAAACACACATTTACACTTCACAAAAGTCAACATTCTATTTTATATTATTATCAATACTAGAATCAATAACCATGAAAGGCAAGGTTCAGCAAATCCGAAAAAGCGACGATGAGGTCGGTCTTAGTATGACCCGGCCGGGCGAGACCACTCTATGCTCTGTCATGTAGGTCATACGAGAAATCTGTTTCGTGGGATCATTATAGGGAGCAGAAATTGATGGTAAAGTAGGTTGGTTATAGAGAGGAAGCACAAAGGTGGACAAGAGGTACCCGGTGTCATGAGCTTTTAATCTAGATAATGAGTTATGATATATGTTTTGGAACTTTATTTTCCATATCAGCATTTAGTGATTTTATGAGGATTTTGGTTTATAGTCATGTAGTTACATCATGTGTCTTAACTTCTATTTGTCGTAATTAGAGGACGTGTACCTATATCAGTATCAAGTGTAGATCTAGATAACGAATGCTTCTGGCTGAAAGAGTTCATAAATATCTAGATATTGTTAAAGAAGTCCGATTCAGTACTCCTTGCAAATATCCACTCCTCAGATAACGATGCCCACCCTCACATCACATAATCCGCTTTTCCTACGTGTGATAGGAACTAGTTCATGGCTTCGGGGCGTTGGCTGGTGTGTTCGGCTGCAATAACAAACCCTTCAAGTCCTCAGCGGCCTTCAATATGCTCACCGTCTGCTCCGCCTCCCATGCCTTCGTCGTGGCATCACCAAGCCTACCACCAATAGCGCTGAAGACGTCGGGTTGACTGAAGGATAAGGTAGGTCGGGTCTCTGCAACTCGGAGTCCCATGCCACTGAGCGCGCCCTTGACCTGCTCGGAGGCGGTGGCGCCACCGTGGATTCCGTAGCTGACGATGGCGACGGGCTTTCCTTTCCACTCGTTCATCAGGTAGTCGATCGCGTTCTTGGTTCCGCCTGCGACGCTGTAGTTGTACTCCGGGATCACGAGGATGTACCCGTCGTGTTTCTTGATCTCGGCGCTCCATGCTCGAGAGTGCTCGTACTTGAATTGGGCTTTTTCGGGGACCACTGGATTGGTAAATTGGTTAGATATATAAAATGTTTACAAACCCCTGAGTTGTGTATAACCATATCGCTATTTGGAGACGTTACATAGGACGGTGTGGTGAGTGGATGGACGTACTGGCTGGAGCTACGGGTTCGTTGTAGACGGGGAGGTTGAACTTTACGAGGTCGACGTTTGCGATGGTGATACCAGCTGATGATAACGGCTTCTCGATGATCTTTTCGACGAAGGCGGATACCGTTGGGCCGACCCGAGTCCCGCGGGTGCTCATGGTGATGAGAGCGACTGATTTAGAAGCCATTTTTTCCTTTCTTAGATTTTCGAGTTTCTAGACTGTCTAGATATGTCCAAGATAAGTATTGATTACACAGCTTTATCTCTTCAAGGTCGCTCGAGTTTCAATGCTTAATGCAGATTCAGGGTTTGCAGATGTTGTGCCTCCCATGGTGGCGTGCCGGTCTCTTAAGTATTTAGACGTTTAGGAACCGACGTGCAGGACAACGCCACAGCCCTGCGATGGAAACAGATGGAGATCCTGAGTAATATGACATGCTCGCCTTTCGGACTTCTCTAATCCGTTGTTGGGACCGAGTCTTCCATTCATAAAGGAATCAAGGCTGATTGCGACGACTGAAAAGCGGAAAGTCGGGGACTTTGGCTTGCTGCAGGTGTTCCAACAGGTCGATCTTTCTTTACATGGTTGAGTACCACAAATGGCACTTACGAGTTCTGATTGGGTGGAAAGTCCGGATTGGGCTGAATCTAGAAACTGGACCTGCTGAACCGGGACCGAAGAATACTTGTCAACTTTGCGGAAGGCGGGGGAGGATATATGGAACCCCGATGGGCGACTGCCTCTCCGAAACCGTAACGATACAATAATACGCGGCAATTACCTGAAGTACTGATTCGATTATATAATTCTCTTACTTTTTTACTATATCGGGTTTCTATCTTCGAGGTTCCTCAGCATCAGATCAGATATCCGAATATCTCGCATGCGCTATTAAATAGCGCTGACGACTTACGTAGAGGGTATTTAATGCATTGACGGCGGCGCATTAGCGGGTGAAGTTCCGTCCGCCATCCCAGATACCCGATTACGTTCTAAGCAGCCACCACAATTTGTACCGTCGTCTCCTTAATTGTTCTAGGCATATTATTGTCAATCCATTCAATCGTCACGGTTTTACGTACCTATTACTTGGACGAGTATTTAGATATCGACGGAGCCCCCAACTTGGCCCTGTTCGAAAGCAGCTTACGGCTGGTGTTACGTCATATTAATATGTATGTTCCGAAGCCCTTACATGTCACAAATAAATTAGTAAGCTATTCCGACCCGTATACTATAAACTACCTACGGAGTGTTTAATTTAAAACACTGTTTATGTATTTGTAACAATCAAAAGTCATCCGGATGTCCATCCTTAGGTGTAACTGTTGTGTGTAAAGAAGGACTGGTATTAAAGTGGAACTCATTTGTACCACGTCAAGAATATACCAGTTACCAATTTTACATGAGTACAATTTGTCAAATCTAATAGCATAACCTCAATTCTATAAGACTAGGATGGTACTTGTTGTAGACGATAGCTTCTAAAAGAGACTTGTAGAGACGAAAGGGAAAAGAAGGAAACCCGTTCCAGAATAACGATTGGTCAGTGTCTTCATCCGAGACTCAACACCCATAATCTAAGGAGAGCCGACGATGTGGCCCAATAAAACCCTAGTATTTCCCCCGGACATATAATCGCCATTATTTTACTCAAAACCCGCATGCTCATACTCTGCAGGTGCATTTTGGCATTGACTATCTACTTCTGACTTACCGCAAGCCTTTTTCGTATCATACCCAGCAACATAGCCTACGACCGAAATCTCCGAGACCAATTCATCAAGATCCCAGGATCCACAGACGTTATTCTTACCTACCACCATCCCTCCACCAAGTGATCATGTCGTGAACTTTTCGTCTACCTAACCCCGGCCCCCCAAACTTAACCCACGTAGATTGTCATAGCCGCCTTACCCTCATCCGAGAGTCTCTCTATGATGTACTTCGCGATAGCACCGTTGTGCCGAGTATTGGCGTCGGTCAGATACTGGCGAACCCAAACCTTGACGTCCTGGATCTCGGGGTAGATATCCTGAACGGACTTCTTGCACGTGTTTAGGGCGGTGAAACCTAGGCCGAATCCGATGTCGTCCACGTCTGCCTCGTTGATCACGTCGTCGCCTGCACCGCTCGCTACCTTAGGTGCGTTCAACAACAACTTCAGCATAGCCTCACAGGTAAACCGCCATCCCTTTTGGTAACGTTGGGCAAATGCGGCACTGTCACCCATCGACTTGGCGAAGGATATCACGGCAAGTTTACGATCGACCGGGCGATTCAGCAAATCTGATGTCGGAAGAACGATGCTTAAGTAGATTTGAACGAAAAGGTTGTTCTGGACCAGGTCTACTTGGCTGACGAAGAAATCAGTACCTAAACCGGCATCCACTCTGGCCGACACCAGGTGGTAAAATCGTACAAATCGTAATTTGAACGATTCCGATGGAGAGCCTTGGAGCTTTGTGAAGAGGAGAGATAAAATCTCCTTGAAGTATGGCTCAAGAGCATTCCTAGGAATTGATAGAACGATAGACTCAAGTAGGTCAAATGCGTTCTGCTCCGTTTTCTTGCTGCGAAGAAGTGTTTGGAAAATGCCAAGAATTGGTTGGACTTGGTTTTCAGCGACGATAGAGCTAGACGCTCTCGGTATTATCGCGGATAATAGTCGTGTGAGGGCAGGAACATTTCCTCTCGTTTCCCAAAGCGTCGGCATCATCAAAGGAGGTACTAGCGCTTGGAATTGGCTGGAAAGGGCTCCAGATGGGTCCAGTTCCAACAATTTCGCCAAGATCTGGAAAATATATGGTATGAATTCTACAAAGGAATATGTTAGTATAAAGAGGCTTCGTGCGAGGAAAGATAGTACATACCGTTCGCTTCTTCTGCGATTATTTGATTGAAGGGCTCCCATAGGCGGGCCTCAAGCTTGGCCGTTCCGCCAGATGAACCATAGCTATATTTCTATTAGTTTGGAACCTTTAAGGCTGAACGAATTAATAAAGGGACATACGTTACGACGGCACCTAAGGCCTCGAAGTGATAGTAATAGAAGCGGGGGTTGCTGGGGTTAGTCTTGATGACATTCGTGATTGCTACTAAATGATCGAGGATCATATCGGCAAAGCCGAGGATGCCGGTATTCATGACAATCAGAACCCGCATGATGCAGCGCATGAGAAACTCGTTCTCTTGCAGCTTTGCCGGGGAGTTCTCCTTTTCTACGAGCTTAAAGAGGTGGTCCAGGAGATCTTTTGCGACAGGTTCAATGTCAACCCGGGTGAAAAAGCGAGCGCCGGAATCATCAGTTAAGAAGAGGAGCCTCTCTACGCAAATAGCGGCGTAGGTATAGACAACATAGTTCGATGAGCCCAGGTTTTGAACCAGGGGTTGAAACGCTGCTTGCCATTGCTCTTTCGTTAGTTGACTTCGGAAGGTGTATAGGTACTTGATAGCGTCAACCTTGGAGATTGGTTCGATGCCAGCATCCGAAATTAAGTCATTCGCAATATGCTGTTGGAAGAACTCGACCACATTAACCTGTGTATTTACGGTTCTGACACCGTGCGCCGCGGTCACGGCACCTTTGGCCGCGACAGCAAAGAATAGCGAAATAGCTGTGTCCTTGTGCTTCCAATCCGTCTTGCCTTGCTCTAGGTAGAGGTTGACATATCTTCCGGCGACACTGGTAACCAATTCTTCGAAGTTGCCTTGAAGCTGCTTTAAGAAGTCGGTCGCTGCTCTTCTTCGGGAATCCGTATCTGATCCCTCGAGATCACGCCGAATAAACTCAATGGGCTCATCTTCGAACAGTTCGATATCGGTTTCTCTCAGGGCAACATTAGGTATAATAACCTTCTCTACAACTTGGTTTAGGACGTTCTCGCTATTGAATGCAGCTGAGTGCGTTGGAGAGGCGGCGATTGCTGTTAGAAAGTGCAAGGCCTTGCTGACGAGGTTATCATACTTAGTTTCCTGACCTATGGCCGAGAGCAGGTTCCATGCACTACCAATGAATACCTGCGTATACCGACCAAAATCGTCGTCGAACTTCGTCACATAGAGCTGTAAAACCTCACAGATGTCGGCTTTGACTATCTGGATGATGCCAGCTTCCGAATCGTCATCGGTCTCTAAAAGCGGGTTCTCGTACGTCAAGTATTTGTGAAGCAGAGTTGAGATATGCTCTAGGTTCGATTCGAATTGTGGCGGCATATCCTGGCATGATAGGTCATAGAATACCTTTATTAGTAGGCTCAATGTATCGAAGTAGTTCTTCAAGGCCTCCTTGTCGTTGGCATGTGCAGTAATTTGGTGATCCGTAGCCTACACTAATATTAGTATAGGAATGGCTGGATAGGGAGCCGAGCTCGCTTACACTTAGAAGATTAAGGTACGGCAATGCAAATGTTTCGAGTACGTGGTTGATCTCAGTGTACAGGCCATCAGAGCGGTACAAGGGTCGCCATCTCGCAAAGATGGAATGTGCGACTTCCAGCACGCCATTGTTGACCTTGAAGTCGCTGGGTGTGAATCGTGATACAAGGTCGGCAACAAGTGTGTCCCATCGATCCCAAAAGTCGGAGTCGGCAATAATACTTATGGCTTCTCCTAATTGTGTTTGAATGGTGGCGGGGCAAGCGATCATGAGTCCAATAAGCTCTCGCTTTATCGTGTTTACCTCGTCGACGGGTAGCTTGTAGTTTCGATCCTCGTCCTATGTCATATCAATATCAGTACCAGATGCTTTGTAATGTTATGGTAGGTGTAGGGCAGCAACATACCACATAATTGTGCCGGATGAAATTTTTGAAGCAGAGTGCACCTGAAAGGCGGATTTTGGGTTCAAGACTCTCAGTTGCGACAATCTTGAGTAGTTGGAGGGAGAACTGGGGCTTCTTTTCTTCGAGCTTGAGTGCAGCCTCGGCTATGATTTGAAGTTAGCTATCGTATTCCTATGAACTAACTATGGCGGGTGGTGGTGAGGATGGTCAAACAACATCAACAATATCAACACCACCACTATGAGGTGGGGCTGCAGAGGAGCTCTCACGTACCTTTCTTGTGCTTGATGGGATCAAGGGTCGCATCCAACAGCTGGGCGATCTGGCCCAAATCTGAAGCCATGATGGCTGCGGGTTGTCGGAATAAACGAAGGTCCCTAGAGTCGGTGTTTGTGGTTTAGTGAAAGTTGTAGGGGTTAAAAGTTCAAAGTTGTTTGGGTTGCGCCGACGTAGTTTGTGTATGTACCTAGGTAGATTTAGTTTGGTACAATTTTTTATTGTTATTTTATTGACATTACAGGGCTGTTGCCTATTGACAGGCCGTTGGACGACGAGAGGCAACGGCAGTGGAACAACGCTAAAAAGTTCACAGTGAGCTCTCAGCTGCTTAGCTGGGTAGGTGGTGGTCTGTGCATTGAAGCTTCCAAAGTTCAGTTAAGGCTAACCCTTGGATGTACGTAAATGATGGTGGGCAGTTGTGGGGAGGGGAATAGTGGGGTTTGATATGCTTAAATCAGCTATCGGGGCCACCGATAAGCGGTCTAGGGCGTGTGATTAGAAGGTGAGAGGATTAGTACACCTCAGTTCGCATAAACTGAATACAGCTAGGGTTAACCAGGGTTATCTATTGGATAAAACGGAGAAAGAGACGGTGCGGAAGCTGCAGGTGTACCGAAAAGGTCATTGTGGAGAAACTTTTGCGAACATCCTCCAAGTCCACAAGGTCCCCCAATCTTGTTCAATCTTGCTACCAAGATCTTCTCCTTATGTACGGTAATTTTGTTCAACTGAATGCATCTCCCCTGAAATCTGTCATCGACGAAAAAAAAAGTTTCCGCCTTGCGTCTCCCAATGTACTACCACGTTTCACGACCCAAAACAAATCCAAATCGAGCCCTTTATAATCGTTCGTTTCTACCAGCTCAGCCAATACCTCCACCATCGTCATCAACGCTACTACTCATACGGTAGTGGCTGGGAGAAGAGGGTGTATGAGGAAATTAAGCCTGCAATACGGCCACCAGTACCCAGTTGGACCAATTCTGGAAGAGTGTGTCACGGGTCTCATGTCGGCCGGCTTTTTGCACTTGATGGATGCTTGAAATTTTTATTATCTTGGCCTTTTGTACTCTGTATCGTCTTTTCATTTTTTTATTCCCACCCTTATGCAAGACCCGATTTGCTTGTAAGTACAGAATATGTCCAATAAGTCTAATAAGTCCACGTCCATTTGATTGCCTAGGTGCTTACCATACATGTGGTATGTCATCTTCCGCTATCGCTTCTTTGATGCCTTTTTGTATCTCTATCACCTCATCCTACTCTCTTATTTCGCCAATATCCTACGAAGAAGATATCCTCGAAACGTCGACGAATATGATTCGGAAACTAATATGTTTCGTCGCATAGTTTCTCTAGGCCGGAAGGCCGGTGAAGAACGGCAGATATTAGCTATGTCACCATCACCTGGAGATGATGCCTCGTCGCCTCACGATTCTAAGAATACTAGTGGGCTTGCTAGTGTCTTCAAAGGCCTCGCCGGTGCTGCTAAGTTAACTAAATCTCCTCCGGCTCCCGTACAATCCTCTGGTCCCTCCATCAATGCCCAGATCGCCGAACGCCTTAATACCACGCCGGGTATCCTCCGCGGCCTACCATCGCAACATAGTGAAGCCTTTGAGTTATTGAAGAATGGGTCGATGAACGAGAGAGTTAATGCCGCCAATGCGTTGCGACATACCGTGTCAGATTACCCCCTTAATCCCGTCTTAGATATTTGGTATGCAGCCAAAGACTTAGTCGATCCGACCAATCCCAGGGCAACCCGATCATCAGGCTGGGAACTCCTGAAGGAATGTGTAAAGCATGCGTCTTCGACCGATCTTGAGCGCAACGAATATTTCCAGACGATATCTGCCGAGGCCAACCCGGAAGACTTCTATTTACAACTTGCCACCTTGGTTGATTTGACGAATCACGGCCGAAACTTATCCGGCTTCGATTACGATGTCTTTCCACTCCTATCGAAGTGGCTTGAAGAATCATTTGATGCGGTACGCGCCGCGCGAGGCGCCGCGAAAAAGCAAGGGTCACGGATGAAAGGGAAGGGCTTAGTTACTGGGGAAGATAGGAATTTTGCGGATCTCTTCAGCTTTATTAACGACGTAATCAAGTTCAATTCTAACGTCGCCGATGATGACGCCGCCGAAGTCCTGATCGACAAATTGCTGGATATCTGCATGAACACTAGTGTTGAAGAGGACCTACAAGCATGTATAAGCGTTATGGATGCCATAGTAACATTTGGGGCGATTCCTGGGGATAAGTTGAAGAGCTGCGTTCATGTTCTTTGCTCCATCCACTGTCTCGTCCCCAATCTTCAGAAGGATGCGTGGCATACCATTAGCATCCTGTGTCGGTCACACAACGGACATACAACCGTAAGGCTACTTCTGGACGTTTTAGCAAGCCTTCCAGAAAATGCGGATAAGAAGAAGGAAGTTGTCAGAGAAGTCAGGGGTGCTTTGTCGGTCCTCACGAAGCTTGTGTCGAAGAGTTCCGAGAAGGGATATCCCGCTGTTCCCTTTGCCCTTTTGGTCGATGGCCTATCCACAGTGGTCAAGGCCACCTCTGCTTGGAAAATACACCTCGACATATTACGGTTAACAAACGCATTATTCTATGACAGCCAGCGCAATGTGAATAACATGTTGGCTGATGAAGACTGGACGCCTGTCTTTGATGTTGCAGTCACATGTGCCGGAGCTGTTATCACATCACTAACTAAAACCGAGAATTCTATCAAGTCCCTCTTAGGTCCAGAAGAGGCTGACTCTGCCGAGAGTATGCTAGCTCGGGAATTATTTAAACTCATACGTCGAATCGAGACCATACTATCTGATGAACCTGGTGTTGCCACGCAGAAACAGGAGGTTTCATCTCTGGACCAAGCGGACAGCAGCAGTCAAAAACCAGAGGGCGCGCAGACGGAGCAACCTAATCCCCTCGTCCAAAAACAGGATTGTATCGTATTCTTTACCAAGATACATCCTGCTCTTCCCGACTCCGCAGCGATACTGATTCTCGAATATTTCAAGAAGTTTCGATGTTGCTCCCCATCAGATCCTTTCTGGGAGACTAACTTGAGCCTCGTGTTGGATGCATTTTTAGCAGATAGGAAACGATCAACTAATGTCCGCCTGCGGGCATTACAAGCCTTTACGGAGGTCTATGATATGATCGAACTACTCAATGATCAGTTTGAGCCTGATTTCATACCGGAGTTAATTGAGCGCTTATTGGCGGACGTCGCGGGCGAGACAGATATTGTGTTATTACAGGAGGTGGTGTCTTTTGCTGCTTCCGTTGCCAGTATCTCGAATCACACACTCTTCTGTTACGTCGTCGATACGCTTCGAGGTATAATATGGAATAACCGGTCGCGTTCACCTATGTCTTCTTCACTTTCTCTTACCCCAGACCCGCCGTCTACGCCTCACCAAGCAAAGCCGGTTACCACTCAAACACCATCCAACGTAGTTACGCGGGGATATGTGCAGATGTTTCTACGTGTACTAAACTACGATGCTACCAAGTCGACACGTCTATTTAGCGTCTTAGTATCCATAGCCGAGTCAAATCTTAGCGAGACAGACGCTCGTATCACTGCGATGCAGCTGTTGATTCGATTAAGAGCTGACTGGGCCAACCGTATTTTCGTTACTCCACATACCGAATCGATCAGTCTTGCTACCTCTCTATGTCGTACTGAGGAATCAATGGCGCGCAAATTTGCTGAAGAAACGTCATACGCTGCTCGAATGTCAAGGAGCGAGGCTGCTGGATCTGCGCGATCGTCTCGTGGGCAGGGTCAGATGCAAGATAGGAGTTATCCGTTCAGATCAGCTAGTGGTAGCAAGTCGGGAGCAGGTACATATCAGCAGTTGTGGGTCGCTTCTGATGCAGATGCCTTACCGGAGGCTCCATCTCAAGCGGCAAGCACAGTGCTTTATTGTGGTGATTGTAACGACACTACCGGAGTCGATGACTCGGCACAAACCCCAATCCTTCGGACTGGGTTATGGCTTGAGACCATACTAACGTTGCTAAGACAAGGTTGTGACTGGGAGGTTTATAGCTTTATCCTAGTTCACCTACCATCTCAATTGAGCAATCATGCTATCTTCCGGGATGCCGTTCCGCAACTACGGGAATTGAGACGAACCGTATGCGAACAGATCAAAATGAACAGCTTCCAAGAGCCACCAAATGTTTACGGGTTACGCAAAGCGGATGTTGCCATATGTTTATTCAACACGTTGACCATGATTCTCAGCTATCACCAACACTTTCAGAAGGCAGAGGAAGACGAAATCGTTCGGACCTTTGTACATGGCATAGCAACGTGGGAACGAAGTGCAAAGTGTTGTATACATGCACTTACGATATGCTGCCATGAGCTCCCATCGTCAACCGGCAAGGCTTTGGTCACAATTCTGCAGAAGATGGCGCAGATTATCACCCAACCCTACGTCGCTATGCATATTCTGGAGTTCTTGGCTTGCCTTAGTAGATTGCCTTCCCTATATGCTAATTTCCGGGAGGACGAGTATCGAATTGTCTTTGGAATTTGTTTTCGATACTTACAATACGTACGCGGTAGGAAGCAAGCGCACCGAATGAGTTCGATTAGCGATTCATCAGTTCCTGCGATAAGCGAATATTTACCCAACTCAAATGCGTCGGATGATCTGCCTCAATATGTATACACGTTGGCATATCACGTCATCGCGTTCTGGTTCCTAGCCCTAAAGCTTCCGGATCGCGCAAACCATGTTGGCTGGATTGCGAAGAACCTGTTTACAGATGTTGACGGACCTCAGGTCTCGGACGAGCAAGCCCAACTCACAATGGATTTCATGCAGAAGGTTACGTACGCCGATGTCGATGAGTCTGCAGCGGACCCTTCTTTTACCGCGGACAGATTTGGGGAAATACTTAAGAAGAGGTGGTTGATTGGAAATAGCATCGTTACAATCGAGCAAGCTACCGCAACTGGTTGGGCTCAGATTACGAAACGGCAGCCGTCTGGAACATCCTCCTACACTATCCGCGAGCTATTCAGACCGCCTCCAGCACATCAGCGTCCCATGAACGAAAGCGCGAGAGAGGGCTATGTAGCGCCTTCGAACAGCGTCTTGCCGAACCATTTACTAGTGCAGTTATTATCCTCCATGCCCCAAGGAAGCGAAGTTTCACGTCCCATACCGCTGCCTGACGACGAGGTAGTGAACAGGGCTATCAGGATGTTCGACCATAATTCGACAGTCGATGGCCATAAAGTTGGCGTGATATATATCGGGGAAAATCAAACGAACGAATCCGAGATTCTAGCCAACATAACAGGGAGTGGGGACTATCTCGAATTTCTAAATGGTCTCGGAACACTGACGAAACTAAATGGCGCAACGTTCAACACGCAAGGCTTAGATCGACAGTACGATACTGATGGGAAATACACGTTTTGTTGGAGGGATAGGGTGACGGAAATTGTTTTCCATGTCACGACGCAGATGCCAACCAATCTAGAACATGATCCTCGGTGCACCCTCAAGAAGCGCCATATCGGGAATGATTTTGTTAATATTATTTTCAACGACTCCGGCTTCCCCTTCAAGTTTGACACCTTCCCATCGGAATTCAACTTTGTCAATATTGTGATCACTCCGGAGTCGCGTGCTTCGTTCGTCGCTACCAGGCAGAGGACACCGAAAGATGTTGAAGAGTCATTCTACAAAGTCCGCCTGATGAGCAAGCCTGGCTTTCCCGAAATATCGCCAGCTTCCGAAACTAAGATCGTAAGCCTGAGGGCTTTACCCGACTTCATCCGGCTTTTAGCACTGAACGCGTCGGTCTTCTCACTAGTCTGGGCCCATCGGGAAGGCGGCGAGCACATCTCACCATGGCGTAACAGATTGAGAGAAATCAAGAGACTCCGAGAAAAATACGGTCCGAAGGTGGCGCCTCAGGGGCCTACGCCCTCCCCACCGGGTACCGCTCTGGGCTACGGGCCTCCTCCCACCATAAACGCCGCTGCACAATTAGAGGCAGCTAGATCAGGTAACACCGTTCGAGATAGCTTTAGTAGCCTTCGACGGTCATCAGTTGCCACATTTTTCTCTGCTTCTAGCGAGCAGAATTCTCACCGGTCATCTATGCTTTCTACCGCAACGACAGATAATACGGAGGTCATGACAGTTAATGGGCTAGACGCACTGGTCGATAGCGTTGACTTCTCCAAATGGTCGGCGTAATAACACGCGTCGTTACATCTTTCAATACGAACCTTCGGGCATTTTCCCCGGGGGTCACGCATATATGATTATTATCCACGAGAGGTTACGGTTTTGGGGGGTTCCGCGAAAACAAAAAAGCATGGCGTCTGGATTGGGAGGATACCACTGAAGTTACTTGTCTATTTTCCTGTTTCACTTTTATACTTCTGCCTGAACATATTGCCGGAAATGTCCATTCTGTACATGGTTGTTAAGGGAACTCTTCGTCATATGCCCCGCAGAGGTCGCCGGCCGAGAGCCAGCGGTGACGTTGGCGGTGACTCAGCCCCCGACGACGAAAAGGAAATAAAAAAACAATAAGGGATGGCGGAAAGGGGGGGAAGGAAGGTTGGGAGGCTGATTTGGGTTTTCGGGTGGAAATTAAAAAGAAAAGTTGATCCCGTTTTTACACTGCTCACTTCTCATCTTACTATAAAGAGAACTTAAGGCACGCCGCCACACGTATTATATTGTTTTTGAAACTGTTCTTTCTTTGATACCTACCTAAGGTGAATAATAAAAAAGAACTGACGATGGTGACGAGATTGTGGTGTATACATACTTGATGCAAGCGTACGAGAAAAGAATAAGCGCTTTGGACGGTTGCAAGTCTCCGTAGGTTACACGAATGTGACTCAACCCCTACGTACTCTACAAAAGGCGGGTTACACAAAGTATGGGGGAGGAGAGGAGAGGAGATTTCTCTCAGGTATTGGTGGGCATCATCATCATGGCATGTAGGTAGGTAGGTACGTATGCGTTGCGCGTGTGGATATTTTCGGCGGTTTCGGCCTGGGATGGAGAAAGGCGACGGGAGGACGCGATTTCTTAGGTGAGAGCCGTAAAAGCCGATCGGGAGGCCAAGTGCGGAAGGGTCGGATATACGCGCACACGTTCTGTTTTTTCTTTTTTTTAACTGGGAATTGTGGAGGTTTTTTTTTTTCTTTTTGCCTGGTATGATCTACCGCTAGGGTCCCTGGTAGGGCTTAGAGGATGGGATGTGCGCATTAGGTTTCCAGGTCCGGGGTTATTATTTTTTTCTTTTCTTTTTTTTTTCGCCTAGGTACGCTTTAATAGAGGTTTGGTAGGTACTTAGTAGGTATTACGGATTTGGGATGTGTGTATCACCTGTGCGTGCTATTGATTTGTGGCTACCTGATAGGTGCTTAACGCCAGGTTCCAAGTTTCTTATTAAAGAGAAAAGAAGAAGGGGAGAAAACGCGTGTCCGGAGTACATGAGACTTTCAGCCATGTATTCTCATATTTAAACTTGTGCGACGTGAAGAGGGATACTTGTGTAATGGAAGTGTTGGAATTGACTGTTGGTGAAAGAGTTGAAAAAAAAAAAAAAAAAAAGATGTGTGTACAAACGAACCTGGTTCGTGACAGGGGTAGATTTGACAGAACAGGCATTAGCATTTTAGACGAAGGCATATTGATGTAATACGACCAGGTATCTGTTCAGCTTTCCCGATCTATCTAGTAATCTACTTCCTCCCTCGCTCAGGCCGTCGAAACGCGCCCGCGAGATTTACTCTAGATACTTACCGAGGGCTGCATATCCGAGCGGGCGGACGGACGGAGGATTTATCGATGTGAGGTAGGTAGCACAGGTATAACTCTAGGTAGGTAGGTACTTCGTACGAGTACGAGGTAGATAGATAGGTAGACTAGGGAAATAAAAGAGAGATTTCTCAAAGAGTTGATTCCAGAAAGGGGTGGTTACACAAGTCAAGCAGAGAGAGCGCGGGGCCGTGGTGCCGTGCATAGGTCTGCAACGTCTACAACGTCTACATCTCTGATACTTAGGTACATAAGAGAGATAGGTGAGATGATCATCAATGTGGAAAGATAGAAACGAGTAAACCGGTGTGAATCGCGGCAGCGGCAAGCGCCAAAGTAGGTCACATGGTTTCTTTCCGTTCCATCAACTTCGTGAGGGTGGTCTGATGCGAAGACCGGTATAACAGAGCACGTGTGTATCGCAACCGTCGTTTGATATATCGAAGGAGCATTTGTTGCATTTTGCCCGCCCAGTTCACATCATAGGACGGCGATTATGCGATTATGTGTGTACTTCTGTGTCACCTCGACCTAATGTAGAAACAGCCCACCACGGTGTGCTTCTCGATACAGGAGCAAGGTCCGCTGTTTAACTATCATTCCAGCTTACTATGCGTCTCTCGGTCCGTGGCCATGTTAAAGAGGTACCTACATAAGTCGTGGGTAGGAAAGTAGATGGGTTGAAGAATCAGAGAGAGAAAATTTTACCTGGGGGCGCATTGTCCAACCAGGCACTGCATGAATAAATATTGACGTAGGACAACTGCAAGTGCTGTAGGTAAGGTAGACTTGAAAGTGTAGACGCGGAGTTTCCTGCGATGCAATGCGAGTTGTATCTTGGCCAATAAGAAATGCGCTTTCAGAAACAGTTCCATGGGTTCTGGGCGGCATCAATACCGCACGGAAATAAGAAGAAGCACTTGCTAAACTGGGCTGCATGACGACGACGTGCCGCACCCATACATCCCCCCCGTCGTTCGTTCGAGTCGGTAAGATAAAAGGGTAACTGCCCAGCCGTCTTGGAAAGCTTATGACTGTTTGTAAGTTTTGTCAGTTTTTGTCTATTAATGTCCATGTAATTGTTTCGAGTTTCTCATATGATATCGTAATCTTATTAGAATCGAAGAGATCTGCTAGGATCTTGTTAGGCATTCTTAGAGTAGCCTCTTCAGGCATCATTATGTCTTGGTGTCTTACTCTCTTGCAAGCCAAGCCAAGACAGTCTGATTGCTGCAAACGTTTTAAGATTAGCAGATATTTAGCCATTTATCGAACACGGCTCAGGAGCGCCATGATTCAGTGCTTACTGTGGCAGCCTCTTTCGACTAGCAAGGTTCAGCATAGGCGGCGTCTGTAGGTATTCACCGTGTGAGAAAAGCCTATACCAGCCTGCCAGCCCGCCAGCCTTCTAGTGAGAGGGAACTCCCGCCAATAATCTCTAGGCTTGAATACGGTAAGATGATTACTATTTGTGGCTAGCTTGCCCTTCGGCACTGGATTAAGACACGCATGTCTCGCGTGGCGGCTCGGCTCTAACAACGCCGGCGCAGCTAGAACGGGTAAGAGATCGGTACCAGATTTATAACACATATTTCGAAGATGCTGACGACATCTGTTCGTGTGCGCGTGAGCGCGGAAGCATAAGTTACGCCCTGTTTGATGCTGATGAGTCTCTCACACTCCAAACTCCAGTCTCCAGCCCTGCGAGATCAACGGTTTGGGGGTGAGCCGGGTTGGTTGCGCTTATATTCTGTGTCAGATGGGCAATTCAGGCCTCGCAGCCTGTTGACCTGTACACGCAGGTAAGATAATTGCATGGGATCCGTCCAATGCATTGTAACGCCCAGCGGCTTGTGCGACAACCCGTAACTGCGTAATTGGCGCCGGATGAGTCGCGGCAAACAGTACGCCCTCCTGCAACAACCCTGAAAGAGTGGTACTCTTTATCTGGCCTATGTATCTAGGTAGGTACCTAGATAATAGTGTCTAGTCAGCCGTTGTGACACCCTATAGCTCACCAAAGCATGCTGATCTGAAGCATAGTGTGGATGCAATCTGCGCACCAAGACTGCATAATGAGTTGGCCACTCCTGGTTACACAAGAACCATAGACTGTCGGATCTTGTAGGCCTTGTGGGGTGGTATCATTGATCTGCGAGCCTGTCCTTTTAGATACTGATACGATGGCCTTAACCGTTGTAGATCTTAAAGAATCTAACGTATCGTGAAGTGATCCGGCAGGTATGTGGGAGAGGGGAAAGTATTAGAGGACGCTCGGTTAAAAAGAGCAGCCTGTACGACTGTGTAGTGATGATAGTAATAACAATAATCTCTTTAGGAATAGACCTCAGAAGGATACAGGAAGCATCTTAAAAGCACGTTCTGGATTCATCTTACTCGCTTATGACCCCCGCATCTTGGCCCCCCAAATCAATATTATAGCTCCCACATAAGCTAGTGAATTATAATCATCACTTTCGCTTCTTCGAGGTCTTTGAAGTTGTTACTGGGCCAATCTGCGCGAAGTTGGGCAGCTATGGTGAAGGATTCCGCCCCCACAAATCCCCGCTCGTCTCTAAGGTATCATCAAGGACACCAAAAGAGCACAATGGCGCACGACTAGTTATAGGACTTTGAAATGCCCGCCTCAGCCGCTTTAGATTCGATTATAGCGACCTAGCACGGTTAGGGGCTACATACGAGCTTCGCCATTTTGGAGTCTGAAGGGGCTACTAAGTCCCGTGATTACATTGCACGGCGATGGATCTCCATGCGGTTGTTGAAGGCGAATATGTCTGATTCTGCATGAGTAGGTACCTAGGGACTCGGACATCTGGTCCAAATAGACCATGATAAAGAGGCGAGCTCCGGTATTGACAGATGACAGAGCACCTCGACTCTCAAGTCGAACCTCTCAAGCATTGATTCTCTGGGCACTTAATTCGTTACTCAACATCAGGTTAAGCCAATAAGGGATGCCGCCCAAGAGAGCCATCAATCAGGAGTCGGGTTGCCGAATTCGCCTCCTTCGTCATCAACGTATTTATTAGTTGATTAAATTGGCTAGTTGTCTGGTGTTGTGTTTCCAGACGATATTGCTCAACAAGTACCGTGGTGCTTATCCAAATGAGCTGACCTTAAGCGTAGCTTCTCGTGGTTGATCTAACGTCAACTTCGTGCAACCAATCCCAAACATCCCAAGGCTATACCCGTTCCGATGTTAAATATCATTGGGCAGCGGGAGCTCTGTGACCTTGAATAACGCGTAGTTGAACTGAATTGTTAAGCTGCCTGTCCCGGATTCCCTAAGTAAATTCAGGGGTTGACTGATAACTTCACCATAATGGGATACCTCCTTGCTCTCATTCTGCCTTGATTTCATACCCCTGTTCATGAATAGACGAGCTGATGTCCCACTTGAAAATTAGTCGAAACAGCCCTATGTAGCGCGACTGAGATGAGATGAGATGTGGCTGGAGAGGGTTTGCAATACATCTAAGATGCTGGTGCATTCATCATAAAAATGGATAGCCCCGTCGTAGCGTATGATCGGCTGTCCGGAGAAAATTGATTAGATTGGTTTTAGATCATCGGTTGCCATAGATCTTTATATATCGCCCATTTTTGAAACCCTGCAAGAGTGGATGTTAATATTGAGACTCATTATATCCGTATAGTCGGGGTCTTAGAGCCTACCCATCGATTGAAAGCCTTCGTAACCGCCTTTCACCGCATCGAGGAATACTCGTCTCATTCCTTGCTCTTTAAGTATGGTAACACAAGCGTCGAGTAACCTAATCATAACAGTGTCTTTGCTAGTTGTCATAGCAGGATTTCCATCTTAACTCCAAGTCAGTTTAAAATCTCCAAATGATCCCGATGACTCGAGCTGCCACTAACCTGCAACGCAAACGCACGCCACACCCCCCACGTCAGATCCAATCGTTCGCGCCCAAGGAAGGTCTTGAGCCAATGAGCTGGCTTCATTCGGTGTATATATTAGTGCAGAAGCAACAATCTGTGACTGTTCTAACCCTAGGACAATATCGCTGATGCGACCATCGTTCGCTAGATTCATATATTGGTCGTACCAACCAGTATGATCTTTGCGGGCTGACTCCTTTTCTATAAAATCCGCGATTAAACTAAAATCGTCAAATGTGCCTTGCCGGAAAGATAGACCAGCGGAAGGTGCCGAGAGGCCACCACTGGGCCAATCATCGATCTTCAAGATCCAATCACATATGTCTTGACCACGGCCTGGAGCTTGACCGTTCATTTGCCAGCCCCGCCTTCGAAACCAGCCTTCGGACGCAGATGCCGCAGGTATCCCGCTCAACAAGCGGGGGAACGTAGAACCCAATTGAATTCGATCTACTCCACGTATCCTCTTAAGCTGCTTCAGAGAGTGTTCGTACAGACTAAGTCCGATTCCCCGCCGCCGATACGCTGGCTTAACGATGATCATAGCCAGTGACCCAATTAGCCTCTCGCCTTCTTTGTCCACAAACGTAGTATAAGTCGCACAGAATCCGACGACCTCGCGATTTTCGGGGAGTCTCACAACGAAATGCATAGCGTAGCCATCCCGTTGGAGCAAAGATTGTAGGGGGAATCTCTCTAGGTGAAACTGATCTGGTAGGCACTGATTCCAGAGCTCGTGTACAGGTGCCACATTGAGACCGTCCCAATTTTCCGGGGGCCAGAATTTCGGTTCTATCATCAATGACTGAACATCTAATCCGGTAGTACCTGTAGATGTAGCCGTAACCTCACCAAAAAGAACAGCAGCCGCAGCTTGCAAGTCAGATGACGTGTACCCAGGTAATTCGACAATGGTAGGAAAGTTTGCTTCCATAAGACCAAGGTCGTGCACGCTCTGGCACGCCACAATAATTTGAGGTCGTTGCTCTCCCACCATCCGTGCCATCAAACCCATCTCAACCTGCGAGGATTGGCCGGCGCTCGGCGGGCCGGTGATGACAAAGACAACGGCTTTAGCTCGCTTGATGAAACCAGCATGCGTACCTGTCATCCCGTTCCGAGATGTGTACGGAACATGTCGAATCCACGGGTGTCTCGCGGCCAGGGCTCGGCCAAATGGCTCGAATGGGTCGCTATCGCCGCCATCTGGCTGAGTAGGCGGAACAACTGGTGTAAGAAGAACGACGATATCCCCATCGCCGAGTATCCTGGTGAGAGGGATGCAAGCCTATATATCATACCTTTGAGTTAGTGGCGTACTTTTAAGATGAGTTTGAAGGGATCGATAAGAGCAAGCTAAGACTACGCCGGCAACGACGATGATGCCGTCTGCTAGAAACAACTCATCTCCTAGCTTGGACTATAGGCATAGCTACTAACCTGGTGATCCCTGATGAGAGTCACCTGAGACCGACGTGAGCCTCCTCGGTGTCCGGACGTAGTGGTGGATTTGCCAGGAAGCATTTCTTAGAGCTACCAAAAATCTACTATACGCTTCGCCCCCCATGAATGTTGGGTATTCCTAAGACTATATATTAGCACGGGTCAGAAGGTTAAAAACCACTTCGGGAAGGGGTATCCGCTCCATGTTGTCAGCATGTCGCTCCAAAATTACTCACCAGTCTCACCGAATGTGAATTGCTTATGTCATAAGCATCATCAAGCAAGTCGCCAGACGGTTCGTATACTAGGTTCTAGAAAAGGGTTTTGAGGCTTGTGGCGGGATGAAACGTTCCACACTGACCCGATGTAAGAAGTAGAAGGATGTGGCGCTGTTTGTGATGCGCCGGGGTTAAGTTGAAATCTTTGGGCTAGAGGTGAATAACGGACCGGGGGCCGGGGATAATAAATCGAATGGTAGCCGTATATGTAGCAAAAAACCGATAATGTCTAAGTCTGTTTTAGTATAGATACGGTAATTAGGGCTAGGGAACGATGACGGTGAGCCCCTGCAGGATCATGCGATAAGTACGGTAGGTCTAGGTAAGCAGCTCCCGCCACAGGAAGTAGAGCTCCATTCTTTGCCATGCGGTTCTTAACACACATACATGCCTACATACCTCTACAGGCGCCACCGGCAAAGCCTTATAAATTACCTACCTACTCGGAACCAATAAATGGAAACGAGAAACCGATGTCCGGATAGAAGGCGACCGGCGGTGAAGTCTTCGAGTTCCACCAGTATCCGCTCTAGATTGAAAAGAGACAGAAGGAAGCTGACAACGTATGTGTTCTCTTCTAGTATTGTACAGGGTTGAGTTTGTTGTACGTCAAAATCGCTGTTGTAGTTGTTGAGTATCAGCGGTATCAGTGTCAGACAGATGCAACAACAGAGATATGAAATGGTGTAAGTGAGAAGAGACGCTTACTGACCCGAACACACCCACTAGCTCTTATTTATTAATGATAGATGGTAATAATATTATTATTGAATCAAAGCTTTTTTTTTCCCGTTGCGAATGGTTACGCAAGAGGTGTAACAAGTAGGTACTATAATGGATAATAGACCTCAAGAGCCAACCCAAGAATAGCACGACATATGTCGCTCAAGTTTATACGCATCGAGAGTCCAATAGTAGGGCTTTGACCTCGCATGCGCATCCATGGAGGCATGTACCTGTTTATGGCTGGTGCAGTAATAGGTGCTAGGTATGCATACCTTCATCTTACAATGCCCGGTAGCCTAGGAAATTTTAGTGACGCCCACAGAGCTGCTGGTAGCAAAGCCGACAGTATGTGGGGGGTAGCATTGGGTAATGCCCCCCCTTGTATACGCCTATTAGGTGGTAGCAGGAGGCAGAGCAGGGCAGATACCCAGGTACCTACATGTACCATACATATATGTATTTACTCTTCTGTTGGTATCATGTTTTTTCTCTCTTCTCTTTTGCTGCGGAATCATGACGGTCTTTCTCAAGTCGTCGAGTCGTCAAGTCGTACAAGTGGACACATGTGCGTAACACCTTGACGATAACCTCGAGACCATCAGCTCGCCGAATATTACGTTTATGCCTGCATGTTGCAAACGTGACCTCGGGCATGATGAGTGATTGGAAACTCGGCCGATTCTGCCTACAGGCCGGCCTAATCGAAGAGAAAGATGTGAGTTGGTGGCACATGCAATGTAACAAGTTGGAGGAAATTGATGAGCGTTGGAGTTTTCCAGGGTTGCTCAAGTTGTTGAAGATTTTGGGAGGTTCGAATCGTTCCTCGCAGATCGCAGGAACAACTGATACAACTGATAGCTTAGAGCCATGACTTCCATAGTATTTTTGTTTGAGGGGAAGAGCCGGAGAAAGTTCCGCCCGGCTTTACGCTTTTTTGCGCTTTGGACCTACCATGCCATGGATGTGCACGTAGTACCTGCCAAGAAATATTAGTACTTTCTATTACCGCGACGGGTAAGTCCGCTACATATGATAGCTACCTAGTAGCAAGGTTCCATGGTAACATGGTTAAGGTAGGTACCTACATCACAGGTGTCAGGGTCAATCTGGAGAATTAATCCCACTAATGCACCTGAGCACTAGGTACTGGGTAATACACTAATGTACAAAATACCTACCTGCTCCAGGGCTTACCTGACGTCGCATTTTCCCGACGACCTCAGTCACCTCACGCTTTGGGGCTACATCGATCATACCTACTTAGGTACCTAGTTAGTATCTATAATTTCTTCGACCTGATGCCAAAGCCCCCAAAGCCTCCAATTCGCCCAGTTCACCGCGAGTCCAACTCCTTTCTTTATCTGCTCTACCTGAAACCCTGAAACTTCCAATCTTTTTTTTCCTACCCAAAGAACAATACATACACGACGTCGCATTTATGGTCATGTATCTACACACATATCTACGCATGTGTCTGCGGAGTTGCCATCTCAGGTTCTTAACTACCGTCTTATCATATTAATTCGCCCACTATCATCTACCGCGGCTCCTGTGACCTTGTGAGACCTGACAAGATTGGACAGAGATCCATGGATCTGCGAATGTAAGTAACGATTATCCACCCCACTTTAGATTCTAACCGCGGAAGAGAAAACCGCTTATTTCCTGATTAGTCTCATCGCCTTTCGCTTGTGTCACTTCTTAATCTTCACTGCATGTTCAGTCTTGAAGTAATACTTCGATCCTTATAACTCCTTTCCGGTTCCGATATTACATCGTTAGGTGTTATTTGAACGTCGCAAAGATTGGCTAGTAGTTACGACGAGTTAATGATCACGGTCATCATACTTGCCTAAGTACACATAAGTACATCTACTTTACTTAATAGGTAGATATCCCCTTTGGTATTCTCTGTGATACTTGAATGACATTCCATTTAGAATCTGTGTATCGTCAGATCGGGGTCTCGACCGTATGAGCTGTATTTCGGCACATGAACAACTCAATATTGTGACAGCATAGGCTACTAGGCACGTCAAGCAAGTAGCATCATATAATACCTATCCAACAGTGATGTTCGACCTATTACACACTTGATGGCTATCATATAAGCGCTTACGTTACACAGGCATAGTCACTTCACTTATTTGGTTGCCATTACGTCTTAACTCCGGTCCGAGTTGTTGAGGCTCCTTCGAAAAAGCAAATGTTGCTGCAGTTGGTGTCTACTTAGACAACTCGGAATTGACCCTATTCGTCATACCCAGACCCACCAAATACACTATGAATGTGGTGTATAAGTCTTTAAGCAACCTAACCTAGTACCTACCCAAGTTTAGCCTCTCCGACATTATCATCACCTACTCATAGATATCACAAAGGAAGAGTAAAACAATAATTCAGAATATAATATTACTTTCCTTATATATCATGTATAATATCAAGCTCGACCCCAAATTTATAAAGCTCAAGGAATTTTCGCAATTTTCAAAGCGTCCACGTCAGTTCTATCTACCTAGTATGCATGAGAGCTAATCCACTATATCGTTTATATCCAACAGAGGCAGTACAATAAGTCTAACTACGTGTCTTATCAGGAATCTCCCAAGCACAACGCAGCTTATCATTCGATCATGCAATTATAGTAACTCATAACTGCTCGGCCAAGTGGTGTTAGCAGCTCCATATAACTCCATTTATACCGAATAAGAATTCGGGCATACTAGACATGCAAGGCCAATGCATCTTACTATAGACCTCTATGTTCGAAAGATATACCATAGTACGGAGTAGTAGATCATTGCTTTCGCTACTTGTTGCCATTTCACGACCGAGCGACTGGATACCATCCTTACAGACTGTTTTCAGGGGGCACAGTTGCAGGTTACATGTAAGAGCCGTAAGAGTCCGGAAGACGGCGGAATAAACCACCCAATCACGGCCATTCAAGAACCCCGATTCAGAAAATTCGTAAAGTAGCGTATGAAAGTTGAGAAAATACCTATTGACGGTAAATATAGGTACTTAGGTACATCGTTGGACGCGACGCGTCTTTCACAGCTCCAGGATTAGAATGGCGCTAAGATCCGCTGTAATCCTAGCAGCCCTAGCCTCGGGATCTGAGTGTCGTTTAGCGTCATTTTTATGGGTCGCTTTAACTTCGGACGTGCCGGTATTAGCCCCATATTTTTATCCTCCTAGGGCTTGATCCAATCATTTCACTTCGCCTCGGCGCGTCCAAGCCTTCAACGTTCCTTAAAAACGCGTCAAGCTCGTCAGTATGATCCAATGTAAGGCTGAGTGTACAGAACAAGGGATCCGGGATATTCATTCCGCTTCGTGCCGATAGACACGTTACTCTGGTGGCTGATCGAATTTCAGAGCGTAATTGAGTCACCCATCATGTCGGGCTATCAAGATGACGATGATGGATTTCAGGGGATGCAAGACCTTCGAGATACCCTCTCAGATGTGGTTGCAGGTAAGATTTCACTAATCGGTGATTTTTACTGTAATAACAATAATGTACTAATTCTTAAAGCGTCTAAATTAACGGCAAAGCAACGTGGAAGCAGTGTGAAACCAACTGTAGAAAAGTTGACCTCACTGTCGTATGAGCAAGGCCTCCTTCCAGAGGACTTGAGCCAGCTCATAGATCTGGTCACAACTCCGACTTTTCTTGACCAAGCAAGTCTTGGAAACATTTTGAGAAATCTTTTCCCAGCTGCTGCTGTGAGCGCAGATTTTGTCGTCAGGATAATCGGTTCTCTTGGGCATGGCAAGCTGAAACCATCTCTTGCCATTCAGGGGGCACTCTTAAAATGGCTCGTTATGATATACCATATCATTGATAATCAGATTATCCTCTCGCGTGCCTACCCCGTTCTGTTCAATCTACTCGATACCGCCGCAATTAGGTTTGTTCATCTATATAACCTTCTACAACGTGAGTCGCTGACACTCTCAGGAAACAATTATGCCATTTACTGGCTCTTATTACCCGACGTCGACATGTGAGGCCTTATCGAATTCAGAGTCTGTGAGTATTTTGGTTTAACGTGACTCTTATCACCGCTTATTCTCCTCTAGTCTATCCTTATCCAGGCAAACGGGAAATGATCCTGCCGTAACTGGACTACTTCGAGTGTTTAAAGACTACTATCCCGAGATTATCGTAGGAGAAGTAACTCGTGCGAAAGCGTCTACTTTCAAGGTATATATATCCTACTCTAAATGAAAAAATCGGGTCGGTCATCGCTCATCATTTCTACAGCACCCAGACCCTCAATGGCGCGAGAGACTAGATGAGATCCAAGCGGCCCACGCAGCGCGAACAACAGACCGTTCAGAACGACCTCTAGAAGCATTCAGGGTAGCTCGAAATAGGACACGTGGCAAGGGTTCTACTCAACTCCCCGAAGTGCACACCTCAAACGCTACAGAGGTAAGTCTTACCTAGACCTTATAGATGTTAAACTTGAACTAAACAATTATCAGAACTCTATCACACTCGAGGAAATAGAAAATGTAGATGGCTTAGTGAACAATTTGGAAAAGATTGAGTTACCAAACCAGCTAATCGCAGTCCTTGGAGATCCATTACTCCAAAAGTTATTAACCCTGAAACCACATAGTGAAGCTCACCAACGAGCCAGTAGCTGGCTAGCTTCATATGGGCAGGATTTAATGAGTGGAGAGGGTGGCGTAGACCCTAGTGATTGCTTAGAAATGCTGAAAGCCTATGCCTCTAGTACTAGGGTATGTGTCCATGTAACCGCATATTAAACTTTTTGACTAACAGTCTCCTTAGACCTTCCCTCCTATATTTTTGGCCTTCTTCAGCGAGTATCTCAAGATATGGAACGGCCAGGATGGACAGGACCTAGTATTAGCAATACTGTCATATTTGCCATTACTCAACTTTTCAGGTTAGAAATGCAACCCCAATCATGATTCTATAAAGCTAATACAACCCAGAACTATTTGCCAGCATCTTGCAGCCCCTCGAAGTCAAGATCCTTGACAACACTACAGATTCCCAATTGCAGCTACTTGATTTCTATACGAATTTACTTCGGCGATGGACTATTCACTTGGCATCACTTCAAGAGAAATCAAATCAAGCATCGGATATTGTTGCTGGTCTGATAACCCACGTCAACGATCTCTGTCTCACCTTAGTTCAGACGTCTCCTACCGCCTCCACGCACTCGAAGGTCTTGGATTTCTACGAACAGACATCAGTTCTTGCTTCAGACCCGAAGCTTTTACTTCATACTCGAATAATGATACCGCCTTCCCCATTGGTATATATCCTTCATTTCAGCTTCGCCCCGAGTTCTTTAGCTCGACTCTGTTCATTATTGTCAAAGTATAAGGCGGGGTTTCAAAAGGCCATGGCTACGTCTCGTTCTGCATATACTTCGGAATATATCAACGAGTTTAACGGATTTCTCATGGACATCTGCAATTGTATTTGGCGGTCGCGCGCCTTCAACAACAATGATGTCAATGCCCACGGCTGCTTGGTATCTAGAATACTTACGAACGATCTCATGTCTTACGTCAACAACCTCAACATGGGCAATTCGCTCTCATCGCTCTTTTCTCTGTCGTATTCACCAGTCTTATGCCTCTCGGCAATCTCTCATTTCCGCGAGCTAGAAGACGAGGAACTACGGCAGAATGAGGGCGAACTCAGCATCAGGCATGCCGGACCCGTGACTCGTGCCAGCCTCAATGCTCTAGCCAATAAGGGTGGGCTAAGAGTAGGTTGGGATGATTATCGTCTCGGCGTGCTAAGTTACCTAGAACGACAGGGCATGGCCGGCGTTGGGGAGTTGATGTACAACACAATGACGAACGTAATGAGAAGGAGGTCTCTGATGACAGAAGCTGCAAAATAGCCGTTTAACGATTCCCGCAAGATTTGGTTATTGCAAGTGTATCTCAGGTTCGATACCCACAATACAAATTCAATGAGTAATAATACGTAGATAATCATGCGAATATAATGCTTTGTCTGACTCTGTCCAGTCCCTAGAAATGCTATCCTGTTGAAAGGGTATCTTTTAAATAACGAATAGCCGCCCAAAATCAATTTCGAGCGTTTCCATCCTTAATGCTCGTTCATTCATTTCGTTTCGTTCCAAAACGCCCCCCTTTCCGCTAAACATTCCCATCTGTCATCACCCCATCCCAATGTTGAAAGGGCGCCATACCATGCAAGTTAAGTGCATATCCAACCACGCATACCTGCCTACCCCCTAACGCATCCGACTACACCAAAACACAACCATCGCTCGAATCCGCCTTAAGAACTCCCACCAAACCCAATCTTCTGTTTCGACTCGCTACTCTCGAGCCCGTAACCCCCAAGACCACCCTGCGAATACGTCAACCCCTCCGTCCCCATCTTCTGCTGATTCCTCGGCCCCCGATCCTTCAAATCCACCCTCAACCACCCCAAAACCAACTCTCCTAGTCGACTATTCCCCGTATTCTTCCCCTCCGCCTCGCCCAAAAACTGCTCCGTGGGTCCCCATTCCCGCACCGTGCCTAAATGCATATGCACAAGATGAGTCGGCCATCCGGCGAGGTTATCCAGTATATGAGTCGCGTAGACAATAGTGCACTCCCGAATCTCCGTCTCGTGCTTCAGCCAGCCAAGAAACTCGGCACGGCTTAACACGTCTAAATCTACGGTTATCTCATCGAGCAGGAGCACAGTCCACGGGCGTACAAGCCCCATGGCGAGCTGCACGCGCCTCCGCTCGCCGTCGCTGACGGCGTGCATGCGCCACGCGATGTCGATGTCCAGCACCCCCAGCAGCTCGTCCCGCCTTTCCGGGTACGCGTCCCCGCCGACAGACCGCAGCAGCTCCGCGACGCCGATGTCCGTCCGCACGATCGGGTTCAGTACCCACTCTAGCCCTAGGTACGTCACGCCTTCCAGCCCCTCTTTGAACGGGTCTACGCCCGACACGCTGATGCTGTTTCCCGGCGCAAGCCGCTTGCCCGCTAACAGGCGGAGTAGAGTTGTTTTTCCGGCACCGTTGGCGCCGATTAGAAGCGTGCGGCTGCGCGGTGGCACGCTGAGGGATATGTTCCGGATGCCGGTCCGGTAGTCCGGGAAGGTGTATGTGAGGTTAGTGACGGTGATATCTGGGGGCGCCATTTTAGCGGTTTTGGGTTTGGAAATGGGAAGGAGGGAGTGGGAGAGAGGAGAAATGACCGATACGAGTTTCGTCGATGACTTTATGAACTTTTTCCGATGCGGAAATTGTGGGTCCTGGTTGACGATGTGACACCATATGGTTTCAGGACACAGTGTAGACAGTGCGGATTGGGCACGTTGCTTCCCGCCGGAGTACGTAGGATATAGATGTACGGATGTTGGTTTCCAAAGACGACGTCATTACACAATCTAATAAAATGAGTAGGTACCTAAGTACAAACGCGACTAATTCTATATTTAAAATTCCTTCTATATATAGGTAAGTCCGCCTCTAGTAACAACAAAAGCCCTGTGTTCCTTGCCAACTCTTAGGTCAAGTAGAAATATCTACGTCGTGAAAACAAGGCGATAAGTTATAACAATATAATTTCCTTGTTTTCGGATAATATATGAAAGATTAGACTCTGTAAGGTACTTGCCCAGTAGGTAGTTCTGGTTCGTCAAAGCCCTTGGTTGGTGTAACACTGCCTGAGTCTCCCCCCCTTTACCCCTTTTTACGTCAACCGTGAACATTTCTATTCAGGAACTTCGATTTCAAAAACTCAATAGCATCTACATCTTATTCAGGATTGATCAAACAGGTTGATAACTGGTCCAATGAATCGTATAATGCTAACATTTCTTTTAGTGATTACTTATATCATTTCTCCTCGTTGCCAGTCCGTGGCTCTCCTAGATAATGTCGAAACTCCTATCATTCAAATCACAACTTAGCTGTTTTGTTTATAATAAACATCTACCTCGTGGTTAACTTTTTATCAGTAGAAGTACTAGATATTAAATGTGTGCGTATCGTATGCATGCAATGGCTTAGCGGTGCTACTAAACTGGGACTACATTTCCCCACGCTTAGAAATAACCTCGGAATATAATTGGGGTCGAATCTGGATTGGCCATTCGATTCCTACCCCAGAGCACGCAATGCCAATTAGTAATGTTCTAATTCGTTCTATCGTTTCGGTGATGTTATTAAGGCGATTTTAGTTGCCACCATACGATAACTCCTAAATAGGGGACAAGTAATCGACTTACTAATGATATAGCAGTATATAACTCCTGACTATCGCCGCAGAGGACCTAGTATTGCTGTGTTATCAAACGCAATCCCGCAAACTGGTGCAGATACCCCAAAGATCCCTTAGTTCATGACTTTATTACCAGCCGTAGCTCGACGAACTCTAATTCGAACATTGTATCGCAATTCAAAACAATCGATCTTTTCCATATTACCACGGAAAGCCAACATGACAACCGCTATCTTTAAACATATCGATGTGTCGGCAGTTCCAGAAGGGACAAAGCCGTGGGTGAAGGTCGACGCCGACGTTAGCTCCTTCAAATTAGCTGAACATAAGCGCTCAGTAAATAATCTCAGGGGGCATGAAAGCGACTTTTCTACTGATAACTCTGGGTTCGCGGTATACAAGGAACCAGCCAGTGAGAAGGCTTTCAAGGATGACGCTGCTATACGTAGTGGATACTACCAAGAGGTCGAAGATCTGTTGAAGAAACGGATACCCGGCATCAAGAGGGTAGTCATATTCGACCACACTATTCGGAGACGAACGCCCGAAGCGGCCAGAGCCCCAGTTCAGCAAGTCCATGTCGACCAAACGCCTGCCGCGGCCGAAGTGCGCGTGCGGCGACACCTTCCAGCAGACGAGGCCGAAGAACTCCTAAAGGGTCGGTTTCAAATCATCAACGTGTGGCGGCCCATAGAGAACCCTGCGAGCGACTTTCCTCTGGCTGTCATCGATTGGCGTACAACGAAGCTGGATGATTTTGTCCCGGTAAATTTGCTCTATCCCAAACGCGAGGACTTCGCAACGGACAATGATGACAGGGGGAAGGAAGTGCGTCCCGACGAATCTAAGTTGCACTCGGCAGAGGGATATGAAGTACGAGGAGAGACGATGTCCGTAGCACCAAATACGGCCCACAAATTCTACTATCAGAAGGACATGACACCGGATGAGGTGTTGCTGTTGAAGTGCTACGACTCTTGGGGTGAAGGACAGCCACAGGGGAAAGAGGGAATCGCGGTGAGGACGCCGCATACGGCTTTCGTTGATCCTCAAACACCCCAAGACGCACCTGGAAGACAGAGCATAGAGGTTCGGTGCCTAGTATTTTATGACTAGGACTGAATAAGAGCATATCGACTATAAAAGGCCTATCATATTATATAACTGATGAAAATAATGATTCAGGAGGTTCTTGATATATTGGCAGAATAGGGGCTGGAAGAATGCAACAATTGAACTGCTATATGTTTGGTTTATGGGAAGATAAATCGACAGACAATCTTGGAATTTTAATTTGGCTGAACCTGGCCGTATTGTCCCTCTTCTGAATTGGTCACATGCACACTGCGACTTCTACGATAATAGAACATCTGCTAGACAGTAGCTTAGTCATCCAAGTAAGGTGTTGATTTGGGAGGAAGGGTACGAGAAGCTAGCTGTCGCTAGCACTCTAAGGTCTAGGGATGCCACCCGTATATAGATGCATTCTACTCAACCTTGTACTCCCGAATTATTTTTCTCTTTTCTCAACCATCATTCTACCCACCGTCTTCCCCTTCGTTTCGTCGGATTCGAAAAACCTACACATTTGATTCTACACACCCCATACGTGATCAATTCTTTTTTCGTCTCCTTCATCGTCATCTCTTATATCACATTTCATGACATCCCGGAGCTGGCTATCAATAAATCATCTGCACGCCACGCTCAGTTTCATGACTGACAATTTCGACATCTGAAATTCGTAGAGGTATAAGAAACAGTCCCTCTTGACCCTACTCGTCGCCTCCTTCCTCTTTGTGGTCGAGAAAAAATTATTCAGGTATGTTAATCCTCGTTCCTTTCCCGTCACCTACCATACGAGAGCCCACCACACGCACAAGCTATCAACGACGTCCCACATACCGCGAACCCATCTACATCACTAATGTCCTCACGCCATACTAACTTATTACAGTTTTTTTTTTTCACGCCCAACTCGCCGAGTTCGCCGTTTTTGTGATTTTCGTACCAAGCTCCCAACTTCAAGTTGAACTACGCGATTATTTCACAATATCACACTCATACTTCCAACGCACGATAGACCAATAAAACACCAATCTTGTCGACGCGTCTGTCCCTCAGCCATCGTAAGTAAAACAAATCCTCACGCCGTTCTATCACGATACTTCTTTATATCCACCACGATTTTGTTTGCTAACTACTATATAAACAGACTACAACATGCCTAATACCACAGCACGCCGTGGTCCCGGTGGTCCCGGTGGTGATGACAACGGCAAGAAACCCGGCGGTCGCGGCAACAAGCGAGCTCTCGACAAGACCGGAACCAAGAAAGAGCAGCCGGCGAAGAAAAAGGGAAAGGCCAAAGCTGGCGCTGGTGCTCCTAGGGTCCAAGCTCGAGCCTCGGGGGCGCCTAGACAACGACTCCTTGCTCCCGCTGGAAGAAGAAACGCGGTGGGACCTGCCAATCCTGGAGTTCCCGCGGCAGGTAACCAGTCTGGGCGTAGATTAGCCAGCCGCCCGGGCCCTGAGAATACACAGGGGATGAACCAATATCCCCCGGTGCCTCCGCCCAACCAGCAGCTGCAGCCGACCTCGATCCCCCTTACCCGACAGCAGTTCCTCCTACTGGTTCGTGCCCGTGCCCGTGCCCAAGCCATTCGCAACGCACCCCGCCAAGCGAACGGGATGCCCATGCCTGTACATCCCCCGTATGGCATCCCCGTGCAAGTGGTCCCACGACAACCTATCCCCCAGGGACAGCTCAACCCCGGACTCAACTACAACCCCGCGGGACCCTCCTTTCCGCCCCCGACCTTCCCCAACTACCCGCGTCGACCGCTACAAGAGGTCGAGAACGACTATCCCCTGTCCCCTCTTCGCCGCCAGTCGCAAGTCCCACCCCCGCACGGACCCAACGTATTAGCAGCCCAGCGACCTCCCTCGCCCGTGTACTACGTGCCACCGCCGCGCTCGGTAAACCCTCCGTCCGTAGCCCAAGGAGGACAAGGACAAGAAGAAGAGCAGGAGCAGCAGCAGCAACCACAGGGTAGAGTTCTCTTCGTACAGAACCCCTACGTTGCGCACTGGCTGCAGAATGTGCCTGTTGGGGGAGAGCCCGAGTAGCAACCGGACCACCCCGAGGACCGTCTGCTTCCAGACCCCGACGACGCGCCAGCTCTGGGCTATCCGCAAGTCGCCGATCATCCTGTGGATGACTTCGAGATGGATACGACCCCCAATGCCATCTCGGACGCGGATTGGAATCGCTTGTTGGCGCCGTTCGCGTATTACGATGGGTATGGCCACATCCAGGTGGATTGGCAGGCCGCGTATTTTGCGGCTGAGCAGATCGATGGCCGTGGTTGGTATTGATTCACGGTTAATCCATTGAAGGAACTGCGGATGGAGATGTGGTGGAATGATGGCTTTTCTGCTTCTCGCTGTGCTTTTCTTTCTTTCCTCGCTCTTTTTATCCTGCCGTCCTGGATTGACGCTGATGGGATTGTTGCTTTGTCTCTGTCTCGCCTCTAGATAGGCAACGCACGGAGAAATTCATCGCTGTGGATATCGGAAAGGCTTTATAGCAATGGCATAACAAACCAAATTGAAGAATGCACAATACACATGCAGGCTTGAAGAGTAATGCATAGGACGACAGCCTAGTCGCCAGTACCAATTGCTTTTCTGCCTAACTTTGATTGACAGTACATTTGCATTGTAGTGACAATTGGCGACCCGACGGTTTGGTAAGTATCTTGAATTGTGCCACTGATAGTATGCTCAGGACTGATCTGTCCGAATGAGTGCCGTCGACTAACAGCCCTTTGCGATGGTGCTATACCCATCTTCTTGACATAAGCCGACCATGGATAATTGGTAGATCGACAATTGCAAATGCCGTGTCCCGTCTAATCAATGTATTGCTGTAGACAAGATACATTCTTCGATTCAAAGAGAGCGTCACTCTTAGGCGGAAGGGACGTGGTAGCCGGATCTGTCCTTGCAGTTAATACTACAACGGCATATCTCAATCAATGGGGGACGCTGCGTTATTAATAGGCATAGAAGAAAATGGTTGCATCTTCTAGATTACCTCCAAGTTCTAGACAGTTTTTAGCCCTAGACCATTATTTCCCGTAACTTTTTCCTTGTTTTACTGATCTTAGAGTTTTGGGCGATTGTTGTTTCGGAGAGCTCTTCTTGTTATTAGTCATTTATATCTCGCGATTATACCTACCTTTATTGTAACTTCATCATGTCTGCCCTAGAGCGCCTGTACGCTGTCCTTGACGACATTGACATCGACTCTTTCCCAAATGAAGACGACCGGTCGCGAGCAGAAGATCTCATCATGGACGCTTTAGTAAGAGTAAGGAAGCCGTGGGATATCGCATTAAACCACAATTGGGTAAACCCGTGCACCAATGCCGCCACCAAGACCCTTATCGATGTCGGCGTCTTTAGGAAATGGGTAGAAAATGGAAGCAAACCACAAACGAGTGTCGAGCTTGCTAGTCTTACGGATACAGATCCTACGCTCATCAGTTAGTGTAATTCTTATTGAGTGATGATCTATACTAGCTAATTCTTACCGATGGGAAGAACGAATTGTGAGACAGCTCGCTGCGCAACATCTTCTCATAGAGACGGCAGAGGATACCTATGCTCCTACCGCATGGGCGACGACCCTAGGGACTGATCCCTCGTTTCCAGCCCTATATGGGACCTTATATCACGATATAACTGCGGTAGTATTTGGCGGGATGCCATCGTTTCGTACGTCTTTTGTGTTTTATCTCTATATGAGAAAGTTCGACTCGTACTTATACGTAACACTTAGTGAGGAAGACGGGATACAAGAATCCAATTGATGATAAGAACGGTGTCATACAACACGTCAAAGGACCCGACACTTCTTTTTTCGAGTACATCATAGCCGACCCAGTCCGTACTGAGGAATTTACCCATTCAATGGAGTGCCATTCGAAAGGAAGCATGGTGGCCTGGCCAGATGTCTATCCCACGAATACGCTCATAAAAGGTGCTAAACCGGGTAGAGCTCTAGTAGTTGATATTGGTGGGAGCAAGGGCCACGACTTGGAGAAGTTCCGGCTCAGACATCCGGACATTCCGGAAGGTAGCCTGATATTACAAGACCTTCCTGGAGTTCTTCGAGACGTACATATAAGCAACAAGATCATCTCGAAATGCCCGTATGACTTTTTCACTCCACAGCCGGTGAAAGGAGCCAGAGCTTATTTCCTACACACTGTTCTCCACGACTGGCCGGATGACGGGGCGGCCGAAATTTTGAAAGTCGTCGCTGCTGCCATGGAAAAGGGGTACTCCAAGGCATTGATTCACGAATGCATGGTAGAGAATATCAAGCCGTCGCTGCGTACGACTACGTCAGATTTGACAATGCTGGCATGTTCATCTTCGGCAGAGAGAACGGTAAAGGAGTGGGATGCCCTCCTTAGTCGCGCCGGGTTGGGAATCGTCAAGATCTGGAAGCGACCGGCGGCTATGGAGGGTGTTATTGAAGCAGAATTAATCTAATCCTGAATTAGTTAATGTGGTGTGAATATGGATTTTTTTATCGAAGCGCCCTAGACGAATAGAGGTTTTCCCCGCATGGAAGCTAAAGTGACTTATCGTTAGCATGTACATGCCATCACGATCTAGTGCGACAAGATCAAGGGAATTATTGGTTTATTCTCAAGGAGAGTAGTGAAAATGAAATGGGGGAATACTTAGTACAAGGAAGAATTCCAGGTCGCAATAACCCCGTCTGCTTGCTTGAAAAACCTAACCGACCGGCCCTGCTTCAGAACAAGACAGACGGGGCGGGATTCGGAGGTGTGAGAGGTGGGTCAATGTGCAACTGAGATGAGTCAGCAGATCCTCGGTGCCGCATGTATGAGTAGGTGTTGAGGGTGTTATGTCGTTGTAAAGTAAGACAGTTCCTCAAAATACCAATTGGAAACATGTCGTTGTCCCTACTACATAGTGCTAGGTAGCGATGGATATTGATGGGGTCGCATGTTCTCCACTTCATATCGATCCAGTCCGCCATTGTACTACTCTGCTACTGTAGGCGAACGGCATCGGAGAGATGATCAAAGTATTCTATGTGACTCAATACCGCCATATTTATTAAGATGTCGCGCAGGTAATAACGGGGTTCAAGTTAAGTTTATCGTTCTAGTATTGGAAGACTCCGAACTCGTATTAAAATCCTTGATATGGAATGTTAACTTAAATGGCAGAAGGCGGTTCGCAACTTGCGGTGTAAACGCCCCAAATCCCCAACCGTCTTCTCCGCAAGGTCACACAACACGGGAGTAACGATCTGCCAATTCATTGACATGAACTTGGGCTAGGGTGTGCTTTGAATGAAATATATCGGAGCGAAAAATTAGAGCGAGACGGTTCGTGTTACTCTATTGTCCATCAATACCTACCTAAGACCTGGGTAGGTAGTAACTTCGGGCTATTTTGAGAACGGGGCGGGAACTCCTATGGTGACTGAATGACCAAGACAGTTTGTCCACGAGCTTGCAAAATCATGGTCATGTATCTCCCGCGTTTTCTCTCTGGCAGTCTGGTTGTTGCACAAATGAACAATGCTCCGATGGAGCTAGTTCGGGTGATGGCTACAGACACAGATGGGATGAGGTCACTCCTTACTGTCAAAGCTTGTTCGCTTATCGTGTGACGTACGACTTCCGAATTAGGCTACCGGATCCAGATAGAGCATCGTGATCATCGACGACCGTTTTCTCTGTTTTGTGATGTGGACGGGAGGTTCTAGCTCGATTCAAGCAGCACGAACGAAGACTGGAAGGACGTGTATCGATGAGTCAATCAATGCTAACATCGTCTGCGAACTTAATTCTCTGATACGATTAGCGAAACAATGCAGACGGCCGGGGAGAGTCAGAAGTTAGTCAGAGATTAGTCTGATGTCAGACTCATATGTCATGCTTCACGAGAGTGAACACGGGCAGAGTTCAAGCTGTTCAACAGCATCACTTAACGATACCAGCTGGACGGAAGGATCTCATGCGAGCTGATATTGGTGGCTGGTTTCGGACTATTTAGAAGGGACACAGTGGCTAACGACGTTATGATTTACCTCATATTTCGTCATCACGTGGGATTGCTGGAGACGAGTGAGGTCAGATTGGCAGCGAAGGTTTTAGATGGCTTGTTCAGTGGCGAGGGCTTGAATCGAGCCTCTAGCACGACGGGCGGATGCAGCCATTCCATTCTTCCCGGCGTAGTGGCGTCAATCTAATAGGGTTGGTGGAGGTCAATACGAGTATGTTGGTATGTTGATATGTTGGCATGGTATTAGACCAAAACTTCTTCCAGCACAACTCAACTGGCAGACGGGATAATTGGTGACAAATACCAGGATATGCGTGTTTCTGAACAAGTACTGGAGCAGTGTAAGTTACGGTATTGAGGCATAGAGAAGATAAACTTTAGTCAGCGGGAGTTAACGAAGAAGGTTTCGGTGCTAGGTAGTAGCTGACATCATTAGGCTTCTACCTGGCAGTTCCCGTCCACAGGGACAGGGGGCATGCCGATGCTAAAAGCACGGACCAATACTGACCTCACGGATCTGACAAAACAGGGGCACAGGGGACAACTAAAAAAGCTAAAATGAAAATAAAGTTGTCAGCCATTTTTGAAAGATGCGATTGATCCTGCCACTAAAAGTATCAGTATCAAGGAAGTAAGAGGTCGGATATTGACTGTAGGCGTAAACTAGCGGCATCCCGCTCTACTAGGTACATGGGTAAGTACCCAGGCTGCCAGGTATTGTTTGCCAATATTTCAATGTTGACATTACATACATGCAGAAAGCAAACAATCTTGAACTCACAACCTATCATTTCATCTATAGCGTCTGGGCGTCTAGACATACCTTTCTCGAAGATAATTCGCTTGCAACCATACCTCACCTGGAATCGGTACCGCTAGGTAGATCTGCTGTACCCCTTAGACCCCTATTTTGGCTTGCGGTTAATGAACCTCAGCCTTTTACAGGTTCGCTTGCCTGTCAGCCTGCCTGCTCTTGACTGACGTGCATCCCGCTTGACCCGGATCCTATCCTAACCTTAGAACATTGCAGCGCATACTAAAATGCAGCCCGATAGCCCGATTTGCGTTGCGGTGCACAGTGTTACGGACTAATTTATTATGTACCTACCCTTACCCTTCGATCCCTTCGTCAACTCGTGTGCCGCCGTCCTCGGTTCACCTGCCCGCACCCTCAGTGGAACTTTACATACCACATCTAGACCGTGGATATGGGGTGATGGTCCACCAGGCAATATTTCGAACAGCAGACATGCGCATTGCCGATCGATGCATAGGTGTACAGAGTATGTAATTGCTAATTGCGATAGCCCTAAAGGTGCGCAATCTGGCAATGTACATAGCTCTAAGAATAGCAATCATGAATTTCTTTATATCTTATCTGCCCATTCTCGATTAGCACTAGTCATGTCGAGAATTTACATCGAGCACGGGTTTACGAATCCTTAGAATCGTCCGGACTTTTAGGGGTCCTTCAGCCCTTCGGTTCCTGCTTGGTGCACCACTTTTATGGAATTGATATGAAAATGAAAGTCGCACAACTTCCCTGAATTTGAGACACTTCTTAATTACCTGTCGAATTTATATTAACTACTTGGTAAGCGAGAGACAAATGTTACTTAGATCAAGTATCTAAAGTTACTAAAATACCTAAGTAAATTGACAAATCGAGCAGGAATACGAACCTTGGAAGTCAATGTACAAAATACCTCAGTATGTACATTGTACAGAGTACACATGTGTTGTTTTGATGGAAACCCGCGTACCACTATACCGCCATCCCTGCACGTGCTTATTCTTCGCCGAAATTCAATCTTATTACAGCGGTCCCATGACGTCACATTCATAACTTCACAATTCATATGTTCATAGCTGTGTACGACTTTTATTCGTTAACCTTCGTCATATCGACCAATTCGAGTAATGGGCCAGCTGTCGTTCGAGAAGAAATATTCTCATTAAAGCTGAAGTTTGTTGCCAATACCTGCGATACGCAAACGCCTCGTGGTCAGCCAGGACCCTGAATATACATATGCGATATGTCTACATAATATCCCATGGATGTATAATACTATGTCCACATACATTCTATCAGCAGTACCAGCACTGCAGCAGTACCAGCAATACTAGCAGTACTAACAGTACTACTAGCTACATGGCAACAAGCCTGCAAGCCTGACCCGTCGGCACCTCCACTATTGTCTCGGTACAATGAAGCAGATTGTGGCCAATAGAATGACATATGCGATGACTTCAAAGGTCCAATGGTCACGACAAGATCGCCAGGGTCTTTCCCAATCGTCACAAGTGGAGTCTTTCACGGGCGAGACATGATTCCCCCTCAAGCCCCAGAGGCCCCAGAGGTCCCAAGAAGCCCCAGAAGTCCCCCAAGTCGTCCGTTTTCTTTATGCCCTCTCCCGCTAGCGGTGTCCGAATGCAGAATGACATGCCAGTTCTAAAGCATTACCCCTTTCCTCCCTTCCAATTTGATGGTGTGGTGACATGGGCAATCAACTACGTAGTAATGAATCTCTGCAAGTCTAGTGCACAATGCATCATCAGCCTTGCTCGTGGCGAACGTCTAATGGCCCCGGCCCGGTCATTGGCCTGTCGCCTCTCACTTACGCCATAGCCTGCATGCTTGGTTTCCCATCCCGGCACTAAAACGGCGCCCCTACATGCCGATCACCGCATATCTCACTTCGATAGCACTCCTAGTCTGTTTGTCTGCAGTAGGTTGTGGGAGTCGACCGCTGTACAGTACACTAACCAGACCCTCTCGCTCGTCTATCAAAGCCACCCTACACCCAACACGTTCTTTGAACTCTAGCCCGATTCCCACTAGACTCTTCCTCCCCTCTTTTCCCATCCTCGTTTCTGTTATAAAACCTTTCTACCTCACGCTCCTTCCGTCGTCGTTGCTACATTTTGAGGTATCAATCGTGTGGTAACACTAAATCACTAACCAACTGGCTTCGGTCTCCCTCATATCTTCTACAATTTTAACTACTATTTAACACTTAAAGTATTAATCCGGCCCGGCCGTATATCACCAATTCTTCACAATGTCGTCTCGAAGCAGCTACAACATGTCTATGCCGGCATCACTCCCTCCGCCAGTAGATCTATTAAGCTACGCTCGGTCAATGCACCAACACACAAAGAGACAGATGGAGGCCGCAAATATGCCAACAAGTCGACGAAGCAACCGATCTCCACGTTCCGAAGTTACTAGTCTACCGAATGGCACTTCAGGTAGCTCGTCATCGTCGAGGAGTCCAGGCGAAGTTGAATATCACGATTGAGGAGGCATGAGCATTTGAAGGGTTTTACATAATATTCATACACATATATGTTGTCGCTTACAAAACGTACACGTACACAGTATTGCAGTACACGGCCGTCAAGCTAGCGGCAATTAAACAACAAAAAAAACACGGCTCAGCTCGGATGAGCTTCGAAGCCATATATTATACGCGAGGCGTTCAGGACATCCCGAGGAAAGCGATGTACACGCATGAGAGGGATTCAACATAACAGCATGGAGGGCTCGTGACTACAAAGTCACCCACGTTTTAGCGATGAGGAGTCGGGTCAGTTGGAGTTATAAGTGAGCGGCAAACAAGAGGAGCCGCTCAGCAACATTTGCGAATGGCCACACCATCGCCGAGCAACAAGATGGCGGTAAACTAAGCAACAATCCAAAGCCAATAAACGACTTGCCGTACAGGCCGGTCGTATGAGAATACGATATCTGACGATGATCCCGCGTCGGTGGGACGATCATGAACAATCAGCTTAACAACTACATCACTTTCTAAATATCCCATGACTCTTCGTTTTTCTTGCTCGTGACCTTTTTGACTCACCAACGCCCATGACACCGTGTCAATTTACTCCAGGCAGGCTGCATTGAATCCCATTGTAAGTATGCGTAAACGTTGTATCCCCAACACTGGGAAAGCGTCGGTCGTCAAAAGGGGCTATGAGAAGCCTCCCTCACCTCCCTACCCTCGGCCAGCCAATCGGGTTCCACGATTAGTGCGGTTCGTCGGATACGACGCTTAATGCGCTCCCCGCCCTCTTCCGACCCTGTACCGGCGCAGCGTAGACAATAGCAACCCGAGCTATTATAATACGCCGACTCGCATGTCATGTGCAAGCAAAAGGCCTCTCCGGACTTGCCGCCTAAAATCGCTAGTGAACGAGGAATCCAAGAAAATGATGAACGATTACGTAGAAAGCCCGGTTTAAGGATTGGATGGCTTAGGTCAGCCTTCGCCGCAGGAATTTTTCGGCACTAGACGGGGCCAGAACGTCATCGGCCATTTGCCGAGACGTCTCGTCGTCTAAGCCATCGCTGCGGCACGCCCGACGAAAACTGGTTGGAATGTGCCGAGGCTGGGGTTTTTTATGTGTAAAAAGGCTTTGGAAGTGTATATACGTATTTAATACGACTGGGGTACATTAAATATATCGAGATTATTATGAGCAAGATCTGGATTATGTCCCCTGTAGATGGTACACCTATCGCGACCGCGACCAATCAAATTTAAGGGGGATCTAGGGGTCTAGGGAACTTAGTGTACTACTCGAATGTATCTCAATTAATTGGTGAAAACACCAACCGTATGCAATGATAGAACGCCAACCCAATACCGCCTGCTATGCTATGAATCCCAGTAATCGCAGTCGTGGCTAACCCGAATTTCAATCAGCCTACACAAGAGACGGCTTCTTCTTGATCCCGAGGAGAGCACTGTGATCCTTCTTCCTCTTAACAACGCGCTTGAACGACGGGGGCGGCATATCCGCAGCCGTCGCACTCGCCGCCGCAGGCGCAGGCTTCACCAATTCCGGCTTAGGCGTGCCTGACGCGGGTGTACCCGCCGAACTCGAACTCGAAGCCGCGCCCGTATCCTCCATCTCCTCATCGATGACATCTTCCGTAAGACTCTCCACCTGTCGCGCGAACTCGAAAGCCTTTCTCGCAGCCTCCGCATCCTCTCTTTCTTGGCGCTCTGCCTCGTCATCAGCTGGCATCGCAACGCTTACTTCCACGCCATCGTGGTTAGCGCGCTCCAGCCTCGCGTTTCGCGTGCGGATCTCGTCGAGGGCGTCTGCGACGGCCATCTCGCGCTTGGCATCTACGGTTTTGGCCTCGAGCTCTACCATCGCGTTGCGCTCCTCCTCTTCCTTCTCTAGTCGATCGAGACGCTCTTCGTCTGTCTCATCACGGCCAACGCGCCATGGTTCTGTGCTGCGCTTTGCGCCGCTTTCGCAGGCCTAGGGCTGGTTAGAAAGATAGTAGAAATGGGGGGTTACAGCTAGAACGTACGTAGTCTTGGTTCTTAGGATCCGTCTTGAATGTGATTTGTCCACTACATCTTGTACAGCGGATGTAGAATCTGAAGATCTGGATACCGAGATACTTCTCATCCACTGGTGTCTCCTTCCGCGCGTTGAACTGGTTGTTTATGTGAGTATGTGTCTTCCCCTAGAATATAATATGCCGAGTGAAAAGTCCGTACCTTTCTGCCCTTGTAGATATACTCTTTCGGATAATTAACAAGCATATTTATATGAGGTGCTAGACAGGAAATAACATACCTCCACATGTTGTGCATTTCATCGAGCTACTGAATGTTAATATTCATCTCACTTCCAAGCTATATTCATATGGACATTATCACGTACTGTACACAGGTCAGTAACTGCACAGGAGTATCGTTCTAGGGACGACTAAACGTAGGGGATTTGACGTACCAATGGAGCTGCTAGACGGACAGTCTGGACCTTTGGACCGGCGGTTTTAGGCCCCTTGACTCTCTTGATCTGGCTCGGATCGAAGTCCGGAGGGTAGTATTTGGCTGCATACGGTCAGTAATCAAGACGTTTAAAAATGAGAGTAAAACATACAGAGAACTTTTCGTTCAGACATGATGCGTTAGTCGGAGATGAAGATTCGTCACAAGGGCTCGGCAGAGGATAGGTATTTTCATATATAGTGTTTTGCAGTGATGAATCGGTGATGAGAATGGTCGCGATGTGATAAGGCGAATAATAGTGAGTCCCAGGCACTAAATAAAATAGAGTGGGCCAAGGGGATGTGGCGCAGGTCACGTGCATTATTCAGCCTCAATTTCCTTACTCATCCAAGAAGCGCTGCGGCTGAAATCGAGGCTTTCGGAACTTCAGGTACATATGTACTTCAGTACGTATTCGAAATCTCCAATTTTCGTATCGATCCACTTCCCCAAGATATGATGCATGCCAAGCATTCTGTAGTGGGGGCTACCGAGTTCCTCTTTCATCGGCTTTCTCTCTTTGTCATCGTTAGCGTCTTAATTTATGTAGGAGTCTCCGTCATTTCAGAATCATAGCTCATAGAGAAGATCTCAGATAATGCCCCGTCATCTATGCCAATATGAATAGACATTCTAGATACAGGATTAGGCTGATTCTAAGGTTGACAGAAGGGATTATACGGTTTAACAGGCAACTTGCTGGGTTGTCGGGCTGCACAATGTAAGCATATGTCATTGGAGACCTTAATGGAACCGGCATGCTGTCAGCCTAGCAGCTTAAGCTTATTATAACCTTATGGTAGATCTCGATGTAGTACGTGGATGTCGTAGTCTGTTCCATTATTATATTTGGTAACATAAGCGACATGTTCCTGGAGATATCGGAACTATGAGTTATTGTGGCTACCTACGCCCCTGTATCCCAACCTCGAGCATTTCAGCCAGAGTGTCCCATTTTACTGCTGCGGTATCTCCACTGGCTCTTGCAACCCCTCTCAAGCCACTGGAAATAAATTTCAGGTGACGATCAAAGTCGGCTTGGATCTCCCTGAGAACTTCCGTAAACGACATCTCCTTATCTTGCATCATCAAACTTTTGTCTTGTTCAAAAAGGAATGTTTCGTCTTCCTCCTCATCACTCTTGAGATACCTCTTATGCTTCATCGGCGAAGACATCACCGATAACCGTGATAGCTCTTGGAACTCTTCTTGCTCTCTTTCGGATTCTAATTGGCGTGCATCTTGTAGTCTGATGGTGAGGTCGAACATGTCCAGAATGCATTGTCGGATAGGGTCAAGTTTGCCACCCAGGCACATTTCACCAATCATCTGCTTTGTGAATGCACTGTGCGAGGCGACCATAGCAGTTACGTCGTCTGACTGCCGGAGCGTCTCGTGAAGCTGCGCCGTGAGTGGTTCTAGGACTAATGTGTTAAGATAGGAATGAAGAATATTGCAGAACCAGAGAAACTTTGCCCTGAGTCCATAGTACATTGATTGGTCTGACGATGTGATTGCTGTACCCGAAATGCTATCAGAGACGAAACGATGTTTATGGAGAACGTAAGTTGCCCGTCGGAGTTGTAGCAAAAAGGTGAAGGCTGCTTGATAATGAGTAAGGCTCTCATCTGATAGGATGATCCGAATTGGCCAAGACAAGCGATGGATTATTCGGATAAATGGTAGACCTGCATGGACAGATCTTCGAATTTCGGTTACATTATTTTTAAGACCGTCTGCAGATACATTGACGGCTATCTGATGAGCATCAGGAAGAGCATCGAATGCCTCATGAGCCAGAGAAGTCAAGTTGAATCGATCATGCCAATTAGCATTGAGGAGGTCGAGATTGTTGAATATCGCAAATGTAAATGAATCGGATCGCGAACCGTCCGACATAAGATACACATGTCGGAGGGAATCTAAGACCGACCAAAGATTACACGATTCGAATAGGGTTCGTTGAAGAGTTGTAGATGCGGCATGATGCTTGCTCTCCATCCATTTATCGAACGTGTCGTTGAAAATCTCGGAGAAGGGTGCAAAAGCTCCATAGGTAGACATCAATTTTCCACTGACTTCTAAGGATGACTCCGGCGTTTGAACATTGGTTGGTTGATATTTCCCTAGAAGCTTGAGGACAACAACACTCTTGCCGGTTATGAGGATTTTGGACGCTGCGGGTTGCAAAAATCGCGGTACATATAGTATGCCATCAGAAGTCTTCCTTAATGTAAATTGATCTGCCCAGACCTGGCTCTTGGGAACTTGGCCTGACGAACTAGAAATGAAGAAGGTTTTGTCATCCTCGATAAGCTCTCCAGCTTCCATCCAAAGCCGAATAGAGCGTAGGTAAACTTGAAAGCATTCGAAGAACAAAGTAGCAATGAATTCGTATACTACATCGTTTCCTTCTAACTGAGCAACTTTAGCAGAATCATAAAGAAGCTCTAGGTAATGAAATGGGTGAGGGTATTTTGATCTTTGGAGTTGGTGAACAATATCCGAAAGAGAAGCTAGGGGTCGTAGATGAGGGTTTACATCGTCTAGGACTCTTGCTATACTGATGACGACATCTTCCTGTATATCTACATGTCGGCGTTGCAAGTTTGAAATTTCGATGTCGAACGACCGAAGACGGGTTTGGACGGCCTCTTGAAACACTTGCAGAAGCGGGACATGTTGAGGGTGCTTCGCGAATTCGCGGAGAATATACAATTGCCGACCCGCCTCGCTAAGTGAACCTAGCAGCGCTTTGTAGACTTCCCACGAAGTATATTTCAATTGAAATTGAAGAGACGGGACTCCTTGGGGGTCAAATAGAGTATTTTTCAGACCACTTAGCATGAAGAGCACTTCGCGTACTGCCTGGAATTCTGACATGATGATCTTCTGAGATCTACCTGCTGCGTCCTTTGATGGCACGGTATTCCTCCAAAGTTGCGTCTCACGAACCTGGCTTAGACCGTCTTCATTTTGAGAATTAATAATAAAATCCGTGGGAAGTTTCTGATACTGTGCCTCGGTGGACGACACTGAAGTGAGTTCATCTTCGGCTGAGATATTAGATATATCATCCAAATACTCATCAGAGCTGTCCCCATTGAATCTGGCGTTTTTCCATAAATCGCGATCTTGATCCCAGCCCTCTTTAGAGATATCCTCCCATCGAAGGGGAGGGCCAGGATCCTCTTCCGGTGCCTTGAGTAATTCAAGATCAGCTAGCTTAGTTTTTTTAATAGGTTGATCTTCAAGCAGTAATAATAGCTGGAGGATGTCAGGCGTCCAATTGTTGGAGATGTGGGAGAGTGCATCTAGACGCTCCCTTAAAGCATCAGCTAGCTTGTCCCGATTGACAACACGGAAATGTTCTTCAAAACCGTCGAGTTTTCCCTCAACATCGAATTGATTCGTGCGCAAAAAATTGTGGTAACGAATGCTTCGCAGGCTTGATTCTTTCAGAACATTGAAGCGCTGAGGATCTGACTATTTCTATGTGAGTGTGGTTGACTAGCTACTAAGTAACTTCTATCCCTACCTGAATTGATGTTGATGTGATAACTTCAACTAATTCTTCAGTTAGCGCACCCAATGTGGCGGCGAATGCCATGTTTAATCATCCGTCGACACGAGGCCAAGGTTTGAGACGAAGTCTTCCCTAGGTGAAATGAGGTGTTGGTATAAAATGAATTGTTATAAATAGCAACTTCATACATGTGAAGTTCAGGTTCTGATTGTTGATCTTATGTGTAAGGAACTTCACTTAGAAGTAGTATTCTAAGAATGCATATTTCATATATGTACATACCTCTATATATGCATATGTACGCCATAAAGCCTTATCAATTTGATTGGAAAACTGGCTGATGCGCGTTGACGCGTCCTCAAATTACAGGGATAATAGGTCATACAGTGTGGGGTAATGCCGGTAACACACGTTTTATTGTTTTTCACACTGTAATTCCCCTTTTCTAGTCTGGTACATCTGTACCTGGTACCCAGTAAAACAGGTATTGCGTTGGCGTTGGTAAGATTTTCCGATTTTCTCCTTTGCCCCAATGAAACAACTTGAGATTTGATGTAGAGTGTCAAGTTAGGGACCATCGCTAGGCCACAAGTTGATATCGAAACTTTACCTTTCCTTCATCTGTACATTTCCGACGATTTAATTGATTTCCCGCAATATCACTACTGTGATTACGACCGTAACGAATTTACTTTCCCACGTCGCATATCGCACATCCCATCTCTCTCCCATCTATTTAGAATATATCCTCGATACGCTCCTTCAACGAAGTTAATGACCAGACAACGTTAATTACTCATCATGGCCATCGCGAGGCCCGTCCGTGCTCTGGCGCTCGCTGTTTTTCTAGTCTGCGTTTTTTTCCTATACACAATATGGCGTCCTGATAATGGCATGGCCACCTCCGCCGATTTCCATGGTACCATCGAAAGGGATCCTAATCTAGATCGTGAGTTTTCCCTACTCCATCTTTTGCCTAAATCATGTGCACCTAACCATTGAATAGTTACGGGAGAACCTGAAGGTACTCTTGTGCGCGCCACCGAGGCGGGCGGGTATGCCCCCGGCGTCGCCGGCACTTCAAGAATCAATGCGACAATCCTAGCCCTAGTACGAAACGAAGAGTTGGATGGCATGTTGCAGTCGATGCACGATCTGGAGCGAACATGGAACTCCAAGTTTAACTATCCGTGGACCTTCTTTAACGATGTCCCGTTCACCGAAGAATTCAAGCGAAGAACGAGAGCAGCAACTAAAGCCGAGACTCGATATGGTAGGTTGGATTATGTATATCTCATTTAAGTGCTTTACTGATGCCGCATCATAGAGGTTATCCCTAACGAGCATTGGGATACCCCGTCCTGGATTAACGACGACTTGTATAAGGAATCTGTGAAGATCCTCGAGGAGAATGAGATCCAATATGCGAACAAGATTTCATACCACAAGATGTGCCGATGGAACAGTGGGCTTTTCTACAAACACCCAGCGCTAGCTGATATACAGTACTACTGGCGTGTTGAGCCCAAGGTTCACTTCTTCTGTGATATTGACTACGACGTATTCCGTTATATGCACGACCACAACAAGACTTACGGCTTCACCATCTCCCTTTACGATGCGCCTCAATCGATCCCGACTCTATGGCCAGAGACGAACAAATTTATTGCTCAGCACCCCGAATATTTACACGAAAACAGAGCCGAGGGATGGTTGACGGACAAGGAACGTCGCCCTGTCCACTGGGATCAAGCGAATGGTTACTCGACATGCCACTTCTGGACCAACTTCGAGATCGCGGATATAAACTTCTGGAGAAGCCAAGCATATGAAGACTATTTCAATCACTTGGACCGTGCTGGTGGTTTCTTCTACGAACGATGGGGTGATGCGCCTGTTCACAGTATTGCGCTAGGTCTATTTGAAGATAAAACTAAGATTCATTGGTTAGTAATCTCATCTTCAACGGCTGGATTTAAATATGCTAATATTTGTAGGTTCCGTGATATCGGATATCAACATATTCCTTTCTTCAACTGCCCCAACTCGCCAAAATGCAGAGGTTGTGTAACTGGTCGCTTCACTGACGGCGAAGCTTGGCTAAACAAGGAGGACTGCCGGCCCAACTGGTTTAAGTACGCAGGAATGTACTAAACATGGCTGGTAAGAAATATTCTTGAATAAGTGAATACTATGGCTGCACGATATGATCCGATGCTGTACTAATGTCTGGGGAATCCCATAATGGATACGGATAGCATATCGGCATGCGGTGTTTTTGGCGTAGGGTAGGGGCACTTGATACATAGAAAGGGGGTTGTTTTCACAAGTCGACATGGTGTTACCCAGCCAATTATCGTCGCATAGAATCAATGTTGAGGAACGCCAATAATTGGTGTTAGATGTTCATGTTAAGCATTGCATAATTTCTGTGACGATAGAACCCCTTTTAAAATTCGTCGGGGAGGGTGTCCTTCCTAAATCAATGATATCCAAATACAGTGACAACACCAGATGTGCCACTAACGCAATATTGATCCCCGAACCCATTCTCTTTCCATGCGAGACAACTGAGTACATTGCTCCGTTCTTTCGGTTTGCCATCCTTCCCAACGCTCTTCTTAGGCTCATGGCCGGGAGGTCCCCAGGGAACATCCACCTTTGCTACCAAACCCCCAGTAAGAACATCCCAGGCCAATATTCTACCCTCACTATTTCTCCCTGGCGTGCCTGTCATTTCATCTCCTGTTACCACATATTGCTCCTTGCCGCCTAGTATAGATTGAACACGTAGGCCTTCATTCTTCCAGCCCGGATCTGAGTATGTCTTAAGGCACCCTCCGCTTTCTCTATCCATCAATCGTATTTTACTATCTAGACTCCCGACTAGAAGTGCTTTTCCATCCTTAGTTGAGCACAAACTCGTAACACTGGGGCCGATAACATCCGTTACACACTGCCCCATGCGTACATCGTACGTCCTAATACGGCCATCAACACTACCGGTAACAATCTCGGGCCCGCGAATAACCACGGCGGACACAGAGTCGCGCGCTTCGCTTAGAATTTGGACCGGCTTCAGTGACTTGCTCTTGAGATCCCAGATCCGGACCGTGGTATCTAGACTACCGGTAACGACGAGACTGTCGTCCTCGCCGGCAAATGCCACACAATTGATTCGCGCAGTGTGGCTCTGCGGGGTGCCGCCAAAACGTCGGATCGTCATCGCCGTCGCCACATCCCAGAAGAAGACAGTGCGGTCCCCGCCCACCGACGCGAAGCGCGCGTTGTCCGAGGTCACGTCGAGTGAGAGAACTTCATATCCATGGCCTGAATAGGACTGGATCATAAGACCTTGAGTGATTGTTGAAGGGGCGGCATTGCTGTTCTTGGTTATGTGCGAGGAATTGGGGTGGATGGATGTGCTGGGTTGTGGGTTGTACAACCTCACAGTCCGGTCTGCTGAGCCGGCTAGGATATATGTTCCCGGTGAATGTGAGTATGTGAGTGCGTGGACGGGGCCTGTAATAGTCAATATATGAGTTTTTATAGGGATTCCTGGTTGGATGAGTTTAGCCTACCGTTAGAGCCCAGGAGGTGGGCAATTGGCTTGTTGGGAAATACCATTTTGAAGTATCATATCGGCGCCCATGACCTGGAGACTTAAGTCCGATTATACCAGAGGAGCGAGGTACCGGTACATGTGAATTAGACGAGACGCTCCCGCCTTTTCCCCTCCCTTTCCTTGATTGAGAGGAAAATGTGTAAGAGTAGGTATTATTTGATATTTTGATAGAGATTTAGTAAAGGACATAAAATCATGGCTTCTACTTGTCGTCGTACTTATTAGGTACTTAAAGGGTTTACCTACGAGGGTAGGACCCTAGGGATAGGTCCCTAGTAGCAAGTACGAAGTACCGAATTGGAAGCGGACCCCACGGATATGTGCTATGCCTTATCTTATCGAGGCGGTACTATCGATAAAAATTTTGTACTGCGCGACTCCATTGATCTAGAATTTTCAGAAATTCCTAGAAAAAGTTACCACCATCCATCCCACTATCACTATACCATAAATTCACCGGGTTGACGACTTAACGAGTCCTCCGCGCATAGCGTTTGCAATGCTTCACTTGAGCAGACAGAGCGCACACCGTATTGGAACATCCTATGTATGCGCCTCATGTTTTGCGACTACCCAGTCCGCAAGATCGAGGGTGCTTCGTCCCACCTTAATACCAAACTATCAGGGTCGATTATTGTCCAATACATCTTTCCGAGCTGCGCAGCCGGCTGACATCCCGACGACGTCTACGGATGGCGCCAGTGATATAGCGGTTCCATCGTCGAACCCATCCCCGAACGCACCTCAGAAGAAAAAGAAGAAAAGGCCCACGAACAAGTCTTTTAAAAAAGATGAATCCAAACCGAGCGACCAGCCTCTATCGAAGAAAGCGGCCGCTCAGGCTGTAGACCAACGTCAATTACAAGTTCTTCAGGGCGCACTCGAAGCGCTGAAGAATGTTCTGGCTACACAGAACATCAATATCGACCAAATTATTAAACCTAACAGCCTACCTGTACAAACAACTTCACTCTCACTACGTAAAGGGGAGAGTGAAACCAAGATTAAAGATGAATCTGATTCCAAGGTCAAGGTCAAGGCCAAGGCCAAGGCTAAACTCAAGTCTAAGCCTGCACCTGCCAAAAAACGACTTCGGGGCTTGAAACAAGAGCTATCAACAGCTAGTAAGGATGCAGCAGCGGATGGTAGTGCGGATAGCACTGCGGATGGCACTGCTGCGGATGGCACTGCAGACGGCACTGCTGCGGATGGCACTGCAGACGGCACTGCAGATAGCACTGCCGATGACGCTGCAGCTGGCGCCCAGGACAGTAAACCTGCGAGTTTGAAAACTTCAACTATCCAGGCAAAGCCTTCTAAGCTCAATCGAGCTGAAAGGCGCGCGCTGTTGAGGGCGGGGAAGCAGCCTACCGAGAAATCAGCCAAGCCTACAGAGACTCAAGATGTACAGAAACCAATACCACTCATCGGTATCAATGATATTAATTCTCTCGGATTTGCCACACCTGAGCTTCAGAGCAAGTTCAAAGCTGTAGACCAACCATCCACCGACAAATCCCCACCTAAACTTCCAAAAAAGAAATCAAAAACGCCAACATCGAAAAAATCGCAGAAATCACAAAAGTCGCAGAAGTCGCAGAAGCCGGATACGTCAGAAACGTCAGAAATGCCACCGACCTCCAAAAAAGGCCCTCTCGCCATCAACGTGATCCGTGCCAATGCTCTAACAATGACCCCTATTAAGGCAGAACGCCCCCCAGTTCCCGCGTTATCATACGGGCTCGAAAGGGTTTTGTTTAATGCTGGCGTGTATGCGCTCCAAGATCCTCGATCTCGAGTTTACAACTTTGACCCATATCTCTCAGAGATCATGCCAATCCAAGAATTTGATTTTAACGCGTTGAAGCAGTATGTGACCTCTTCTAAGGATTCCAATCTGATTCGGATTGCGAAGGAAAACGGGAAGAAATATACAGGTTCAACTTCAAGTATGACATCGATGCTTTCTCACTTCCACTACCTCTTGTCGTCGTGGCGAAATATCAATACAAGCATGCTCTCGAGGCAGTTTGAACCAGACTCTCTTCAATATACAAGAATCATGAGGGGGCCGGCAGCAATATTCCTGCACTGGAAAGATGGTACGTACGCTATAGATGCTGATAAAGAATTCGACACGGCAAACATCCTCAGCATGCTCGGAAAGTCCATGGAAAAGCTCCTTACTCTTACGAAAGAGGAGTACGAGAGATACAGGCACATCAATTCAGACCAGATTACCGAGGAAGAACGGAACGCCGAAGAAGCGTTTCACTATACCGGCTTCCGCGATTTTATGATGCGCTCGCAATTAGATGCGCACGATCCAAGGGTACCTGGGACTGGTATGTTCGATCTTAAGACCCGTGCAGTTGTCTCGATTCGTATGGATGCGAAAGGTTTTCACAAAGGTCTTGGGTACGAGATTCGCAACCGGTTTGGCCAGTGGGAGTCATTCGAGCGAGAGTACTACGATATGATTCGCTCTGCATTCTTAAAGTACTCCCTCCAAGTCCGTATGGGTAGGATGGATGGTATATTCGTCGCGTTTCACAACACCCAACGCATCTTCGGATTTCAATATATCCCTCTGAGTGAGATGGACCTCGCCTTGCACGGAACTTCCGATACCACCCTCGGTGATAGCGAGTATAAGCTCAGTCTAGCGTTGCTAAATGATATTCTAGACCGGGCCTCTAAGAAGTGGCCGGAGCAGTCCCTGCGGATACACTTTGAGACAAGAACATCGGTAGATACGCCGTTCATGTATATATTTGCAAAACCCGTGTCTCAAAGCGATATCGAAGAGGTACAAAACGCCAACAAAGCAACTATTGAAGCTTTCGAGAGGGATTTACTTGGTTTAGTAAAAGAGGAAGCCGAGATTGAACCGGAGCCCGTTGTGGAGAATGACGAAGTTATTAAGCAAGAAGAAGAGGTGGAAGAAACGTCATTAGCCCAGGCGATGTCGACTATGGCTGCTTGGAAAGAAGTGCGTCAGGTGGTCGAGGATGCTGTAGATGATGACGAGGTGGGCGTTGGCGCCGTAAGAGAGGCTATCCAAGATGCGCTAGAACAGAGTGGACTCCTCCATGCTAAGTCCTCTGCCGAAGCACGAGGGTATGTCGATGCCTTGCTTGCTGCTATTACTAATAGCACGCCTCCTACGCCACTCGGCTCGTCTACAGATGTGTCAGTGGAAGAAAAGATTGAGGAAGATGAAGACGATTCTTCTATTGAGGAAGCATCCGGCGATGACAAATTAATCTCTGACAATGAACTCGATACGAGCCAACCTCAAGTCCACGAAGAATCTGCAGAAGTTGAAAATACGGACAGTGAGCAAGAAGCCACCGAGCAAGCCGAGGATGCGTTGGCACCACAATCAGAACACGAAGTTGCACACGACGAAGAGCATCTAATAATCACGGAGTCCTCGGAAAGTCAAGTAGATAAGGCAGACGAACATGAAGACAATACCGTTTTAGAAGAAGATCACGATGCAGAAGCCCATGTTGAGGAGCAATCCGATGGATTTGTTGAGAAAGGAACAGAAGAATCGGTGGAAACGGACAATCAAGTACTAGAGGAAGTGGAAGAAGATGAAGAGGATGAGGAAACTGATGAAACCGACGATATGGATGATGAACTGGAAACGGGTGAGTCCAAGAGAGACCTGGATTCTACCGCCGCCATGTCTCCATTGAGGGATCTCATCATACGAATGGCCCAAAGGATTGACGAAAGGCCTGCCTCAAGCGAATCCGAGAATATGATGGATGATTCGTCTAAATTGAAAGAATTTGAACGAATTCTCGGTGAGCTTATTTCTCGCACCGAAACTGAGCGAGTTCCTCCCCAAACAGATGATGCCAGTCAATCAACTACAGGCGAGCCAAAGGCTGAATCCGAGGCACAATCAACCGAACCCGAAATAGAAGAAGTCAAGGAGAAACAAGACTCAGCTAGCCAATCATCTTCAGGAGAAGATCCAGAAAAGCCCGAGTCAGCGGAAGAGGTGATAGATGAGAACTTGTTAGGTCTGGTCCTGACAATTAAGAACAAGGTCAACGGCCAATATGTGCCTAGGCCCGAGAAGTTGAAGGCGAAAGATAAGTGGAACGTGGAGTACAACATTGAAGAAATCGCAATCAAGCGAGCCAATACAATTTATGACCAATGCAAGACGAGGCGTCAAAAAGTCTTCGAGGATACGGGCAACAAGGAGACAGAGTGGTTCAAAATGTTCAGTGGAAAACTCTCTGAGTACACAAATGCCGGGCGCAAGTTTAGGGCGCGGGAGTCGCAGAACGCGAAGTCACGCCCCGTCCACATTGTAGGACATCACAAGCCTTTACTGTGGGAAGATGTATTCGGGAAAAATAAAGGGAAAGGGAAGCCGGTAGAAGAGGATGCCGATACGGTGTAGGAAGGGCATGAGGATGGGGACCGGTTCGGAAAACAAAACATCAGGTTATCATCAAAGGCTACGGGAGGCATGACTCCGGTTTAGTCAATCGTGATATTTACATCTACTCCACTGTATAACATCTCGCTTGCAGCGCTGTAGTATTTACACGTCGGTTGGGAGGGGTTTTGGGCATGAGGATCTAGGTCATATGTAGAATACTTTCGGAATATTCTGCTGCCTCTCGTCGTAGGCGACTTACAATGGAACAAAAGGCTGTCTCGACTCTCTGTAAAAAGCAAAGTTCATCCTTGTATCTACGTGTGTTGTTTATTAGGAATTCATACGTCTTTGAAGCACTCGGCCTGATCTCTCCTACCTGCTGTCGAGACTCCCAATTCCACGATCTCTACGATCTATCCTCGTCGCTCTGGCAACCAGGTGGCAAATGGGTGGTATATTGGTGGCAACTGTAAACGCTATGAACCACAGCTGGCGAAGTGAGCCACCAACTGTAAATATACGCTAAATGGTGGCTTCTTGACGACCGATGATTGGTTGCCAGCTGTCAGCACTAGTCAATGCTCTGGGGTTTATAAACTCGCCTGGCCACAGGACCAGAATTCCTCTTCCTTATATCTTTTTCCCATACACACAAGAGCCATCTTCCCTCCTCTCACCTTTCCTCCTCTCACCTTTTCTTCCTTCCACCTTTTCTTCCTTCCAACTTCTCTTCCTTCCACCACTTTCCTCCCTCGCCCCTTTTCCTCCTCGCCCCTTTTCCTTCTCCCACCTTTTTCTTCCTCTCCCCTTTTCTTCCTTCCAACTTTCTTCTTCTTTCTTCCCCCAATCTTGTCTTCCTCCTATCTTATCTTCCTCCTATCTTATCTTCGTCTCTCCTTTCCTTCCTCCCACCTTTTCTTCTTTTCAACTTTTCTTCTTTCCAACTTTTCTTCTTCCTTCCAACCACTTTCCTCCCTCCCCCCTTATCTTCCTCCCATCTTATCATCCTCCTATCTTATCATCCTCTCTCCTTTCTTTCCTCTCCCCTTTTCTTCTTCTCAACTTTTCTTTCTTCCAACTTTTCTTCTTCTCTTTAACCACTTTCCTCCCTTCCCCCTTTCCTCTCTCTTCCCTTATCTTCCCCCTATCTTATCTTCCTCTCCCCTTTTCTCCCTCTCCCCTTTTCTTCCTTCCAACTTTTCTTCTTCCTTCCTCTCACTTTCCTTCCTCCCACCTTTTCTTCCTTCCACATTTTCTTGCTTCCAACTTCTCTTCTTTCTTCTACCTACTTTCCTCTCTCTTACCTTTCCTCCTCCTTCCTTTTCCTTCTTCACCTTTCCTTCCTCTCCCCTTTTCCTCTTACCACCTTATCTTCTTCCCATCTTATCTTCCTTCTACCTTTTCTTCCACCCACCTTTTCTTCTTCCCACTTTCCTTCTTCCCTTTACCTACTTTCCTTCTTTCCTCAACCCACCTTATACCTTCCACCTTCCACCTTCCACCTTCTCCTTTCTCCTTTCTCTTCTTACCTTATCTTCCTTCCACCTTATCTTCCTCCCACCTTTTCTCCCACCCACCTTTTCTTCCTCCTACCTTTCTTCTTCCTTCAACCTACCTTCCTTCTTCCCTCAACCCACCTACCCACCTTATACCTTATACCTTCTTACCTTACCTTCCTACCCCCCAACCTTCTTACCCTTTTACTTTCTTACCTTCTTATCTTCTTACCTTCTTATCTTCTTACCTTCTTTCTTACCTTCTTACTTTCTTACCTTCTTATCTTCTTACTTTCTTATCTTCTTACCCTCCTACCTTCCAACCTTCCAACCTTCCAACCTTCCTACCTTCTTACTTTCTTACTTTCTTACCTTCTTTCTTACCTTCTTTCTTACCTTCTTTCTTACCTTCTTTCTTACCTTCTTACTTTCTTATCTTATTATCTTCTTACCCTCTTACCTTCTTACTTCTTTACCTTCTTACCTTCCTACCTTCTACTTACCCACCACCTCCCTGCTCACGGGCCGCGCTGGAGCGGCCTAGCGACAAACATTGTTATGATACATTTTATACCTGAGCATTCTTATTGATTATCATTATGAAGTATCATTATACTGTATCGTTAGGCTTTGGGGTTCGATTCCCTTGGTAGCCACTTCTTAGGCCGTGTTGGTACGGCCTAGCGAAATCCGTTGTCCTAATACTTTTATACATGAATATCCTTATTGAACATCATTATGGAGTATTATTACAATATCGTTAGGTCACTAGGGTTCAATTCCCTAGATGGCCGTCCTCCTCTTTTTTTTCAGGCCGCGTTGGAGCGGCCTAGCGACGACTATTCCTATGATACATCTTTTACTGAGCATTCTTATTAAACATCATTATCGAGTATCATTATTCTAGTATCGTTAGGTCCTAGGGTTCGATTCCCTAGATGGCCGACCTCCTCTTTTTTAGGCCGCGTTGGCGCGGCCTAGCGACCAGTATTCCTATGATACATCTTTTATTGAGCATTCTTATTGAACATCATTATTGAGTATTATTATACTAGTATCGCTAGGTCCTGGGGTTCGATTCCTCAGATGGCCAACCTCCTCCTCCTCCTCCTCATCCTCCTCCTCCTCCTCCTCTTCTTCTTCCTCCTTTTTTTCAGGCCGCGTTGGAGCGGTCTAGCGAGAAACATTGTTATGATACATCCTTTATTGAGTATTCTTATTGAACATCATTATTGAGTATCATTATGATAGTATCGTTAGGCCCTGAGGTTCGATTCCTCAGATGGCCAACCTCCTCCTCCTCCTCTTCCTCCTCCTCCTTTTTTTAGGCCGCGTTGGAGCGGCCTAGCGAAAGTATTGTTATGATACATTCATATTTGAGTATTCTTATTGAGCATCATTATGAGTATCATCACGATAGTATCGTTAGGCCCTAGGGTTCGATTCCCTAGATGGCCAACCTCCTCCTCCTCCTCCTCTTCTTCTCTCCTCCTCATCCTCCTCCTCTTTTTTAGGCCGCGTTGGAGCGGCCTAGCGAGAAATATTGTTATGATACATTCATTACTGAGTATTCTTATTGAACATCATTATGAGTATCATTACAATTGTATCGTTAGGCCCTGGGGTTCGATTCCCCAGATGGCCAAATCAACTCCTCCTCTCCTACCTACTCTCTACTTCTCCTTTCCTCACTTATTATTTTCTTCACTTCGCCTTCCTCTCCACCTCCTCTTATGCCTCCCCCCATTCTACTCCCCCTTCTCCCCCTTCTTCTCCCCCTTCTTCTCCCTCTTCTCCCTTCCTTCTTTTTTCGCCCCTTTCGCCTCCTAGGTTACGTGGCTTCGGATAGGGCTTATTAGATGTGGGTGGGTGGCGTATGGATAGTTGGTTAGTCGGCTGGATGGTTCAATAGCGGCAACGAGTCATGTAATTATTAGTCTTACAATGAAGTCTTAGGACGAACTCATTTGATCACTCTCGTGAATAGTTTGGAGTTACTTCATCTCATACATGCACTAGATGTGAATAAGTTTTGGTCAGATGAAGTTAACATCGTGAGTGGAAATAGTCATTCGGGGTATCTACCTCCCACCTTCCTTCCCCATTCCTTCCCACCTACCTTGGTACGCACCATGCTCAACACTGAAAGAAAGAAAAGCCATTTCACCTTCCGCCTGCATATCCAGTACCCAGTCATCTCCTTCCCAAATGCATCCGATGCGTCTGTATTCACGCCCCAAGGTCGTAGCAGATGCACTTCGTAGTCCTGAAATTGTAAACAAAAGCATGGCGACCGCCATCCTTATTCTCCCAAGCCGATCGCCACGCCTTCAACATATCGTGGATTTCGCGGACATACCTCCTCTCGCTCTTATCTACGGACTGCTCAGCGCGACGCCATGTCTCAGCCTCCGAAAGTGCAGTTTCCTGGATCAGATCGAGTACGACGTCCGAAGTCTCCACAGCGGCGATCGGACCATCTAAGAAGGTATGCAGAAGCGCTGCGGCGTTAGCCTGGGCTTGCTCGATGACGACCAAGCGGTTAAACTTTTTCGATCGCGTCCCCGCCACCAGAACCCGGACTTCTTGGTCCGGGTTGGGCGTTACGGACGCCCCTGCGGAAATAGGCGCAGCGCTACTGGCAGCCTCGGATTGCTTGGCGGAGCCACGCTCACGCAGGGCAATGCGTAGCCATGGGAGGAGCTGAGAGGCGGAAATTTCTGCATCGGGTACCTCTTTGCGGTCCATGGTCCTAATCTTAATCACGTTATCTTGTTTGATTATTACGATCCACGAGTAAGTCTCATCACGATTCCTAGACGTAAGTTCTTCTGGCGACCGCGAGTCCCGAGCTAATTCGGCGCTGATGTCGTGCGACCACAACATTGAGAGGATTTCAATGCCCGCTGTACGAAGGGTATGTGCGTCGAAGCTAGCGACCAGGACGTCGCACTGTGTATTGTAATTAGATATTGTTACTGTACTTACAGTAAAGTACCGGTGTGTACTCACTCGTTTCGTATTAAAAATCCCGGTGATCTCTTCTTCAGGTTTCTTCAAGAATGCCTTTCCTCCGCTTTTTGGCGGTCGTGCTAATTTATCCCATGCCAAGCTAAAGCCAACTGCGTGAGGCCCTTCGCCTATCTTTGGCTGATGGGCTTTAATTAGACTATCATAGCGACCGCCGGCCGCGAAGACGTCTTTGAATTTCTTATCGTAGAGACATTGAAATAGCATTCCACCAGAGAAGAAGTTTTCTTTGACACTACTTAAGGGGTTGACGTAAATCTTTGCGTGGACCCCGAGACGTTTCGTATACTCGACCACATCCTTTAAATGAGCTAAAGTTGGCTGCAGTTTTTCATACATGCGACTTCCTTCGAATAGAGTCTTGAGTTTGGCGAATGCTTTGGCTGGTGTATCTGGTAGTCTGTTAGTTCCTGTTCGAATTGCTATTGAATATTCAAAGTCAGATGCCCACCTCGAAAATCAAACCGTTTCAAGTCCTCAATACTCGTAGCCGATATTCCTATTAGGGGAGATCGAAGCTCCGCCCGAATCTTTTGAAATGTATAGGAGTGGATATTGAGCTTGCTGAGAGACTCGGCAGTTTGCCTCCTTGCATTTAGGTCTACATTGCAAAAATCGAATATGAGTTGCAAAAGGTCGGAATGGCCTAAATGAAAGCACATTGGCGACGTCGAAGGGAAAGTGTCTATGATTTCATCCAGCACCTTCATAACTTCGGCCTCTTTTAACGCCAGGTCTAGCGTATCTGTAGAGACGATGTCAAAATCAACTTCACCAATCATGAGTGGTTGGGCACCGTTTCGCCTATCACGATAAACACTGCCGAACGTGAAAGACTTCCGAACTCTCGAGTGATTGGTATGTTTTGCCAAGACCCTGGCATTTCCCAGCATGAGATCGAAAGGCAACTGTACTACAGTGCCATTTTGGTCTAGAAGTTGGACGATATCTTGATTTGGAGAGTAATGAGAGGACCGGGGATAGATAGAGCTACGGGGTGCCTCTACCGCGCCGTGGCGGCGAAAGACCGATATCAACTCTTCCTTGACTGCACTTTGGTATAGCAATTCCGAGGCCGTAGGGCTTGGCGCTGTCATATCCCAAGTGTAATCTTTTGTAGGTTCCACGGGTGTTGAGAATAAAGCTGAAACGACTTTAGGGTAATACGGCGAGGCAGAGCTCGTTAGACTTGCGAGTGCCCTGCGTGTCGTCTCGTTTTCCATCTGGATAGGTAACTTTCCACTCCGTAACAACTCAATACTGCTAGGGCGTTCTTTTACATCATGGGTGACTAAAGAAAGCACGATATCCGACTTTATTTTGTCGCCGGGCTGGAAATCATCGGGGAGTAGGGCTGAATTGCCCAGTTTCCCTAGCTTATCTGCTCTTTCCATGCCAATAACGGGATGGTAACACATCTCAAAGAATATTATACCCAGTGAATACATCTTCAATCAAGTTAGCTAGTAATTACAACATATATATTGGAGATGTATCTTACATCAACTTTCGATGTATATGAACCCGCACCGGTTCTGCGGACTTCGGGCGCAACATAATAGGATGTTCCAATGCTTCTTGTTAGGTCACTAGCATCTAGATTGGCTGTGATAGATTTGTCGGCGGCAAAGTGGCCACTGGTAGCTAATCCGAAGTCGCCAATTTTAACATTGTTCATTCCATCAGGGCCGAGACCGATGAAGACGTTTTCTGGTTTAAGATCGCGATGGACTATGTTTAATCCATGAATATGGACCAAACCCTCCAAGATCTGTCGAAATAAACGCCATATTTCATCTGCTTCTTTCCAAAGGTTTCTTTGAATTAGATCTCGCAGCGTCTCATTCGTGGAGTTAGCAGCTTATCTAGTGAGTACTAATCCAGATTAAATAACTTACCCTCTTTTCACAATACTCCATGGAAATGTACATAACGGTTCTGTAGTGTTTTTGTTGGTTACTCCTAACCCTTGTAGGCGAATGCATGGAATCGTTAATAACAGACACAACATCCGACTCATCATCTTCATCATCATCGCTTTCTTCGGATTCGTCATTTTCTTCCGTATCCGATTCATCAGAACCGAATTCAATGTTTGGATGACTTGAGGAAATAAAGTCCAATCCCCCAGTACTAGTGGCGACTTGGATATCAATGCCTTGAGAATTGGTGCCTCTGGACTCGTCAAGATCTTCGGTAGATGTGTCCTCTTCCGAGTCCGACATATCGGGTATTTCCTCTAGCCAAGTGTTGTAATACCTCACTACGGCGGGGTGACTTAGTTGAGAAAGTAGCCTCACCTCTTTCAATATCTCGGTAAGACTTGACTGAGAGCGCTGTGTGATCTTCTTGATTGCGTAAATCTGACCATCCAGCTTCTTTCGAGCTTTGACGACTTCGCCAAAACCACCCTTGCCCAACCGTGCTTCTTCAACGAAGTCTTCCTTATATCTAGAAGACGTCGGTCCCCGTATAGCTGAGTCACGCCTTAGTCTTGTAGGGAATGCATGTGTTAAGGAGCTTAAAGACTGGGAACGAGAAAAGACGGAAGGGGTATCATCGACGATGATAGGTGCATCTGTCGCGAGAAACTCACTGGAGCTTAACTCAAACGCCCTTGGGCGTTTCTTGGGATCAAGTTTGAAAAACCTGGCCACCAATTCGTGGAGGGGTTTAGAAAGAGAGAGGGAGTCCATTAGAATAGCCGGGGATTGATATTTCTGGAAGACATCTAATCCAAATATCATTTGTAAGAAAACTACCCCAAGATCCCATATATCGGTTTTTTGAGTAAATTGCGGCCGTGAACTTCCAGCGATCTCTGGCGGTAACCAATAGGTAGACCTTGCAGCATTTGCGGACGAACTTTTCTGGGACCTACGACAGATATTGTGTAATTCTCTTTGATATGCGACATCCGAAAGCTTGGGGATGACATCGCCCGTTTGCTCTCTGAAAAGAAGCACATTTCCGGGATGAATATCTTGGTGGGTAATCCCATGACTATGCAAATGACCCAATGCGTCTAGAAGGTCTGCGGTCCATGAGCGAACTTTACCGACATCAAGTCGTCCCGCGAGATCTAGCAACTCCTCTAGAGGACCTTTATCAGCTAGTGGGGTCAAGATTTGGGCGGTCCAGGTCATCGTGGCTGAGTCGGCATCTCCATGATCTCGATCAATGCGAAAATATAGCAGCTCGAGAATGTTGCGATGCGAGACCTTTTTTACAGTTTCCAATTCTCCCTCTAAATCTTGTAGTTGCTTTTTGAATTGAGTAGATTCCTTGGAGGTCGATCGCAGCTCAAATTCTTTAAGGGCTAGGCTTGGCCCGCTCCTCCCACCAGATATCTCCGGCCAGACACAATACGTAGTCGCTACCTGGCCCTTGCGAAATTCACTTTTCCCCGTAACGACGTTGAAGGCAAATGAATTTCCGACTGAGTCGATGACCTGACACGTCTGATCGAACTCGATTCTCCCAGCTTCTATGATACGGGAGTTTTGAGAGTGGTTACCTGGGGTCGTAAGTGTCTTATTTTTCTTCTTCGATTCCTTCACCCTTGTTCGTTGTCGGTCAACTTCTTTTTGTATCATGTCTTGCATTACTCTTTCTTCTTCTTTCACTGCGTCTTGCCTCTTACGCTCTTCCTCTTCTTGCTGATCTCGGACCTGTTTGGCTAATTCGGCCTCATGAATCGCCCTCTCCTCTTCTAGCGAGGGTAAATCTAGCCCTTGAGCCTTTGCTTGGGCGGCATCTTCGAGGATATCTTGGAGACCTTGAGCCAATTCATGAATCATAGGTTCTGATTGTTCCAGCGCAACTAGGGCCTTAGGCTTGGTCTCAATAAATTTCTGTAGCTTAAACACTGTAGATTCCCTAAGGTTTTCTTCGTCCTTTAAACTGAGCAAAGGAGCAGACCTGGGGTAAGTTGCCGTAAACACAACCCCGAGAGTTATAGCCACTTCTTCATCTGATAAAGCCTTAACACGAATATCAAAAGATGGCTCGGATTTCTTCCATGCGGTATTGGCAGCTTTGTGTTCAATGTAGTCGTCGCCATATATGGCTTGGAGTACCATAATCTCTTCATTCTGAACGTCAGTGTATTGCGTCTTGGGTCCTACGTCCGGGCTGGCGGGCTTTAGCCCGGGATAAGTTGGGTCATTAGTTTTGGTGTTGAGCTGCTTAGGCCCTTTCCATGGTCCAGTCGGCTTCGAAGCCATTTTGATATTTCAGTAGATCGTTCAGTAAAGAGAATCGAACGAATGGAGACTCACGCAGCCGGAGCTGCACGTAGTCTACTGAATTGTGGCCATATTGCAGCAACGATAACATATGTAGTATAAAATTTGAATATCAAAATGAATTAGGTAGCGGTGTAACAAGTCGATAACTGTTCAGGTGACGGGTGACAGGTGAAGCTGTGATTCATTCATAGTGGGGTTCGATCCAGATGTACATTGGATCTTGGCGCCCCACTTCCATAGCTACATACATCATTAGTGCATACTGGTACCTAGACCAAATACGGAGTAGTACACCCAAGTACCAGGTAAGTTTCTATGTACACGTATAGGTCTTTGTTTCCCAAATCAAAGTTTTAAAGGAAAATATGAATTGAGCAAAATAGAATTTTAGAGAAGGCAAATAATAATACTGGTAGCTCCGAAGAATAATTAGGTTAAGGTTACAGAGGGCGCATTCAAAACATTTTGCCATAGATAGATCGCCGACAGCTGGCATCAAAGTAAGTCATACCTGCGGGCCAACTGTTGGTAGGAGCGTACACGGCTGTCAGCAGGATGGTGAACAGCAGTCAGCAGCTCCAAGACAGCTGTGGGCGGATCTAATGCCAGCTGGTGATGATATACCTATGGCAAAATGTTTTGAATGCGCCCTCTGCCTTTTAAAAGATTCCACCATAGACTAATCCCTGACAACTATAATGCACAGTTGGCAGCTCTTATGCCAGCTGCCGTAATGCTTTAATAACCTTTGAATTACTTATTCCTTTTAAGATCTAATCTGTTAGACTTTAAACCTTACATATTTATGGTTAGTACTTTATTTATAATATTTTTTAGGAAAGGTTTATTAACTTAAGATACCAGGTTATTGAGGTAAATTGGAGATATGTCTTGCCAGCTGGTAAATAGGAGCTTACAGCTGGTTTAGTAGCTGGCAGGGATTAATGCATGCATAATTGTACATAGTAGCTCCTGCAAACTTAGGTCTACCGCAGCCCCACCTCAGCTACAACTATCGATAAGAGATATCAATTGCGGCGGTAGGTTGCCTTGACCTGGATTTCTTAACTTGACTTTCTGAAGTAAACACGACCTAAACTTGCTTTCATTGACAACAAAGTCCTTCAATTCATCACCCTACACCTACACTTTTGCGCACGCATTGACATAAGTCGTATATACACCACAATCAAACAATAAATTTCCGGCGTCAATAAATATATTGTTCCGGGGAGAACGTGCACCGGGAGCAAAATGCTGGGGTGGGCCCTTAAGAAAGGCCTTCAAGGTGCGACCGGCAAAAACGACAAGAACGACGCGACGGGCGGAGGTAAGACGCGATATAAGTTATAACATGGCTAATTATTACTATTTCTAACACCAATTGTGACGTAGATGACACCACATTACTCGAGGCTCCCGATACACCCGCTCCCGTTTTTGCAGCTCGCGCGATAAAGAACGCTATATTCGGAACATCGAACGCGTCTGAAGCTGCTACAGCTGCCGAGAAGAAGCAGGCCAAGTTATTGAAGAAGAACAAGGCCAATGACGCGACTGAACCCATCATGAAATCTCCCCCACGCACGAAGCAGCCGCAACAATCCCCTACCAAGCAACCTACTAGTATTTTGTTGACGCCAGGGACTGGAACTGCTCGTAGAAAGCGCGTTTCGTTCAATCACGATGTAAAAGCTGGTAGTAGCTTGGAATCGAGTCCCTCAGCTTCTGCTCGCCAACGAAAGAGGACAAGTTTGCAGCAAGCTTTAGAGAGGTCCCGCAAGAAGAAGCCAACAGACATTGTAGAAGAGCATGTTCCCCTAAACACTATTGATGAGAAGTCAGAGGACGAATGGGAAGATGATATCGAGGATCGCGACTCAACCGTGGATATTAATGAGCCCCACTCCGAGTCAGGTAAATTCTGGAAAGCAGAATTCACTCGATACCGTGACGAAGCCATGGCCGATCTCGAGCGAATGGTGAAATTCAAGGCTTTGGCTAAGTCCTATGCCAAGAAGAAGGATGCTGAAGCTCTAGAGTTGGCCCAACAGTTAAAAGAAGAACAGTCGAAGGTAGCGAAAATGGAAGAGAAATTAGCTGGCATGACTACTCAGGCCACGGACAAGAGAAGACGTGGCGGTGATGGAGAGGACGAATCTCTAAAGGAGGAGTTAGCTAAGCAAACCGCTTTGGCTACGCGCTATCGAGAGCAAGTCAAGGATCTTGCAGCCACTCTTAAGAATCATGAAGGCGACGCATGTTCTAATCAATTTGATCGGGAACGACATATCAATACATCGCCTCGAACTGAAAAGACGTTGGTTGACGCTCAACGAGAACTTAGACGAGCGCGCTCGGAACTAAAATACATGGACAAACTTCGTGAAGAAGTCAAGAAACTAAAGTCTGATCTGAGTGCAGCAGAGAAACGAGTAACTGAGCTTTCGGGGCGCGACCAACCAGACTCATACCGCACGAAGACTCTAGAGCTTGAGCTACGCGAAATGAAAGACAAGCTGCGTCGTAAGGACTCTGATATGCGGGAACTTAAGAATAACTACGACTCTCTGAAGAACGATGCCAAGAAACGAACGGCCGAGGCTATACAAGTATTGCAAGAGAAAAACGACAAGATCACGAAATTGGAGGAACGAATTACAGAACTTGAAGATACGAAGTCCTGGGGTAAAGCAACCCGAGATTTGGTGTCCAACATTGAGTCTCTCGGCAAGACGTCCGAGCCTTCTAAACGCGAGGGGGTTAAAGCTGCACGCTATCCTAGACGCACGGCGTCAGTTGAATCCCTTAATCTCGAGAAGACTAAGAAGTCTCAACTTGACGATATGGAAGAGCCCAAAATGGGCAGTCGTATTGGAAGGCGGCCTAACTCACTGTTTTCCTCAGATTGGTCCGATACTTACAAGGATATGAAGAGCCAGCTGAGTGACGAGAAGAATAAGCAGATGGCGGAGAACAAGAACCTTAGGGATTTAATTATGGAGGATGATCCCCTACCTCGAACCACCACAAAGACGAACAACTCATTAATGTCGCAACATGATACTGGTAGAGTCATGTCAAGTGTCCTCCAGAACAGACTCAATCAGGACCCTACTTCATTCCGTGCTCGTAGCGGAAGTTCTCGCGCTAACGACTTCTTCAATCAAAAGCTCGCCGAAGCGCGTGCCGCGGTCCGTACAGACAAGGATGTCGAAATGCATGGCGCTCGAAGTCCTGACAAATCCCGAGCTCGCTCTAACCGACCACTGTCTTTTGGTGATGAGGCAATTCGTTTCGATCTCATGGAGGATAAGTTTGCCCGAGTTGGTGGTCCTGAGGTCGAGCGCAGTTCCATGAATGCATCTCGATCAACGTTATCTGCCGAGCGAAAAGCAGCTGCACAAGCTCGACTCGATCAGAAGAAGCGAGAGCGACAGAGGAACGGTGGGGATCGTAGCCGTGATAAGGAGAACGTTAAGCTCTAGGGTTACTGCTTGCGATTATGATTGAGATGTTTAAATGAGGCAGTTTAAGGATGGGGATCATGGCATTAATGGACATAGCATTGCATTGAACAGGCGTTGGGCCCTTTTACGTTGCGACTGGCGTTATTATCGCCACTGGAATGGGCATTCACTAGGAATAGGGCTGAGATAGGCGCTTGTGTGGAGTTACTGGTTGCGATAACCTCTCGTAGGGCTTTTGTACGGACTAAAACTTGCTTGCTGATAACAACGTTCTCGACGGGGACTGCGCGAATTGCGCATCTCACTCTGCAAGGCCTGGTTTCTTACCTACCAAATGCCAAATTGAGAGAAATTTACATTAACATCTTTCCCTTGCATCTCATCTTCTTTTTAATCATGAAATGATGAACCCGCCCATAAGCGAGGACTCCAATCGCGCGCTCGAAATCGAGATAGCAGATCTGGAACTTCGCCTCCAAAGAGCTAAAGAACGACTAGCGAAATCCTCGTCCGCGACCTCGCAAGCCACCATCCCATCATCCCCCTCACCGCAATCCGCGCACCATTACCTCCTCCTACTCTCCGACTCCGCGCTCCCACTAGGTTCTTTCGCCTTCAGCTCCGGCCTAGAATCATACCTCGCGCACACGCGGCAATCCCGTCTTTCCTCCTCAACCACAGCTTCTTCCTCTTTCTCCTCCTTCCTCCCGCTGTCGCTGGCGAGCTACGCAAGCACTACCCTCCCATTCGTACTCGCGGCCCACCGCGACCCAGACCCGTGGAATGTAGCAAGACTAGACGACACCCTCGACGCGGCGATCATCTGCGCCGTGGGCCGCCGGGCGTCTGTCGCTCAGGGCCGCGCGCTGCTGAGTATCTGGGAGAAGAGCATCGCCGCAACCGTAGATCCGCAAGCCCGACTCCGCCCGTTCGCCGAGATGTTGCGGACCTCATCTACCACCACCACCACCACCACTTCTTCCCCTACTGTTACAGATTTTCCGTCCGTATCAGCACACCTAGCCCCCCTCTTCGGCGCCGTAGCAGCGCTCTGCGGACTCACGCTGCGCCAGACGAGCTACGTGTTCCTGCTAAGCCACGTGAAAGCCCTGGTCTCGGCCGCGGTGCGCGCGGGCCAGTTCGGTCCGTACCAGGCGCAGCGCATACTCGCCGGCGCGGAGGTGCAGGGGTTCATCGAGGCGGCGGTGGAGAGGGAGTGGTGCACGGAGGTTGAGAGGGCTGGGCAGAGCGTGCCGGTTATGGATCTTTGGTTTGGGAGGCATGAGCTGTTGTATTCTAGGATTTTTAATAGTTGATAAGGTAGGTTGGGATGGATAGGTTGGGGGGAGGTATGGTTATATAGATAGGTATGGATATGGTAGTGATTAAGGCAATGAATGCGGGTCTGTTATTCAATTTGGTGCGCTGAGCATTGGTATCTATGGGATGGGATGCGCGTGGGCTTATATGTATGTACAATTCATTATTCGATGTCTTTAGGATACATCGTGATTCCGTAATGTCCAAACGCCTATTCATCGTCCTCGCTATCACTACCGTACGCAACTAACGGTCCTGATGATGCCACCTGTACTTTAGGGGCTGCTGAGACCTTCGCAGTCTTCAACGCTGCTAATGCACTGCTTGAAAAGATTCCTCCTGCTTGTTCTGCGTTCTGTTGTTGTGGTGCCTCAATTGCTGCGAGGGCAGAGGTAGTTCCGTCGCCATTTTCAAGCATTAGTCGTTGCTCGTGCTCTAATTCGTAACCCCTTCTACCCGCCGGATTGACTGCTTGCGCGCCGCGGGCGAAGTAGATATCATCCGGGGCTTCGTATCCCTCCAAGCCAAAGCTACTCTCGATCTTCCTCCGTTTCCTTGCCTCTGGGTCCCGGCCCTCGATCTCCGCTACGAATTCTTCTGGTAACGCCCTCCTGATGGCCTCCGCGGCCTGCTCTTCAATACGCCTTGCCTCGCGTGCCTGTGCCATCGGATTCGGATCCACCGTCGCCCATCTTACGTTAAGAACTTCTTCGTGATCTAGAGATTGATGGGCCATAGCCTCTTTGGCGAACTGCGCGTTCGCCTCGTTGGTGTAGGTGATAAAGGCGACGCCTCGGGTGTTCAGCACGCGTATTCGTTCGACCTGGCCCCACTCGGCAAAGTGGCGGGCGACGATCTCCTCGATGTCGTCGGTGACGTGGATGCGGCCGACGTAGACGGTCCGGTTCTGGCGCATGAAGCTGCCGACACCGCCCATGTCGTCCCGATAATCTGAGTGTCGGTCGCGGCCGAAGCAGTCGACGTTCGGGTTGAACAGGTCATGGATGCCCGGAAGTCGGTGCAGGTACTCGCAGTCTTGGCCCTTGGGACAGATGCCGCGCGCGAAGAACAGACAGAAGTACGACCCCGTCACCTTATCCGCTCGCGTGTACCCGCTGTCTTTGGCCACATTGCATCGTCCCTTCGCGTGGGTTTTCGATAGATACTTGTCTTCGCGGTCGCCGCCCGACCATTTGTTGTACCAGATGTTGAAGATGGTTCCGGTCTGTGGTGGCGGTTCGGAGGTTATGAAGGACGAGTCGACTTGAGGTCGCGCCGGCCGCTTCTTTCGGATGATCTTCTTGACTTTCTTGGGTGCCGGGGCGGCCACCTCTGTAGATTGCGCCTGTTCGATTTCTCTTTCTTCCGACATGATGGGCGGTGTGATTGTTGAATGTTTTGGAAATAAGGCTGGATATTTCCAAGTTTTGATGCGAAGCTACAAATCGAAATGTTCAAATGTTTTTATCAAAGTTTAGCTACTCGATAATAGTAGATTGTCCGATAGTAGAATAGGTACAAGATACATGTACTAATTGGCTTTATGCACTAAACCAGCAAGTTACGTAGCTTGTTTCCCCAGATTATTTCCTGGCGCTAATGCGCTTTTAGACTAGCAGCTGCAGCTACTGATAGGTGTACCCCGCTAGTTAGGGAGTGGACCTCGGTTTGATGATGGAAAGGCCGGTCGTTCCTTTCACATCATACCATTCATTCATAACCTCGGAACTCCAATTCCATGTAGCTATTTCTTTTTAAACTCAATTGATTTCGAGTTCTTGGATATCAGCGTTTATTCTCTTTCTATTTTTCTAAATAGTTGATATTAGTTGAATTCACCTGCCCAAAATGTCTTCTCAAATCCCAGATATTGTGAGAAAGAGAGCTAGAAACTCAAAACAATGCTTCGGCTTACACAGTTTCTAGGTGAAACATCGCGTCAGCGATAGGGCGAAGAAGACCTTAGACATCGTCGCCAAATTTGTAGAGGAAGAGTGTATACCGTAAGCCCTGAATCCTCTTCCTAACATATATTGCATGAAAATGTCTAATAGCTGAATTAATCAGAGCCGACCCTATCCTTGAAGCTCAGATCGGCGAAGGTTCCGCACGATGGGACCACCATCCCCCTATCATCGAAGACCTAAAGGCGAAGGCAAAACAACTGGGGTTATGGAATATGTTCTTTCCCAAGGGCCACTATAAGGAGTCGCCAGGCTACACGAACTTGGAATATGGTTTGATGGCCGAATGGCTAGGAAAGTCGAGGTCGGCATCCGAAGCTACGAATTGCGCAGCACCGGACACGGGGAACATGGAAGTTCTAGCCAAATACGGCAACGAAGCACAAAAGGCACAATGGTTGAAGCCCTTGATGGACGGCCAGATCAGGTCCGCTTTTCTCATGACTGAGCCGGACGTCGCCTCGTCCGATGCAACAAATATCCAGCTTAGCATTGTCAAGGATGGAAATGACTACGTTTTGAACGGCTCTGTGTGTTCTCCTCCTTACCATTTGCATTTTATCTCACACTAATAACTTCAAGAAATGGTGGTCCAGTGGTGCCGGCGATCCGCGATGCAAAATCTACGTCGTCATGGGTAAGACAGACGCGAACAACAAAGATCCCTACAAGCAACAGTCCGTCATCCTCGTCCCTGCAGGCACAAAAGGTATTACCATCCACCGCATGCTTAGTGTCTACGGATACGATGACGCGCCACATGGCCATGGTCATATTTCCTTTAAGGACGTCCGTGTCCCAGCGGGCAATATGGTCCTTGGCGAAGGCCGAGGCTTCGAGATCATCCAAGGCCGTTTAGGACCAGGCCGTATCCACCACGCTATGCGTAGCATTGGTGCTTCTGAGAGAGCTCTTGAATGGATGTTAATGAGAATTAACGATCCTAAGAAGACCCCCTTCAAAAAGCAGTTGAGACAACATGGTGTGATCCTGGAATGGGTTGCGAAGTCGCGAATAGAAATTGATGCGGCGCGCCTCATCGTTCTCAACGCCGCTGTGAAGATGGACGATCTAGGCCCAAAAGCAACTCTTAAAGAAATTGCCCAGGCTAAAGTCTTGGTCCCGCAAACAACCTTGGCTGTCATCGACCGCGCCGTCCAGGCTTTCGGCGGAGCCGGTGTTAGTCAGGACACACCGCTCGCAAGTATGTGGGCACAGATTCGGACACTTCGACTGGCAGACGGACCAGACGAGGTTCACCTACAGCAAATGGGACGCAATGAGAACAGAAGGGGCAAGGAAGTTACCCAGAAGATCCTCGGTCAGCATGAGAAGTCGGAGCAGCTGTTCAAGCAACATAACGTGAAGCGTTTCCAACCTGGGTCAAATATCAAGCCTCGGATATAGGAGAATTGTAGGCATAATTAGATACGTATTGTATTGTCCATGTTGGGCGGCCAATGATTTATTGTTATTTAGTCAGTACGATGTAATGAGCGCTATTTCCACTCCACTAGTTAAAACAACCTCTAGCGAATTATGTATGAGTACATTTTATATAATAGCGACATTTTTCAAGGGACTACAGGATCTCTCAGTGCACGAATTATTCCCCAAAAAATCATGTTCAAAAACACACCGATCGCCATGGAATCGTGGGTGTCCTGGTACTCGGTTTGCGCCTATCCAAGCATCCGTGGCTAAGAGATGTGAGTGAATATCAAATAATTGGAAAAGGGTCATATTACTAATATCTGCTGGTCGATTACCTAAGTTACTAATATGCCCTTATAGATGAAGGCCTTGTTTGTTGAAAATGAGTCATCTTATATCAAGAATCGCCGCCATTTGCGGTAGAACCAACGTAAACGACTTGTATAGCAGCAATACTAGAAGAACAAGTTAGAATGCACCCAATTAGAGACCTTCAGGGGGTAGAGGTACGCTGTTGTAATAGCTAGGGCCTTTTCCGGCTTAAGCTGCAGGCCTAACACCAATATGGCTGCAAAAGCGGCCGTAAATACGAATATAAGCCCGATCCGAATCCCCAGTCGGCGGACGAAATAGAAGACTATGATTGGTATCACGGGGAAGAGGCTTGCAATGATCGTCGAGATCGATCGGTCCAGGGCGCTAGCCGAGGAGGTGTTGACGTAATGAGGCTTGTCAGGCTTGCTGCCACGGCAAAGCATTTCTGATATGGAAGCGAAAATGGCGCCGATGCGAAATGCAAGACCACTGTTGTCCTGAAATGCGTAGAACTCGTCGGCCTTTGCTGGTTTAAATTCGCCCGTGGGCGTTTGGACATTCCAGACATCTTCGATATCACCGGCGAGGAAAGCCCCTCCCATATTCATTCTATTCAGCCAGTCGCAGATAGCTGTGATATCTCGGCGCCTCGGACACGGGATGTCATTTAGTCGTTTGTATTGTTCCACGGCATTGTCTCAGCTATATGTTAGGCGGGTTTCTATAGTGGCTTAGGACAGCACTCACTGTAGCTTACCAAGGTACTGCGAATCTGAAGCATCTTTTCACGATAAAGTGAGGATATCGTAGGTTGCTGCATGGAAAACGGTATGTCTTTTGCCATCGCGGGTGTCCATCTGAAGTTTGCACGTGCAGATACATCGATCGTGTGTTTGACGTCTCTTTGCTCGATTTCCTCCAATTCTACTCGAAGATGTGCTAATTCGGCTTGGTAAAATAGTAAATTTCTTATTTGTAAATCTCGAAATCTTTTCACAGCTAGAGTATCCGGGAATTCGCTTAAGAAATCGGTAAATCCTGTGTAGTTGACTTTCTCTGTGCCCATGGTTGTGATAGAGTGGAGAGGATATGAACTCAATACCGTCGGCTTCTTTTTAAAGTCAGCTTGCCAGCCTAGATTTTCTTATAAATGCCTTTGGAGCTTCCAATAGATGGTGATGTACCACGTGATAGGTTAGAACTAGATAGATATGCAAGTAGCTGCATGAAGCTGAGGGGGCCAAGCTCAGCCTCACTTAGGTTCCATTTTCTTCCTTTTGGTCATGCCAATTTTTCTTTCTCGGGAATTGGGCATCTAGTGATACTGTGATCTCCCAAGTCCGGGTTGCGTATTTCCAAAAAGTACCCGAATCAACTCATTGAAGCAGTGTATCGCTAACAATAGTCTCACAATGTCCGGTGTCGAATTAAGTGGCCTCATACTGGGAGGGCTCCCATTGGTAATCGCCGCGTTGGAGTTTTACCAGACGAGCATATCGCGCCGGAAGTATCGAACGACTAAAAGCGATATCTTGAAAATCGAACAAAGTCTCAAGTACCATCAGGTTCTCCTTCGTAGCACATTAAAATCCTTACTACGTCAATCGCTCCCCGAGTCAGAAATCGAAGAACTCCTCGAGAATCCAACAGGCTCTAAATGGCAAGATAAAGAGATCGAATCATCGTTGAGGGAATCTCTCGGTCCTCGTGGATACATTGTGTTTTCCGAGACTACTGGGGAGCTATTTGAAACGGTTTCTTCCCTGCAGAAGTCGTTGCGTACGATCGCGGCCCCGGTTGGGTTGGAAGGTTTTCGGCTGCTCCCTCGAAGTTACCGCCTTTCAGATACAACTAAGGCGATTCAGAGATTGGAGAAACATAATGAAAGATTGAGACAACTCGTTGAAAATCTTCCGAAAACCCGGGGACAAGTAATCGAAAATATCAGCGAAGCATTTACTAATGCAGGAGGGATTCAAGAGATAGCTCGGGTTTTAGAGGATATCGCAAATGCCAGATCAAGAATTCCGCCAGGCGCCGACGACGACGTTCATAGCATGTATAGCGTAGAGTCTGAGGTGAGCCGTAAACAGTTCCCTGCTCGAGAGTCCGGTAACTAACGTATAAAGTTAAGATCGGCGATGAAGGGGCGAGCCTCAGTTATTTACCATTATCGTTACAGGATGTAAACGAACCCAAAAAAAGCTTGAAGGAGCAAGCATTGCTTGATACCGGCGCCAATGCCTGTGCGATATCGATTAACCTTGCTCTGCAACTTGATCTAAATATTAAGACAACCGAAGAGACAGTGGTCAAGACTGCTGCTCTAAAGGAAGAATTACCCGTGGCGGGGCAAGTCCACCTAAATCTGCGATGGAAAGAGAATGAAGAAAATAAATTCGGCACGAGGATGTGGGTGTACGTGGTATACGGGTTGACCCATCCGATACTCCTGTCGCACGACTTCACGCAAAAACACCCTGAAGTATGGAGTATCGCCAAGACGATCATCCATCTCCCAAAGCAGCTCAATGTCATATGGTTCAATAAACTTGACGAAAAGCAGAAGAAAGCCGAAGAAGCGTACCGGGCTCGGTGCCTACAGAGGAACACGGCGATATCTGATGCTGAGAAACAGGAACGCCTTATCGAACAAGATCAGCTGTTAGCTAGTTCTGTGCAAAGCTCGACGACTGGGTCATCAGCTACCTCGACGTCCGGGTTGACACCAAATGCTACTTCTAGTGCGACATCTAACTCGGCTTCCGCTTCGGCCTCGACTGGTACAACTAGCAACTTGAGCGGGTCTCCTGTGTCTCCATGATGTTTTTCGTGTGCTACTTTACCGAGAACTACACCAATTTAATTAGCGAAAGAGAGCCACGATCATAGCTATGGCGGTGAAGACGATAGAGAAGCATATAGGGGCAGCTAGCGCTGGCATTCGCTCCGTTTCACGAGAAATATATGCAAAAAAATAAACATATGTAAGTAGTCCATTGTTTAATACAATCGTTCATGCTATAGACTGAGTCTAACATCCAGCGGTGGAAGAAAATAGCGTTATAGGTTGTACGGGCTTGCGATACTCCATGTGTTACACATGATGATGGAACTGTATTGACCATTCTGTTTGATGTGGAAGTCGTGTAGGAATAGCTAGGATCGAGTTCCTGGTATTTCTCTCGAGTTATTGAAGATTCTTGAAACTTTGGGCTGTTTCCTAAGACCGATATCAACCTAAAACAGTACAGAATATTGGCCGACGAGTATGTATATGGCAGAAGACGATTATATTATTGCCCGACTCTCGATATCGTTGATTTCCTGAGTATTTGGGGGTTTGCCCATCGTCCTTGGCCGCGTGGGCCTGTGTAATTAGAATAGAATACAATAGAATACACTCTGTTGATAAGGGTATGTCTCGTCAAGTCACTTGGGTCTTCTAATTCTTTTAATGGCCTGTGATTAGACGAACCTTTGATAAGTGCCATCGAGATAGGTCTGTAACAATTAATTGTTTATCCAGGTATCCAAGTCAGCTAGATTGTTTATTGATTTGCTGACCATGTGAAAAGGACGTTTTATTATTTTCGGCGTCCATGCATGGTAAGCTTCAGTAGAAGCCGTAAAGGCAGCCGGTGACCCAGGAGATACATGGACGTTTGTTGTTTACACCTGAGTATCTCCAAGGTTACCTTTGTACAATGTATCTAGGTAGAAACAAAGCTCCCTAGTAAGCGACATGTGAGTCATACATCCTTACGACTCTACCAAAGTGTCAGGAATGTGTTGCGTTGCCGGGATAAATATCAGAATGATTTGGTGGGAAAAGTTGTTGATGGGACGTTTAATAGTAAGTGTTGTTTGACGTAGCTGTGGGGGCCTGAATGTTTATTTGTGCTAGGTGCTGCGCTGGTACGCTACGGGGTTTAAACATTTTATGTGGGGTACCTAGATTATTGGGCAGCTGCCCCTTGTACTCTGTAACTGCCCTAGAACCCGGTAAACTGCAACTACTCTGTCACTGTATTAAGCTTGTTAAGCTACCTGTGTACCTGGCTTAGTGGCATAACAACTGCCGTTAAGGGTTCCAGTTAAAACGGTTTCCGGGTCAACTAGCTTAGTGCTTTCTTATTTTCTTTCCAAGGTCCACATCTTCACTATTCAACGGATATTTCCCTTCTAGAAAAGAAAATATTCTCCACAACACTTGCTCCATGATCTTTTGCACATGCACAATTAAATAGTCCTTTGTCGCATTCATTGGATACGTAAAGGCTGTGCATTTCCAGAGATCATTCATTCTCACGCAATTGCAATTATCGCCTTGAATATTCACTTCTACAACACTCTACAACGCCTCGCCTGCTGTTGACCACAAGCTCACGACATATTGTCAATACTACAGCATTGTTTGCTTGATCGTCGCACACTTGTCAATTTTGCTACGCATTCGGCACGACTCGCTCCCTCCCACGAACCCGCCTTACGGTTTTGCCATCTTGCAACTTTGCAATAAACAACTTTACTAGTCAACATTCATCAGCCAACACGATGGGATCGGTACTGTCAGAAAAGGATGTTAATGTCCCTGTCCAGGCCCAGGATGCTGCCACTGCCAACAATAACGGCAAGCCTTCTGGAGCTAAGGCTCTGGAATACCATCGCCAGATGCTACAGTCTAAGATGGCCGACGAGAAGTACGAGCATTATGCCAAATCCACCAACTGCACCAATGCCGCTGGCACAACTGGCAACGATGTTGCTTCTCCCCCCGTCCAGAATCCCAGAAGCCGACTTCTTGCTAACATGAATGCTGCCCTGAATAGACATCAGCAGTATATCTCTCCGTCGGATAGCATCATGAGCCCCGCAACCGCCAAGTTGAACGCTCTTAAGGGTCGAGTTGCCAGCCGGTAAGTATTCCTTTATCTATCCAGTATTCCCCGCCATACAGGTTTTCAATGTGTATCTAGTGATACTAACTGTTATCTCTCTACATAGTATCAAGCCGAAGTCTCTCTTCGCTCAGACTTCCGCCAAGAAGCTTGACGGCAGCGATGTCTTCGGCTCCAAGGGCGCTAAGGGCCCCCAGGATCGCTCCCAGGATCGCCCGCAGGACTCCCAGAATCCCCCCACCGAGGACCAACGTCAACCCGACCAGTAGATTACCCGCTACTGCTCCTTTGGTATCTTCGGTGTATTGGACGGTGTTCTGAGTTATTCTCTCCTGGTCGATGATTTGTCTTGGTCTCTTGCGTTATGACGGTATAGGGACATGCAATGGCGTTGGTGGAAGGGAGTTAACTCTCGGGTCATGAATAGGGGACCCCTTCTTAGGATGTAACATAGGAGGGAATCGATGCTTTGATAATTCAGCATCATGAATGAATCACGACATTAAAACATATTTTGTTTTCCTTGCCTTCTCTTGGAGGATTGTTGTACTATTGACCATGATGCTATGCTATGCCTTGTACCCGCTAACTACGTAAACCACGTCCTCATCCGCCACGACATGTCCTAAGCCAACCCTCTGCGGGATATGCCTAGCACTCGCACCCCATACTAGGGAATACTTGTAGGTATCCTTTAAAGTCCGGTGGATTCGATCGCAAACATCCTCGATAGTAGCATTGTTCCGTACAATCAATGCATCACCGAATTCAGGGTCTACACCCTTTCTCTTCGTGTAAATTCTAATTAGTTGCAGCTCCTTCCAACACCGATCTACCACGTCTTGGATGCCAAGATCCAGTTCGCAGCTCATAACAACGGTTTGAGGCTCGCGAGCCAACTTGTCTAGGAAATCAAGCGAGACACTGTCGATCTTGTTGTAGACGTAAAGGCATTTGATGTACTTGCGGTGGTCCTTCATGATAACATCAATCAGGTCGTCGACTGTTGCCTCATCATCTCGAATCAGAACTTCGCAGTTCAGCATCTTATAGTCGCGTAGGATGTTATACACCATCTTCTCGTCTAAATACTTGGGTGTCGACTGGAAATTGATCTTCATCCCACCAGCCTTTTTAACTTTCAAATAGATGTTCCTATCTTTAATGAGTCTCTGAAACCAGAATTTCATAGTAGAAGTAAAAAATTGGCTTACGGTGGCTCCCTGTTTAATCGAATACCGACAGCTTCTAATTCGGCTTCCAGCAGAGCTCTTTGCTCTGCTCTCTTAGTCGCATCTAGGACCATGAGGATAAGATCGCTCGTCTTGGCAGCTGAGATAACCTGTCGTCCTCTACCCTTGCCTTCTGCGGCACCCTCAATGATACCTGGCAGATCGAGTAACTGGATTTCTGCACCACCATACTCCAGCACACCGGGAATCGCCGTCAGGGTTGTGAAGGCATATGAAGCAACTTCGGATTTCGTTTTCGTGACTTTGGATAAGAACGTCGATTTACCCACGGATGGGAAGCCAACAAGCGCTATTCGGGCATCACCACTCTTGCTAACATCGAAACCAGCGCCACCCCCACCACCCGCTCCGGGACCAGGTTCCAGAAGTTGCGCTCGTAAACGTGCGAGTTTTCTGCCCGAATTTCTCCGTTAGAAAAATTCCACAATTTTATCTCAATACGATCATACCCTTTTAGAAGTCCAAGATGATATTCTGTTACTGATGTTAGTATAGCATTCTCATTAAGGAGATCATTATGACCTTACCAGTGGCCTTATTCTCTATATATCAATCAAAAAGTCAGAACATTGGCCGTCGTGTGTAATCCATAACACATTCTTACTCTGCGTCCTTTTCATCTCATCCTCAATCCTACATAGCGTTAGTATATGAAACAAGAAAATAGAAGGGAGAAAGCTCGACTCACTCCTTGATCTTCTCCGTTATGTTCACCATCTTGGCGGCTTCAAATTTTGAAGTTTTACTACGTTGTCAATCAGCGCACTTTGGTAGGCGCAAATCTTGAGGTCGTCCACCGACGATATTTGATTCCCGAATACGAAGTTTCCAATATACTGATGAAATATCCCGAAATACAATTAATAAGAGTCACGTTCGCTGGGCAAAATTCAACTTCAAATCATGAAGAAGTCACGATTCATCCAAGACCTTACCGGAGTCTTACCAACCCCACTATCCCACTTTTCTACGGCAGAATTTCAACGTGGGGTTTTTAGCCACGCACTGTTCCGCATTTACCGCCTTCCCTATTTGGATCTCATATATCATGTAGTATTTGCTTTCCCCTGAGTTTATTGAGATCTAAGTTTTAAGACTCTATCATGAAAATTGGAGTTTGTGATTGGCATTAATCTGTCACTTGTTGAGCTTTCTGAGAAAATGACAATGGCACTTCCACATGTGTTCAGAAATTGGGTACCTAAATAGCATACACTATAAGTAGTATGCAGTTCCAAATACTTCATTATTATCACCAACTAAAGCCTATTTCTCCGTATCATTCTATTCTATAATCATCTTTAGGTGATAGCGAAAGTTCAAGATTCAAGGATTTGTAGATGTTTAGAGAAAACGCATGAAAGCTTTCTGGATAATTACCTAGTCATATTGCCCCTTAGATAATGGATGCTTAGGAGATCTCTTTCAGAAAATATAGCCCAATCACATTGTTTAGAAACGAACTGCAGCTTGGAGGATTGGCGGGTACTTCGATATGCCGAGACCATCCCGCATTATTCCCATATACCTAGGTATATTCCCTTGTCAACTCGAACATATAACGACTTCATCTAATATCTAACCTAACTGTAACTGATACAACCTTGATCTCATGCGATATTTTAACATCGTCCTTTTTCTCCAATACGTACACAGCCTGGCTACAAGACATTGAGATATAAAACAGCACATACGGGGGCGACCCAAAACCTACCAACTCACAACATGATGTGCCACGAGACAAACCGCATACCAGAGGCCCTCGAACTAAAGTCTTCCACAGAAAACGAGACCACAGAAACCTCATCCATCCCATCACCACCAAATCCCAACAATCCCGCCACCAAAAGCTTACCCCAAGCCACCACCATCCTCACAACGCCACCCGCCCCAACCCTCCTAACCCTCCCCCCAGAACTCCGCCTCCTAATCCTCTCGCACCTACTAATCCTCCCCCCAACCGCCCCGCCCCCCTCCCAAAACGGCTTCCCACACAACCCGCAACCGCCGTCCCTCTCCCTCCTACACCCCTCCATCCTGCAATGCAGCCGGCAGCTACACGCCGAAGGCCTCCCCTTACTCTACCAGCACAACACGTACCTAGCGCACAACACGCTCCTCCTCTCGCTCCCGCGTCTCCGACGCGCCTACGCCCCGGTCCTGTGCGCGCGGCTCTCGGAAATGATTACCCGGGTCCATGTATGCGTGCGGCTGGACGCAGAACCCGGGTATGACCGCGCGATGGCGACGGCGCAGTTGAGCGGGAAGGAGGAGGTGGTGTTGGAGGCGTGGCAGGCGATGTGGCGCGGGTCCGGGCCCGATGTGTTGAGGCTGTTTGAGGGGGTGCGCGGGGTTAGGCGGGCGCGTGTTGAGGGGAGTGTTGGTGGGTTTGAGGATTATGCTAGGTGGCTTGAGGGGGCGATGGTGAGGGAGGTTGGGGCGGTGGTTGAGCCGTTTTCTTGGGGCGCTGAGGAGGGGGGGTTGACTTAAGAAAGTTATTATGTTGTGGTGGATGCCTGGATTATCTGATTTGTGAAGCGACTAGCACATATTATGAGGATGCTTACCTCGGAGTTTAGAAACTACTCAAAGTTGGCTTAATAACTTGGATGGAATTCTGCAAAGCAAGACTCGTTTATTTCCGGTCTATGGGGGTATGAATGGGATTCAAAACCCAAGGGTTCTATCTTCCCTCTCTTCAAGATGACTCCCTGAAGATCATTCATTCGTGATCTTCCGATCTTAGCTAGTTACACAAGACGCCATATATGGCTATGACCATCAACTTTTTTCTGATCGCCTTAGAAAAAAAGTAAAACGCAAGCAAAATATCCCTAAGCCAAGGGTCGCGAACGCCATTTTTATGCAAATGTCTTGAAAGAAATGAGGACGAAAGGGAATGAGAACTAGGTAGGGTTCTCTCTAATGTAACATCAGGGCTTTCCACCGCCGAGGAATTTCGGCAATGTCTTCCAGGTCTGGTGGTCCGGAAGTTTGACGCGGCCGAAATTCTCATCAAGATCGAGGATCATCTTGAGAGCATTTCGGCTACGAGCGTGAGGTGAGGTAACGTCTCTCTCCTTGATTGTGTCAACGACGTCCGCGAGGCCGGTGTGAACCTGCTCCTGCTTTGCCTTGCCAGGGAACGGCAAGACGCTCTGAAGAACTTCGTACGCTGCAAGGGTGAAGCCAAACTGTGGAGACGATCGAAGGATACGGGCTGGGCCACCCTTGAAGAAGGCTCGGAAACCTTCTTCCTTCATAATGGTAGTTGCAGCATGTCGAAGGCCCGTGTAACTCGTATCACCCTTACGCGCCTCAACCTGCAGACGTGTCTTGATCACATCACACGGGGTAGTAAGATATGCGGCAGGCATACCGGCTATGGCACCGGCCGTGAGAAGTTGGACGACACCAAGCTTCTTGGTTTTGGACTCTCCGAAGAGATCCTTCTTGAGATGACTGTATGTGGGGAAGTAGATAGCTGAGAAAGGAACGTCGCGGAGCAAGCAAGCCGAGGCACCCTTGTAGAGACCTGCAAGACCCAAGTTCTTAACAATCCACATGGCAGAACGCTTCTGGGCACCTTCGGTAGCTTTCGCAACTTCTCCCTGGACTTGAAGTCGAATCTTCACAATCTCAAGAGGATTGGTAAAGACCTAAAAGCATGGTATTAGCAAACCCAGCGTTACATCAAGAGAATCGGCCTAAATCAGACTTACAACTTGACAAGCGCCAGCACTGCCACCGGCCAACACTTCATATTCCCACGGGATATGACCATTCTTAGGGTCTGTAAACCAACCGCGGACAAGGTCATTCACCGTAAGCTTTATGGCCTTTTCCGGTGCAACACCGACCAGTTGGGGCAGGACACCTGAGTACAAGCCACGGGCACCTTCATTCGCGATAACCTTCCTGAAACAATCGACCGAATTCTTGTAGAGGCGCTGACCGGGATCGGCACCTCGCTGGTTTTGCATTCGTGTCTTGACCAAGTCGATAGGATACACCATGAAAGCGCCAAAGGCACCTGCTACACTTCCCAATACGAAGTTATAGGCCGATTCAACAACCCGAACGAGAACGCCCTGTGTTGCAGACTTGGCCTTTCCTAGATCCTCTTGTTTTTCTGAGACGCCGCGGTATCTCCACGAGGGATCTAGGACCTTTGCGAAATCTGTGAGACTTAACCGGCCTGATGGTTCGTCGAGGCTGGCAAAGTGGAAGAGAATGTCTGCTTCCATGGGGGTGAATAAAGAGAACCTGGTGACCTTGGCGGCCTCGTTCAAGAATTCGGTTCTTGTGATCTTCCCATCAGCGCTCTTCTGGCAAGCCTTGCGGATAATAAGCTCCACCAAGTCCATCTCCGTTATCATGTTCTGGAAAGCCCGAACATTGGCATACGAAATCCTACTGCTAGTAGAAACGTTACACAATGTGGTTAAATTGTCCAACAAGTGATCAGATAACTTGTGCTTCGCGGTCTCCAAGATGATTCTTGCGAAATCCTCAGGCTCTATGTAGCCGTCCTTGTCCCTATCGAATCGTTGGAAGGCTTGTCTGATTCTCTCGCCCTGAAGACCACGGAGCATCTGCGAGAACTCCGGGTAAGAGAGGACATGTCTCTTGTACTTATCCCCAATGTACAGCTTCGCCCATTCGCAATCCCAGTCGAAGGGAATGCTGTCGGGTCCCTTGTTCTGCTCATAGAGTTGTCTAAAGTCATCGTACTTGACATTTCCGGTACGACTTATGTCAAAAAGGCGGAATGCGATCTCGTACTCGGCATCGGGTTTCGTTAGGAGGTTCTCGAAGGCTGCCCAGTCACCAATTGATATTTTACCGGTACCTCGACGGTCAGCTACACGAAAGAGGAGACCATACTGGTCACGGCTGATCTTGTGCTACGAGAATTGTAAGTTAGCGACAAAAAGTTACGCATTGACTAGTAGAAACATTGGTTGCTCACATAATCTTCACCGGGCGGCGCAATGGCAGAAATAAATTCATCTGGTCCCATGTAAAGCTCTCCTGTCTGCTCATCTTTCGTTGCATTGTTCAAAAATGAGGCGCGATGCGAGGAAGATAGCTTAGTAGGCTCCTCAGAGCCAAGAAGGCTCTCCTTAACCGCCTCCTTCACAGTCGTAGAGGTCGACATTTTTGGCGTGGTCGATTTGCGACGTTTAAGGTGGGCGTCTCGGTAATAGTGAGGGCGCGGACAAAGGGAAGCTTAGAATTGGGTTTTGACTCTTTAGAAAGTCGGCTTATCGATTAGCGCACCGAATTGATCAACTTTTTGAGTAATATTCACGATCGTTCGGTTATGGAACGCCGATGCAGGAGTGAATAGCGCGTTAACTCGGAGAACCTCGGGATCTCGTCGACAGGGTTATTAGAGGAAACTTAGAAGGCTAAAATTACCGACGAAAGACGTTCTAAACATTGATAAGGGAAATGAATTCCGATCGGCGAGTATGGGGAAAAAGGACGAGCGGTTTTCCGCTAAAAGGTGTCAGACTTGTGATGTCGTCCAGAGAAAAAAAAAAACTCGCAGAGTGATTTAAATTTTGTAAACGGCGCCCGAAATTTGCTGGGTTAGACCAAGGTCGTAGTATCCCATGACTCGCATGCCTTCCAATCCTAAATTCAATGGACCCAAACGTCGGGCGGGCGGGTGTTCCTGACTTGTTCGGGTTACTGCTGTTGGTAAAATCTTTCGCTACATCATTCTTCCGGCCGTTCTTACCCCCGGCGCGCCTCGCCTATCTCTTATCGCAGCATCTCCATTAACCCCTTACGCAATAGCGGCACGCTAAGCCCAGTGGACTGAATCGTAGCTTCTTTAGCTTCCTAGGCTTCCCGTACGGCTTCCCCGCCCAAGAAATTCCCCAGGTAAATCCCCAGTTTCTTGTCCCCTGTCGATCGACCCTTAGCTCCCCATAATCTTCCATCATCTTATGGATGTTCTCCTGATCCAGCTGAATGGAAGGTTTACGCCTGCCGATAACATCGTCGCCATGTTAACTCTTTGAATCTTAGTCTAATCCAAGTATGGATTTTAGACTAAGATTCAAAATCCAACCAACAAAACACCATGGGAATCTGTTGAGTATCAGCACTTACGAAACAGAGATCATGAATCAATTATGGACGCTGTCATCGTGATCACTAGCACTCAATCATCTGATGAACTTGAACCAGATGTGCCAAAACAAGGAGACACATAAAGAAATATTGAAGAGGTGTCTGTCCCATGGGCTCAAGAGAGCCATGAGGTGATGATTATATATATCATCACGAGTGTCCGAGTTGCTAAGAGAAAGTTAGGCACGCGACCGGATGTCCGATTCGTATTAAGAAGCAAGGAAAGTCACCAGGGGGGCTTAGTCTCAAACTAACCAAAGCATAGGCTTTGAGAACTCACATCTAAGTAGAATTTCCAAAGATTAATTCTCAGGGGAAATGGCTGTTTTAATGTTATGCGACCAGTTCATCCAAAAAGCTCGAGTTACCAGATTCTTGGCGGGAAACCCCGAATTTCCTCGGCAAAATACAGCAATATGATCCCGGCTCTTACAAACATGCAGATTACACATGATGTGCATACGATCAACGACTGGTTGGCGGTAGACTAGGAGTAAATCTCGGCACAGGATATACATAGTATATTATCCACGACGGCGCATACCGGGAAGACTCCATTAATCGGACCGCATATTGCGACCGAGTTGGCTGTCATTGACCAAAGCCTCAAATTAGGTGAGTAAACATATGGGAAACGAGGGGTTATATACGTAAGTACCAAGAGAGGGGATAGATTTCGGGGTGGTGTGATTCGACAGGATTGCCGCGGAGCCTAGCACTACACATAATGTGAAGTTAACATCTTAGGCATTGATAGACATGTGATTTAATATGAGATGTGATAATTATGGTTAAAAAACCCATTTCGTCAACATCTTTGAACAGAGCATAATGGACACCAAAATACGAGGCATGATGTTCTTAAGGACTCTCCCCAATTTCGATCAATAGGGGGTGTATTTAGCGGAGTGGCTGGTCTGGGAGTTTATCCAGAGAACCCAAGGAAACAATTCAGATCAGGCTAGAAATGACGTATATTTTCAATTCTAGCGCAGGAAAGAAGATCAGGATCAGCCACATAATTCAGCTTATCAAACTGCTGCATAGGAGTTTTATTAAAATGTGACACAGCAGATGTTGTACCAACATCCGCACAACCCCGCCCCCCTTAAACACCACCCAAATATTTCCTCCTAAATATTAGGAACCTATTACTAAACTTAGAGAGACAGGTGGAATATGGACGTACCGGTGCAAATCTACAAGTTAGGCATTGCCCCGTTGTTCGACCGCCTCTCAGAGCGAGAGAAGCGATATGGCCACTTTCTATCAAGGCTAGCTGAGGTGGCCCATCACACTCATACTTCCCACTAACGATTGGTATTAGAGCCGCCTGGTGTGGCACGAGGATAATTCTTCGCCAGGTCTCACCGGAGTCTATTGACATCTTTGATTTCATACTGGAGCTATATAAATCCTGTGATGGCGATTGGAATCAAATTTCCGAGACTGGTGGGGTCACTGAAGAAGACCTTGATGGGTTTCTCGATTATGCAGCCAATTTTCTGTCTAATATCGGAAATTACTATGTAAGAGGTAATTCCTGATTTTCTTTTTCTTTGAAAAAATAGGGGCTAACCTCCTTAAGGGGTCAGGAGATCAGAAGTTCGTTCCACAGATTAGCCCTGCTTCGATGGAGAAACTTGCTTCCCGGTCATACAAACTCCGGAATCTCTATTCGAAGATTCAGGACTCTATTATGACAGTTCCTCCCTTCACACTTGGTTATCCTGGTCCACTAGCTCAAAGTTCTTACTACCCTGGGCAGTCAATCAAGAAGGAAGAGATTGCTCTCGTATCTAGGCACATGAGGGCTCATTCTATCCTTCCTGAGAACACTAGGGTTCAGAAAACCGGAGAAGACACATTCGAGGTCCTTCAAGCCTCAACTGTGAAATCGGAGGCTCCTATACCTTTAGATATTCCAGACTCAACTGCCAGAGTTGATCTAGTACGAGGTGACCATGCGGATGATCTGGAAAAGGTCTGCCAAAATTTATCAGAAGCAGCTAAATATGCTGCAAACGAAGCCCAGCGAATATTCTTAGCTCAATACATCGAGAGTTTTCGAACCGGAAGTCTCGAGACATATCGCGACTCTCAGCGGACGTGGGTTGCTGACAAGGCACCGAAGGTTGAGAATATCTTCGGTTTTGTGGAGCCATATAGAGATCCTGCCGGTATCCGTGCCGAATTTGAAGGCTTAGTTGCCATTGCTGATGCCGAAGAGACGAAACTATTATTAAAATTGGTTGAGAATTCCGACAAGTTTATCCAGCGACTACCTTGGGCGACCCCCGAAAATAATGGTAAAGGAGTTTTCGAGAAATCCCTATTCGAACCACCCGATTTCTCTAGTATCCATAGTGAGTACCATAATCATGACCGTGATAACGCCGGAAGCTTACGATAGCAGCTCTGGCGTACTGCTCCAGTATAATATTCCCAGGAATCAACCTCCCAAATGTGAGTGTTCCCCGTACTATTCACTATTTACTTACATGTTCATTTGGAGACTATTAGTACAACGACATCCGTCAGGATGTGGGGTTTAAAAACGTCATCGTTGCGAACCGTATGATCGCTGAAAGTACTGCGATACAGTGGCCTTTCATTGAAGATTCTGAAATGGAGGTATTCCAAAAACACAAGTACCCTGCATATCATTGGTGGGTTGTGTTACATGAACTATTGGGTCATGGAACTGGCAAGATGATGATCGAGGAACCCGCGAATAAATTCAACTTTGATCCTATGAATCCTCCAGCAAGCCCTCTTAACGGAAAGCCCATCAAATCTTGGTACAAGCCAGGTCAGACATGGACTGGTGAGTTCGGAGATCTGGCTACAACGCTGGATGAATGCAGGGCAGAGTTAGTAGGAGCTTATCTTATGGACGACCTGGAGCTCCTGGCTCTCTTCGGATTTACAGAAGAATCAGAAATCCGAGCAAGTGATTGTGAATATATCTATATGCGCATACTTCGAGTTCGAAGCTAACATGAATAAGTGACTTATAATTTGTACCAACAGCTTGGGGTTGATGGTCTTCGAGCTCTTTCAAACTACCATGTCGAGGGATTGGTGAGCTACCATCACCATAATAGGGTTCCTTGCTAATATTATCCCGTAGAAATGGGGGCAAGCTCACAGCAGAGTATTATGCTTGCTAAAATCTCGTTTCAGATGTATTCTAACAGGTCACAGGCTCACTTTTCCATTCTTAGATGTCTGCTCATACACGGCCAGGGGTGCATCAAAGTTCACCACGACGCAGAGGCTAAGAAACTCAGAGTTCGGGTTGATAGATCGAAAATACGAAGCCATGGAAAGAAGGCTCTTGGTGAGATGTTATTACGTCTCCACATATATCGCTGCACTGCCGACGTCCAAGAGTGTAAGGGGTATTACGAGGCCCTTTCTCGCGTAGATGAAGAATGTCTGAAATGGCGACAGACTGTCATTGAAAACCAACCACCTCCTCTATTAAATGTACAGGCTAACACATTTATTGACGGCGAGGTTGTCACACTAAAAGAATATGAACCTACAATAAGAGGTATCATTCAGAGTTGGTATGAACGTAACGTCTAAAAGTCTACGCAAGAAAGTGAAATTTCGAAGACATCACTAATTCAGCTACGAACTGCATGGGACGATTGATAATCTACACTAGCTTCCAGAATCCATCCTTGATTTCGATTTTAATCTCCCTGTTTTCGTCTATGCTTCTTCGGCCGGCCTCGAGAATGGCTGTCGTCGCTATCGTGTTGTTTAGCGTGGGAAGACCTCTCGCATCAAGATCGGCCGGCTTCAGTGCCCCCGAGTTGACGGCTCGGCATCCGTCAACGAACTTTTCGAAGGAGATATAACCGTAGCCGGTTTGGCCATTGAAGTTGCCCTCTTCATCCGGCGCATATCTCATGTAGAATGGGTTGTACCACACGAGTTGGCCTGCTGTATCCTCCGCAACATCATACCCACGCTTAGCCTGGTTTATACGGACTTCACCCCCAGAGGCCACTTGAATGGGTCAGTAATTTCTTGTTGGCGGGGGGTCAGGAATGTTTTAACGTACTATAGTGGAAGTATTGGTTAGAATGCACACCGGCCTTTTGCGGAGCCGTCCACGATGCTGTGTATACGCCTGTAGCGATTTTACTTGGGTCATCTTGCTTCTGCCAAGTGACCATTACTGTGATAGTATCTTCTGTCGCCTCGTCGCAGCCTAGTGTAGTGGCAATGCCTTTCGCCGCCGAAGCCGAGACCTTAACAGGGACGAAACCTAGTTGTGAGACCATAGAGTCACAAATGTCAACGTGGTGGCTGTTCAGGTAGTACGAGATATCGGAGTCGACACCAGCCCACGCTTTGAAGGTCTCCAGCTGCGACTTTGGCTGGGACATGTAGCTATAGAAGTAGTTGAAATCACCCAGTTTCTGGGCCTTGAACTTGGCATCAGAGTACGCAGGGTCAAAACGCTTGTGATGCTCGATGTAGACGTAAACATTGTGCTTTTTGGCAGCTTCGATAAGTGATTGATGGTGTTCAAGAGTTTTTACAGCAGGTTTGGTGATCAAAACATGAATCCCACGCTCAATTGCATATAGAGCTATTGGGTAATGGGTCGTGTCCGGAGTGAAGATAGTGATAGCGTCACCTGGTTTTAAGGCGTCGATGGCGGATTTATATGCGTCGGGGTCCTTCACATCGTTTGCCGGGTAGGAATCGAAGGAGCAGTCCAAGCCATTGTAAAACTTGGAGATGTTGGTATCAAGATGTTGCCCTACTCATGTTAATGCTCATTCCTTGTCTACCTGATACCTATGAGGGATTAAGGTGGTGAGCTCACTGATTGCCGGGAACTTAGTTCCATTTGTGCCAACCATACCCAACTTACTCACCTTTCCTCTTCTCCGAAGATCGAAGAGAGAGAGACCAACGACTCCCACCTTCTTATCCGACCCGGAAGCACCGCCTCCAACAAAGCCGGTAGTGTATTCACCCGTGCCAACCTTTGATGGTGTCAGTTTCTAGAGACGATTCATTAAAAACATGCGATAGGAGACACACCATCAGCACGTTTAGTGGAGAGGGGGAACTCGTCGGGACAACGACGGACTTGATCGCTTCTGCTGCCATTTTGACGATGTTCCAACCTGCAAATACAAAATATCCAAAAAGGGGGTAAATCTGCTTAAATTCAGAAATACCAAATATAAGGGAAAAGGATGAGGAGTAAGAGACAAGATAGTTATTGTATTTTCACCTACAATGTTTTTGTTAAGCTCAAGCTATTTACCCCGACCTACCTTAGCTTGGATACTCGGCGTTCATAGACGGAAAAATTGAGGGGCAATTGGAGAAATCCCCAGACCCCAAGATTGATCGTCGTCGACGGGTAGAGATGAACCAAATTTGTACATAAATGCCGAAGACCAATGTTTATATTTAAACAAATGGCATCATGATATTCTGTACCTACTATGAAGTGTTCACTTAATTGTTTGGAAATCTTGAACTCTTCTTGAAATACATAGAGACTCGGGAAATAGAAAGACTTCGAGCAAATAACAAACGAAGTGCAAACGGAGTACGTGTACAAGTTTGGTGCTCTATCGGAGAAGTCGATTAGGAACTAATGATAAATGAAGAAGTAAGTTGATTCAAGACTCAAGCAAAAAGATGTATTTGAGATTCATTATCTCATCGAGTTAGCGATACCCAATTTGCAAATGCTAGGTGAGTCAATAAGAACATTGAAAGAAGAGAAAATTCAATTCTCTCTGCTACCCCTGCACCTTGTCTTAGGTATCTCCAGGGCTAGTACCTAATCTGATAAGCTTCGATTTATCCCTGTCGGGGATTATTACGCCAACTACCCCGCCCCCACCTACCTATAATATTGGCCCCCACCAATGCTTGCTGATGAACATCTCGAAAGCGATTGCCCCGCGTTCGACGGACCAAGGTCATCGGACTATCATTGGACAGATTCTGCGAAGTACCTAGTACATTTTTTAAGTACTGCAATCTTGTCCTGAACCATTTCGCCCTCTTTTTCTTTTTCCAATTGTTGAGCGCCATTAAAATAGGAAGGTCAAAACTGAAGGTATCATCGCAATGTCGTCCGGTTAAATGCAACGGAGTATGCATTTCTTGAAACATTTTTTAAGATTTCGACGATATCCAAAGACACGCAAATTCCGTACAGTTGAAAGGTATGCAGAGTTGTATTGAATTGGGACAACAAACGTGGGAATATTGCCCGAATTCCCCACGAAGCGGACTCTCTTTCTATGAAGAGGGATAACCCTGGGCAGAACGTGGGTCTTAGCTACATCGAAGCCTTCTTCTGCCTCTTCACTGGAGGAAAAACTTGTAATATGATTCTTCCGAAGGGTCTATGCCACATCTGGCCTGGTCTGCAGAGGAAGCGAAATCGACTGACTACATGTAGGCCGCTACCCCAGAAGACCAGAAATTGAGAAAATCAGCAGTTTGCTATATGCGTGCTAATGGTTCATCCAACAGGCGTTATTGCTTCTATTATTACTGCCACCCACCACCAAGAGGTACCACCTACCTCATACCACATGTTGGTAGAGCCCAATGGCCTTTAGTCCGAGGGGGGGTCCGACGGGGGGAGTCGAGGGGGTCATTATACAAATCTCCAGGGGCTAGGGCTACCCAATAATTGCATTGTACTCCCTGTACGAAAGTACGTTTCCCAGGAACCTATCCAAACCCGCCTATGTCCTGGATCTGGAGACAGCTTCGTCTACATAGTACTCCACGCAATGCGGCAACCCTTCATCCTAACCTAGGGCAAACCACTTCTCAGATGTTCTTAGCCCCGCCAAAGGTGACCCTCCAACAGACACTGGTCCTGCCAAGTGGGCGGCATACCTTGACCGTCTTTGACTCGTTGTCATCTCCAAAAAGGACTCCCAGTTCCCGATGCTTCCCTTTGGAGGGTCACAAGACGACTTGGTCAATGGGAATGACGTCTTTACCAACTTCATCCGCTTCACCCAGCGCGCTTACGGTCACCTCGACAAGTCATCAACCGCCCCAATCTTTTCGACGCGCAAGGCACGGCTTCTTCGACTTTCTAGATACTTTCTAGATTATCTTATGTGCTTTGGTGACGACACACTACCCTCATCGAACACCCTCAACTTCAGCCGAGTTCTGGTCAACTCTACTGCAGATCCCCTCGATTTCCATCAGCCCAGTTTCTGAGCCCACCTGCGGAATCTGCTTGGACTTGGCCAATCGCACCGCTGTTACAAATACCACCGCAACTATCCTGGCTCAACGTGAATTTACGGATATCTCAACTTATTCTTTGCATGAGCAGTTGCCGAATAAGGTGCGCGCTCGCTTTGAAGGGGACATTCAACCGTCTCTGGACCCTTGCTTTCGCTCAAGCTCCTAGTTGCAGCTTCTCAACCACGCGGCCGAAACACAACGGGCAGCCCGTATACCAGCCCGACGACCTTTGTACTATTCTCTGTAAATTTCAGGATTTTGGGCTGCTGGGTGACTCTCATGATCTACCTATTTACGCGATATATTACCTTGATATAAGTTTGAGGTGCAAATGGCCTGTCTCTTATAGGGTTGTTAAAAATTTCGGCTCATCTACGCCTGGCCTTGTGAGTTTAGATCTTGTAAAGGAAGAGCCCCATGCAATTCCGCACCAGTCCATTTTCATTAGCTCCTTTTAATTAGGGGCATTTCGGGTCCTAGACGCGACCAACGTCGCCTCCTTCGGAACAATGTCCCTACGAGAAAAACACTAGGAACTAGTAAGACTTAACTATTCTCTACGTTGCTGACCCACACCCCACAAGGCATTGCATGCAACTCAGAGGACTCAAGTTATTAGGTTATGAAAAGGAAACATTATGTTTACATCCACTAAGTATTAGACTTCAAATTCTATAAGTATAGCTACAAGTCCTTTTTTCTTTGTCTCAGTTTTCCCTTTTCTCGGTGCCCCTTTTCATGCTTATCTCCTTGTCCCGACCATCATCTATACCTCGGTATATATCGGCCCGCAGGCTAGACAGTGACATCCTCATTACCCTGAATTTCACATCATTGCCACTCAGTCGGAAACCATGACTGTCCTAAACAGCAGCGCGGCCAATGGTCACACGACCGCGAGACGACCACTACCATGTGGCATTTATGCTCCCACCATGACTTTTTTTGACCCCGACACCGAGGAACTCGACATACCCACCATCAAGAAGCATGCCGAGCGCCTGGCTAAAGCGGGACTGGCTGGCCTGGTCACTATGGGGTCCAACGGCGAAGCTGTGCACTGCACACGCGAAGAAAAGGTAGCAGTTACACGTGCTACCAGAGAAGCTCTGGATGCTGCAGGTTTCACTACTACGCCCATTATCGTTGGGGCTACGGAAGGGAGCGTTAAGGGGACTATCGAACTTAGCAAGCTGTGCGCAGCGGCTGGCGGAGATTATATTTTGATCCTACCTCCAAGTTATTTCCGTCCCCAGATGGATGAGGAAGCCATAGTTGGTTATTATACAGCTTTGGCAGACGAGAGCCCACTCCCGATCGTCTTATACAACTATCCTGGCGCCGTTGCTGGCATCGACATGGACTCGGACCTCATTATTAAGCTTGCCGAACACCCCAACATCATCGGAACCAAGTTCACGTGCGGTAGCACCGGTAAACTTACCCGCGTAGCGTTAGCTACCAACGCAAAGACACCCTCCTCAGAAGGCAGCGGCTATATGGCTTTTGGTGGCATATGCGACTTCACTGTCCAAACGCTAGTGTCCGGGGGAAGTGGAATCATCGCAGGTGGTGCCAATGTCATGCCTAAGGTCTGTGTCAAGGTATGGAATCTATACTCCGAGGGAAAGACGGAGGAAGCTATTGCATTGCAAAAAGTTCTCTCCCGAGGCGACTGGTTCTTGACCAAGGCGGCAATTGCAGGCACCAAGCAAGCAATCCAGAGCTACTTTGGATACGGTGGCTACCCTCGGCGCCCACTCAAGCGTCTCGAGAAGGCCAGGATTCAGTCCATCGCGGAGGGCATACGGGAAGTGATGGAGGTGGAGAATTCATTGTGAATAGGAGAAAACGGGTTACCGGGAACTCGTTTGTGAAACCCACACGGACTGGCTATATGCCGTCAATATTAGCCGCGTGGCCGTTGATCTCCTATTCTTGGAAAGTGCGGGGTTCGAATCCGGCGTGACGGATGAGGCTCCTTCAGGATGGAAGCATTGGGTTCCCATTTTCTCAACCGAAGAAAGTCACTTGACGTAGGTGGTCGCATATACGGAGGTGCAAACATACCTATACAATACGTTTCGCGGGAATTTAACATATCTCCTTGCTCCTTTTTGGACAATGAGCACACTCTGGAAATGTTCGTTAATCTTAACGATCTACTGGTCATGATAAACGTACAATTAAGAACCGTATCAGATCGCGAATGAGGAGGAGAGAGGGGAACTTGTGACACGGACTGACCGAATCATATTCATGTCCTGCTTCTCATAACTTCATATCTCGGACTTGCTGATACCACAGCCGTAACAAGATGGATGTATTCTATATCCTCATTAGCATAACAAATTTACGATTAAATTTCGCAAAATTGATTCTATTGTGCACAATATGGTTATAGTGAATATAGCATCTAACCATTTGACTATCCCAAAGAGCTTCACTTCAGCCGTTCCACGATAGTCAGAAAGCGATCGACGCATTTGTTCACATGTCTTACATTTCAATTCCCATAGGTCCCTGCAGACACCATTCACCATCCATCTACGAGCAGCGGAAGGTGTAGATCTGCGGAACACCTCGCATCTCGCTAGGACGTATGGTATGGCATGTGCCCGTCCGCGTGTGAAATATATTACCGAGAGTAGGGATTTTCGGGTTACAGTAGATAGGTACCGGGCAGACTAGAAAAGTTCTCTGCCCGAAGAACTTTTTCTTTTCTTTTTTTTTCTTGGGCTCCATTTCGCTCATGTGCCTAGGGTCCGCCCAGCTTGGGCTTCTTTGGTACGCCCAATATAGTCGCGGCGATCCGTAAGGTGTCAATCCCTGGCCGACGCCACCCCACGAGGTCTCCCCTCCCTCATCACACTTCTCTCTCGTCTCCCCGCCCTTACTTTTCCAACTTCCTACTAACGAACCCCATGAACTGACTGATTGCTACCCCCTTACGCGGCTCGGTCCGTCCCATCGCGTCAAGATAAGAATCGATCACCTGCCCCGAGGATTTATTTATTTTTATTTCCTGTCATTTTTTTTTCTTTTTTCGTGCCGGCGGCGACGGCGGCAAATATTTTATCAATGGCAGTTCTGTTAAATACCGCAACAACACATGCGCAGGCTACATACCTATCTCGATATCATAATAACACGTACGTACAGTAAGACGTACGGGACTTCATCCCATCCAGCCTGTCGTCGCCTACATACATATATGTATGTACATAGGTAAGATAGAATATGTAAGGCATATATATGTAGGTATGTAGGTCAGGAGCTTGTGCTCCTCCTCCACCTCCTCCACCACTTCCCCACACCCCACGTATGCAAGTATGATGTACGTCCCCGATCAGTTCAGCCTCTTCCTTCCTAGATATGTATATCGACGTGTCAGTGGATACGGCATGTACCGACACTATCCCTCCCTTCGCTTTCCCGCCGGACCCTACACACATATTGTAGTACACACCTACTTTTTTTCCCACGCACGAGCCAAGGGGCACAGAGGATGGATACGTCAACCCCTCCCTCCTTGGACCCCTAAACCCTTGGACCCTTAATGCCATCATCCCACGCGCACCGTCGTCATAGCGCATGAAACCCTATTCGCTGCCCGCCGTTCCGTTACACGTAAGTACCTTCCAATCCCCTCTCCTAAGCCCTTCCACTCAAACCTTGTACCTCCCCGGATCCAACTCCGCCACATCAGCGCTCCTCGCCTCGCCATCGAACACAAACTCGCTCATCAGCTTCCCGGTCGCCGGTCCGTTCTGTATCCCCCAACACGTATGTCCCGCCGCGACCCACAGCCCATCAACACTAGTCCGACCAACAAGCGGCGGGCTCTCCTTCCCGAACCGGATGTGTCGCGGGATATAACACGCCTGCTTCGCAACGACCTCCGCGGCGCCGAGCACAGGGCTCACGGACGCAATGTAAGCGACCAGGTCCTCGCACTGCGCGTCATCGCACAGCACCAGGTCCGCGGTCTCCGGCAACGCCGCCGCCGCGTCCGGCTCCCCGCACGCGTACACCTCGCCCCCGGGCCGCGCGTACATCTCCGGGTCGACGTTTCCGCGGTGCCGCCGCCGCGTCTCCCCCCGCGCCACGCGGTGCGCCGGCAGCCAGTCCGCTGGCAGCCGGATGTTTGTGAACACCGCGTACGGGCTCACGTCCGCGGCGAATACCACGCTGTGCGCGCGTAACCCCGAGACTTTGCTCTTCGGCCATAGCTTCCCTGTCCATGGCCCCGCGGCTAGGATCACGTCTGTCACGCCGGAGAGGGTCGTGGTTTCGCTGGTCAGGCGGTCGAGGAAGGTGATGCTGTCGACGCTTGTGTTGGATTTGTTCAGCCCGATGGATGTTACGTACGCGTTCACGCGGATCTCGGTCCCGCCTTGGCGCGCGAGCGCCGCCATCCAGGTTGTGAATTGGTACGGGTGCACTTGTGCTGTTGAGGTGAAGCCTGGGAGGCCCATTTCCGCGTACTCCCGGACTAGGCTGCCGTTGATCCAGTCTAGATCTTCCGGCAGCACGGAGTTGTGGAGTAGGGAGCGAGCGTTCTCGTCTTGCTTGGGTAGTTTCTGCCACTCTACCTGCGCGCTGTCGTCGGATTTTGGGGTTTGTTCATTTTCCTCTTCTTGTTGTTTGGCGATGCCGAGACTGCTTTTTCTCTTTCTCTTTGCCTTGGGGGACTCGCGTGCGACCTTGTCCCTAACGGAGGCCGTGAGCTGCCCGCATTCGAGATGCCTGTAGCCCCATCTTTCGGCGCCGTTGTGCTCGGCCGCTAATTCGGCGTGGAGACGGTAGGAGAGTGGGACTAGACATGTTGGATATGCCCAGAGGCCGAGAAGTCCGCCCGCTTTTCCCGATGCGGCGGCGGCTATGGAGCTGGCCTCGAGAAGTGTGATGTGGTGGATCGCAGTGTTGTATGTGGGATGTCGGGTTAGATAGTATGCAGTTGTTGTGCCGATGACACCTCCCCCTGAGAATTACAAATTAGTGGATCTGTTACCTGTTCTTACTAATTGCCACCATCTACGGATATAATGATGTGCTTCTCCAACGTTGATCCTAGGTGGGATGGTGGATTAAGCGGTCGGTGTATGAGGGGTCATGGGTTATAAGCAAAGGGTACAATGACCCAAGGATAACGCGGATAGGGTAAGACATGCTCACCTATGATCACAATGTGTCGTGGCTTGGGCATACGACTGTCCATTTTATTGTATTTGACATGACTGACAAAGCCTTGAAAAATTAAAAGGAAGTCAAAATTGACCTTTTCGTCTTAATTATAATAACTACCTAATACAGAGTAATTAGGTTAAGATTTCGCATGGTCTATCTGCCAAAGTAAGTTCAAAGTAAGGGTGTTGAACGCGTTGGATAGTCAGGTACATACCTCCCTACAGTTAGTGCCTGTAGGTAGTAGTTACCCAAATTATGGGATTTAGTTAGCGAATACCGACTCCGAGGCTCGCTCGGATCTACCCGTTTATTGGTACCACATCAAATATTCAAGTATCTATGTACATTCAGACTATGTAAGTATTAAGTATCAAGTATCAAGCCATTGACGTCTTTCTATTGTTGAACTCCGGTGTTTGAGACAATGATGTATTGCAGTTAATTCTCTCTTGTCTGTGCTCTATTACAAACAAAACATGTGATATATGATAAGGTATTTGGAATTGATGATACGATAAGGTCCAAGCTTCTGGGAGCTAGCTCTCGATAACTAGCACGTCATTGGTTAGAAAGAGCGGATAGATCCACATATTTCCCACGCATTGACGGTAATGAACCATGCCGAGGCTCGAGATTTGATACGCTTAGCGTTTAGTCTCCTCCGAACTGTTTGCGCCGGATCTACTGGGAGCTAACGTAATAGATTCCGACTCTTGAAGAAAGAAAGGAGAAGAAAATAGAAGAAGAAAAAATATATAGAAAAATTCCTAGTCAACAACACTATTCATGAGACTACTTATTAAAAGGAGCAGGAATCCCATTCATTCAATCTCTAATCATTATTTACGCAAAGTGACCTCATCAGGATTACAAAAGCGACCCGTATCATCCAATAGTAACGCCAAATACCCCGCCAATAATAGCATCATCGTCAGCTCTGCGACCTTGACATCGACTTCGATTTCAATTTCGTCAGCGTATACCCCGCTACTCCCGAAACAATATATTATAATCAAAACCAGACCAATCACCACAATGGCTTCAGCTACCACATTTTACGACTTCAAGGTCAAGGATAGTAAGTAGCATCGTAAGACCTATCCTACGATGTAACTATGAGGCTAATTGTTATTCGCGCCAACAGAGAAGGGTGCCGAGAAGTCCCTAGAGGACTACAAAGGCAAAGTTGTGTTAGTCGTCAACACAGCATCCAAGTGCGGATTTACCCCACAATACGCCGGACTCGAGAAGCTATACAAGGACATCAAGGCTACACATCCGGATGACTTCACCATCATCGGCTTCCCTTGCAACCAGTTCGGTGGCCAGGAGCCCGGTGCAGATGACGAAATCCAGAGCTTCTGCCAGTTGAACTATGGCGTCACTTTCCCCATCTTCGGCAAGACCGACGTAAACGGCGATAAGGCCGAGCCCGTATTCGAGTGGATGAAGTCCGAGAAGCCCGGCCTTCTCGGCCTCAAGCGCGTCAAGTGGAACTTCGAGAAGTTCCTCATCGGAAGGGACGGAAAGGTCAAGGAGCGGTGGGCCAGCACCACCAAGCCGGAGAGCTTGGAGAGGCCCATCTTGGATGAGCTGGAGAAGAAGGAGTAAGTCCCTGCTTGTTGCTTGGGAGTCTGATGATATTTCCTGTCACAACTGTATTGTAGGTACGCGTTGACGATTGCCCACAGGGTGGCTAAAATGTAAGATGAGACGAACTCTGTGTTTGAGCAACGAGTTTTTTTATACCTCATTTCACGAAGCATATGTTACGAAAATACCAAAAACAAATATCTTCACATATCGTCACATATCTATCAATGGTTCTCATCTGAAGGAACGGCGGCATGAGGGTAGTACCCGTGATAGTTGTTATAATGAGAATATCGATGTGTTGCCATGATGTACGTTGCTTCAGGAGCTTCTATGTGGCTGAGGGAAGAATACCAATTATATTTCGTGGAGACTTATACGCACTCCCTCAATGTTAAGTGCTTGAATTGAACAAGTTTCCGAGGCAATGTTTTCTGGGAAAGTTCACGAATTTGGCCCGACCTTATATCAAGGATGATCGCACTACTATATGTCGAGGATATTTCCATACGACGGGCTATTTTACAATAAATAAGGTCAGTGAAGGTGATATCTTCATACTACCTTTATCTAACCTGTTATCAATCACAACATCTGATCTAGGACTCTCGGACAGATATGAGGGTGGAAGTCTAGGGTGATATAAGACGAATATCGAAGCCCAAGTCCGACGACGCCATCGCAGACCCGCTGTCTAGCATGGTCATTCCAATTACCCAGGTAACGAAGCATCTCAAGCTTAGTTACGGGGATTCATGGTACAGGATCTGAGAGCTTGTTCATTAGATGGAACTGGCTGGGTGTTGAAGTGTTCCGAAACCGAACCATTATTGAAGGATAATATAGCGATATGTTGGAATCGACGAGCACCGAGGAGAAACGAGCCATCTTGACTAGGAGCTAGGATTTCATTGAATATTATGTGGACTACCCCCTATTCAGAATATAATTAAGGCCATCGCAGGACCTATCCAGGTCGACCTTCCGACCGAAATATTGTTCTCAGCGACTACGTTGGAGGCTTGTTCAAGTCTACCTAATAACTTCAAAAAGACAATTCTCTTATTTTAGGTACCATTTTGAGGTACGAGGAAGACTCTAATTCCATATATAGGTAGCCAGGTAAGTATCACTCCCTTCTTGAACTCCTTCGAATATCAGTGTCCTTGGAGTCGGGCTATCAAGGGGGTCTATTCAGCTCGACAGCCAACCTCAAGGGCTATCTAAGAGGATGTGCTCCCACTCAGAGTTCAGATACCTATCTTGTAGCTCAATTCACTATCATGATTATCCTCTAGCAAAAGGCTCATCAACTGCAATATCACCATTCCTTAATCATATAGGTTTACATCCATCGAAACCCGTCGCTAATTTGATCATATCTAGGTACTTAGCTATCTGCCGTTACGAAGGCATCGCAGCCCATGATACCTAGTCATGCTCTAGGCACTTGCGCAACATGTCAACGACCTTGGTTACCTATCGAACGATTGTTCGAATGACTCTACAAGATCATAAGACAATAAGATAGCCTATCTGTGCTTTTGAATCTCTATCCGTACGAGCCGATCGCTATCAAGTCACGCGCAGTCGAGTGCGTTGGAGGAATTTCTGCTCTTAAGATGATCCGTTGGTTTGTCAATGATGGTATTGACGATCGAATAAAGGTACTTCCAGAATACTTGCAGAAAAATGCGTACCCAACGCCAATGGAATCATGCGATCCTCATTTCAATAGTTGAACCAACCGCCTACTTGTTTCCAACATGTTTCGCTTCAACGCAGCTCCGGCGACTCCTCATTTTCAATTTTCTCGTCGTAACAGAAATACTGCATCTCCTCGAATCGCTTTGTTTCGGGATAATCCGAATGCCGCAAATTGCTTAGAGAAGGACGCATACGAGTCTTACTGCTCATCCCCGATGTCTGAGATCGGAAACCGAGGCGATTTCGCGTCATCAAACCCACAATTGAGGTCTCTCTGCATGCAGTTGGCCAAAACAACGCAACCAATGTCTCTAAAAACGATCTTGCAGAGCCCGAAAGATGAGAAAGGTCCAAATGAGCAAAATATGAAATCGTTATCGCCGACGAAATCCCAATGCGGACTTCAGTAGACGCGAGGGGGATCAACTCGCTGGCATCATCTACAAAGCACTCGAATGACGTTGGCGAAGCTCAGAGCTGTAGCTATAGCTACCTACCTACCCCAGCTCTGCCAACGTAGTATCGATTAGATGAGACAAGAATCAAGATAATTACAGCATCGTCACTTTATTTTGGTCTTGGCTTCCTTCTCGCCTTAATCCATCCCGAGTGAGCCCAGCACCCCCTGCAGTAGGTTACGGCGAAAAAGACCAGCGCAGCCCGCCGCAGGATAGGTAATAGATGCCAAACCTATTTTTAAAAATACTATCCTAGCTACCTAGGTAATGAAATCCTATACCACGCGGGACACGGCAACGGGTTGCAGCATCAGCATGCAAGTTGGCCCTGAAACTCTTCATGAGCCTCAACTCTCAATCCTCCAACTAAGCTCGAACCCCAACCCAGCTTCGACGACGACGAAGAACATGTACGTTTGTGTCTGAATGAATGTCTGAATGTGTGCGTAGGAGCAGAATTAAATGGGGTTAATTTCCTCGGAATCTCAAACCTCGGTTGGGAGCGAAGCTCGCCCACAATCCTGCGCGCTCTCCCCGCCTCTGTTGGCGAAGGGAAAAGAACCGGAAACAGAATACTTCACTGTACGGGTCGTGCAATTTCATCATCGTCGTGGTTTCCCGTGGGGGTGTTTTTTTCTGATGGAAATCCTATGTTGAAGCGGTTCACCGAGGACCCACGAGATTCGCTTTCTTTCCTTTTCTTCCCTTTGCGTGATGCGATACATGCGCGGTGATGCGCGATCTCAATCTGTTAGCCCATCCGCGGACCCCGTCTGGCGGTCAAGCTCGCGGCTAACAAGCTACAACAAACAAACAACACATGATACTCGCAAATCTCCGAATCGCCAAGGAAGAGATGCGAACGATGGAGTAGCGATGGAGCACCAATAACTATTTTCTCTTTCGTTGCATCTTCTAAAATCGCTTTAAACCGCGATCGACTTTCGTTTTAGTCTTTTTTTTAAAAAACAGCGGGCGACCCGTCTGGTTCTTAGAAGGATCAATAAGCCGGGTGGCGCTCGCTGAGAGGAGCGCGAAGGATCAGGGTCTTGGGTTTAGCGAATATCCGCGTTGCCGAATCTGTCTCTGCTATCTAACCGATCCAGTCCACACGGATTTGCCCATCGCTTTTCCTCTTTCAGGCTTCATCGCAGGAGCCCTATACGGCGCAGACTCCATTGTCTTCGCCGCGGCCGATAGCCGCCGGATCTCTTCGCAGGGAACGCCGATGGGGGAAGGGGGGGTTCCTGGTAGTAGCAGAATACCCCTACGCTCGTAGAGGGTCCAGTAATATCCGCGTCTAATGATGGAATATCTATAGGCTATGTAACCAAGCTTGCTGTGGATCTCTCACGACAACTTCAGTGACCGATGGCGAGACTTAGCTCCCTCGATGCAGAGTTACGGACAGTAGTCAGGGGTAATAGGAGATTAGAACTGCATGTCAGTAAACTAGAGCCGACGATGATCGTAGGTATAGCTTTTTTTCATTCGGCTTTAATATCGATCTTACTGCATCTGTCTAGATAGGGCTCGGCATTTGAGAACGTGGCTGCCTATTTTGTCGAACGTCTTTCTATGACTACAATATTGCTATATGGATATACATGTGAAGATGAACGTCATAGTGGATAGGTCTCGCGTTGGGGCAGAGACATCACAGAGAAAGAGATGATGTTGGGTACACAAGTTGCCTCCCCATAGTCCATTCTCATCATAGAGTGGTTAGAATGCCAATATTTAGCGGTACGTTGGAAGCACGCCGAGGGAATCCTGAGCCAAATTCAGGTGAAGCAATGTGTTGCAAAGGTCTCTTGAGATGACCCCTATTCCCATGTCGAGCTCAACGGTCATACTGTACCAAACGTTCGCGATGTCGGATCGAACGAGTTCACCTGATACATACTCTTGGAGGTGGATCTCTCATTAGAGATGATTTCTAATGAGCATATGTCCATCAGGAAGTTAAACCTAGATACTGACTACCGGACGGTGTCCTAATTAGTATCTCCTCCGACGACTACATAGGAGATACAAAGCTCCTCCAAAACTGGAGCCGAGCTACCTTGTCCTATGCATGAGGGGTTGAACATCTCCAAGGTTTGGTTCTATATTCAAACTATTAGATGGATCTTTAACTCTGTATCGATAGAGGTGATATGCCTGGGTATCTGTCAGGGGTTCTGACAGCTTCTAGGCCACACTTCGCCACCGATCCATGTCTCAACGCCCCTGTCGCTCTAGCTAGGCAGATGTGCGGCGTCTGACTAGGGATGCCTCAGCACGCCGGCATCAGACAATGTGAAAGGCAGCGGCACACCCAGTCTGGACGGAACTCGATACCGGGGTATGTGCAGATCGATCCCCACGATAGAGTGGGAGGTAGGAGGAGGGCAGTATGAAATCTACCGTGATGAAGATACCTTGACAGCTCCTCGAGCTTCATTGGTGCTGATAAGCTTGCTTATTAAGGTTACGTCAGGCATGTTGGACCAAAGGAATCTATACACTCATTAGACGTTGTATCCAACGAGTTGGAAACATACCTCGACGGAGACACGCTCAATAACTCTTCCGTCCCGTCCTCGTCGTCATCCTCAAATTTGGGGTCGTCCGAGGCTACGTGAGATATGTGGTTGCTTGTACCTGCAATGAATACGTTACAATCGCTGAACCCCTGAGGGGATCAATGGAGGGGCTTCAACAGCCGCGAGGTTGCATGTGAACACCGACTAAATTAAGCTTGTTCTTGAAACGGAGATTGTAATCACAGGGTAGTTGCCCGGCAGCTTGACGTGCGCGATACCTTGTCATATCGATTATCGACACCATCTAAAGTTATCGAATTACATT